AAACATGCAGATTAGACAGAGTGAAGATGTCGTTACACCAACACTGGTCCCAGTCAGGCATTTTCTGCAGGCACAATCTGTCAATTCAAGCCTTTTCCTTTACTACTTATGGAACAAGAAGAAAACTGGCATCAATCACACGCAAAAAGACTGCATAATGAATGAATTTCCATTTTCTATTTTTTTTTTATTAAACATGTTTGTTTTGTTTTGGTTTTTTTTTAATATAAATATCAAAATAATTACAAAAAATAGGATTTGCCAAGTGTCATAGATCACTAAGTTCTCTTAGGGTCAGTTCACCCAAATGCTCAACATGAACATACAGCTTAGTGTTGAGCTTTGCAAGTATTTCAACTTCATTTTGTGATATTTTGAAGATTCTGCTGAGCTCTGGTCTTAAAGAGATATTTCCGTATTTTTAAGTGAAGTTGCATGAGTTGCAGCAGGTTTTCTAATGGAAAAGTACTGCAAGTTTTCTGAGTAAAGCGTACAATCAAACCAAGGTAAGTCTCTCAAAATTAGCTAAATTATGTGGCAGAGTCGGTCCCTGAAAACAGTAGCATACCTAACGTCCCCTTTCTACCGACAGTTTCCTATGAAAGAGGCAGAGCTGACCGGCATTGTGGTTAATGCACTTACTAGTAACATTTGGCTCATTCAAACCCATATTAAAAACATTTACATACCTCTTCAAAGAAAGAGATCTCAAGAAGTAATTCATCAATATAACTTATGATTTAGATTCATGAATCAAAAATAGATTTTTATATGAGGTCTTTTATGTCTGATCACAATTTACTAACTCTTCTAATATTATTCTTGTAGGACATGACAATATTTGCGATAATATACCACATAAATAATACGTCTTCCTCCTTAAGCTCCGGTAGTTATCAGATTTGGCCTCTGAGAAGCTCTGTGCCTACGATAAGACTTACACACAATCAGAGCACACACGTAATCTGTCACACACCACATGCTCTCATGCCAACACATTTTGTAGACATGAAGCCCTCAAGCTTGTACACATCCTTTGAGAGATAGCGCCACAAATAACAAGGGAAAGCTCATGCAAACAGATGCAGCGAAGCACTCAACTGTCACAGCAATATGTGAGGCAAGGAGCTGTAGAGTCTGGCCTCATGAACTCTTGACTGGCACACATACACTGTCACTGATGATCCAGCCTGAGAGCACAGTGAGATCTGGTGCGGTACACACACATACACACAAAAAAAAAGAAGAGAGACTCTGGCTTTCATTTCAAACACAAATATGCAAGCATAAACAAACAAAACGAACTGTCAAACCCATATAGAAGCTCAAATTTTCCCTATGTCTCTGTATCTCATTCATGCAAATCAGTGTCTGTCCTCCAAATGCTGTCCCAGGCCAGCAAGAATACTCACTGCTAAATCCAACCTCCCCATTTGACTTGGTAATATGGGCTCCCCTGCTGGAAAACTAGCTCAGAACACAAAGGGAGATAATTACATCCCACTGCCAGGCTTAGCCAAAGATGAAGGACCCCTATACTGTAGCAGACCATGACCTCTGTATGTGCCTGTCCCCCTGCAGGTGACAAACAATGACAAGGACACCCTGTGTGATGTACGTCGGCTCCTCTTAAATTACCTGTTAGGGTATATGAAAAACAGGGAGCTGTGTAGTACATCAAGCTCTCTGCCTTGTCATTTGCACATTTAAAAAAAAATGAGTTACAGCTCCATTGCTGCATTGTTTTGCTGAAACTGCAGAAACTGGATGAGTTTTATTCAGCAGTTACATTTTGATGCACCATTTTGATCACACTTCTCTTGAAAAACTGACAGCTGCCAAATTCGCTTTTCGAACATGAACATGATTCAAGATTTTGACATCTGTTAAGATATAGTTGACAGGTTTTTTCATTTATCACATTGTTTTCACCAGTTTAATTCACTCATGCATGTATCCAGAACTATCAAGCTAACAACGAAATTGATTGTAATCTGCACTTCACGTAGGACTATTTGTTGTGGAATCGCCTTGGGGCCACTCTGGCAAATGGGGACCGCAGTGAGGAGGCCGTGGAGGCGTATACAAGAGCCTTGGAGCTGCAGCCAGGGTTTATCCGGTCCCGCTACAACCTCGGGATCAGCTGCATTAACCTCGGGGCCCACAGGTGAGTGACCTGGGTAGGCCCGCTAGGACTGTTATCAATAACCTCTGATTTCATGATTTCACCACACACCAACCAAACAACCCATTGGAAGAGATTATTATAAGGCAAATACCAGCCAAAAGTCCACTCACTGAGAACCCAGTAAACATTTTATACAATGTGAAATAGTCTTTGTAGATGCCTGATACCACCTGTTCTGTCCTTTCACTTTAAACAAAAACCCAAGCTATTTGAAACATCTATGCAAACAAATCAGCATTTTTTTATAAGTTAGACTAGTAGCCAGCAAATGCCAAGACAAAATCTGGAGTAAGCCATAAAACCAGGTAGCAGCCACAGCAGACAAGTACAAAATGAAAGCATTATGCAAAATATGCTAACAAACCTGGAAACAAAAGAAGCTCTCAGCATTTTGTAGGGAGGAAGAGAGGTTTACAAATCTTCATGGAGGAGTAACACTCATTAAATTCCCCACAAAGTGTCGTTTTGAAACCTTTAAGAAGAAGAGAAGAGAAACCCATGGTAAAGGTGAGGTTAAAAACCTCAAAAAATGGGAGATTCTGGGATATCAAAAACCTGGGTTGACCATTAGTATTTTTTTTTCTTCTGCAAATTGCTTTCAGAGGTTTTGACATAAAAAGACTTTGTTATTGTATTCAAACTGCAGTATGAATACTAAAATGTGTGTGGATGTATGTCATATTTTAATGATGCATACACTGTGTACTTTTGTGCAATGATTTTGGCTTTTTTATCTGTGTACTGTTTGTTGTATAATAAATACATATATTTAAAATGGTATTTCATACATTTAAAGACAACCAACAGCTTTGTGTGGCACAAGCAGCAAATCCAACAGGTGCTTTCATTAATGCAACTGATTAGACTAAGCAGCAAAGACACAGTAATGGCATGAAATACAGCCTTCAAGCCAACAGGTGCATACATGTAATGAGTGGGTCAGACCCAATAAGAGGGTCTTGCTGCAAACAGCTGAGCTCCGCGAGCTTCCTCCACCACCATAACATCAGACAGGCCCAATTTGCATAGTCTGTCAACAATTTGCAGCAGTATATACTAATCAGTCATTCAGACCACAGAGAAGCATATTGATATATTCAATACAGACACTGCATCACCAATAGGTACATCCAAGCTCAATGCAGGTCATTATCAATCTATTTAAAACATGATGCATGCATTTGTGTTCATACTGGTTCACACACACCATCAAGAGGAGCATTGATTTCCACAAACAAAGCTTACAAAGAAGTCTATAACAACACTGCAACTTTAGCATTTAGTGCTTTCTTACCGGCGTCCTCCTGCCCGTACACCGTGGTGGCAGTCCTACATCTGAGCGGTGAAGTCCAGCTCTCTGAAGAAGTTAATTCCCATAGACAGTCGTGGTAAATGGTCCTGTTGGGTATCCTGTTGTAACCAAAGTTCATAAAGGTTTGCTCTCCAGATGTGTTGTTGATACGAAGGGCCAAGTGAATCCTCAAGGTGTGGAAAAATACTAGGGGTTTCATCTCTCAGTTGGAGCAAACGCGACATCGTTGAAACGCGACATTTCTTCAGTTTAGCTCATGTAACTATCTTGGCTAATAATTCATATAGTTAGTGTCAAAGTCATGTAAGTATTTTTTCATAACAACCGTGTCTCCTTCCGCAAATTATCCCTTTGAAAGTTCCTTTACTGACTTCCACTTCCGCATTTTTTCCCGGCATTTTTGGCTCTCTTGACAAATTCCTGCAATATTAGCGGTGCTCAATAATTGGATGATGGGGGTGTCATATTAACCAATCACAGACGCTCTTACGTATTTTTGTTACTTGCCCTCCCACCAAGGCCAGTGTTCCGTAAATCCATCCTACCCGTCCTACTATGCCTCACTGCGCATGCGGAAAAAAGGTATATAGCGGAAGTAGGACAACTCGACAAAACCTGCACTGATTTATGGATAACGAAAGAGTGGATTAAGGAGTAATAATTTAAACGTGTTTATATGGAGTTAATTTATTGAAGCATAAAGAGACATTAGATTGGATTTCACCAAAGACAGAGTGCACTAAAAGGGTGGGGGTGTAGAAATAGATGTGCTGTAGATGTGGTGGAAGTGAGGGGTCCAAACAGAACAATTTCAGAACTTGGAGAGACCTGCCCCATCTATATACAGTATATGGGTTCAATCGTTGTCATTCAATTACCCTAAATAAATTAATTAATTTTAGAAAAATTACATCCACAAAATTAAATACATTTTACATGCATTTTTTTTAAGTAACTTGGTATTTGTATCCAGAGCTGGCTCAAGCCTCAATGTGGCCCTAAGCAAAATTTGATTTTGAGGCCCCCTATTTCTGCCAAAAATATTGATTTTTGATCATTCACACACCTTCACAAATCTCTTTGATTAACGTTCATGACAAGCAAACATACCTTTATCTTGGTGATTTTTGCTCTTCTTCCTCTTTCTTTTCTCTGCTCCTCAAGAATATGTCCTTTTTCGCGACTTTTGCAACTTTTGCTTGTTAGATCCCCAATTGACTGATAACAGCTGAGATCTTTCTTCTCATTTGTACAAGTTAAATGTAAATGTAAGCAGGATACATGCAAATAGGGGTCCAGGGCCAGCTTTTTTAAGTAGGTTGAGCTTTATTTACCCGTTTGGGTTCACTTAAGCTCAAGGAAGACCATAAAACAAACTTCTTTGTGTTATTTTCGCTTCCCCAGAGAGGCAGCCAGTAACTTCCTGACTGCCTTAAGCCTTCAGAGGAAAAGCCGGAGTCGCCAGCAGAACCACCAGGTGATGTCCGGAAACATCTGGGCTGCTCTGAGGATAGCTTTATCCATGATGGACCAGCCTGAACTCTTCCAGGCTGCAAATATTGGTGACCTGGATCTCCTTATGCGAGCCTTCAACCTAGACATTTGAGGACTGGGAGGTACTATTAGAAGCACCCCCCACCCCCAACACACACACACTTCAAAATTTCAGCCAAAGCCCAAAGTGAACACATCAGAATGGATCGAATCTGATGTTGGAGACACCAGTTTGGTTTATATGCATGTCAAAATCAACTACGAACGTCAGAGTTGTTATATTTTTGGTCCAAGTATCTTGGAGCAGTTCTGAGGACAGGTTCTGCCAAGTGCTTGAAGAAACTGCTTTGTGATGGATTTGCACTGCAATTTGTGATTTCCCTGAAGAGCACAAGGACAGGCAAAGATTGTACGAGCAATGCCTTAGAGAACACATCAATTAAACACTGACTCATCCAGTGGAACAGAGCTAAGCCAGTGGAGACATGCAGACAGACAGTTCCCACAGAGTCTCACCGAGGAACCCTCACATGCTGCTTTGCAGAGAAAAGACGAGGTCTCGAGGAAAAAAAAAAAAGGGGTTCGTTATCCAATTACTCTCAAAGACTTAAGACTGTCTCACTCTCCTGAAGGATGGATTTAGTGAGCAAGTGATAAAGACTGCACAGTATGACCTGGAACTCCAGATTGGGTCCCTGGCTTGTTTTCATCTTCTTTCAGCAGAGAATAATGATACTGCATGAATAAGCATTTTCACCAATGGATTCTTGTTCAAAATTAACATATATGTTTTCCTTTTGCACTTCAGACACACAGATAACTTCCTCAACCCATGTGGAATGTGTAAGCCAGGTTGAAAAGCCTTACTTAAATGCATGTAAACAACTATATTTACTTATACGGTTTTGATGGCAGCACAGAACACTAAGCCATGTTCAGAGTGGTTTTGATTTCTTTAAGTGACTGTCATCTTTTGAGCTTGAGAGCCGTCTGAGACATTTATTTTTGTTTCCTCGGGTTGGTTTGTTCATTCATTTATTTTGTTTTGGCTCCTGGCTTCTCTTTGTTCCCTTTATGGTGACAGGTTGGAGAAATACACAACATTTGGGCAGTGCTGATCTTCATTAGTGTGGAAACTTTTTAAAGTTTTCTGTAACTAAAAAAGAGACGTTTTCGGGTCTAAAAATATCGTATTCCCCCTGGAATGGCTTTAGTAGTCCTCGCATTTCTCTCATTTTTCTGGCAGCGTTCATTTCAATACAGCTTGATAGTGTTACAGGTAAAAAATGTGAGGCTGCAAGCCAAAAACCCTAAAGAGTCTGGGATGTCTCCTAATGCAGTCATTTGTATCACTGCTGTGGCTCCACAGGCAGGAAAGCTCACCCATTTAATTCAATCAGTTTGCCTCAGTCATCATGCATGATTTAAATATTCATGTAAGCTTGGCAGGGTGCTGCACATATTTGGATGTTTTTGCTTTACCATCTTCATTTTACAAGATAATTTCTTTAAATGACCATCCATCCACTAATGAGGTTATTTTCGATGATTCCTTTGCAGTTTTCTCCAAACAAACTTGTATTCAAACGTCCTCTCTTGTGACATTAGTTTGAAAGTCACTCTGTGCAGTGAGCACTATGTTCCTTGCGTGCAAGAGAGTAAATGATAGATAATCTGCTGTACTGCATAGCTCAGCACCTTGCTGCTAAGCAGGTGTGTCCACAGTCTGGATGTGCTGAACAAAGTGGCTTTCTATATCCAGATCCTATGCAAAAGGTCATGTTTTATGTTGCCGTTTAAATTGTTAGTTTGTCCCTGACTGCCTCAGCGGACCAAAAGGAAGTGGTGATTCAGTGCTTGGAGAGACTGCTATCAGGGGAAACCAGAGACCAGTTTAAGAGCCATTCATTTCCCAAACTGTAGCGCTTTGATGTCATGGCCTGAATAAGGAGAAGAGCTTCATTTGGAAACAGAGGGATGAAAAAGAGAGAAAGAAACAGATACACACATAGAAATAGCTCCCACCTGAGCTGTCGCTGTCATGTTTTCATAACCCTGCGGTGCAGCAAAGGGTCCATGACCTCTGTGGCATCAACCAAATTTACTGTGGTACATTAAGCATCGGATAACTCTCTGAAACTACACATACAAAGTTCTGCATCACACTCAGTATGTTATCAAGTGTGCAATATTGTGTGTGTGCAAGAAAAGCCCAGATGAGACTGGCCAGATTTTTTTTTTTTGTTTTTAATCACCAGTCCTACTCAGCTGTCCTAAAATGCACTGCAAATCTTCAAGCTTACAAACTTCCCAGCTGACAACAAAACAGAACTACAGTACAACATTTCATAAGGGGTTAGAAGTATATTTAAAAACTTCTTAGCAGTACACCAAATTAAAATGGACATATTTTTGTTGAATTGTGTGTACAGCATCATGGCTGCCAAGCTTCGCTGTAGTGTCGGTAGCTTGGATTGTAAATGCATGGTTGATGAAGTCATTCAGTGCAGAGAGGATGTAATTTAGTGGTTTTATATTAACAGCATCCTGCAAAACATACTGTTAGATTAGAAAGTAATATGTTAGTACAGGGATTCTGTGAAATTGACTCTTTTGCATGTAGGACTGAGCTTGACCAGATGGCATGCTACTAAAATACTTATAACAAAGTTTGCAGAGGGTCTGTGATGTTCAGTAGATCAAGGAGACTAGAGGAGCTCAGGTAGAGACCAGAAGAGACAGTGGACTGCACAACAGCAAAGCTAAGAAGGTCAGAAAAGATGTGGAAGTGTATTTACTCACCAAGAGACTTTATTATGATACAAAAACAGCAATGCAGCTTTTATTTTGCTGAGATAATCTGATCTGGATAACAGCTGCTGGTCCATCAGCTCTGTCCTGTTGAATATTTCATCATCATTTGAGCACTAAATTAGATATTTTCAGCCGTGCAGCTCAGCTTTTTAAAATGGAAATGTTGGTGAGTTGGTCCACCACTTTGGTGAGGACTGAAATCGAGCTAAGTCATGGACAGACCATCATGGGGTTTCATGCTGGCATTCTTCTTCCACACAACATGAATCTCACTGGAACCACCATGAGGTTGAGTGTTTGTTTTTTTAGTAGAATGCCTTTGCAATGACATTTCTGTGCAGATATTATGATGGTTTTTCTTTATAGTGTCATTATGGTGTCAGCATTGGAAGGAGTTCAACACACGCACCTGTCAGCTTGAATTCAAAGGGGAAAACAGCAAATGTTAGCATGCTCTCAGCTGAAACAGAGTCGAAAATTTATATTAAGATTGTCACATTGGGGTGAGTGCAGCCTCACAGAGCAGCTCGCATGGTTGTAATCTTGTTTGCAGACATGTTCAAGTCAAACAGCTTCGTCTTTTTCAGCCAAGTTTATATTTCTGCTCAAATCTACCGCAGTCACTTACAGTATTCGTAGGTACCGCTGCAGACTCGACGCACACTGGGGGACAATCAGGCCAGTACCCCTCCATTTCTAAACATAAACACTAGCTCTCTCGACTGTGCATTAACAGTGAACTTTACGAATTCAAAACATGATGTCTGGTTAAGTGTGGTTTCCAAAATCAGCTCTGTTTTCTTATGAGGTTGTAGGCCTTTGCTTTTTGCATTTGTAGTTATGTTAAAAAATGAAGAACTTATTTTTTTAAAGAGCTCTCAAATTGCTGGTTAATGATCTGAACTCCTGCTGTGCACATCATATTGCAGTGCACTGAGACAAGATGCCTGGTAATAACTGTCTTTTTCTAGAACCTTCCTACTTTTGGACCTTCTCAGGTGAACTGACCTAGCTTAACGCATGCTTCTATGAAAAAAAAGGGATCGAGATGATCGCATGCTAGATGCTATACATTTATTTTTGAATGCTTGTTCTTTTGTATGCATGAAAATCATGAAAGTGCTTTCTTTTCTCCCACTAACATATAGAAACAAAATATATCATGAAGTTTCCTTACAATATTTCTACAATGCACTTTTGAAAATGTGTAACCCTGAAAAAGTGATGTATATAATTAGCAGATATATTCTACACGAGATGCTTTTACTTGCATAGAATTAGCAAATGTGCAAGGCTTGAGCAGAGAAATACTGGCACATGAGTACAGCTGGTTATAGTTATGTAGAAATGTTGTTATTATGAGCTCTACGCATTGTAAATGTACTGGTAACTTTTCCAAGAATCCCAGCCTGTGAAGTCACTCTCCATGCTTTTTAGTGTTGGAACTAAACACAATTTGTGTAAATTACTAGACACACATTTATAAAGCTTAATTGATATTTTTATGGTTGTTGTTGTTATTTTTTTTGAGGGCATGAGATGGGACGGAGACTGCAATGCCATCACCTTTTTATGGTTGTTGAACGAGTTTTTTTTATTGCTCCTATTTTATGCTTGTTTTTGGTTTTATACTGGCTGTCTGACAGCTTCTTAGCAGCTTTACATGATTTACAGTTCAACAAACTTCACATATTTCAGTTTGCTGTCTTTGAAAACCATCATTTCAGCCTCTAATCAACTGTGATTTATACGCAGCTTTTTTGATGCACCGTAGCCCAGAGTTAAAAATCAGATAAATATGAACAAACATGCAGTTTGAAATTAATATTGTCAAAAATAATCCCTAACTTTTTATCCAATGTATATCCATAGTGACAGTGTATTGCAGATTATTTGTGTTTATTGAGCCTGCTGTGATTGGCTCAATAGCAGAGGAAATTACATGACGAACTTGAAGTTGTTTAGACAGAAATTTAGAAATAAAAATGTTTTTTGAGAAAATGTGCAAACGCACTCTCATGAGACAGACTTTGATGGAGAATGATCTGCATTTGGTTCTGCATTTAGGTTCTTTCTGCATGAAGTATTTTACTTTTGCTTTATAAGTGTGCTAGTAATTTATGAATGGGTTTAGTTTCTTGCATTTAATATCATGCTCAGGCTCTATAAAGCATTTATAAAATGGTATTAACATCATCCTTGGTTGGGGTTCAGAAAGGTTATCAGTACATGCTGTGAACATCTCTCTCTCTTTACTCCTTTAATTCAACATGTGTACAGAAGCAGTTTATCTGGTTTATTTATCGATGCATCAGAAATGTATGAATAAAATATTTTGATGAATGAACCTAGAAATTATATACTTTATATACAGTCATTCTTTTATTGAAACACCTACTATGATGCATATTACTCCCTGTATAATCACAAGGAAAGCATTAGCACCTTTAAAACATACAATATGAAAGTAATCTTTTAAAATAAACTCTTGTTATATATTCAGTGCTCCTGTGTCATCATTGTTCTTGAAGAAAACGTTCATCTACTGGGGTCATTGTTCAAGAAGCAGAGTCTCAACAAAGGTGTAGTTTATTAAATTATCCAAACCTGGTAAGTAAACAGTGCCTTGGAGTATACAGTCCCTCTATTCACATACACCTAAGCCATATTTGGATAAACACATACATTACAAAAGTCAAATTACAATAATCCCATCAGGAAACCTATGTCATGAAAACTACAGAAATGGCACAAACTTGTTTGCAAAAAGGCAACAGAGTAAAAACAGGTGAAGTACCTTTTTTGACATTTAGTTAAATGAAAAAAAAAAGAGAATAAAACTCACAAAAGTACAATTGTACAATCCAAATGACTAAATGTCAACGTCTAGTGCACATGCTGACAGTGAAAAGCTTTTTCATGACTTGAAATTGAACTATTAGGTTTAACAACAGAGAAAATGAATAGAGACCGAGCTGGAGGAAAAGCTGAAACAAAAAGACGAAAAGTACAGAGATGAGAACATGACCTGGAGTACAGGGGAAACAAAAGGTGCAGAGAAATTATTATTAATTGCACAGACTTTCTCAAGACATAACAACTCTGCATCGTTAAGCAGGATAACAGGTTTAACGCTGATCCACTTGTGATGTGAAGCAGAATGACTCATTTAAGAACAGGGTCCAACAGGGGGATCTGGTTTTTAACCGAAAACAAAACAAAAAACAAACACCAGAAACAAAAGACTTGCATAGAGAGACCTTTTAGACTTTGTTGCTGCATAGACAATGAACTCAGCAGCGGTTTATCAAGTAATATGAGACGAAAATGAAAGATGTTGTGATATGATGAAATTCAGTGTTATTTAAGGAGAAACACTGCTGAATATGTAAATCAGGTAAATGTGTGTTTTTCTGAAACATCCTGCAAAGGTTGTTTTTGTCTGTAGATAAAAGCTCTTTGGGGGAAACGCTCCTGAACATTTTTGAAAAGCATTACCTGAGATTGGTGAAAGTTTTCTTTCCGAGTCATTCGTGTTAGTTGGGAATCTTCCCCAGGATGTTTCATAAACATGTAGTAAAATATGTCTGTTCAACTCTCTTTAGAAATGTTTATTTATCATCATAGGATTATTCTCTCTCTCTGAATATGACAAGTTATGACACTAAAGTTACCAAGTTTCAGCAGGTATCCCCTCTAAAATGTGCCACCAATTTGCACCAGAGTGACAAACAGATTCACTGGAGCAGGAGTTTGTGCAACAAACAAAATACCAACACTTTGCTTTATTATGCAGATTTCAAGATGTAAAGTTCCAGTTTCATGTACCCCACATTTAGGTTATAGAAAGACAATATAAGCCAGAAAAGCTGAGTTGTTAACAGTCAGAGGATTAGATTCACTGATATTGCTAAAAACAAGTATTTCATCTTTTTGTTTAAACTGTCTGACATATTATGAATATTCTGAGGGTATAAGTGAGAAGAGTACAGTCTGTGGATAATCCAGCTTGAGATTATTGTGACTGAAAAGCAAAGGGCCGGTGTTACATTCACTGTGGTTTCTGAGAGTTAACGCTGAACAGGAGGTTTAAGTTGCAGTGAGCACCATGAGGTTATACATTCAGCACTGCAACATGTCTGTTCGTGAAGAAGGAGTTACAGGCCACTGTTCAGCTCACATCATAAAGCAGGGCTGAGTCGATATGGTTTTGGTGCATATATTGCTTTAGACATGACAACAGTTCAGGTGCATATCTAGATTAAGTGACAGCAGCAGTATGTCGAGCAGAACATTCAAGTCGAATTTTGGGGTGTCGTCTCAATCTGTCAAAGTACAAAGAAACCAAACTGAAGCTGGCGGGAGTTTAGTGTAATGCAAACATTATGCAATTTGGAATAAATGAAAATGTTCACTTTGAAGTGGGTGAGGAGATCTCTGCGTTAACTGATTATGTGATAACAATATGAGGACAGCTTTGCTTAAATGAGGCATCAATTAAACTTTGACTAATGGCCTGTTCAAGAATTTTCAGGTTCAGCAGTACTACAGTTGAAGTTCTCATACTCAGTGCTTAGAGCTAGTGAATAAGAAGTCCACTCCAACTGCATCTCATGAGCTCATTTTAGACAAAAGTGCTTACAGAGGAGGAAAAATACTTCAGCGTTGATAACTCAGCAAGTGTACCTCAGAAAGTTTTTCCTCTCAGAGTACAAACTTGTAAGTTATCACCAGGTAAAAGTGGGGCAGGTTTGAGCCATAATTCAGCCAGTAACACCGTTTCTAACAATGTTAACATCCATTCATGGTGCTCAGAGTCTGAAACTTCAAGTATACAGCACATTGTTATTTTCTCTTAACTAAAATATTGACTTTCTGGGGGTTCTTTCGATTTTCTGGGATTAAAAAAAACATTCATTTGTATTTCAGTGCAGACTACAAAGCCACCACCAGCAGCACAGTGATTTGTTGTTTGTTGTTGCAGTTTCAGAGCATTTTAGGCCTGGCAGTGAAGCACTCCCATTTCAATATACATTTATAAAATGTACCACTTTGAAAATACTGGCACAGTAGCTGAAGGCATAGAGGAGGAACAATGAGATTTGATATGTGGCATTATTTTGTGTGCAGAGCAGTCCAGAAGTAGAAATTGCACACATCCCTCTGTACCTACACTGGTGAGAAAATGTGTTTTCTTAAACACAAACACTTAAATACACATTTAAAGCGTAACAGAACAAAAATGCACAAACAGCACATTGCTTTTCCTTTCCGACCAGCGTTCCTGGTTGATCCTGAATGACATCGTGGTAAGGCTAGCAGCTGGTCACAGAGGTTGTTTCCATTGTTTCCATTGTGGCTGTTATTAGTGTTGTCTGCCAGTCTTCTGCAGGTGAACCACTGCATTTCTTTTAAAGGTTGCAAGGTGGAGGGTTAAAGGGTAGGGGGGGAGCTCTAGTTTAACTACTGGAGAGTCGATGGTAAAAGTAGATGTAGCCCAAGTCTTTTGGAGGCCTTTCTGACAAACACACTTTGTGGTCATTGTAGATCACCCACCTACAGGAAGAAAAGAAAACACTGATATATGATGCATGTTATCCACAATATGCCGTCAGCTCTTTCCTACGAGAAACTAAACTACCCCTCCCCCTCAATTACTGTGTGCAACTCACCTTCCCTCCTTTTTAATGTGACAAACATAATGTCCCGACATGGTGGATGCGCCCATGTGGCTGATGAAAGCAAAGAGCTCGTAACCTGAAAAAAAAAAAAAGAGGACATCAAGTCGCATTTAGAGCTTGTGTTGAAATAACAGCAGCTAAACAACCTCTAAATGCCAGGCGTCATAAGCGGTTTCCATTAACAACAGGACGTGAAAACATCTGGCATTCATCAGCGTCATTATTGTTGCTGCTGCTGTATCTAAAGTTGGTGTGACAGAGCAGCAGCAAATACACTGTATTCAAAAGGCAGACATTAACTGGGGCTAAATGTAAGCCAACCTGTGAACTATTACAGCAACCTGGTGCAATTAAAATCCAGGGGAGGGGAAACTCACTTTGACATTTTGTTTCTGCTTTTTTCACGTCCATGCAGGTCTTTGTTCAGTTAAACACTGAATGCTTCTGCCAGTCTGCTGTTGCAATTATTACGATAACACTATCTCAACAAATTTAGATTTTTGATTATACTAATCACCATTATAGTTTATCAATAAAAGCAAATCTTTGTTGATTTAATGAAGTCTTGGCTGATACTGAGGGATAAATAAGGTCTGAAGGCTACAATCACTGGTATCAGGCTTGCAGATTCACTCACGTCCTGGTCCATCTTTGATCCGTGGGCCTGACGTGTCTCTGTCTGGGGAAAGTGTGGAGTCGCTGTGTGAATTTGCGTTTGAGAAAGCATTGTCGTTGGGCTCTGTGTCTGCCATGTCTGAGAGGGCATCACTCTCCTCCAGCTCCGGGTGGGTGAAGATCCAGTCGAGAGCTCGCTCCAGGTTATTGTTCTGAAACAACATTTTTTTAAATCGACTGAGTTTTTGCTCAAACTTATGATCACAGGGTAACTAACACTACATCGATAGGGTCATAGGAATATAGAAGTATTATCCACAACTTCATTTTATAAGAATCATACACAGATTAAAACCAGTTCTAAAACTGTTATACTTATATCTACAGTATGCTCTTTCTCTACAAATATTGAAATGTTTTTCTGCTGATCCCAAACATGCTACCCTCTGAGCATTTTTTGGCCTAGAAGAGGTCTAATAGACGTCTAAATGTAGCCTGGACGACTGGTCTAAAATCAGGCTACCACAGGTCTAACAATCGAAGTTTTCTTAGACGTCTAAATTTAGACCAAGTTTGGACCCAGTCTAAATCTGGGCTATATCTATACTACGCTGTATTTTGCTCAACGACAATCATTATTGTTTTGGTTCAGTACTTGGAGATCAGTTATGCAACTCACAGTTGCTTTTTGAGATAAATAGTTATCGAATTATGGGTTAAAGTGCAACGTCTAAATTCAATCTAAAAATATACAGAATCTGGACGGTTGAAATGAGGTCTAAAAAAAAACTAGACATCTATTGCTCAGTGGGTAGTTAATGAATCGTCACTTGCTAAAAGAAGCACTATTCGCAACAGGAAATATCTGAAGCTATATAAATATATGAAGTAAACACAATCCCCACAAACATAATGCATGTGGGACAAAAAGACAGTCAAGGGAGAAACATTTTCATGTTTAAAGTTGTTTTTTTCCGTCTCATCTCTGTAGGAAGCTCGAAAAACTGTCGATGCCAAAAATAATTAAGAACGGGCAACATTTATCTGGGAGGTGGCAGGCGTCCATTTGTGCTAAACCCCCCTGAGGACGTTTGCTTTTAATCTAAAATAGAGGTGTGATTCCTGGATAACATCTGCCTTTAGACTGGCAAATGTGGCTGCTTTTTCTGTCTCACCCAATCAGGTCGATGAGGTTGAAAAAAACGTGCTCTCCTGATTCAGAGCTAATAATACACCAGCTGTAAAATCCCTCTTTGCTTCACATCTCCAACCCCCTCTTGGGGACAATGTGTGCATTTTATTTCACATCAACAACCACGTGGATTGAATGGAATTTTGTGGCGAGGACTGAAGGAAGGGACGCTTTCAGACAGGACATTCAAAAGTCTCTGAGCCTAACCTTAAACTCTGGTTTGATTTACTCTCAGATGGTAAAATCTGGGTTTTCAGTTTCAGAGCAGCTGGTTTGAGTGAGTTTGATCAACTCTGAGTAGGTTCAGTCAGGGTTAAGCAGGTGCACAATGACTATAAAAAGACAACACAGACGGAGCGCCCATCCATGAAACAGCTGACAGGAGAGGTCCACTTGCTTCACCCCTGTGGAATGAGAAGTTCCCATGCGCAGCAAGTACAGCAACCATACAGCAAGTTACAATTTTTTAAAGAACTTTCAACACACCAGAACCAAGTCACCATAGTAACTGACTCAGAGTTTAAGTTATCCCTCTTTCTCAAGTTTGAGTTTGAAACTAAAAGTCCCTCACTTTAAAGTTTACAAGCTCGGGGGTTGCACTAACTCTGCTCTCTGAAAACTGGGCACTGGTCTTTGTCCCAAAAAAGTCTGTTGAGTTATTTTTGCTTAAGGGACAGTCAGATATACAAAATATAAAATGCAAGAATCAAGAGCCGTGTTATTACATCGACCCTGATACATCTGTGTCCTTATTTCATTCCTTTGGATTTAATAGGGACTTTTGTAGAGCACTTATAAAATGTAATGATAAAATGACTTTTCATCAGAGAGAGGCAGATACTGTTCCTAAACCTCAAAGGCTGCTGGCACTATTTGTAAACAGCATGTAGCGCAGACATCTTTAATCACTCTGACATGTAAGACCTATTAAATTTGCAGTCTGGAAAGCAAACAAGTAGGCCAGCCAAGCCCACTCCTGACTGACAGAGCCAGGGTTGCGTCATCTCACCCTTTCTTTGCCCTCTTCAAAAACTCCACCATTCTCCCTCCGACCTGCTGCTCCGTCGTGATCTGCTCGGGCTTTTTGTTTCCCACCGCCCGGGTCAGTCCTCTATTTTTCTGTGGTGTCAGGCGGTCACTGCTGAGGTGTCTTTGTATTGCACGGCCCAGAGAAAAATTATGTAACTGTGTGGGTGCTCCTTTGTCCTCAGGTTTTCTCCTGACTTTTTCCTCTTTTTTTTTTTTTTAACTCTTCATTGTTTCTCTGAGTCACAGAACAAAGACCGCACAACATCTCCAGAAGTCAGACTTTCTGGGAGCGGGGTTTTTGTTTGTGCCGGATCAGGCTTGGTGACCATTAGTTCCCACAGCAGCTGCTCTACCCTTTCTATCATTCAAGAAAAATGAGTTTGCAACTGCAGAGCATAATTTAAGTAGAACAGAGGAGATTAATTACAGGAGAATATGTTGTATTTTACAGCCAGGCACTCAGAGCAGAAACTCATAAGCAGTGCCTATTAATAAACAATGAAGACATGACTGTTCATGATGACACAGACTCATCTGACTCTAAACAATCAAAGGAAAAAAAAGCTGCCAGGAAAGGAAAGGGTGTATTCATTGGTACACAAAGTTCAATAATGAACCGAGCTGGCGGCAGACTGACCGTGGCTTTGAGTGCCTGGATGCTGTGAGCGCGGGGGAAGCCCATGGAAGTGAGGATGGCGATGCTTTCCTCTGGGGGCGAGTTGCCCAGCGGGGTGGCACCCATGGGGCTATCACTGGTGGAGGGACCTGGATCGATCATGGAGGGCAGGAGGAGAGGTTCTGCAAAGTCTGAGAAAATAGAAATAGAGAACAGGAGAGAGAGGGGGGGGGGGGGGCAGAGAATAATAATCAGACGATGAACTCCTTTATTTTTAAACCTATGGAGGCAGAAGGATCTGCAGCAGACCAGCATTATATGCTGCTCTATTGTGAAAATTGAGTGCTAGAAAATTTCAAACCTCTTAGAGTACAGAAGTGCAGTTTCATTATGAAAATAGGAGAAACTAGCTCCTCCATTAATAATTCAGACTTGAAACATCACTGTTACATAAAAACTAACTTCATCAAAGAGTGCAGGGAGCCTCGACATTTTCTGTCTTTCCGGAAACTGTATCTGTTCTCACTGATGTTAGGGGGTACGTATGTCTACAAGGAGGAAATCGACATTAGTTGTAATGAATTCAGAAAACAGCCTGCGATTAAATCTATTTTTATGTTCTTAAGTGAACTGCAATCCTTTTTTCACTCTTCAAAAGGTTTAAATGGAAGTTACTGAGATTGGTATTATGCCACTTCTGTGATAACAAACTATCAGATTTTGATCACAGGCTTTAAACACAAATTTGGGTAACCCTTTCTTTTACGTTACACTTATTACCAGCTAATTACCAGGTAATTACCTAGTAACAACATGAAATTATCTGGTAATAACATGATAACTACTAAGTCATTACTGTCTTGTTTTTTTTTTTTTCTTTTTTCTGTACAGCTCCATTTTCAAAAGCTATTTGGGGTTCTTATTTTCTATGATGGGCGTGCGAAGATTGCGAAGCGATACGCTGTTTGAGCCGAGCATTATCACAGCGACTCACCAGCCGAATGTGTACAATGCTACTGCGCAAGTGGTGGTTCCACGAAGCAGAGAAAATCCAGAAAATACCAGAACAATTCAGCTTCAAATTTGTATAATGATGGAAGGTTACCTACCTGGTAGCAAGACAGTATTGACTTAGTAGTTATCATGTAATTACCAGATAATTTCATGTTGTTACTAGGTAATTACCTGTTAATTACTTGGTAATAAGTGTACCTTAAAAGAAAGGGTCACCGACATTTGTGATATTTATATGAATTCATGCCTTGTTAATTGGCTCATTTTTTCCCTTTAACCAAATTCACCAAAGATTAATTATATGTATTATATGATAGTTAAAGCTCTGGTTCCATTAGCTGCTCCTGGTAAATGCAATGCTCTGCAGATCAAATCAAGAAAAACTGTTATGTGGTTGTGCATCTTTAAAGGTTCAAGGACAAAGTTTATCTATAAAAGAATGAGTTAAAGTGACGGCAATAGGACAGTTATGAAAGCTGACAAATGTGGGAGAGGCAGAAGAAGTAACCTTTGTGCCTCAGGACTGTTTTCCTGATGTTATTGAGGCTGAATGCAGCTCATTTTGAAGTTGCATTAGGCTCATTTAAAAGCAGCACTTGGCTGCACTTATTCCCCTCCGCTCTAGAGGCCCTTTACAGCCAAGCAGAGAAATAGAAAAGGACCAGAGTCAAAGCCCCAGGGGAACGTTTCTGCTGCTGCAAGATCTACAAGAGACAAGGTCAGCTCTGACTGGAGTTAGTAGTGATGAGACATATAGAGATAAACACCTGCAGTACACAAAGAGACGAGGAGTCTGACACTTGGAAAAGTGACTTAGACTGTAATAGCAGAAAGAGAGAAGTGGCGCCTCTTTCACTTTGCATTACCTTGGAGTCTAAAGGTCCCACAGAAATAAACATGCCTGGCTTTGTATACACGGATACTCACCACAGAAATGTTTTTGGCAGAATAGCAGCGTCAGAGTGTTTTCCAGAAAACTGAGCCCTACACACATCATGTGATTTTACAGGATAACAGAAAAACACTGTGTGACTGCTTGTGTTTCCTTTTGAAGAAGCATTATTACTGTGTTTTTATTTTTTATTGATTACCCCTGAACTCAAACCCAGTGTTCACCTTTTGTCTGTGAAGTCAGCTTATTGAGAAGTGGGGCTCTGTCAGTGCAGCTGCTGCTGTTGTGATTATTTGTCACTAGTATATTTTTGGTTGCTCCGGGTTACTGTTACCTTTTTTACCCTCAACGCACATGTAAGACAATCCCCCAAGCCCTATTTATTCATTTCTATTTTGTCTCCACTATTTTTGATTACAAGACCCCTGTCATGAACTGTTGAACTTTACTTTTTAATTAAATTTGGATTGAATTAGATCCTCTGACCTTTTTATTGATTTTTGGTTGTATATGACTACATGGCTGTAGCCACATACAACCTCTGTGACACTCTGAGCATGTCGGTTCATTTTCACTGAACAGGAAAGGCGATCAGAATCAGAGGAGCTCAGGTCTGTGCTTGATTGCTCCTCTTATAGGGAAAAAAACTGACCTTTCCTGTCGGGCCCTAACAGAAACAGACACTATAGTGATCGTATAGTATATAGTATTACACTTAACCTTAACTAGTAAATTAAAATGCAAGAAAAATCAAATTAAAAACTAATTAGACTTGAAACCAACCAACAGGTTAAAAATAAATCATATGGACTGACGTATAATATCTGTTTATTAAATAAATGTTTTAAGGTTCTTCAGATTACTAGAATTTTGGCAGACAAAGATTATGGACCAAGACTTAAACATACCCCTTAGAGCAGTGTTTCTCAACTGGTGGGTCCCGACCCAAAAGTGGGTCATGGACACGTCCTGGATGGGTCACAAACAGCTAGTCAAAAAAGTAAATATTTAATGCGATATTTATTAGATATTTGATATTTTCTGTTTATGCAGCTTCAGTAGTTGTCGTCCTCTTGTTTTCCCCTTCATGTGCTCTGAAATGCACTTTACTCAATAAAACAAGTGTATTTATGTTGAAGATTAGAGTCTTTAAAGGTTTTTGTTTTTATAAAAAATAAATTTGCTTGGTTTGAATTCTATAAAGGTGGGTCACGACTTAAGTACCATGGGAAAATGTGGGTCCCAGACTGAGACCAGCTGAGAACCCCTGCCTTAGAGTATAGTCGAAGGTTTTTCTTTATCCTTCTGTTAAAGCCTTTTTCTCTTTCAAATACACGGCTGTAGGTGAGTGCACGTCTCTTCCTTTGTTCATGCTAATAAAAGCCCTGATGTATAGAGTTGAAATTGTGTATTTCCATCATGTCCCATTGAATACAGTTGCGTGTCCTTACCAGGCTCCTCCATGTGGGCAATGATCCAGTTGAAGGCCATCTCGGGGCCCATGTTGCCTGTGTAGTAGACCGCCTTCCTGCAGGCCTCGAGTGGAAAGCCCATCTCTGCCAGCTGCATTACTGCCCCCTCGTCTATTTCTGGAGCTGGGGAAAAGATAAACTCACATCAATAACTAAAACACAGTCGCTGCTGATTCAACACTAACTTTCTACACAACCAAACAAGTTACGCGGAGGCTCTCTCTATCTCTCTCTTTGGGCCTCATTAAACAAAGAGACCAGCAGAGAATCAGCCCCGGGGAGATTTCTTCATCGAGGGATAATTCATCATGGAAAGAAATGAGTCTTGCTAAAACGGGCAGAGCCACATGCAAAAGTAAAGTTGGTTCGGAAGTTAAGAGCAGCTGCTGCGCCTGCTCGTGCAGACATGGACACATTTAAACTCCGGGGTATTCATCACTATTACTTGATGCCCATAACATATATATATTTTTGAAGGTTGACGTTAATATAAATTTAAAATGTTTGTGTAATTCAGACAGAGTGAATGAAAATACACTTACAGTCGAGAGAGCCCATGGAGTTATCTGAAAAAGAAGAAAAAACTTCATTCAGGTGAAGGGCGCACACACTGAATCAAATACTTCACTTGTTTTGGGAACTTTCACATAATAGAATATGAAATCATTTGGAGATAAAATGTAAATCAAAACAGAGACGAGTGAAATTTTTCGGTTGGCATCACCCGATTATCCTATCCAACAGTCCCAAGGCGACTATTATCAGCTGTGAGGGACTTAGTTAAGTTGAAAATTAATAAAGGAATTTACCAATGCAAGATAAAAATTTACTGAAATAATAACAAAACTCAAGCAAGACCATGTAACTTCAAAAATAAGTCTCACTGCTCTGGTATGACTAAGAACTTTTGGCAAAGTTTACAACTATATTGGCTCCCATGTAACACACTTGTCCATTCTGCACCTGTTGACCATGTCTGGCCATGACTTCTCCTGAGATTTCATTTTTTAACCCCTTGTGACGATCATTGTGTTTAATCTTTAAGTGAGCTTCTTTTTTCATTAAGCAGTTTGTTGTCTAGATTATTGAGTACGTATGCCAGTAAAAACCATCAGGGATTATAGAGAGAATAGATGATACTCGTGACGTGATTCGAGCAGCGTACTTAAAGGAATACACGTTTGTGTGGTTCTGTGTGACCATTGAGAAGCACTGAAGCTTAATGGGGACAGAAAGGTGACCATTGATCGGTCACTGCCCAGATAATGGACCGGTGGTATATAGGAAGCTAAAACAGTAGTTACTCCACCATCTCTAAATGTCAATGTACAAGAAACATTAAACCAATCTTCTGCACCGGTTTACTGCAGCTGTTCAGTGTAGCTGTATGCTGCTGTTGTAAGTTTTAGACATGTATTTCTTTAATGTGCAAACTCTGCAGAGTTTTTAGTCGATGCTGCACTCTTTCAGGAAGCCACTCCATGCGTTTGGAGACCTCAGATAGCGAGTGCAGCATGTAACGTTCAGCCCTAAAATATTAAGGCACACTAAGACAAACATGTTCAGACTCCAGTTTTGTCCTCAGAGTTTCTTGTCTCGAGAAGCAGCTGGCTAAACGGTTCTGTAAAGCTCTCAGAAAAAAAGAAAAACTCCTCCCAAGTCTGTCAATGTGTGAAGCCCAGCACAGCCTGCTTGCAGATGCTACTGTGCTTTTGGAATGCTCTTTGGACCCCTCTCTGTGTGTTGTGTTTGGAGCTCGAGACAGTAAAGAACACTTTGTGCTTCACGCCTGCTAAAATATTAAGGGGGACACTGATAAGTTGATGTAGTTGAACTTTGCAAACAACAGAAGGAGGAATAGAGGGAGAAGAATCACGAATCACAGAGGAAGCAGAGGTACAGTAGGTGGCAGAAAAAACTGCTCTGTATAGAGTTTATACTAGAATAACAGCTGGCACACTATCTTATGAGAAAAAGTAACAGCAAATTAAAAGACACTCACTACCCTTTAGCCTGTTTCTCATAGAGTCAAGGGAAATACACTCCAACAGGATCTCATAAAATCATTAAAACTTATCAGGCTCAGCCAGTATGAACACAACAACTTTTCAGTAATTGATGAAGCATGCCCGTCCCCTGGGATCCCATTCAATATGCCCTTAAGAGAAAACTTGACTGGCTTCGAGCAGAACATCATATTAAAGACAATTTCATGGATCATTTGTCTCTCAGACAAAAAAAAATATCCACCACCTGATGAAAAGGATGTCAAGCAGCAGCTGTGGAGCAACGCACCTTCAGGTAACTTTCAGACCAACATTGTACTGACTGTTTATTGGCTACAATATGATGTGACTGTTTTCCTTTCATGAATGGTATTTTGAGTATTTCAAAAAGCTCATGAAGGCAACTAGAATAGACAAAATACTTGAAGCTATCTGGGTCAAAAACAAACACAAGCGTAAAATTCATCCTTTGAAATTCATATGGGAAAGTGAACGAGTAAATGAATGAAAATCTGCATGTTTAACCACTGTAGGTGAGTCATGGGAGATTTTGTGACCAGATCATTCTTCTCTGTAAATTTTGGTTGACATAAGTGAAGTGGTATCTTATCTAAAAACAGCAGAATTTATCAAATTAAGTCAAAGAGGCAAGATGCCAAATGTCCTCTTTGTGGCACTAGTTGTCCTACACTTGCTGCACTGATATGTCTGTCAAAATACTCTTTTGTAAGCATGTGCCAGCACATAATTGCATCTGAAACTTCCTTTGGCATAAAAGGACTTGGATTCTGTACCTCTGGTGTCTTCAGGTAGCACAATGGGGGGCATAAGGTCAGGAAGCTCCTCCTCACCCGCCTGCAACCCGGTGGCTCGCATCCGGCTCAGATCCAGGAAGTCTGGGACATCTATGAGCAAGTCTGTACAGGTGTGTAGATGAATATAAAAGTGAGCAAAAGAGCGCATCATCATGCACAGTAAAAAGACACTTGGACATAAGTCGCCTCTGTTGTATTTGTGCGGGTATTTGTTGCCGTGCACATATTTTTAGTTCTTGCCCAGCTCCTGCTGAGGGATGAAAAACCTGACACACAAGTGGAAGCTCAGGCCGATAAAGTTGGGTTTAAATTAATAAAATTCTATTCTTGCAATGTGACTGAAATGAAAAAACCCATCAAACTAAGTTACTTGTGGACACATTCAATCATCACTCACGTCTGTATTCACTAGTTGAGAAAGAATCCCCTCACTCTCTCACAAAACACAACTTGACTTAGTAGAGAAGGAGTTAAAAACCTAATATCTGTATTTAGTTGTCTTGGCCATTAAGGTTACTACATTTACTTTGGCAGCTCATACTGTACACAGTACACGTGTTGTAAGTTGTAGTTTTATGGTGCCCTCTGCTGGACAGTTATGAAACTAAAAATACTCAAACTGAGGCACGGCTTTCAGGGCAGGAGAAACACATTTTAAATCCTTTGGATCAGTGAAGAGCGACAGACGGTTACCTAATTTCTTTGGCACCCAGTCAACACCAAAAGTGAACTTCTTGACCTGCAAAACCAGATACTCTGGGAAGGAAGCGAAACGGGAAGTTCTGTGAAGGAAAATAAAGACCATTTTTTAAAAGGGAATTTAGAGGCTAGGAGTACAACACTTGCATGTACAGCCTGGTTTTCAATTCAGAAAATTTAAAGGTGATGAAAAAAACATTAAATGAGTGAAATACGGTTTTTAGATCCAGGAACGAGAGGCCCTTCACTTACTTGACTCCAGCTGACTTGGCTTGCAGCGCTGAGCTCCAGAAGTCTGGGACGTTCTCCGGCTCTGTGAAGGCCTGAAGGCAGGCAGTGAAAGGAATCCGTGCCCTCACCGGCTCAGGAGGAGCTCGCATGTTCTCCTCAGCATCTTTTAGCTTGGCCTCATATGCCAACAGCTCCTCTAGTGGTACAAAAACACACATGGAAAAACTCAGCCTTCAGGCAATAGGTATAAAAAAGCAGAGAGCAGGTTTTGGTATGAGTAAAATTCTTCAGGCATTTATGAACGGTTCAAGAGAGATGCTGGCAATACTTGATGACCATATAATCAAAAATGTCCCGATAAAAAAAGCAATGCAACATACCTACCCAATTACCTTTGGTTATACTTGTCAAATCTGTCAAACCAAGATTATTTGGTGAACTCCAGAGCTCACAGTCTGAGCCCTTAACAGTCACACCTTCAGCTAATGCCACCAAAGCCCAGCACTGTCTCATCTAAACAGCTACAAAAAATGTGATGTAAATTTGTGCAGGAGCTTTTTTACCTCTATTGGTGGCAGCCTCAATGGGCGCTGGCAGCTGGATGCAGTAGTCAACCCGCTGAGTGTAACGAACCCGACGTGTCTGGCAGCACTGGACCCGCTCCTCCACCATGAAGCGGAAGACGTCACTTGGATTTTCAGAGCCTGCGCTGTTCCTCTGAAATAAACCAGCGACAAACAGGGAGAGTAAAGAGCGTGAGTTTGATTTACAGTGGATAGAAATCACAGTGTTGGGCGACATTTTTATGTACGGAGTATTATTTAACAAAGATGTCCAATACAGATAAATTTGAGGTCTTGCAAAAAGACTGTTTTTTGTTGTGAATTTTTCAGTATTTTATCACTTAACTTTTTTTTCCAAAGGAGCAAAAGAAAACCATAATAACACACATCCTGTCATTTGTCCTGTCCATCCATTCCTCACATTGTAATCATGTAGTTAATACATTCAGAGGTGTGACTGACTTTTAGTTGTTCAAATGTAAGACATAAGGATAAAAGGTTACACTAACTCACAATAGCCTTTGAATCAAAGTTATTTTAAACTACATATGTCTGCTTTCATACGTACCATAAGCATGTAAAGCTCATGACACATGACAGACTTAGCTGTGAAATGTATCTCTGTCTTTATGTTATTCTTTGCTGAGGTCTATTACAGTCTCCTGGCATTACTTCACACAACTGCTGTTTGACCCAGATCCCTTTATACAGTCATTCATAATGAAGATGCAGTTCTTTAATTTTAGAGCTGCCTGAACTAACCCTCCCCTCCTCTCGTCATTACTGAGAGAGTAACATCTGTTTGAGTCACAGACACATTAATCCTTTTCTCTGACTGATTCTGTGTGGGCTCTGCTCATGAACAGCAGGGGTCATTAAAGTTAACATCGGGTTTATTTGAAGGCTGTAATGGAGGCTGGTTAGCCACTCGGCGCACAAGTTTGCACTACAGCCTTTCTGCAACCCAGCCAGTCTATTCTAAGAAGCTACAGAAATACACAAGTTATAGCGGGCGAGTGTGCAGGCTGACACAGATGGAAGAAAATGCTGCTGACGGTTTTGGTTTTAGTCACGTTATCTGCGTCTGCATAACTAAACCGGTCTCGTTCAGAGACAGCTGTACAAGAGTGGACTGAAAGAGTGGGAGACAGAAAACTCAGTTCAAGGAGATGAGATGTGAGGTTACTTTATACAATAAAGAGGTCACCCCCGCTCAGAGTCCTGATGGTTTGTTTTGCTGGCTGGGTTAGGTTGAAGTGTTTGGTCCTGGTTGTTGCAGAGGCAGAATAGAAGGTATTATCTGGCCCCCTGTGTAACAGATAGCTCTGAGCTATTTATATGTCCCAGTTGAGAAAGACATGTCAGAGCACCTCATGTGTATGTATCAACCTAGGAGACAGTATGCACGAAAACAGACCCCCTCCAAACAACAAGCTGTCCGTGTACACCGTAGGTCAGACATAACCGAGACATTTCTTGAGAGCATGTTTGGATGTTTTTTTTCTAAGAGGCAGCTGTCCGACTTATGGGGGAGTTTTGACTCTGATACTGATGCCAATTTCAAGAGGAGAAAAAAAATCACAGATTCTTGATACTATCAGAAACTGTGGCAGCTCTGGCGGTGATCCTTTGATTTTTCTGCTCCCTTGTGCCTCCTCCACCTGTCTGTCTTTGTCTTTTTCACTTTTATTTGTCTCCTTGGATCCTCCACTTGGCTTGTTTCCTTATGTCTCAGCTCCTCTCATCAAGGCATTAGTAGAGAGACCCAAGGAGGAGACACCAGGAGAGAGGAGGCATTTATTGATGGATGAGAGATCCTTCTCTCCACAGCGTCAAACCCGCAGATACAGATGTACAGAAAACCTCTCAAAATTAAAAAACTTTTGAGTGTATTCCACATGCCAATAGACATGGATGGACCTCCTGATGTAAAAACACATTAAACCCCACAGAGCTGTGTGAATTTGAGCCAGTTTTCAGGTTTAAGGAACAATAAAATACAAACTGAGGATGATAAACCTGTCACAGAACCACATCAGCCCAGTATTGCCTACCAAATATCAGCTTAAGTCTTGTTTTGAGGAACTTTGTGACGGACAGAATTTTGGTCAAAGAGGAAAATCTCCTATAAAAAGCCAGGAGGTCACTGAAATCACGAAGCTATACTTAAAGCACTGTCAAAATCCCAATCAAAGGGTTATTTTTGCTCACCTCCACCAGGTTGACGATGTGCAGGAGGAACTCATGAGCATCTTGTTGTCTGTTGGAGGAAAACTCTGGGTGTCCCCTGCTCACCAAGGCCTTCAGCATCCTGGGGGAGACGCCTGGCTGCTGGTGCTGGAATGAGAATATTTGAGCGTTAAAAAAACTAATAATAAAAGCATGACCACAAAGGTGCGAGCTCACCAAGTACCTGTCCAGTGAATCGTTTGTTTGGATCGACATTTACTAGCTAGCTAAGAAAATAAAAGCCATGCAAGTTTCATTGGTTAGCTTAAACTAGCCAGTTAGCTTTGAAAATAAAAGGAAGCAGAAGGTCTTGATGTGTCTTTAGCAGGCACCATCAGCTTTGTAAGATTTCTGTGCACATTTATAAACTCTTTTTTACTTGTTTGAGATGAAAACTTTTAAAAATAGACAGCTTTTTACTGGGTATGTTTGCCACACTCATTGAGTTGTGCTCAACATACTCCTGCAGTGGTAGCCCACTTTGTATTTATCTCTGAGCAAATTTCTGAGCACACAAACTGTAAAGCAAAACTTGACAAAAAACAAACTATCAACTCAAGCTGTTCAAAATATCAAAAAATAGAAAAAAAAAAGTCTTGGATCAATCAATAAATAATCAGAGCACATTTTGGTGACTAAATTAATCAGTTTAGTAAGAAATGAAAACAAGGCACAGTTCTAGAGCTGTTACATAAACCACTTCATTTGTACATATTGGACAGCAGCCGCACAAGTTTGCTCACACCAAAAAACGTAATATCTCTAAAAAAATTAATATTCTTAAAACACAGCTTGATAACATCGACTCACTGGATGAGGACATTACATGTTTGTATTGTGAAGCTGAACAGCTGAAGCTTCTTTAAAATTTCAAAGATTTGGTGGTTATATGAAAAAAGTCATTTTTGCTAACACTAAATATCAACATGCTAATGTCAGTTATAGACCCAGTTTGGGCGCTGGACATACCCAGTTTAATACCTTGTGTTCTTCTTTCATCACCTGTTCAATGAGCTCAGATTTCATGGGTGGTTTGGAGTACTGGCCTGAGAGCAGTCCGTGTCCCACTTTAGCCCTGTCAGATAGAAACATAGGAATAAACTTACTGGCAGTCTGTAGCTGTGTTTCCACCAAGCAGTACGATTCTGTTTAGTTAAGCCTTCTGTGTAATGATTTGCATTTCCAATGTTGGGAAGGGAACCAAAGTAACCGATTTGGACCGTCCTACTTTTTGGTCCCATTTTGGAGTTCCAAGTGTACCAATCCGACCCTAAAGGAAAGTCTACTGATGAAAGAGAGGAGGGGTGTATTATATAAATCCCCAAAGAACTATGACTGATAGATTTGTCAAAGATTCTTGTTAAGTTTATTTTGCATCTTTATAAGCCTTCAGTTGTTCATTATGTATTGGTATATAAGCCTATATATGACACAATGAATCTTTAGTAAACATGCATCATCTTAATGTTGAAGAAATCATCCTTTTTTCTTAGATGAGCATGTTTTTCATGAATTTAATTACTACCAAAGAAATCCTTAAAATACCAAAATAACATACAAAATAATATCATGCAAAAAAAAATAAAAAATACAACTTATCTATCAAAATACAACTTATCTATCAAAATGGAAAAGTTCAGCAGAGATTAAACCTGATATTGTTTCTCAAATTATAACCACATGGTTCTAAAAATTACTGTGGACATTATTAATTGTGACTTTTAAATAACTGCTGTATTGTTAGTCTAAATTCAGTGTCTATCTAAAACCATTTACCTTATGGAGGCAAAGAAATACCTAAATTAGCTACAGGATACAAGATAGTTCTGATTCAACATTCCTGTTCTCTGTCATGCTTTAGGGAGTAGGATTAAGGATTTTCTGTCAAAACAATCAAAATGTTTTTACAGATTTAACCCGATGCAAACACTGATGGTTATACACGTGATCATTTGTTGATGTGCTTCAAAATATGAAGTGTTTGTTGCTATACATAACTGATACTTGCAGCCTGTCTTGCCTAAGCCCTTCTTACCTTTCAACACAGCCACAGCATCACTGCCCTCTTGCAACACACTGTGTTGCATAACAAAATGCAACACCTTTCACCAGAATGATTAAGGGGAGGGGTGTTAGCCTGACAAAATATGCGTATTATATTTCATTACTCACTGGCATCTAAAAATTTTTAAGTGTGTAAATTTTATCTTACACATCTCTTGCAAAAGAGATCTCGGATCTCAATGAGACAAACCTGGTTAAATAAAAAACAATAATAACGTCACGAACAATTTTCATGTGGATAATTCATGACATAGCCTCAACCATTTTTAGCTGAGGATACGACAGCAGGGAAAAAAAACAACACTTGCTTTTGTGACGTGCATAATGTAACACTGGAGCCACTTACATTTGTGTGGCAAAGTCCTGGCTGGGGTCAAGGGGTGAATAGTCAAATATCCTCTGAAGATTACCCACATACCTGGGGATCAAAATACAAGTCACACACTCTCCTCAGATGGAGCAGACAGGACACAACACAAAAACAAGTCCTCGTGAAACAAACATCTTTTTGCCGATGTAACAAAGTTTTCTTTAAATATCCCAAAAATGTTTGCTTTTACTTCTATCCCCGGCAAAGATAGCTAAATGAAATTAACCAAGTTGTGTTGTCCCCGTGAACAACATTCCTCAACGCTCAAAGTGCCATTGTTTTGTGCTGTTTATGAATCTTTTATGTGATAAATATACTGTACATGTATAATATTAAAAATACATGATGTAGAAAATGGTTCTACTTGATTAGAAATATAGTTATGTTGTGTTTTCTTTTCATTTAGTTGAATGCACTCACATCCTCTGGAAGTCTGGGATGCTGAAGAGGACTTGCATCACTGAGCTGAGGTAGCAGCTGTTTCCCAGGTTTTTGATGCCAGTGTAACCAGAACCAAACACTGCTTTCAGCTTCATACCAGACTCCTGGATCACCTCCCATTCACTGACCCGCGGCCGGGCGTTATTGTCTGTGTGGTGACCATTTTCTGTCTGGAGTGGGAGAGAGAGAGAGAGAGACCCGTGTGAATCCTTCACAGTGGAGGCCGAGTGTTTTGACTTTGTTTATTTTCGTTTGCTGTAAGCCAAAAAGGAACTCACTCTTTTCTGCATCTGTAACATGTCGATCCCAAAATGTGCCAAATGTTCTGATATGTGCGGGTCCAACACAGCCTCCTCCTCCTCGAATGAGTAGACATCTGAAACCAAAAGATCCGTAAACTAATATGATAGGCCAGACTTGAGATATATAACTTCAGATATCGAATTTAGCCTCAAATTTATATTTGTAACTCTTGGGTCAGCAAGTACATTACACCATGTTCTGTGAGGCAAGGCTATGTTTACCTCAGTGAAACTCTGTGGAGAGTCAGTTTTCAGCCTCATTTTTGATCACAAAATGAGGCTCAAAAATTCAATCCAAGAGCAAATACAAGCTAAAATAAGAAACTCAGTAGTGGATAAAGAGTTTTACTGAAATAGATACTGCATAAATGCTATCCAAAAACACGTAGTTGTGAAATAAATTCACAATAAACTGTAGAAAATTAAGACAGATGAGTTTTTGACTTGTGGCAAATGTTGATCCCAAAAACCATGTACGATCTTGAGTTCTGGTTTCACAAAGGTGTATCAGACCTGCTCCATCTGGTGTGATGGTATCTAGTTTGACAGCCAGGGGGTGGTTGGTCTCTCTGTAGTGCTCCAGGGCATGTCCGTTTCCTCCACTCCCATCAAAGAACCATTTCCCACAGAGCACCGCCCCGTCCGTCAGGTTCAGCCACAGGTTCTCTCTCATTTCACACTTCTGACACTTCCAGCCGCTGTGAGCAAGAATACAGAGATTGCTTTATGAGTCTTTTTTACTTTGAATCTGAATTAAAATATATACCACCAGTCTGCATGCAAACCGTACAACTCATTTTAGTTAAAACAGCAACTGAAGCAAATAACTAACATCACAGGAAAATGCTTCAAAGTGGGTTGTTTTTGCAACAGTTGTGTGGCCACAGGCGATATAAAAGACTGCCTGAGGAGTCAAGCAGTGCTGTGGGGATTAGGTGTTTAGGCAACAGGCAACTTGTTTTGGTTCAACAGCTACTGAAATCCTACATCATTTGTCATCGCTAGTAGCAGAGGATTATTTTCTTTCCTATTCATTTTTATCTCAATAAAGCTTCACTTTCACAAAATGACAGCCGAATAATCACAGAGGAGAAAAATAAATAATAATCTTAAATAGCTCAAATCTGCTGAGAAATATCTGAAATTAAAGTGGATTAAGTTGAAGCGACATAAATCTCGGCACACATACAACTGGAACTTCCCATAAACTGAAGACCCTCACTGTGAGGGTGGATATCCGTCATACCTGGGTGGGATCCTAACCCCGTTGTCCAGCTGTCTGAGACTCCTGGCATGTCTGGATACCTGGATCTCCTCCTCCCAGGATTCAGGCTCCTGTTTCTTGTAGGCTGATGGTGCGTTAAGCACTGCGTCACAGGCGATGGTCACCTGAAAACCAAAGGAAAGAGTAGACAGAGAGTTAAATTCTCAAAGCTACTGTGTGTGAGGCCAAATTAAAACTTTTTCAACTTTCTAACAAGACCCTCAGGGACAAAAAGCATGTTTTTAATAGCACATTTTTCTAAAACAACAGCTAATCTTACATCTGTTAAGCCTTATATTTCTTGTAATTATCCATAATTGTAAGTCACATAACAGCAACACCAAGGGAAAACAGTTAACATACAAGGCTAATCAAGAGCAGGACAGAGCAGCACTCTATCGCTACTGCAGTGCAAAAGCAAACTGAGCGTGGCAGTGTCAAACAAAAAGTGAATATAAGCATGCACAAACACCATGACATGCCAAAAGCGTGACCCTATCACTGTATAAGCTTAGACTGCTCAGACAGATATAAAACAACAGAACAGCGATGCATCTCCTGGACTCCATTGCAAGCAATGACAAACAAAGTCAAAAGTGATTTGTGCACTAGTGGTTCCCCAGACTCTTTTCTTGCCGAGGAGAGAAAAAAAAGTAAATTAAAACTGTAAGGGGAGCTCTTATCCAACACATGGTTAAGTCACGTATTTTGGAAATGCAGGGTTCGTTCTCAGGCTTTCTGCGTCCTCAATCACAAGCCTGCTCAAAGACAGGGGAACCACTGAGTGTAACCTCCCACTAACATGCAGCCAAACACACAGAGCTCATGCAGGAACGACTCACTGACCAAAGCGGGCAACTCCTCAATATTTGGTAAGGGGATCTCGAAGTGGTCTGGAAAAATAACGAGCTTGGCCTCGTCTTCATATTCGTAGTCCTCGCCGTTAAAATCACGGTTTAGCTCTAGATCTACGGGGAAGGAAGTGGACATCCAGTCAGCTGTTTTACACATTACTGACTGACATAACGATACACGTGTTTGTCATGATTGTCTTTATTCTTGTTTTTTTTATGTTGGGTTATTTTCTCCTTTCAAGTGTGAGGTCTCTTCTTTGTCATGTCTCTCATACTGTAATCGATGCTTGGTAGGTTATTGGTTATTGTACTAATAAGGATTAATGGTAACACTTTAAAATAACCATAAATTATAAATGGTAAATAGATGGTTTATTAATGTGTAATCATCATTTAAAAAAAGGATATAGACCAATTATAAATAAATAGTTTATTAATGTAAGTTAATAGTTACTTTACCATTAACAAGCAATGAAATTATGATTAATAATTTTCATTAATTATTAATGGAACATTTATTAAAGGTTTATATAGGGTTTAAATATTGGTTATAAAACATCTAGATTAAATGTGTATTAGTAGCACTTTGTAAATTATTAATATTAAGTTTTTAAACCATCTATAAACATTACTTAGATGGTTATTGTAAAGTTGCAACTGATGTTTGTAATACTTTGTAAATGATTAATAAGTGGTTTATAAACCACCTATAAACATTTCTTAGATGGTTATTGTGAAGTTAGGGTTAGGTTTTTAAAATGGTATCATTTACAATTTATTGATGGTCTAAATGCTATTTATAAATGAAGATCAAACATTAAAAACTGTCTGCTCACCATTTATAAATGGTCTATTTACCATTTATAAGTCATGGCTATTGTAAAGTGTTACCGGATTAATTACTTCCAATGGCATCTTGATTACAGCAGAATGATATCATAAAACGCTGCTGACTCTTGCTTCGAAATAGATCACACAGAACTACATTTAGGAAGTCATCAGCTGACGGTTTTATCACCAGCAACTTATAAAGAGTTACTGAGGAGGACTGAGGACGGCTTCAACACATACTTTTATGAACAACAGCAGCCCAAATATTTTTTGTCAACTCTAAAGAAAAAAATAAGACTCAGTCAATAAATCAAAGTAAACTAATCAAGTGATAAATAAGTTGTTTTCATTACTTTTTTTCAGCAAGTGAGTTCCCTTATCTCTTTTCTCTAAGTTTTATATCTTTACTTTATGAGCTCATTAATGTACAGTTCATCTAAAAACATTAAAAACGTTTATCTGCACTGTTGGGTATCCTGAAAGCATTCTTGACCTTCTTTCAATCAAATAATCTATAAATTGTAATATAATGGAGGAAAAAGACAGGCACCAAAGCCACAATCAGGAACACTTAAAGCACTTTTGCCTAATAATTGCGTTAATAAATTTTATGTCTGTCTATCCAACAATTATTTGACCAATCCCCTGTGCTTTAATCTAAACTAGATCAAACTAAATTTAACCCTTTAAAGTTCTGAAGGTGAAATCAAAAGTGCTTCATGTATTAAATCAACCTCCAAACTAAGTTGTCTGTTTTCCACTCCGGCCTAAACTTGTGTCATGACTCATGAGGATCACAGGTTATCCCTGACATTGTTATTGTGCCCACTGCTTTCATGGTAACGTCTGACGTCAGCACACAAAGGTTTGATTAAATCACTGGTCTGGTATGGAGATGACGGCAGATACACACATCTGCTGTTACATCGAACCTCTAAAATGGAGGACGGGGGCGAGATATCCGAGGAAAGAGCATCTTTGGAAGAGTTTTTGTTTGAGAGTGAGTGAGAGAGAGAGACGGAGCTGCCGCTGGTTTGAGTTTTGACCTGATGTGCAGCAGTCAGATCAGAGACAATAGGTAAAAAAGTCCATTAAAAACTGACTGATGAGAAAACACAAACATTGGTTACACAGTGGGTGTGTGGAAGGAATTCCTCCCCCGCCATGCCAGCAGAGAGGGAGAGGGGGGACGAAAAGGAGGGAGAGTGACACCTGGTTTTTTTCTGAGCAGCGTCAGAGCTGCAGTAGAAGTGTGTCAGCCTAAAGGGAGGATGACAGGTGGTGGCAGCTGAGGGGCAGGCGACAAACCCACCCCTCCCCATGCAGAGGAGGAGGAGGAGAGTAGCAGGCAAGGCTTTGATTTAGAGCAGTTACCAACCACATATACAAATAAACCGGTTATATTTGGAGCTCAGGAGGAGCTGGAGGAAGAGGAGGAGGAGGGGTCTCATCATGGGAAATATCTCACACTTTGAGTAAAGGCCGGCTGGAGGGGCAGCTGGGGGGTCACCGCAGTGTAACAAACAATGACATGTTTAAAATTACAGAGGTGATATTTGATTTGATTTCAACACACGGACTCTAAAAAATAAAGCAACAGCTAAATTGTCATCTTCTTGAAACACTTTTGAACGTATTCATTATATTTTCTACTTTACACAAACACCCCTAAAGTTCAGAGTGAGACTTCTGTTGTGTACTTGGAGGGTGCTATGTAAAGTTACAGATGTCAATATGTTTCTAGCACTCACACTAGAAATATATCACCCCTCTTTACATCTCAGATTCTATTAAGGTAAAAAATAAATAAACATTAAAATTCCTGAAATGTCAATGGCACAACATTTCCACTCATTGAACAAGGGCTAAATTTAAACTGTTTTTTTTTCTTTTGTGTCCTTTGTATCAAAATTTTATATCTCCTCAAATATGAAATAATTTCTGATAAAGTTATAACAAGTGTTTTAAAATGAAATGCTGCACTCTGTTATTATGCAGGGTTTTTACATTACTGCTAGTGTTTTAAATGTGAAATTAATATCCCATATATCCTCACCACATATCTATACAAATATAGCCCATATTAATACATATATAAAGTAGGGTTTAATTACTGTAAAGCATTGTTTTCACATAGAGTTGATTTTACTTCATACATTGTCTATTTTTTGTTATAATCCAACATTTTGAAGTTTCTCTATATTTTTATTTTTATATTTCCCTTTTTTTAACTAGGACCAAAGAATCTATTATTGTTCCTGTTCCTGTCCTAAAATGTGCTAAAGGATGGCAGTAAAACCTTCTTGACTATAACACACAAAACATGTGGTTTCTTTGCTTCAGTCAAAAGTCTGGCCTATACTTTCTTTGTTGCCTGACTGACATAAAAACCTCACTTACCTAGAAACACTTTCCCATTCCTTCGCCTGGGGATGGCGCCTCCTGCTGCTCCTGTGGCTTTCTGAGGGAAACAGGACGGAGGAAATTAAATCAGATCAAAGACCCTTCGCCGTATTAAAAAAAGAAAAATCTTACAACACCTTTGATGATTCTCTTTGTAAAACACTTAAAAGAGCTTTCATGCTCTACAGATGGTTGTCATTTTGTTAGAAATAGATGCTGGACAATCCAGTTGCCAGGTCAGGTTACAGGGCCGGGGGAAACCCCCGACCGTGGCTGGGTCAAAATTAAAGAATGATAAGTAAAGCTGCTATAGTTGCATGTATGATTTGTGGACTTGGAGAGATATCATTTACAGTGGGTTCAACATGTTTTGGCCTGTCTGTGCCTGTCACCCCCCCTCTCTACTTTCCAGACTGGTAGAAAACTCCATATGACAACATAACTTAATCAGATTAAAACTGTTATTTGCCTTGATGCAAACATCAATAAGATAAATGTTCAATAAGATGCACTTTATTAGATCTACTGAAACATGAATCCTGCCAAATTGCTAGCTGGTATCTAAACAACCTAGTGCCCCTGCCTGGCGTCTCATGAATCCTCTTTGGCTCAGATGACTGCTTCCTGTTCACTTTGCAGGGACGGGGGACACAGCGGAAAGCAGACAGACAGACAGACAGAAAGACAGAGAATGCTGACACACTGGAGACCGAATACACTCATGGGAAAGAGACAGCAGACACAGGAGCCTACAGAATATGAGCAGCTGTTTCTGGTCAGAGATAGGCATGGAAATAGCAGCTCTTTACAAAGCAGAGCTTATCTGAGGGCAATTAGAGCCAGAGAGAAAACAAGGCTGCTAAAAATGCTTTGGTTGTTTACATCAACTTTGAGAAAGCCGGCTTCTTCAGAGGGCTGTTTAGAAGAGTGAGTTATAATGAAACAAATATATGGTTGGATGAAATCACAGATAGTAAACTTCACCATAAACTTCAAAATAAAAGTTTTATGAACAGCCCCCTGGCTCAGACTTGACTAATCTTTGAAAAAATCAGGTGCAAGGTTGCTGTTGTTGGCATTACTTCATCGTCCACAAAATACACAATCTGTTGCTTTAAATTTTGTTCATTTACTGCACTTGTATCTTATCCTGTTACAAAAAATAGGCCATTAATCACAGGATATTTGCTCTAAATTTTAAAGGATATTTCCTGAAAAATAAAATTTATTCTTTTAATGCAGTTTTTGAGCTCAATTAATAGTTGTTAACATTAACAGGCTTTAAGTCACTGTTGAACACTTAGATTTGATGTGATCTTTTGTTCAGCTGATGTAGAGTAAACTGAGAAATCGTCTCAGGCAATGAACTACAGTCAATGGCGGACAGTTATGACATCAATTTATTTGAATATGTACTTTATAATAAATATTTAATATGTACTTTATTTGGGGATTTTTTTTACCCAACTACACTTGAAAGAAAAATATCTTATTTTTGACTCCACTACATCTACATGAATCTTTTTTACGTGTCTGGATACTGATGAATTTCCTTTCCTACGATTCAATCCCAGGGATTGTACACTGTTATTGTGTAGTTCTGTGGTTGGTTCTTCAAGTGGCGTTGCTGCTCCTGTACAGTACACGTTCCCATGGTAATGTGTAGTGCAATCACAGAGAAATGTCGCTCATATCAGGCAATTCATTCAACAATCGCTACACCAGAAACAGACATTTTTACACTTGACCATCTATTGGTTTTATATCTTAAGTCCATGTTCAAGGTATACAAAATGAAGAATAATTTACACCACTTCAAATTACTATAGATAATAATCTTAAATCAGGTTGTCTGTTTTTGTGGTAACTTAGCTGCCATTTTTATTCTATGGTTTGTCAAACCCATTATAGTTAAGTGCCACTCTGGAAATCTGCAGCATGTAAAAATAAGATACTAATAAACATAACTTAGCAGCCCTTACAGGAAGGTATACTTGACTGCACTCCTGCATTTAACAATGTACACGGTCCCTTTAAAAATAAAACTAATAGACAGAAGTTTGAAACTGTCAGTTGTTAACCAAGTACTTCAGCTCTTTAACTCAATGATTTGACAGAGCAACTCTCTATTGTATAAATGTAATGCTTCACCAAGAGTAACTTTACTTTGATTCATGTACTAAAGGTGTGCTCTTTGTCCACTGCTGATTATAACTGATCTATTATTGGAATATAAAAGTATTTTTATAGCTGTAACTGGAGTGCTTTGGAGTCCTCTCAGACTACTAATGCTGTGGATTTCCACTTCATGCCGTTTCTTAATTAGATCTATTCAAAATACAAGTGTAAAAACTGTCTCTAATTTTGACATCATTAGCACCGAATTACATTACTCTTTCTAGTAATTTTAGAGGGAATTAGTGGATAAATGGTCATGAATATGGATACAAAGAAACTGGTGTAAAAGATGAGGGTTGTCATATGAGGAGCACAGTAAGGTACAGAGCTGAAAACATATCAAGTGTTAGGCACAAACACTCAAACAGACCTCTGTCTGAAGGTCAGAGTGGTGTGTCTGGTGAAAAAGTTCCTGTCTTTTCCTGATGTAATGTTAGTGAGCAAGCACCCCAGCTCTACGTATATAATTCAATCAACAATACTTATGATCATGGCAATATGATTTTAACAACCTGTGTGCGCCAAATTTGATGTGTGATCCAGACAAATTTAAAATACACAGTGAATCAACATTTAGTGAATGTTTTTTTGTGGAGTCATTAAGGAGAAAAAAAACTCTTACACTAAATTGTGGTTATGAGCAGTTATGTGGATATTCTCAATAGACAGCTTCAGTAAATATCGTCTTTTGGGATGGCTTATCATTATAATTATTACAGTATTTATCTTTTTATGCCAGCTTTCATTGATGGCTGCCCACAGCAAGAGTCATAATGGTGTTAAAATTGCTGCTTTTACAGAAATAATAGTATGTCTGATTTTATTCTGGTGTATTTTTAAGCTTCCAGTGAATCCATGATTTATTTATTCTTTTTTACATTGGTCTTATTTGACTGTTGTTTTATATATTTGCATAATATTCTATGACATTTACCTCAAACACTGCCTATTATGTATTATTGTTAAATTACAAACAGAGTTATAAAGAAATGCTAAATCCATTTTTAAGATGGCTTGCAATTAAAGATAGCTGCGATAAAAGTACAGGTCAGGGGTCAACTTACCTCTTTGACATGTCGCTTGAGGTGCATGTAAACACTTTGTCCAGTTTTGCGATAATGTCTCTCCACATGTTCTCGTCCAAAGCCCAGAAATGTGTTCATACACACATACAACCCTCCTTCTGACTCCTTCAAATCAAAACAAGCAGAAACAGCGGCACAAAGTCAAATACCGTCATCACAACAGCAAATTTCACACAATGGTATCATCAGAAAGTGCACATGATTTCAAAGAAAATTTACTAAGACATTTAGTAGTTAATGGTATCTTTTTCTGGGTTCATTATTTACCATGTTCCTTATGCCTCTCCTGATATACGGCACAAGTCATCGCTTTGTTGTTATAAGTTTAAACTATACATGTGAGTTTTTACAGCAAAAGCAGGATTAGGAAAATCATCCAGAAAAAAAAAGCCAAAAAAGCTTCAAAGTTCCACATTCAGAGGAGTCATTACCCTTGAGAAATGTTTTCTGTACTTTTATTTACACTGGAAAGCACTGCTCTCAAGGACTTAACACAATATTCACGATAGAAATGCTGGTAGGAAATCTGTGCCAAGGATTTGGCGAGCACATTTTCAAATAGGCCTTCTTGTCCACACAGTCTTTGTCTCGCCTCTTGATGAACAGCCAAAAACCTGCTCCAGTACTTTCCCACAGAATCAAAAATCACAGTTTTATGGAGTACATGTCTGCTACTGAGAGCTTGGTTTTAACTGAAAACCAAGTCACATATGACAAGATAGATGTCAGCCAAATATTGTCTTTAAAAAGGGATAAATTTGACTAAATCTAACATTTTCTGTTTTCTGATGCAAGTGCTTCTGTAAAAAGTAAGGAACTCTTTACCTCTAAATACTGCCGATGAGTGGCTGCAGACTTTACACATTTCACTGACTGTACTAAAATGTTACAGCAACATAATTTCTCAAAAATTATGCTCTGTTTATTTCTAACATTCAAAAGATCCACATTATACCAGTGAGGCATACTTCAAGTGTTAAAAAATTCAAACGATAAACCCGTGACTTCTTCAGACCTTTTAACATCACATCCTAAAAACTAACCTAAATCCACAATCAGTGCAGCCCCTGTGAACCCCTGCGATAAACCTTTAAGTGGCCCAGAGTGACATACGAGCTTCAACAGAGCATGGATAAAAATAAACCAGTCCTCAGGCCAACATGATGAACTCCAGACAGCTGAGTCACCTTTAAAAACGGTTACCTCTGAGAAAGTAAATTTTTCTGGTCCTATGAACAAGATGTAAGGGGTGAGATAATGATGAGTAATCTATCTTCATTAGCACAGGAGAAGTTAAACCGCAGAATAAAAACATAAAAATACCCTCTAAAAATTAAACATGACCAAATAAATTAAAATAACTGATGTTTTGATACTAACTCTATTACCTTTATCAGAAAAGAAACACAAAATGTGTCAGAGTAACAATGATAACCTGCTCTGATGTATGGGTCATGAGTTTTCTATGGTTACACTCTCTAGTAACACATAAAGCTCAGTGTGGAGGCCCCAGCACACTAACTTTTGAGTATACAAACACACTTTTAGCTTATACTAGGCAACCACAATGATAGCAAGAATTTTTGCTATGTCATTGTAAGCTCAGTTTTGGAAAATAGTAGTAAATTCAACTACATGTCACTTAAAATGGACTTTTTACATGCTACAAAGGGGGGAAATTACAAACTGACTGCATTTATAAGACTAACTGTGTGTGAAAATTGGAAAATTGTAGTTGAAATTTGTACACCTGACAAATGTTGGAAGACAAATAAAATGTCATGTGGTGTGTGTCCAGTGTACACTCTAATTATTAAGTGACACACAACAGCTGCAGCTAACCTAGCAGAGATGCTTGAGCGTTTCAAACAAATGAAGAGCTCGAAAGCAGGTGTGTTGACATGGGTTTCAGAGGTATTTTCAACTGAACTGGACAGTCTCGCCCTCCTCCCCTGCACAAAGGGAAACCCCTCCACGCCTGTCTCGTGAGATGTAAACAATATGTGAATGATTAATTCGCTTTTAAGTTCACAACCAAAAAGGTAGACACAAAACAACACACACGCATTACACGCTGGCTCGCGGTTGTTGTTTGGTCAAGACGTATCACGTTGTCAGCCTGTCTGCCACGCACATTCACCCCGCAAAACTGTGTCTCGACGCGCGCGCGTTATGTGAATACTTACAGGAGTGTCGAAAGAAAAGGCGCACTCGCTCTTGAAAACCCTGTCTCCTGTCCTGGGCACCCTGATGGTGGGCATGTACGGGACCAGCAGCTCTCCTAGGTCTGTAGCCATCTTCGCATTCCTGCTTCTCGCACCACAGTGCTGCGGGAGCCACCGGAGCAGCGCTGTCAGAGGAGAGGATGCTATTTTTAAAGCTCTCCGTCTCTACATTCCTCCGGCCAGGGGATGTGACGCTAAAAAACATAAAAATAAAATGACAGAGGGGTGGTGTTGGTGGTGGAGGAGGCAGGCTGCCCGCTGCTACACAGGCGGCATTGCATACAGATTGCTCTTGCTCTTTTGTGTTGTTTTTCTCGCTTAAAAGCTTTGACCTGCGCAGATATTACAACGCTGCTGTGAGGCTGTGGCGACAAGGATGTTTTACCAGAAGGGCCCCTCCCACCCCGGAGTATGATTCATAAAGCCACCCACACACACTCCACCATATTTCCCCTCTTTGGGATTGAGGAAAAGTATCATTTTGAGGTTATCATTCTTCACATATTATTCGTAAAAGTTGAAGAGGCATAACACTCACTATGTGCACCGTGCATGAAATCATTATGTGGTCTCTACAACAAAAGGACCCTCGTCTAGATCAATAACAATAATTTACACAGTGCTGCCACCAAGTGGACACTCATGCGAATTACACAAAGCTCCAAATGACTTGCCAAAACGGGCGAATGTTCTACATTAGTGATGGGCACGGCAGTTCTTCTAGATGTACTGAATCACTAAAATCGGTTCACCAAAAAGATTCGTTCAAAAGATTCGTTTAGAATCATTTAGAGGGAGAAGCCTGCGACTCTGACCTCCTGAACTGATACACAGCTGAACAATTCAGGATTCAGTTCGATTCAAAGCTTCTGGGACCGGGAGATGAGAGTGTTTGCCTGTGTTGCTTTGACAAACAGGATTGTAAAAAGTAAGTCATGATGTTTTAAGTGTACTGTCCTATGGTATGCTATTTATCATGTCTGCTCGGTAAATTGGGGTCAGTGAGTGATCCGTTCACTGAACATTTAGAAAATTCAAACTGAACATGCGCCGTTCCTTCGCAAATCACTGCAATGATAGGATGCTGCAGGTTTAATGCACTACTTGTTACATGCTGCTCCTATACAAGTTGTTGTGGTGGCAATTTAGCAGTGAAAAAGAAAAAAAGGTAGTTTTGTTCGACAAAAGTGATTCCAGAGAGTGTAGTTCAATGCGTGATTTGTTCACCAAGTGATTCAGGCGTCGGTGCATGTGGTCCCTTGTTTACCGGCTGCTGGCCTAGCAAAGCTGTTTCTCACTTCAGCTCAACTGAAGTGAGAAACGTACAAATCACTCAAGGAAGTGATTTGGTTCAGTATAGTCACTTGAAAGATTCGGTTATTTTGAACGAATCGTTCGCGAATTAAAAAATACGTTAAATAGATGTCATTTCGACATCGCATTGCGCAGTGGGTAACATCAATGCATCCAGCCCCTTTCCCCGCTTGGACTCTGAAATACAAGCCAATGTGAGTGGAACAATTGGATAGCAACCAAAAAAATGACTTTGGTACTCAAAGAGAAACTGAACACAATTACCATCCCCGACTTCATAAACTGCAGGGTGGTGCCCTGGTGCAGGTAAGGGATCTTCCAATGTGGAAAGGGCAGACAGGCCAACACGTTTATCCTCTGGAACAGACAAGTACATTTCCACTGGACTTTGAGAGGACGCCGGAATACTGCAAGAAATAGCTACATACACAAACTTTTCGAGGAGTTGAGTTGAGTTGCACACAGGGACTGTTGCCTGGATTACAAAGTCTTAAATGACAACCAGTTTGGCCTAAAATTGAAAATAAAACTAAAAATCACCAGAAGACCAAAATATCACAGTATATACAGTATATATACTTTATTACGCAATAAGGGGAAAATGTACAAACAGGAAAACTGATCGGCATGATGCACTGATGACATATTTGTCCAGATTAGTTGTCAGGTTCGGACTTTGGGCTGTAGTCGATGAGCTCCTTGTCAAGGGTCTCCTTTATGAACCAGGGGCCATCCCCCCTCTGCCTCATGTGTCGACGCACTTCCAGCTGAGCCAGTCTGTTCAGGACAAAAACGCAGGGAAATAGTGCAATCTGTTTCTTCCAAAATGTAAAAACAGTCTAATTTGTTCATTTCAAATGAAATAAAACCACTGCATATCTTGCTTCAATCCTAAAAGTCTGTATGTCGGACAGCTGCTTTCTGGTTTATAATCATTAGAACTTGGTGGCTGAATCAAAAAAATATCAGAATAGCACTGACACTCACCTCAAATCTGCCTTTTCTTTCTCTATTTGGATTGCAGCCAGCGCTTTCTCATAGTCCTTCACAGGTGAATCATAGAAGGTCCGTGCAATCCACCTGGTTATGGGACTCTGCAAGGACATAGAAAAGAGATAAAAGACATCACTTTTTTATATAATGGTACATTTTTGAAGACCAAATAAGCAATTATGACTGCTTTTGGCTCTGCCACGAAGCAGGACAGGAACAGACTGCAACTGACTATCAACTGCAGAAAAAATCATTGGGGCCAACCTGCCCACCATCCAGGACATATATCAGTCCAGGGTCAGGAAACAGGAAGGTAGCATCACTGCAGACCCTTCACACACGACACAAACTGTTTAAACTCCTCCCCTCAGATTATGATTCATTTAAGTTTAAATTAAGTGACCAGTTAGTCAGACAATTACTCAAGCTGTGCATACTGTCATGTCCAAGAAAAAAATTATATAAATGCTTAAATCTTTCCCAGGCCAAATTTCATTGGTGACACATCAACAACATACCTTGTAGTACTCCCAGTGCTCAGGTTCATAGTCTTCTGGAATTTCAACCAACTTTGCTTGACCTGTATGACACAATCACCAAAGGTAAGACTCAAAGTGACTTATAACTTTTCACAAAATCAAATATTAAATTGACCAGTATCAAGTAATTCAAACCAAAAATAATAACATAATGATTTCAAGCTCACTTACCAACAAAGCTGTTCACAGCAATGATGGTGACAAGGACTGGTGCGCCCGTCAGAAAGAGGTAGAATCGCTGGGGGGAAAAAAAGGGAGGGGGAGGGGTTATATACAGGACATTTCTGCTGATGAAGACTAGGGTCAATACAAGCCAACAAGTAAGAAATATTTGTTACTGAAATGTTATATAAGTTGGATTTTAAGATTGGATCTTTACTCGACAGAAAAAAACTCAGTTAACTTTCATGTAGCCTTGCATGGTGATATTCTGGCTCCATATAATCAACAATGTTTAGACAGTGTGTAGCTTTTTCCACTGCTAATTTTAAGTTCAATGGCATCTTGAATTTTAACATAAATTATAAATATGATAATGTTATTTTCAAGAGGAATCAAGAGTTGAATCATATTTACATAGTTATGAGGCCTAATTTTTTATCTATAAGGCTTAATGATTTAATTCTTTACTGTCTAAACCTACGGTGGCCGAGAACCCCCACTGTTGCAAATAAAAAAAGTAGTCACAAAGGAAGTTACCGATGCCAGTTCAACTTCATATCAACCCAGGCCCTACATGGCCTAACCAAATGACGCATTGAAAAAGCACAAAGTGAAATTAAGCAATCATCTTTCCACTAACTTCTTTGCTCGTATTCTCGCTGTCATCTTCCGTGGCTGGATCGTCAAACACCACTGCATCATCATAACTGGTCCCCGGCAGCTCACTTCTGTTGTGGCTCATTTTTGCATCCTTTTATTTTTGTTACTTTTCTTTCATTTTTTGGGGGGTCGTTAACTTCCGTTGTGGCTTTTTAAAAAAAATTTTTATCTGCACTTTGTTTTTTTATTTTCAGCAAGCTTTACTTTTTCTTTTGTTGCATTGGTAACTTTTATTGTGAATTCGCTTTTTTCTTATATACAGAAGTGGCAGTTTTCGGCCACCGTACAAACCTGCCAGCTTTGGCTGTAAATAAAGACTGACCGCTTCATAAAAGGTAGTTTTGGGCATCAATTTACTTAGCCACACACCAAATCTAAGCTTCTACAAGTTCTTGATTTGCCCTGTTCACATAATGACCAAGATTTTGATAAAGACCTTACCAACAGACTCAAAAACCTCTTATCATAGTACGAACTGGGTTCAATGTAAAACATCTTCTTTCCACTGCCCAAGCGAACAGCCACTGAAAAACAAAACATGAGACAGTGCAATGACCGGTGACGTTGAATTTTTCAATAAAATTTAACTATTTCATTGTCAAAATATCAAGAAAGTGCGAGTACAAAGCCTGCTTTTTCCTTTTGGTCGGCAGCAGAATGTTACCCGCTAGCTAGCTACTGACAAGCTAACGAGGCTGACACAAGGTCATAGAAGAGTCTGCCACCTTTAGGGACAAATCTATGAACCTTACATCAGTCGGAGTGTCCCTTACCTTTGTCTGGTCTTGAGATTGCTCTGCTAAGCAAATTCGCCGCATTATTCCCTGGTTTCAGAGGACTCAGTCTGGCTGCAAACGCAGCAGCAGACCTGAGGACGCTCATTCCCACCATGTCTACTGTGGGCAGACGGCTCAACAACAACTCTTCTGATTGGTTGATGAAAGAGCGAAGCGGAAACTGCCATGTTCGACAGGGACAAAGATATTAATTTATTTTTCATCCTTCTTCGGTGACATTCTATTTACAACCATGGTGTAAATCTTTAAGTTAACCATTCAATAAAATAAGAATTAAAAAATAGTGCTTGGGAAAAATGCATGACGGGTAATGAGTGAAGGACCAGGGAAAACATGGCGGCGTCCTCTTCAGCAGGACGCGTTTTGACTCTTTGCAACCACTTTAAAAATATCTGCAGGATAACCCCAGCGATAAATGCTCAGAAATGTACTGCCACATTAAGCCAATACCAGTCTCACCTGTACAGGTAAGGGTTGTCGCAAAGACTGAAACACGAGGAATAAGAAACGTTGAAGTTACGATGTTAGTCGCTGACGCGGCTGCTGCTTTTTAGTATTTAAACAGAGACGTTTGTAAAGTCAGGCCATACTGAATCACAACCCCATAAAGTTAAGGTTTGGGAATTTGTTTTTCAGTTGCTGTATCGATTATGTAGAAGATGTTTGATAATGTATTGCGACAGGAAGACGTCTCGCGCTTGTAAAGGTGTTTCGGTTTAAAGTGTGACCCTGTTACCTGGCTCCTGTAAGCACTCTGTATCCACGACAACCAGCGAGACACTTGGCTGAAGTCCGCCAGTTAACAGGGTCACACTTTAAACCGATACACCATTTGAAATGACAATGAATTCAGATGCAGTCAACACTATTAGCCTTGTTTTGAGATGTTTGTATGTATTTCCTAGGGTCAATTCTCCACTCCTGACACAGTCATTATCCAGACCCATCAGCTCTGTGGCTCAATGTCGAGCTCTGCACACCAGCATCAGCAGAAGAGGACTGGACGAGTTCTTTGACCTCCCTGAGAACTGGGGAGAGTCAACTGTAAAGTCAGGTAAAAACACCGATGTACTCTGTGTGTTACTGATGCACTTTAAATGTGCGTAAGACAGTGTGCTGACATCTTTCTGACATTTCATGGCTCTTTAGGCTCATCGTGGACTGCCAAACAACTGAGGGCAAAGAGCAACGAGGAGCTACATTCACTCTGGTACTTATGGTTTAGATGCATTCATTATTCACACTCTTAACACCTGTCATCAGACTTGTATATCACTCTAATTTTCTCCCAGGTATGTGCTATTGAAAGAGAGGAACATGCTACTAACTCTTGAGCAGGAAGCGAAAAGGCAAAGGCTTCAGATGCCAAGTCCAGAAAGACTAAAGAAGGTTGGTATGACTCCAGTGAGATTTCCATCAGTACTATAGCAATAATGAAACACACCTCAGCATGGGATCAGTGTCAGGAAAAACTGCAATGATTGACTCATCTTATTCTGGATTTGGGTAAATCTTATTTTCTCTGCATCCAGGTGGAAAGGTCCATGTATAGACTGGATACGGTGGTGACTGAGAGAGAGACTGCACTGCGTTTACTGCAGACAGGACAAGAAAAAGGCAGACCAGGAGACTGGAGGAGAAATATATTTGGATATGTGTACTGGTGGGTGCAGAGTGGCCATATACTGAGTGTACCAACATATAGGGAAATGCAGCTGTCACATCAGACATCCTGTGGGGTATTTTACCTTGAATAGCTGGTTGTTTACCATGTTCTCCTGAAAATAACTTAAATAACTGGTAGGGTTAAGTTATTGGTGTGGTCAGGCTTTGGAAAGTGCACGTCATATACACGCTTTTCTGCTTATCTCAGGTATCGATTCAAAGAATACGCCATTCCTTGGTTCATGAACACAAGGTACAAGATGAAGCGGTTCTACACCCCCAAGTTTGTTGAGCCACACATAAGGTAAGATATAGAATTTGAAAAAAAAAGTGAGTTTTTTTCGACATAAATAAGTGAACATCTCAAGATTTTAACATTTTTCCAAACTTCTCTGTCCCACAGGCTACGAATCGAGAAGCACCTTCGCATAAGGGCCAAGAAAAGGACATTGGAGAAGGACACACGGGCCAAACTCAAAGAGAAGTTTCCTCAGATGAAAGTTCCTGCATCATGAAACCGGACCAGTTCGTGACTGTTTTTGAAGACTTGGAGCCTGACATCATTTCAGACACAAAACCAGGCGATGGTCATGTGCTTTATGGTCTTTACTTGGCTCATGTCAGTTCAGTTGCAGAGGTCTTTAAACTGTTGTCCTGTTTATATTCTGGGCATATTTATGAAACTCTTATTTGGCCCTTAAGGATAAATGATGCTTCATCACAATTAAATGTTTGGTCACTGTTTTCATACTAAATATTAAACACACCCCATAATCTGAGACGTCTGTTGTGTTGTTTATCCTTATGAGAAATGTTAAAGGTCAAGAGACTCTGTTGCTTTAGAGAACATTAAAGGGCATGTCTGTATAGTTTTAATTATCATATACTGTAATTAAACTTGAACTATTTCCATTTCATATCAAACTTTGAGAAGTAAACAACCACATTCACTTTACAGTGGACTGTGAAATTCTTATTAAAATCATTAATGACACTGTCTATCAAAATGACTTTATTTTTAAAATACCACATGGAGCCAGTAACAAGAAAAAATGAAAATTAAATACAGTTTTATTTCGGCTGACACCCGTACGCTGGGGTGAGGACTGACAGGCCTTTGCCACTGATCTTGCTCTACACACAACAAAAAGCTAATGGACAACATATTCACCTCAAGCTGTAAGGTTCTTAATATGCATAACCCAAACTGACCGTTTTCTGCTGAATACCTTGACTGAGCAAATTTGAGGATTTTTGAATGCATCCCATAGGATCAAAAACCACCACTTTCATGCATGCAGTTACCTCATGGCTTTTAGTCAAAATAAGTGTCTAAATTTGGACAAAATCACATGAAAAGGAGGCTCTCTACGTCCTGAAAGAAACAGACTTTTTAAAGATGAAAGGATTCAACAAAACTCAGATTAAAAGAAATAAGGCAACAGACCAACTGTTAGAGACTAAAACCACCTTTCGTTATCGTGACAGCGTTTACTTTGTTGATGTATCTAATTTTCACAAGAAATCCCAGACAGGCAGCTTAAGGAAAGACTTTTAAAAAACAAATGATACAAAACAAGAGTGACCATCAGTAGGCGTTCCTGAGTCCAGGGTGAGGGGTGAATTACTCATGATGTTGAGCTGTTGGCAAAGACCGTGAGGGAGGGGGTTAGGTGGAAAATCACGGACATTTTCTGTCCACACACTGCTTTCCTCCCTCTTCGTACTCCTGTTTGGAGATCCACATCTGCTGGAAGGTTCCCTGGAAAACACAATAAATGTTATGAAAGACTTAAGAGATAAAATAGAGAGAAGGAGATTCAGAAATTGTGTAAAATTTTGTAGTTTGCAAAATCAAGCCACCATTTGGAGATCAAATTTACGATCAGAGCTGAGAGGTTACACTTCAATAAATGATAGTGAAAGAGTATTTTTCCCTATTAATTTGTTTAATATATCAAAAACAACAGAAAATCCCCAAACAATCTTCTAATAGGAGTGTCATCTTCCATAAAATCACATGCTATAGAGTTCTTAACCTGGATCCCAATACTGTGTCAGAAACAGTTTCATAATATAGAGATTGAAAGAAAAACTTGTATTTAAACACTGATATATTCTGATAATGCAGTTTTAAGTGATGCATGTCCTTACAAGTGATGCGAGGATGGAGCCTCCTATCCAAGCGCTGAACCTGCGTTCCACCGTCGTGTTGTTGGCAATCAGCTTCAGCCTCATGCTCTGCAAATAACAAACAAAACAGAGTGATTTCAGCCAATTTTAGACGCTGCGTAGGTGAACACTTCTAATAGGTCATGATTCCAATTCATAAAAAGCTGAATTTTCAGGTTACCGCATTACTCAGTACAGTAATCTTAATCTGCAGTTGATCATCAACTTCAGCCTAGGAGGACCGCACGGATTTCAACATGTTAGGAGGTAGAATTGTCAACTTACTGGTGGGGTTTTCTGAGAGAGTTCTCTGTTCAGTCGGTCTGTGAAGCCCTGTATGAGTGTGTTTCCTCCAGTCACCACCACACTACCATACAGACCCTGAGAAACAAGGATAAAAAATATATAACATCACTCAGAGACACCACTATGTTACAGCGCACAGATTTTTAATTTGGACTATAAATTAGCCTCAAATTCCCTTTTGGTAACTCAATTGCAAGAATATGTTCATTCACTCATGATTTCTGTGGATTATGTTGATGTGAGTGTCACAGAATAAAACAAAGTCCATCCATATTCATAACATCGTGATAATCACCGGCCGGATATCAATGTCACACATCCCAACACTGGTCGTCACCACATGGCCGACTCCCAACATGGTGTTTCCTGACAAGCCCTGAAGTGATCACAAAAAACAAACATATATTTCACATTAAAGTTACCCAGTAGGATGCACAAAGGAGTATTTGATGATGGAGCAGTTATTATTCAGAACAGTAAATATCATATTTGGCTTTTCTTTTTAACCCTCCCTCTATCTCAACATGTGAGCCCACACACCTTGGCATTTGAGGGATCAAACAGCCCTTCTGGGATCTTCAGCCGCTCAGCTCCAAAGTCACAGTTGTAGCCATTGGGCAGCTCGTAGTGCACTGTGGGCATCTGTGCAGCAACTCTGATTGGAGAGACAAGGTTAAGTATAACAGATATTAAGATGGTGAGAACAGGTAACCACACAAAGAGGGTGAATTTAAAGAAAAAATGTATAAAAGAAGTTGGTTATAATGGTGAATAGAAATCCTTGGTCATGACAGGCTGATACAACACCAAGCTGACTTGACTTTTAAGATATTTAAACTTTAATTAAAGCTCTTACTGTTCATCATATGGGGAGTCTGACACCTGCAGGACAGAAGCCTGGAAGTCCTGGATCACACACTGACAAGAAAAAAGAAAAAAAACCAAATAAAGATAAATTCAACCAAACAAAGTACACGCTAAGTGTTGGACAGAATTACACTCACATTACACATGTAGTTGTGCCACGAGCGGGTGACTTGAGGTAGTTTCTCCTTCTTTTTCCAGCTGGCTGGAGCTCCCTCCCGAACACTGTCCTGTGATGACAAACAAACGCCATGGCAACATTTCCAGGAATGCACTGAGATAACAATAAATCCAAATACCTCAATCAAAACAAACATTAAAACTGTTAAACCATTTTTTTATCTAAGCCGGCAAATATCAGCCTTTTTTATGTTCCTTTTATCCATGACATTTCTTTTTATGTGTTCGTTTATATGTGAAAATAAACATGTAAATGCATGTGTGTTTCTGATATTCAGTCATGGCACAGAGGAATTTTTGTAGCACTTTGTTTTATGACCAAAAAGACTATCCTATTCTATTCTATTCTATTCTATTCTAAGTCACTTGAAACTTTCTTACATCCGTTTTGGATTTTGGTTGAGAAATACCTGCCTAATACTTTTTCAGGATTTCTTTCCATGCACTGTAGCAGCTGAAAAACCCAAAGCTCTTACCTTTGAGGCAATCATATAAGGTGGGATGATTTCAACACTTAATTCCTGGAAAAGCTCTCTGCACTGCATGCTCATGAAGTCTCCAGCCAGGGGAGATTTGACAATTCCTGCAAGAACAGAAAATGAACTAATGACTCAGAAAAAGCAGTAGAGTACATGTTTACAACGTTAACTCAAAAGCCTTTTCAAACATACACAGTTCACTTAGCAGGATAAGAATCATGGAAAAAACAAACTTGATGGTTCATTTTGTTTAGCAACAAAAAGTTGACAAACTAAATGTTTGCAGAACAGCCTGCCTACTTGGCAAGGCTAAGGCACCAGCTCCAACCAGCAGATGGCAACATAAAGTACATTGCTGACATGGAAACCTGCTGTTCCTTTGGGTGGATTGTTCATAAATGGCATGAAATCTGCTGGCAGATTAACTTTAACATTCAGACATAGGCTCACCTTGCTGCAGGACATAACCATCATGAACTGGAATTGCTGTCGTGTGTGTGGCTCCACTGTCCAGAACCAAGCCTGTAGAGCGTCCATTGGCAAAGCTGAAGTGCTCAGAGTTAAAGGAATAAAACACACAAAACACATACAGCCTTATAACTTTAACACTTGAGAGAAACTGTGCATAACCTGCCAGCAATGGAAGAATAAAAAGGCACATCTAAGCTCTATATTCATCTTTTCAATCATGAAAGGAGTAAAGGATACGCAGATAGCACAGCAGATTTGCAGAGGAAGAAGGCAGGAATGTTGTAATGTTCAAACATCAGCTCTGTTAGTTTCTCTCGTTTCGCTCGGGTGTTCCACTGGAGAAAAAAACATAGGAGATCATCAGTAATCACTTTAAATCCGCTCCATTCTTTGAAACAAACTTTTAAGAGGATTCAGATTGACAAGTAAACACCTGTTATCTGCTTGCCATCTTTGTTCAGACTCCAACACACACACAAATGCTAACTTACTGATGCTTCTGACATGAGCACCGGATGCAGGCTGGGTTCAGACTTGAAGTGCATCTTGTAGGTGTGATCCAAAATGGCCTGGAAACTGTCCCAGTCCTCAACTGTAAACCAGGGCAAAGGAGAAAAGAAGGGCTTGTCAGAGGTCAAATCTCCACTGACTCCCAAAGTTTAAATATTGCACGGGTGAGACCAGACAAGTGACATTTATATGTTCTTGGTGTGAGATACTTTCTGCATCTATTGTTCAAATTGCTGTATAACTAGATGTTTCACAAATGTGTATCTGTCTTCATCCTGATCACTGGGCCAGATAGAGGAGAAAATAGAGCAATGACAAGCATTTTTAGATAATAATTTGAGCAGCCGGCACTTCTGTTCCAGGTCAGCCCTCTGAGGGAGTCAGCGGTCCCACAGTGCTGTTCTGCTGCAATTAAGATTAGTGTTGCACTCGTCTCCAAATAGCCTCACAGCCAGACTCTGCTGGACCAGATTCTGATGAGCGTCAGCAGCTAGGTCGGCTAACTAAAGACGCCTATAATGGCTTGTTTCATATCCCGTGTTGCTGACACTCCTGAGCTCAAACATGTTAAATGCGGAGACAACAGAAAAATTGTGGTTGGGTTTGAATACTCTTTTATGGATAAAAATAATTAATTACCAGAATGTACAATAGATCATCTATCACTGTCTGATCACACTTGTGATAAATGCCTCTAATACAGTCATTTCAGTCTATTCTGTAGTCATTGCTCAACCACTTCAACCCAGGACTTGCTCTCTTCACATCAAACATGCACTTTTTAAACACTATATACAACCAGTTAATTTGGGTTAAAACAATTGTTGCATTTATGTGACACTACTTTCCATTCAGTCCTTACTGCTAGGAATATCTTCATCAGTAAAGGCATTATTCTCTGGATTATAATGCTATATTGATCTATTTCCTGAGTCAACACTCACTCATGCCATTCTTGAGTGGAGACATGACCTCCATGTTCTCCCTTGGTACCCTCAACTGGTTGGTATCGATATAATAGGTGGTGCCGCTCTGCTTGCCCTTGTCCCCGTCCGTCTCCATCGGCGTGCTGCCATCCTCTCTGTCGAGGGTCACTCCTATTACCGTGGGGAAGTCAGCCTAAGTCGAGCAAAATGAGAAAACAGTAAAAAATGCTGTACATGTCAAGACACAACCTTGCAGCTCTTGGTTAACCTTTTTCCCCATCAGAGAACAACCCTGAATACAAACAAGAAGAAGAATTTTCCCACTGTTGCAAAATACTGGAGTTTTCAAGTCCAAATGGTCACACAACTGTGCTGTAAGGTTCAAAATTACCCAATTTTATTGTGTACTGATTTGGCTTGCTCAAACTGATTTATCTAAGTAACTCAAGAAAATTGTCATAATGTCTGTTTATATCAATACCAACAGAGATTTCATTATCTGACAGCTTTTATTGCTACTGTTTCCATCAAACCAAGAACTGTCATCACAAAACTAACATGACTATGACTTCATGAAGGCTCGTGTGATTGAGAAGTGATTCTAAATAATAACTGCATAACAGAATTATTGCGTCACAAGTTATTAACAGTATAGTCATTCAGTGTCCATTGTTTCCCTGATCTTTACACTTGTAACCATCATTAAACTCTCCACATAAAGCTCTCGTGGATCTGAACTAAACTAAGTACTTGAGAATGATCTGAACTCAATTCATGCTGTCTCAAGGGTGTCAGGCCTCATTTCTCTGATTGGGGACCCACATAGGATGGATGAAGATGCGCAGAGGAAGAGAGAGAAAAAAAACATATTAATCAGGTCATTTGAGTGATCTACGTACCTTGGGACAGTCTTCTCCTGCGTAGCCAGCTCTAACAGAGTATGAGCCGATGTCGAACACCAAAGCTCCCACCTCATCTGAAGAAATGAGAGAAGTGACGTTTGTATAACTTGACTTGAATTTGATCCTTTTTTTTTCCAACAGTGACAGCAAGGGACATACTGACAAAAAAATGACCAAACTATTGACAACAGACACTGTTAACTTTTGAAAATTAAAGAAAATGTTTGCTTTAAATATTTTCTCAATAATTTCCTCTTTTCTTAACTGATGGTGTTTGTTGTTGTATTTAGCTAATTAAAAAATGTTTATGTTCTGGAGTTATTAGTTGTCATGTAGAACAGGCTGTAGTTTTTAGTTACTGGTACAGCACTCGGCTGTCATACTTTCTCTCCGTTGCTCTTTTAATATTCCCCCTCTTGACTTGTGTCTCAGAATTTCAGCTTGGTAAAGCCGTCCTACTCTGGTATTCTTTCAGGTTCACCGTTACTAGAAAAGTGATTGCAGATGTCAAGCAAGGAAGAGACAAGTGTCTGGGACTATTTTGTATTTTTTTTAAAGAAGCAAATGTGTGCCGCACATGGAACCACTAACATCAGTATGTTCACAATAATATTGGTGCTTAATCCAATAAACTTAGTTAGGTGGGGGTATGACTGACTATTAGATGTTGTATAACATGTCATGTCAGAGTGAAGGATGGCAATCAAATCATTTAATCGCCTTACTTTATTGTTCCTTTTGGTCTCAGCTCAGATCACGTTGGATTCTTTTATGTATTATATATGCTTCTGCTTGTCTGTAAGAGCACTTTTAACCCTAAAACACTATCGCTGGGTGATTTTCACCCGACCAAGCATGTTAACGTGATTTTCATTTGTCTGAGTATCATGGGTCCCGGGGTAGCTTCAGCATTGTCTTTGACATCTTTGAAGGCATATTTGTTTCCCTGATCCAAAACCTGCTTTTTCCTACAGGCACATGTTCGGGTTAGTTTCACCCGACAATAGTGATAGAGGGTAAAGTAGGTCTGCATCCTTCTTCAGGACGTCCACATACATTAGAGCTGAATGTCCTCGCGAACGGTGCCCGTGTGTTGGTTTCCATAGGACCAGCCTGCTGGCCGGGAGCTCCTAATGTCTATGGCAGTGATAGTGTTCTAGGGTTAAAAGCCTTGTTTTTAAATGTGTCATATTAATATCATACATTGTTATCATTAAACAGGCTTTTAGTATACTGGGTTTAAAAAATAGAGAAACTAGTGGTCAAACAGTATAGCTTATCGGTACAGTCAGTTGAGTTTAAGGACTATCACTCAATAATGTCATTACAATGCTCTGAGTTGTTGGATTTAATTATTATATATTACGTGCACACAACCTCTTTCGGTCTAAAATATACGGTCTATCTTATAACTTAGATCCTGTGACATAACTAAGTTCTCTTGCTCCTGTGGTGGGTTAGTGGGCTCCCTCCGTCAGACCCATTCTCATTCATTTCTCAGCAAACGAACTAGCTAACAGCACCGGCGGGTTTAATCTGCATACTTGTTAGAAAAATAAATCAAACTCAACTCTCACCCGACTCAGTGGATGACATAAAGCGTGTATATGTTAACTCTTGAATTAAAATGCTGATAATAACATCTTATAAAAATGATAGCAACACTAGCATAGGTAGCTAACGATCAGGCTGCTCAGAGCTCCAACACGGGACAGCGTGGATAAAAGTTTCTCTTATTTCACTCATTAGATCCCCACTCACCGCCACCGTACACTCCGCCACTCATCCTCTATTTAATCTTCAAAGCAGGTTATTCCAAACGAACCGAGACCGCAGATGGATTGATCACAACAAAGGGAAACTGTTAGCACGGTTCAATCGAACAGAGCAGGCGCCACACTGCGTACAGGCAGCTGACCAATCAGAGTACAGCACAGCATCAATACTTCCGCTTGGGATTTATGACGTAGCGTCTGAGAAAGCGAGTTCTTCCAGGTCGAGGAGTGGACGTGGTCCCTGCGAACTTTCTACCAACGTGAGTGGAAAAGAAATGCTACAAGTAGAATTGGTTAATTTCAATAAGCTTAAAAGTGATTTGCAGACAGTGCAAGTTGAGGCTGTATGACAGGAGAGTGACTGAAGTGTGTGTAAACTGTAGGACCTTGACTCTCGGTCGGTAAGACTGAAGATTGGCTCTGATCTTGGCGACCATGTCACGACGCACCGTCAAAGTACAACAACTACCATGAAAAGATAGTGATTATCATGTATAAAAACAAACACTTACAGCTGCTTTGTGTGCATAGATATTGGCTTACATATTTCTATTTGCGTCATTAATGAATTATGAGTTTGACAGCTTTGTGGTTGTCCAAATTTGCGATTAGTGCGCAGGCGCGGGGGGTGGAGACGCTTTAGTTACTTCTCGTTGGCTACCTGCAAACACAAGACGAGCCCTGGTTGTAAAAATTCATAGATTCTTTATTTTAGGTCTTGAAAAGTTGTTGCAAACAGTTTGAGTCATATAACATATTAATCAATGTTTGCTTTTTAGTTTTCTGATATAAGATTGTGGGATTAACAAATAATTGAGTTTTGCATACTTCATTAAATTAATCCAGTTTTATTGATAACGTCTCATACTAAAGATGCGGTGTGCAAATTCATTTGTTTACAGAGTATGAGCCATAACAAAAAGCTGCTATTTTTATCCAAGCACTATCTAGTTAACACCTGCCGAGTGTCCACAGTTGCTGTGGCATATGTTTGCCAGCACTCACAGCTGATGCAGCTTTTAAAATCAGTCAATTTTGAAATTACAAAGGCAAGTCATAGCAGTAGTATTTAGTGTTAAGGTAATGGAGGTGAAATTGATGAGTTTTAGGGTTAGGGAATGGCTGATGAATGGCTAATTTTGTTAGTCTAAGGCAGGGGTGGGCAATAAGTTTTTACATGAGAAACCCGAACTGTGTTGGAGGGCCGAACCAACAATAATTTCAACTTCAAATCAGGGGGGTTCACACGTACAGAAAAGCAAGCCCAAATAAGCAACTACTAGTTAAAACAAGCTAAAAAAAAGTGCACCCGTGACTCACGAGTTTTACAAGCGACTTCTGAGAGAAACAAGCCTAAAGTCTTTCATAATAAGCGGACTGAGCAACTATAAGGCGTCTACAAATATTTTGCCGATGTTTAAACTTGTCTCTGTTCACAACTGCAGATGTAGGACGTGCATCCAAACGGAAATAAAATAATGGCTAGGTTTTCAAAACAAAAGCAACACACTTGTATAGCATGTTGATAATTTGTTTGACAGACCTCACAAAGGGCCGGACAGGGACATCCAAGGGGCCGGATGTGGCCCTCGGGCCGTAAAATGCCCAGGTCTGGTCTAGGGAATTATCAGGTTTACGTTTCTTAAATGTTAGATACCTGATTTGCTGCATTTGTCTTTAAAGTAATATAATCAAATAAAACAAAAACTTCTCCTAAGGCCCCAAAAATGGTAATGGGTGTTGTTTGCCTTAATCTGAAGTCTAACAAGTTTTCAATATTTCTACAGATAGTAATTAGATAAATTTATAGGTAATATAGTGGAGCTGTAAGTAGTCACTCTCAAAAAAATACAAGCCGAGCGTATCTGATTCTTGCAGTGTGATTTTTCTGTCAATGATTGTTTAAATATGGTGTGAACATTTTTTACTGGCTAAATAAATTTTTAACTTGGTTTACCTCCAGCACCCATGCAGCACTGCCTCACTCTAACCCTTGCCCGGCACAGCAGGCTCATCTTACGAAATAAACTACGGTCGGTCCACTGCCAGCAGTCTGCAGCAATGTCAGGTCTCCTCATCAACCAGCCTAAATATTCCTGGCTAAAAGAGCTCGGCCTGTCAGAAGACAACCCTGGTGTTTACAATGGCAGCTGGGGAGGCAGCGGAGAGGTCATCACTTCATATTGCCCCGCCAACAATGAGCCTATTGCCAGAGTAACCCAGGCTACTATGGCGGAGTATGAAGAAACAGTCCAGAAGACAAAAGAAGCTTGGAAGATTTGGGCGGATATTCCTGCTCCAAAAAGAGGGGAGATTGTGAGGCAGATTGGAGATGCTCTCAGGAAAAAGATCAAAGTCCTCGGCAGCCTGGTGTCCTTGGAAATGGGCAAAATCTACGTTGAAGGAGTTGGAGAGGTTCAGGAATACGTTGATGTCTGTGATTATGCAGTTGGTCTTTCAAGAATGATCGGCGGGCCCATCCTGCCATCAGAAAGACCAGGCCATGCCCTCATTGAGCAGTGGAACCCAGTTGGTTTGGTTGGCATCATCACCGCCTTTAACTTTCCTGTTGCTGTCTATGGCTGGAACAATGCAATTGCTTTGACCTGTGGCAACGTCTGCCTCTGGAAAGGAGCTCCCACTACACCTCTCACAAGTGTTGCAGTTTCCAAGATCGTAGCCGAGGTACTGGAGCAGAACAATCTGCCTGGTGCCATCTGCTCCATGACCTGTGGAGGTGCTGATATTGGTTCTGCCATGGCAAAGGATGAGCGTGTTGATCTGGTGTCTTTCACAGGCAGCACCCACGTCGGCAAGATGGTGGCCATGATGGTTCAGGAAAGGTTTGGTCGTAAACTGCTGGAGCTTGGTGGAAACAACGCCATTATTGTCTTTGAAGATGCCGACCTGAATCTTGTGGTGCCCTCTGCAGTGTTTGCATCAGTGGGAACCGCTGGCCAGCGCTGCACCACAACTAGAAGGCTGATGCTTCATGAGAGTGTTCATGACACAGTGGTGGAGAGGGTCGCAAAGGCCTACAAACAAGTCCGCATTGGTGACCCCTGGGATCCCAGCACTCTATATGGACCTCTGCACACCAAACAAGCTGTGGACCAGTACCTGGCAGCCATTGAGCAGGCCAAGCAGCAGGGAGGCACTCTGGTCTGTGGTGGAAAGGTGATGGATAGACCTGGAAACTACGTGGAGCCGACCATCATCACAGGACTGCCTCATGACGCTCCTATCGTCCACACAGAAACCTTCGTCCCCATACTGTATGTCCTAAAGTTCAAGACAGAAGAGGAGGCATTTGCCTGGAACAACGAGGTTCAGCAGGGCCTGTCAAGTAGCATCTTCACTAAAGATCTTGGTCGGGTTTTCCGCTGGCTGGGGCCGAAAGGATCCGACTGTGGCATCGTGAATGTCAACATTCCCACAAGTGGAGCTGAGATTGGAGGAGCCTTCGGTGGTGAGAAACACACAGGAGGTGGAAGAGAGTCTGGCAGTGACTCATGGAAGCAGTACATGAGGCGCTCCACCTGCACAATAAACTACAGCAAGGATCTTCCTCTGGCCCAGGGAATCAAGTTTGAGTAAAGCCTTAAGGTGTCTGGGTTTTTTTTTTTCAGATATGATGAGCCCAAATAATAATAAAAAAGCAGAATATTTTGGCTTCAGATTGCAGCTGAACAAATACTTTATATTTGTCACTGTGTTTTTGCGTTCAGAAATATCTAAATTCAGACAGAAATGAAAAGTTGGATTTGTTACATTTTTTCTGTCATAACATCTGTCTGTAGTTGGTGAATTTGATACTAATCCTGGTTTTGGAGTCAACTATTTAAAAAAGTTTTTTGTGAAAGGTCAAATATTCTCCCCTGTTATGACTGCCAGCACTTTTCTACAAGCACTTAGGAAGGGAGTGTGAGTGCTAGGTGACTGTATCAGATACTTTGTACTGTATGGAAAAAACAATCTTGCCCTTTATATCAGAATAGTGACTGAGGTGAAAATTATCAATGTGAAGAGACAATCGGAAGTTCATGTAGCACTCCTCGCAGAGAGCTTCTGAATTTTTTCAACAGCATTAACAAAATCTTAAACAGTTCAACTTTATTGGAGGATAGCCACTGATACACTTTTATTGCCTCTAAAATCATAATTATACTGGACTTTGAAACGAGTGCACTCTCTATGAAGGGTCACACTGTGCTTTCCTGTCAATAAAACAATAAATAAAGCAATTCATTTTGATTTGAACTCAGTGTGTCTATTTATTGTCAACTTTTATGGAGATAACCAGAAGAATCGACTGCTGTCAGTTGACTAAGGAGCCAATACTGAACAACCGAGGGGGTAAAACAGTGGAGACTTGTTATTTATTTTTAGATATATAAGACTTCAAATTTATTTTTTCCTTATTAAGAAAAGTAAATCAAAGTGCTTCCTATTGAAATAAGAGCACGATTAAAGCATATAAACACAAAAACAAAGGAAAAAGACAGACAGGGCACTAATATCATAGTCATGAATGAAGCGAGGGTGGGGAACAGTTCATTCCCAAGTCATTCTGGGGTCACTGCAGAAAAAGCATGGTTGTAGCAGAAGAGCTTAGAGTGAACCTCTGCAGGTTACTGGTAAGAGTCTCATATTATTAGGTATACTATTAGGGAAGTGTGAACATCTTTTTATGTTGCAAATCTTGTATCATGAAACAAAAATACACATTTTAACCCACATAAACCTAAATTTCAATAGACCATTTCCAAATTGGGTCAAACATTACAACATTAACACTAGACTGGATTCAATTAATAATAATGATTGATGGCATGGATTTGCAAGACAATGTTCCAAAGAGGGAGATAACATTTCACCACCAGGTGTTATTTAAATAGAGCGATGATTGGCATTTTGAAATAATCTGCATCAAATCAGGAATGGCCCTCACAAGACCTATATATCCTTTACTTTTTCTGGATGAAAAGCAATTTTCTCATCAGCTGTTCACACCATCTCAAATCTTAAACAGTCACTAGTGTTTTGATTAAAATTCTTTTTTTTTTTGTAGGTTAATACAGTTCAGTGTTGACATAAATATCAGCTGTTTTCTTAACTCTTTAGCATAACCCAATATCTTTGTCTTTTCATTGATTTATCAAACATTTGACCAACATCTAAAACATCTCACTGTCTAGGATGCCTAAGTGTATTTAATTTTGATGTGCATGAATTAATCAGTACATTAATTTGTACATTTTTATATACCGTCTTTTTTATCTTAATATTTACCCTAGAATTATATACATACTATTTTTCTTTCTGAATAATTACAGATTACTTGACAGAGATCTAATTCCCCATTGATAATATTATATATCTTAGTGATATTTTTCAATTTACATTTATATGATGGCATGACAGAAATAAATTCTGTCCCTTTAATAGAAATACTACTCCATCTCCCATCCTCTGTGCCCCCCCATATGCTCCCCCTCCCACTCAGCTGCTCTCTGCCTCATACTCCAGCTCTGTCTCTCTCTTCATTCACTGCTCCTCCTCCAGCATCCACACACACTCGAAGCAGAGAGGAAGAACCGAAACCACAGCACTCTGTACGACTCATAATCCATGCTGTTTAGGACATATGCAGAAAACGCCCACTTCCTCTGCTACTCATCTGCGCTGGAAAAAGGTAGAAGATTCGAATTTCTGTGGAATTTTTGTGAGCGTGAATGTTGTGTGTTTCCACTGCCACAAGTTTGATCTGATCTATATTTTGGTAAGATGTGCTTCTGGGAAAAGGGCATGAAGTTTTATTATATGCACCAGAAGTATGATTATGATTTAACCAGAGGCAGGTGTTGAGTTGAAACTTGGCAAATCCCCCACTGCAAAATGAACAGTGAAAACACTTTGGGTTTTTTGGTTGTGAGATTGTCAAACGGATCTGGAGACCAAACACTACTCTCTGTGTATGGCTGTCTGGCAGCTGGGAGGTAATACCATGATCTTATCTCATTTTTAAACCTGTGGTGCACCAAAATGTCAAGTCAAAATAATTGTGAGCTCATGTTTATAAATTAATGATCATCTGGTGTCGTAGTGTTGCAGCAGCATTGGCAGCCATTTGAAAAAGGATGGCATTAGCACATCAGGGTTGTTCCTCACTTCCTTTATTAGTACTTCTCCCATATGTAGACTTGTGTGATTCACCTCTTGGGAAACTCAGAGCATGTTAGTGCTCTGAGTTTGTGTTAAGCTTTGCGTTGCTTGTTGCAACCCTGATTTACAGAAGTGTCTGGGATTCCCCTGCACTGAAACACTCTCACTTCTTCTCCTTGCACATTTTCTCTAAAGCTTCTCCCTCACTCAAAAGGTTCAAGCTTTAGGCTCGCTCTTTCCGTAGTTCATTTACTCCTTGGACAGTTTACACCTGGAAAAGATTTGATTTAGAACAAAAACCATTTACAGATTTTTTTGACAGCTGTAACATTGGTGATGCTGCTTTACTGGATATTCGTATTATATATGTACAATATGTAATTATGGAATGCTGTATGCCTCAAAGATAGAGGTCTATATTATACCGCCCTCTAAGGTTTTAGTTAGATGATTTGAATACCTGATTTGGCTGTATTGGTGATTTTGAAGTATTGTTGAATGTTATATCAGTATTTTTACCCACATGGATACCATGCCAGTCCCCTGCATGCTCCTTCTTCTCTGCTGTTGGTGCTCTGATTGTGGATAGCGTGACTCCAACACAGCATGAGAGGCATTATCAGAGAAATGATGAGGAGGGCTCTTCAGCAAGCTGCAACTGTGACAGTCTCTCAGAGGCCAAAGACGGCATTGAGATTAGACAAGAACATGACACAGGCAGGGATAGAGTAAACTGCTGGTAGTTACACATGACCAACAAAGGATCTACTTGGTGGTTAAAGCTGATGTTCCCCACCTCTCTTCTTTGGTTTACATCGGGTAATATGCAGTGAAGATGGCTGTATTTTCAGCATAGCAGACGAAGGTTTATTCAGATTAAAACATCTCAGCACAACAGCATAGACACAAAATGGCACTGCATTTCAGTCCAGTGAAAAAGACCACAATGTGTCATTTGTAGAGATAGTCCATCAGCAGGGAGGATCATTTAAACTGGATCAGTCAAGTCAAAACTCTGCCAGTCAGGAAGTAAAACCATGACAAGTGTCGACACCTATTTTCCTCATTACACAGAGAGGAAGAAAGAGAGGAAGAAGAGGTGGAGAGCCCAGCGATACTCGCATATTTTAAGTCACTTTGTGCTCTTCAAGAGGGCCCTTTTTTTTCAATAATCCATTATGCATAGCAGCTCTGGCTCTCCCTGGTATTTCTCCTACCTTCTTGACGTCAGTTGCCATTTGTGAGGGTTACCCTGGCAACGGCCTGCCTCCCCGGGAGATGTCTGGTGGATAAGACGGCCCTGATAAAGCCTTTTAAGGTTCTACTGTTGCTACACCTCTTAATTGCTTTTGATGAAGTAGAAATATTACATGGAGGTCATCGAGGTGTGTTGCCACAAGGGCAAAAAAAAAAAAAAAAGTGGAACCTACAGATAAAAATAGATATAAATAGGCAACAAGATGCTGCTCGAGATTGACATCCCATTATCTCCACTTGATTTGATCACCCACATATTGGGCTCGTTTCAGAGCAGTCCTGTGAAATTGAATCGGCCATGATAGATATATTTTTGGCCTTTTTTCTCTCTCAATTTTTGTGCTGCACAAGAGACACGTGAACAAACAATTTTAATACTGTGACAACACATTGGAAACATGTAAATCCTGATGGAGGACAACACTGACTCTGACGTCTCTGTAAAATCAATACAAGAAATAACAAAATATTATGCAAAGATCAAATATCACAAAAGTTATTTTGTAACCCATGAAACCCTAAAACCCACCGCCATGCAAACTTGTCCACGCACATAACTAAGGTTTATGGTGCATTCAAATAATTGTTTCCTCTGACGCCATTGTTGTCTGGAATCCATGCAAACACTGGTTGATAAACAGCAGGATTAAACATACAAATGCAAACCAGTTGTTAGTTTTGTGCCTTTTTACGGTGTAATGAATGATCACTATGAGGCTGTTTGTTATTATTCCTGGGACCTGAAACCACCCTCACATTCAAATTATTTCACTCAGCTGTCTGACTGTAACAGTACTTTCAGCAGAATTTGCATTGATGCAAAAATGTCTCATACAAGCCATGATACAGTTGAGATACTGTATGTGATACTTGTTCCAGGTTCCAGAGGCTATTAATAGCATCACCAACATGTGTGTCTTTCTTTTTTTTCAGATACCAGGCGATTGGTGTGCTATTTTTATTGTGTCAATTTGCTCCCTCCCTCTCTTTTCAGTTGCCAAGCAATGGGGCCTAGGGACCTGATTGGCCAAGGATGTGCCTTTGGACACTTTGACTCTGGTTTCTTTTCAGATGGCAAATTTTTTTCAGTCTTTTAGCTTGCCAAGAGTTGACTAATTATTTTGATAATTTATACTTGAAATTAGGTGTTCCTAATGTAGAGTGAGAAAAAAAAGGCAGTGAAAAATTGGCCGCTAGAAATAAGGGTATGACTGGATTTTTTTGTTGTCGTTTTGTCATGTCATCTTAAAAAAAAAAGATGAAAAGAACCTGTAAAAGTCATTTGTAAAGACTGTTAGATAAAAAACTGTTTTGAGGTAACAGTAATGGGGTTTCTGTCATGCTAATCCTAATCCTAATAATGTGTTTAGAGGGGGAAACGGTTTGACACACCTAAACTACTGCTCTCTATGTGTGTGTGTGTGTGTGTGTGTGTGTGTGTGTGTGTGTGTGTGTGTGTGTGTGTGTGTGTGTGTGTGTGTGTGTGTGTGTGTGTGTGTGTGTGTGTGTGTGTGTGTTTGAATTCAATTAGACTTAATCTAACCCCATGCCACTCCAAAAGGAAACCAAGGGCTGGGCAACTTTCATCTTCCCTCCTCTGATTGTGGCTCGTGCAGAGATATGGAAAAGCCTATCCCACTGCTCCCTTTCATTGGCCACATTAAAAATTCATCCTGTCCTAATGGAGAGAGAGATCCTTTTCAATGAGCCCAATACAGACCAACTGGTGTGCCAGGGTGACACTTGGCACAGCTGTCTTCTGGCAAAATGCAAACCTCACAGCTTCAAGTTTTGATTTCGGGCGGCTTTTTAAATGTTAATTTACCATCACTATTTCATCATATAGGTAGAAACCAAATAACTTAATGCTGCTGTCAGGTTAAAGAAAGTCACAACTGTAAACAGAGTAACTTAATAGCCATACAGCTCATTCTTCATATTCAGCTTTTTCAGTCTCTCTGTGAACTCAGGGCTCTTCTGGTCTAATTCAACATGTTGGTAGTGTGTAGACTACACCAAAAAGAGGATTTTATAAAACCTATAGAGTGGCTCTCAAAATCTAGGCTACAGTCCTTCATAATCACTACTACTACTACCACTACAACCACCACGGGTTTTACAGGTCTTATATTTGTTTCCTGTATCCCATTCTGTTCCTTTTTGTTGAGGGGGCTGACAGACGGTACCATTCTGGCGGAAGGTTGCACAATCGATTTCAGCCATGTTAAAAAAATCTTAAAGTGCGTTTAACATGATTGTTTTTACAAGTACCGACAAAAATACGTCAAGTTCGACGAAGAGCTGGTATTTTGTGTTTCGTTATGAGGTTTTAAAATGAAAATGAAATCTCCACTCACAACTGCGCACCCCTCAGCGTAGGCTGTTGCCATGTTCCCACTTTCATGGGTGTGGTGATTAGCTTGCTTGGTGAAAATTTTTAGTCTAATCCGACCCGTGTTGCGCTCGCTCGTGCCCTATTAAACCGATTTAATTGCTTTAAAATTAAGACCTCTCTCTCTATGATTCCTCTCACAGCTGGGAGCATGGTTGTCGTGTGAAGACATACCGGTGTGACACGGATTAGAAGGACAGACAGAGCCCAAAAGCCTGTTTCAGGTAAGGACGTGAAGTCTTGTCTTGATATTTTGATGGCATTAACGCTATTTCCTGCTTTACTCCCGACGGTGTTATTTTGTTTAACGCAGTGAGTGAATGCCAAGATATGTGTAAGTTTGACGAATTATTGCTTCCCTGAGCAGCTCTGTGAGCACTGTTGCCTGTCTACTATTACCACAATGGTGTTTTTTTTACTCTCTAAGCTGAAAATTCACTGCTAATCAAACGCGGCCTTTTACTGGCTGTCAAACGACTCTCAGGCGGAACTAACGTCAAATAAAACCTTTACACGTAAACACATATTAATATCCCCAAATTTCATACAACAAGTGGCCCATTTGAGCTCGCATATAAGCATGTTTATCCTGTCGTTTTCTTGTTAAATACACAGTAGCCTACATGTCAGTCCTCTATAACCCAAGCGGCAACTGGTGCCGTGACGGAGCGCGCGGCTCGTGCAGTTTGTTGCTTGTAACAGGAAACACTCTCGACTCTGATCAATTCATAAAAACTGTTTCTACATGATCTATTTATGCGTCTACATGTAATGTAAGCAGGTGGTTTCTGTACATGTGTTCTGTGTTGATAATGCAGACTTTGAATTTTAAGTTTGTACAAGTCTTTCATGTAGCCTGTGTTATCATGTTCGTTCAGAAATGGGTATTACCAACCTGAAGTTTTAGTAGTTTTGCTGTTGAAACAGTCATCTAAATGCCAATTTATTTAAATTTCATAGGGTTGTAGTTGGATGCTTGATTTATTTTGTATTTAAGACTTTAACACCTAAGTGGGTTTGATAGGCAAAAGGATATTATTAATTATAAAGGAGGTATAGCCAGATAATAGATAGATAGATATACTTTATTGATCCCAAACTGGGAAATTCCTGTGTTACAGCAGCAATAAAAACACAAAATAAAATTAAATATAAGAAGTATGTACAATACAGACTAAATATACTAAATATATACAATAAATACAGACTACATATACTAAATATCCTGAGAGAAAAAAGTGAGATATGAAAAAAGTGGGCAATCCACTGGTAGTACTGGTAGTACTAATACTAGCACTAATAATATCAGTTAAACTATATAGTGGAGAGAATCTAGTATTAAAGTCTCTCCTTAAATAGGTTGTACAGTTCTTTATTTTATAATATAGAGTGATATAATCAAGTAAATTGTATTGTTCTGTTTAAAAACTGCTTGCAAAAATGGTACATGGTCATGTACATATAACCTGAGTTTAAGAGAAGTAGCCTATGCTTTTTTATCAGGTCAAAAGAGCGGGATTATTTGTACCTTTTAAACAACTCTATCAGGTACAAAATAATAAAAAAAAAAATTAACATTTACATAACATTTAAAATAAATTTTGTATATTCAGACTATCTTTTAGGTCAGCATTTATTGCTCATTTATTTGGCTACAATCGAAAAACTCATGTTTTGGTCTGCCAAATATGAGAAATTGTTGCATATTGTTGTATATTGGTTTATAAGAGGTGTGAGACATACAAAAGGAACATAGAGGATTGTTTGTCTGGACTTAAAATTGAATTTATCTGGATAGTATCTGAAACATTGCGTTGTATTGTTAATTAATAAACCTGTATCTGACCTCAGAAAAACTGACCTTTGAGTATGGTTAAATAACACCTGTCTTTATAGCTTAAACAATTATAGACTAGCAGGTAATGTTGAACATGAGGCATGGCTTACTTTGGTATCTGTAACAGGTTAGACTCAGTCAAATACTTTATCTACTTTGTAGTGGATAGTAGTTTATTTATGTTTTGGTGTGGCTTTAATACCTGCATTTTTGTTCTGTCTTCCTGTTGTGCTTTGTAATAATAGCCAAAGAGAGATTTTTTCTTATTTTCTTCTGGACTCAACCAAAACAACACCCTGTTGGCCCAGTGATTTTGTAAATTTAGATATTTTCAAATCAGTTCCTTATTTGTAGTTACCTTAACATACAAACACGTTAGCTAAACATAATGCTGACAATAAGGAAGAAACCTGGCCTCCTTACCTCGCTGGAATCTCACCAAGTATTTCCTCCATTCCCTGAATGTTTTGAATAATCAGCTGGTTACCTGAACAAGTTAACACCTGGTGGAGCTGCCCTGCTGCATCCACTTTTCACTTTCTCACACAAAGCTGAGTGTGGTGAGTTGCCTCGTCATTTTTACTGGTCTACATCCAGAACAAATACTCATGCCTTCTGAGATTGTCTTTCAAATGAAGAGAATGAGTTTAGAGATTTTAACAGGATGTAAAATCAATTATCTAGAATTTGCTGCATCATGTTCTTTTTTTAGAACTGTATGTCACAGATAAACAAGATGGATAGATGGTATAGAAGTCATTTTTATATCAAAGTGAAATAAAAAATGTCAGTATTGGTAGCTTTTGCCTCTTAGATAATACTTTTTATAATGCGTCAGATACATGTTAACATTTTATGACACAGCTGGTCTAAACTGGAGGGAAAAAAGCAGGTTTACTGTCAATCTCAGTCCAAAAATTGCAAACATAAAGTAATGTTTGGTTCAGATTGCCTTGAAATTCAAAATCTCATAACTGTATTTCAAAAATAAGGATAAATGTGTCCAGCTTTTACAACATGCTTGTGATAATGATTAATGATGTATTCACAGCTGGCTATGTCACAAGAACTTGTTCAGACCTGGCTCTTAATAATGTCAATTCCTCAACTTCCTGACTATTTCATGTTGTTGGGCCCCTGTGGCTCTGGGTGCAGCTGCACTGCCTGCACCACCTGCTGCTCTGTTCACCAGTAGATCATGGTAGTGGCAGATGTGACTGACTTTTAACTGTAAAGCTGTTTTCAGACATGCACTCTGGAAAATCTCAAGGGCTCTAAGTGACCCAGCAGCAGCAGCAATAGATGAAGAAAAAGCTCTCAGTTTCAAATTCAAGTAAAATAGGTATTAAATAATCTGAGGAGGATCTTTTTACACAAACTGAGTTAGCAGGGAGTCACGCTAAAAGGACAGTGTCTTCCGTATTCAATACATTGTGACCCAAGCTCGATTGACAATTATGGCAGTGATGTTGGTACGCAAAGGTAAAGCTGATCTTGCTTTGTGTCTCTTTTTTGTGGGCGGTTCAAGACTAAAAGTAAAAGTTAACACATTTCCTGTGCAATTTTACAGTCATTGTTAAATTAGATTCAATTCTATGTGATGAAAATGTGTAATGACAGACCACAGCAAACACACCAATAAGCTAGATTTTAAAAAGTACAAATATGAAAGTGCTTGTAATACCACCCTCTTCTAACAGAGCCACTACTGATGATCGGTTTCTTCCTTAACGAACCTCATTATCTTCCTGATTCATTACAGTTTTCATGGTAAATAAATAACAGTTAATGATGAAAAAAAATTTGTCATAATATTTGGAGTCCTGACTGTCATCTACAGAGCGCTCATTAGTTTTGACCAAATATTTTTAATTGATTAACAGAAGGCTGAGGAAAACATCATATTTAGATTCGCAGTGTTGTTTTCGTTGACGAAAATATTTCGTAAACGTCATCGTCAATTAAAACAACACTGCAGAATAAATGTTAAGCGTTTGACTGACGAAATGCTCATGAATTTTGGAACTCTGTTCGTCGTCCACCACTTACGTTTTCGTCTAGTCTCATCAACGTAAACGCACATTCGTCTCGTCACATTTTAGTCATCTAAGAGTTATGTTTAGCTCGTCAACGTCACGTCTTCGTCGATGGGAAAAAAAAGGGCCGTTGACGGAATATTTTTGTCACCGAAAACAACCAGTGTTGTTTTCGTTGACGATGACGTTGACGACATGTTTTCGTCAACATCATCGTCAACGAAAACAACACTGGTTATTCGTAATTCAACTATTTGCACCAACCACCTGCCTGTCCTCCAGGCTGCGTACAAACTTTTAAAGATGTATTTTTGTATACGTTTCTAGCTAGATTATCTTCATATAGCTTTGAAGAAAAAGAAATCCTTTTGTGTGATAATTTGGTGTTGCTTTAACAAACCCTCTTAGTGAGAACTTTATTCACTACTATTCATAATTTAAGTATGGTGCTCGTACTAAAATGGTGAACTGATAAATGTGTAATGAATTGTCTCAGAGATAGACGCATCATTCAACCAGGGCTATGACTAATGTATAAACTCTTCTGGTGAGACTTTGCCAATGTAGGACAAACATGGAATGGAAGTCTTTTTATTAAATGTGAAGGGGTTTTATTTTGGTTCATCTAAGTCTATTTCTGCCAAAACTTTAATGCACAGCCTAACAGTTGCGATGCAAAAATCGACAGTGGGTGTATTTGTATGCGTAAATCTGTAGGTTTGTTAAGTAGATTTGTTGGCAAAAATTATTCATTCACTTAATAATTTACAGAACATATAGAGCCAAAAGCACAGCCTGGGGTGGCTCGGAAACCATGTCATCACATACTTTTTCCTGCACACCACACCCCAACTCTATTATTTATTTCTTGTTCTTCATAATTTTCAGTTGTACTGTCAGGCTGTCATGTTTTTACTCTGGGAAGACAGGACAGCATCTCGCTGCTCACTCCCTCCCGTTCCCAGGAAGTAGGAGTGGGTAATGACATGCTAGAAAAGGGGCTGCGAGCTGGACTTGAACCTGAGCCGCCTCTGTATATGTGGCGTTCAACTTAGCCATCTGGCCAACTTCATTGTTATAAATATACTCTCTAGAGCACAGTGAGCAAAAAAAAAAAATCAGCTGATCAGATATTGTGCTACACTAAAATTGCCTGACCACGTGTGGTATTCATTATGATTGTCGTTGAGAAGTGAGCCCTCTGGGTATCTCCGTATAGTCAGCCTGAAAACAAAACAGCAAGTTAGTTAGTTGTCATTTGAAATCAGTGAACTTTTTGGTATTGGTGTCAACAATCCAATGTTGATGATTCTATTTTTATGCATCTCTGTTACATCCTGTCTGGGTTAGGGTTAGACGGGGGAGCTTGAGCATGAGGCTGAACTTATGAGATGCGTGTATGGGTGGTTGGTTGTTTAATGTCAATAAGGCCGAAGCAATAATTACCTCCTATCACCAGTTTCAGAAACTCAACTATGGTGGTGCCAAGCAGCACTATCTTCTTTAGCTGGTAGCCTCATACTAAACAATAGGCAGCTCCAAACACACAGCTCTGTCTTTGTTGCCCCTCATATTGGCCTGGGCTGCGGGCTTAGCCGGCTCGCTACATGACTCCATTCACACAAATGGAGAAAAAATGCACACACACATTCACAAAACTGCTCACTTTTGTTTCTCACTATGAACTGTTGAAGGAACTGAACTTGTTGAGTGGACTATTAGTGGCTGCTTTCTATAGCTGTGGTAATGTGGTTGATAACTTACGCAGAAATCAGTTCTAAATGAGTAATATCTGAAACTCACGTTTAAAAAAAGATAACTTAAGTAACACTTTAGCATATATCACTGTTAAAGCACTCTGAAAATCTGAGCCGTCAGTCTCATTCTCACTCATCATGTGCGTCCTGTTTTTCAGGTGTGAAGTTCCATCATACCTGCACTATTTTTCACCTCCTCCACCTTGGATGTGTCCCTGCTGCAACACACCTGATTCAAATGATGAGCTCGTTATTAAGCCATTACAGAGCTTGATAACGAGCTGATCATTTGAATCAGGTGTGTTGGCGCAGGGAAACATTTAAAACATGTTTAGATTTAAAATATTTGACTGAACATTGAAGGCCGTATCAACTGTTAAAGTAGTCCATGAGGGGCTTTTGTGTGACGTGGCAGAGTTTATTCAGTACAATGGATCCATGGCAGTCATCGGGCAGCACAACATCACAGGCAGCTGATACCGAGGGCCTCTCCTCAGGAAGGTTGCGTCAGTAAGAGCGGAGGGTGGCGTCACTCCCGGGCAGCTGAGAGCATTGTTACGCTCCCTGTCCCTGATGCATCGTTACTGTCAAACATCTCTTTGGCGATGAGATGAGCGTCCAAGAGGAGCAGTTAGTGAGGCAAAAAAACTCACTGTGAATCTACAGGGGGATTTTCCTTACATGTTCAATAGCTTAAAAGAAACTCAAAGCAGCCTGAACATCAAATTTATTATTAGTCGTCTTAATTATTTGCAGTGTAAGTGATTTCTTTTTGTGTGTTGGGTTAATAACCGGGCTTTAACTGCTTCAAAAATGAGGCTTGAAGCACAAACAACCTCCTCCTTTCTATTAATATGATTTCCTGTAGAGAGGAAGGACTGTACTCTAATTGCTGAATTATAGAAAATGGGACTGAAAATTTAATCTCTGAGGGTGAGACTTCAGCAGCAGACTGGAATACAGCCCGTCAAATGAAGTGGGGGGTTGCGGGGGCGTGGTCCAAACATTTCTGAGGAGTGTCTAAGTGCGTTGTGACCCACATTCACACTCCCCAAGGTAAGGGAAGTGGCAGTCTGCATATGTTAATGCACACGCACAGAAATGCATACATATGCGTGCAAACAGGTGCTCAATCCGGCTCGCTCAATGTAGCCATTTTGATACAAATGCTCACACACAATAGACACGCAGTTGTAAATGTACATACGTTTTTCTTTGTTATCATATATTGTCAGTGAAACCAGATTTATCGACAGTACTTACACACACACACACACACACACATATTTGAGGCTCTTTTTGGGCGGGCCAAGCAAACAGCGCAATGCAACAACACAAAAGGCTGATTGAGTGAGGAAAGGTCAGAGCCTGGCTCAGATGGCCTTTTGAACCAGACTGGGGGTGTTTGAAGAGCCAGGACACCCTCGGAGCCCCCACCCAGCCCCACCCTTTGCAGCACCCTCCTTTGGTCTGAACCCATACAGGATACCTGTGTTTGTCTGATAGAGTTCCTATCCTTCGCTCTCTGTCTGCCCGCTGAACTCGCAGTATTTCTCTTTCTCTGTCTTGCAGGTGGTGAAGCCTGTGTGCGTGTGAGAGTGTGCGGGTGTGTGAGGGCGTGCGTGCGTGTGTGCGTGTTTGCAGGCACGTGTGTTTTTCCCGGCCCTGTCAGGATTTGGTGCGGAGCGTGGCCTGAACACATCACAGAAGGACAATGAGCGAGCTGGAACAGTTGCGGCAGGAAGCCGAGCAACTACGCAACCAGATCCGGGTAGAGCACAAATTTACACATTTGTTTACGCTGACGTGTGGGTGTGTGGGTGGGTTGTATATGTGTTTGAACATCCCGTGTGTGCCGCTGTGTGTCAACCAGAGGGTTTGATTTACACAACTCCAAAGGACACACTGACCCAATGTGAATATTCTTGTCAATCAGTCACTTTTTTAGAAATGAAACTGTGGAAGCTGAGGTTATTATTATTTTGTAACAACTGAAAGATTCAGTTTCCTAATCACTTTTGGGATGTGTTTAGACGCTCATTTTGAAACTGTTTGTATCAGTTATTTTTGTAGGATAGTCTTATTTTTTGTGCTATTTTTTACGTGTTTGTGCAATAATTACATTTTCCTTTGCAGTAAGTCAAAAACTTCAAATTTGTGTATATTCAAAGGAGTTTCTAAGTTTTTTTCTTTTTTTGCAGGATGCCCGGAAAGCCTGCAGCGACTCAACTCTGTCACAGGTAAGATTTATTGTGTAAACAATAAGTGATGTATTGCTTCTATTTACCCGCAGTTGTAAAAACGAGCAGTATCTGTACAAGCAGAAAGGAAAGGACTGTTATAGACTTTGAAATGACGTGAACAACCTAAGGATTTCTAATATCAGCTTTGAACAGAGGTCCTCAGACAGCTAAATACATTCAATCTGACATCATGAATCAAACACCAGCTTGGTAACTTGTTAGATTGTTGGTTCAATTCTGTTGTAATTTCAGCCTCATGTCGACAGATCGGAAGGCAGAAAGCTGTAACTTCACTCCCTTCAGTGTAAATCAGTTGAAAATCAAAGCAGAAGTGTCAAAGCAGACATTTGTCTTCCTGCCCAGTACTCATCCTCAGCCTGTCTGTGTTTACAAACATAAGTTATCACATGATTCATAAAAATATCCCTACACACATTATTGTCCTTTGAGTTGATATTTGCTCCTTTTTGCCGCCTCTATTAGTGTGCGCTGTACACTGATGTATATGTCTGTTTGTGTGTTTGTGGTGATGACGGTTTAAAATCAGAATCAGAATTGGTCATTACACTTGCTCTTGAAAATACAGTATCAATAGAAGGAGAATAGAAGTAGGAAAGAAATTAGAAGAAAAAAAAAGAAATGGCAACGGTTTGTACAAAAAGGCCTCGAGTGTGGCTGCTGATTCTTCTTCCTGTGTTTTGGCAGATCACAGCTGGTCTGGACTCGGTGGGCCGGATACAGATGCGGACACGACGCACTCTCAGGGGCCACCTGGCCAAGATCTATGCAATGCACTGGGGGAGCGACTCCAGGTAGTTTATTTACTTTACGGTCTGGAAATAATTATTTTTATTCACAGTTATTTTTAAACGCAGTGTCACAGTTAAGGACACTTGGAATATATATACTTTTCATCCGTATTGTGTTTGCTTTATCTCACTGAAAGTTGATTAATTAACTCCTAATAATATATGTAATATATGTCTGTGTCATTCTTGATCTTTCTCTCTGTCCATCTGTCTCCAAATGCAATACTCTGGGGCAGTGACGGCAGTCCCAGGTGTGGGGCTATACTACTACCAGCACCCCTACTACTATTACTTGTCACTACTACTACTACTACTACCACTACCACCACTACTACTACAATTACTACCTCTATTATAATTCTACTAATATGACTAATCCCAACATAACTGACAGCTGCCATCTCCACTACAACTGACTGAGCGCTCGCACTGTATCGCAGCCTCAACATGATCACAGAAATGATACTCACTGAGCACAGAGACAGGCAGCCACTTAAAGATGCAGTTTGTAAGTTTTTTTCCAAAATACTCTGAAGAATCACTTTCCATTCACCCAGATTGGACCATAGCGTCAGAAGTCTCCATTGTGTTATCGCCTGTCAAACTTAAAAACTGCTTTTTTAACTGTTTGCTGCAATTATGAGCACCAAGAATAATCAATTCACATCTGAGTTTTCTAATAATGCATGCAGTGCACTGACCTTTTTTTTAATGGAAAGTAAACTGGGACAAAGTGTAGCTAAAACATTGTACAGTTTTGTTGAGCATGGGTCAAAGAGATTCTTTTCTTTTTTTGCCAATTTCAATTATTTTTTAGTCAAACATCTTTAAAGCACAGAGCTAAATACTGCTATATTTTAACTGATTAGGCAGTGGCTTTTTAAAACCTGGTTGGTGTGTGTGTGTCAGTGTGTGTTGGAGGGAATGTACGCATGTGTGTACCAAGAACCTTGTGGGTGACCCAGCTGGAGGCTAGTGTTTATTTTGTATATAGCAACTGACATTTGAGCGTGATTGCTCTCCTCTTGATTGTAGCATAGTACCGTCAACTTCCTGTCTCTGGAGAGAAGGAAACACCCAGTCGGGGGGGAGGGGAGGGAGGGGGATGGGGTTCCAGCTGTTTCTGCATCTGCACCACCTCTTAACTCTTCCTCCATTCGTTCTCTTTCCACTGCATCATCTTCTCTATCTTCCCTCTCTGCCCTCCCTTCTTTGCTGCCCCACCTCGGCTTCTTCCTGGTGCTTTCCCAACCCCTCAGGCCTCCACCTCCCTCCCAACAGTAGGGACTTTACATAACTGTAATAAATATTAGATGGAGCAGACATTAAATGTGAGTGGCTTCCCCGAATAAGGAGACTACCAGCAAGAAGGGGGAGGATGAGTTAAGATGAAGAGAAACAGGAGAGAGGAGTAGGGAGCTCACGCTGAATCGCCCTCTTTACATAAAGAGGCCTATTACAGTGATTCATGGTGTGGTGTAGCAGTCTTTGAGGTTGCTGTCTCCCATTGCTTTAAATAATCTGTATGCATGTACAGTATTTTTCTTTTCTTATTTCCTTTTGGGGTTTTTTTGACAAAAAGCCAAACCTACGAGTTTAGTTTCGTGCTCTTTGTTTTCTCAGGCTACTTGTCAGTGCCTCACAAGATGGAAAGCTAATTATCTGGGACAGCTACACAACAAATAAGGTAAGCTTTAAGTCAACCACACAATGTACAAGCACACTGACATTAAAATCCTCCCTGAATGGGAGCGTTAGTCGATGTAATTTAAAGACAGCCCGGATCTTTTTGACTTATTATGAAATTTCTCTATCTTAAAACAGCGATTTTAACCCCTAAATGTCCTAAGATGTCCTTAGATAAATGTCCGATACAAATAAATCTCAGCCTGCTCTGCAAATTGTGATATTTCTCACCTTACCAAATAATGATTTAGCTTAATATTGAGAGGATAAAGTTTCCCTTTCTTTCTTGAATGTATTTTTTTCAGCAACTATAACCTTTTATACTCCTGCACCTGAAACTGAACAGAGTTTCTGCTCATATCAGTGTTATGACATCAAAAGAAGAGAAACTAACCACCTGAGACTGTCTTGTACTCGCTTCCAGCACTGAACGTTCAGTTCAGCTGTCTTTTCATCATCTCTGTCATGATGTAATTACGTTACCATGTTGGTAAAACCACATTTTTTTGAAACCCAGAAAAACGAAAGCAGACATCCTCGAACTTTGGCTGAAAGTTGTCAAGTGATCACATATTTAGAAAGGATGCATAAGCCTTTAACTTTGACTAACATTCAAAGCTCAACATTACTTACCTACTGAATGTAATAAACAAATGACTCTCGCCTCTCCTCATCGTCAGATGCATGCCATCCCTCTCCGCTCCTCCTGGGTCATGACGTGCGCCTACGCTCCTTCTGGGAACTATGTGGCCTGTGGAGGGCTGGACAACATCTGCTCCATATACAGCCTGAAGACCCGTGAAGGCAATGTGCGGGTCACCAGGGAGCTGCCGGGGCACACAGGTAGGTGCAGGGCTAGCAGTAAAAAGTGTTTCGAATACAATAAAATGAGATCAGATTCTTTATTTCTACACAAAAAGAAATTAAAAAAAGAAAAGAAAAATAAAAAAAATATTAAAATATTAAAAAATATTAATAAATAAAAATGATAATAAATACATAAAATAATAAAAATTATAATAAAATGATAAATAATAAATAATTTAAAAAAGACAGAAATAGAATAAAACATTGTGATTCAAACAGACAGAGCTAATAGAAAGTCATATTTACTACAAGTCAAATAATTGGTGGATTTTGACTTTGTATTCATTTGGCAGAAAAAAAAATCAATCGTAGTATCCAGCCATGTGAGCACTTAAAGACTTGGGTGTTTTTCCCAGGGTTGCTTGTAAAGCAGAGGACGTCTCTCCTCCTCAAATATTAAACCTCTGCTTATCTGCAGGTTACTTGTCTTGTTGTCGTTTCCTGGATGACAACCAGATCCTGACCAGCTCTGGTGACACCACCTGGTAAGTAATAGGCGATCATCTCCTATTTCTACATGGTAGGAGATCGAGCTCTTTGCAAGATCAGTTTTTAAAGTGATTACCCTGTCCACTCATGAACACCCAAAATGTCAATTCTCCCTGTAAATCTGAAATTTTGATACATGCACTGTAAAGTGACACGTTTTCACATGCAATCTTCCATTATGTGGTCAGGGGAGACCCTTTTAACTCTCCTCTGTTTTCTTTTTCCCAGTGCACTGTGGGATATCGAGACAGGGCAGCAAGCCACCAGCTTCACAGGCCACACAGGAGATGTCATGAGCTTGTCTCTAAGCCCAGATTTCAAGACCTTTGTGTCCGGAGCCTGTGACGCCACTTCCAAGCTGTGGGATATCCGTGATGGCATGTGCAGGCAGTCCTTCACCGGCCATGTGTCTGACATCAATGCTGTCACCGTGAGTACTGAAACTCAAGTCACACAGCTCGCTCTTCTGTTTGTTGGGCAGCCGGACTATCACTGCTTGGTTGTGTTTTTGTTTTGGTCATTTAAATCAGTGAGAATGAAGTATTAATTGTGGCAAAAGATCAAGTTCAGTTTTGTTTAAATCTATATAATATCTAGCTTCCTCCAGAGGCTCCTAAATACAGCACAGTAGTTATTCCTTTTATACATCTCTACTCACCTCTACTTCATTTTTAAAATGCTTTCCCTCTTTCTCTCAGTTTTTCCCCAATGGAAACGCCTTTGGTACAGGCTCAGACGATGCCACCTGCAGGCTGTTCGACCTGCGTGCCGACCAGGAGCTGATGATGTACAGCCATGATAACATCATCTGCGGCATCACCTCTGTCGCTTTCTCCAAGAGCGGCCGACTACTCCTGGCTGGCTACGATGATTTCAACTGCAACGTCTGGGACACTCTGAAAGGCGAGAGAGCAGGTGAGCAAGAAAGTCTGTTATTCAAGAATATTGTTTTTATTTTAGATGCCCTCTCTGATAGTTTAGCTTCTGTCAATGTCTCTTGTTTTTTAAAAGCCCCTACATCGGTAGCAACTATCTTGAATAAGTATGGAGGGATTGCATAATACATTATATATGAATCTATATCATTTTAAGTGATTGATTACCGTATTTTTCGCACTATAAGGCACATCTGATTATAAGGCGCACCATCAATGACCACGTCTATTCGCGTCTATTTCCATACACAAAGTGCACCGGATTATAAAGCGCATAAAGCCAAACAAAACAGTCAGATAAGTCAAACTTCATTTAACTCATTCAATAACTCTGTGAGGCTACGGTCGCTGCAGTGCTCCAACAAGCCAAAAGGATTTTAAGTGCGCCTTATAGTGTGAACAATACGGTACATCACTGTTTCTTGTCAGCATATATATACAAATAATACACTTTTAAAACTGGGTTTCTTAAACTATATTAACAACCAGAGGAAAGCTTCCCACATTTTTGCTTTGTTCACATGGCAAGTGTGATAATTTTCTTTAAAGGTAGGTTTACAAAACATGCAGATATTCTTATTTTGTCTGCAATTCTAGCCAGAACTAAATGTAGGGTAATGTGTAGAAAACTCCTACAAGAGCCACTTCTATTATTTGATTTAAAAGGCTCCTAACTGAGGCATGGGATTATTCAGTGAAACAACATCTGACTCTGTTTTGTTTTCTTTGGCGTGCAGGTGTGCTAGCAGGCCATGACAACAGAGTGAGCTGCTTAGGTGTGACAAAAGACGGCATGGCTGTGGCCACTGGCTCCTGGGACAGTTTCCTCCGAATTTGGAACTAAAACGAACCTCCTCCCCTGTTTTGCTCAATCACTGCCTGCCAACTGTCCTTACTGCTACTCACCTCTCATATCCAACTCATCGGCTGGGCTGAACCTGCGGGGTGCACCCCCCCTGTCAGCCAAGACCCCCCCCCTCCCAACCCTTCCTGACCAGCCTACCTGTGACAAAGTACCAACTCTTTCTACCTTTTTACAAGTGGCGTTTTTTCACCCAGCTATTACACAGAAACAAAAGTAAAAGCCTTTCAGTAGTTCCCAATCAGAAAAGCAGAAGTAATATAAAATTGAAGGAAAAACGGAAGATTTTGCCCCAAGTAGATTCTCAAGAAGATGACAGTGTGTCTGTTCCCACGGCAGACAACAAACATAATGCCAATGGTGTGTAAAACAAATATAGATGTATATATAAAGATAGTATATATGTATAGCATTATGTGTGTATATATGCATCATATATGCATATATAATGTGTATGTATATATTTTTGTAGTTTATTTCCCACCCTTTAGTTTTTTAAAATGATTTGAAGGGTTTTATGTTTATTTTAAATGTACATATCATAATACGTAAAGAGATAATGCCAGAAACCTTTATTTGATCCTGTGTTTGTAGCGATTGAGTGCCAGTTCGATGATATAGACACGGCCAATGCCTCTAAATTTAACTTAAAAAAAACCTCTTCTTTCATTTTCTGTCATTTCTGCTACTTCTGGTTTAGTCTAGCTTGCTCACCTAACGTCAAAAGAAGAAACTAAACTACAGGTAGAGATAAAAACATGTAACAGAATTATAATTTAGCGTAGTTGAACTCACATTCTGCAGGTGTGTGTGTTTTTGTGTCAGCCTGTTTCCTCTGTTTCTACAAATGCTGCATTTATGTGTCATCATATTTTAAATATTCTTTTTGTTTTTATTTGATGACACAACCCCTGGCATTCCTCACCACAGTCATTTGTCTAGATAGAAACGTCACATTACTGTGGTAGTGATTAGCAACAAGCATTTTGTTTGTTTTTTAGATCTTAAGTAGACAGCAGTAACTGTTTGGCTAAGATGAATTTTTGTTTTTATTTTACTTAAATTTAACGGAGGCCTCGCCTTCGCCTCTCCTCTCACACGGGCAGTGGTTTCAATCCATCTGAAGACTTCGCTCTCTCCATGCAAGCCAACAGCTTTACGCTCCGATTGATATCCCAGTTATGGTCCTAAAAAGGGGTTTCCCATCATGACATCCCTGCCACCTGTGGCCTAACTAATCTACATGTACCCTTAAAAGTCGAGACTCAAGTTGCCCGTACAAGTGACACTGATGGAGAGAAGGGCATCAAAGAGCTGTTTCCTATCTGCGAGCCTGTAACAGCGTTGAGACCTGTATGGACAAATGTCAGAAGACTCTGAGGAACCATAAAGGACTGCAGCGATTCTGTCCGCAACCTCCGAGGACAAGAGATAAGATGGAGAGAAAGCTAGATGTCTGTGAGAGCTCGCTTTGTCATTTTTATCTTCTTTATTTCTAAATGAAGGATCGACGAGTCCTTATAGTTGTCAGCAAGGTGTGAACTAGGTGACTGCATGGAACTGAAATCATGTTAGCCACACCAAAATCACAACAGTGCCACCATAAGCCTGTAGAAGAAGAAGAAAAAAAAACAAGAAAAGAAAAAAACATACATTTTTTTAAAGGTTTAACACTTTTTTGCATTTCCTTTTCTCCTCACCAAAAACATGTTATAAACTGTTAAGTATTGCTTGTGAAGAAAGTACACTTGGTAGATGGAAATGTACACTTGGTAGAAAGCTAGAAGTGCACTCACAGAATGTAGTGCAAATGTAAACCATTGAGCACATGTGACTTATTTACCTTTAGGAGAAAAGTGGTATCTTTGTTTTGAGTAGTGTCTCAACACACATCTTCCATTATCGTATCTCGGCTCGAGGCTTCATTTTAAAAAGATTTCTACACGTATGTGAGTTGGACCTATACATCAGCCGTCTCTGTTGCCGTGTCTCTAGATATAAATGTTTGATCCACGTGGGCTGGATGAAGGAGGGTGTGTGCTCCTGTGAGATGTGGCACTGTTGTGTCTCCATTCTGCCTTACGATAGCAGTCATATTAAGAAGAAGGTAATACAAGCATCGACCGTAATGTATTTTTTTTTTTTGCTTTTTTTTTTTTCCTTTTCCAAAGCAACAAGCAAAACAAGCAAAACAAGCGAAACAAGCACATTCTGGTCTTGGTTAACACTAAAAAAGGCATGCTTACGGAAAACCACCACAACCCCATGCAGCTTCACACTGCGTCTTATAGCAAATGTTTTACATCATTTTGGATACTGCTCTGATTTCTACTATTACGCTAGAGTTTGTAGTCTTTGTTTAGATTCAATCAGAACGCCCCCTCCCCTCCTTCTCTTTGGCACACCATGATTCTAGCAACTTCTTTTTTTCCCCTGCGTTTTATCTGCTTTTACTTGGCTTTGTGTTATTAAATCTGTATCGAGAGAATTTTAATTTAACAGTCAAAGTTTTTGGCCAGAAAATAGGATGTGATATGTGTCACATATCAGTATTGAGGGGTGTGTATGGGGGGGAGGGACGGGAAGGTAGGGAACTGAGCTGCCTATGTGTGTGGATTAAATATGAATCTAAGTGTTACTTTCTCATTTGTGCCAATGTTATCCACAGACCCTGAGCTGTGAACGAAACTCTTCAATGTGACAAAATACTGCTCACTTTACACAAGTGCCAGCCTTCAACATATCCATCACTTCTAAACCCATTACTCTGATTGTTTTTTTCACTTATGGTCTGGGGAAGCTGTGGACTTGTTCTATCTGATTTTTTTTTGTACACTGAAGTGTTAAGTTGACGGTGAATTTTAGATTAAAGTTTGTATTTTGGTCAGCTGCCATCAGGTGTTCATGTGTCCCGTCAAAGGTGGTGAAACACTGTTAAAAAGAAGAAGAGTTTAATATTTTAGTAGATCAGTAACACTCATGTATGTCTGTGAAATATTAGCTAGGCTACAACCAGCAGCCTTCTAGATTTGCACAAAGACTAAAAACCACAAAAAGGCCTAGGGCTGTCATCAGGTAAAAAGATCATACATAATTCTGTCATCTGAATTGTGTGTTAACTTTGTGTAAAACATTTGGTTGCCCTAAATGGTGGCACATTGATTTACATGCTGTCTTAATATTTGAATATTTCTAAATTTTAAATCAGTTATGATCTCATTTTAATCCTTGACCTTCAGAGATGGTGAGAATCTGACCGGTTTACTGTTCCACAAACCATACTAGCCATTTCCTTGTCTGAGTTCTTTGTTAAAGCTAAGCTACCTGCAGCGAGCAGCAGCCTTCTTGCTTTTCAAATTAAGGAGATTTGAACAGGATTTTCTTTTTTTTTTTCAAACTCTGTGCCAGAATTAACAAGCATTTCCTCCTGACTTTGTGAACTATCCGTATGATCCCACAGTTTTTTTTCCTACCAGGTGTGGAGTGTTTGAAATAGAAAGAGAGAAAATACACCTTTGCCCTTAACAGCTGAAAAGGAGGATTGTGTGTATTTCATCCGGTGATAATCAGCAGACAAGCATTTCTTTACTCTTTGTGTAATTCTGCAGTATTAGCAGCAGGAACCAGGAATAGTATCACTTCTATGTGCCTGTGCAGTTCACTCATTGAAGTAGTGCTGTAGACCTATTAATCAAAAAGGTGCTTGACTTCATTTAATTTCATGTCATGGTTGTATTTTACAAAAAACCCTGTCCTGCATTGTGTAAAGTACCCGTACTTTGCACAATACTGTAACCCAACAATACTCATTGGTATGTTTGGCAGTTTGTGTGCAGCATCATTTGAAGCTGCATCATCAGCCTCAGTCCCATCATCCAGCTTAAGAGAGGAATAGAAATGAAAAAAATCACCACTGCATAAGCAAAGGTAGTGTGTTTCAGGACTGTTTCTGCAAGACTGCCCACTTTAGTTTCTGGAAATAAGAAAATATTTGAACGTTCTGATAAAAGATTGAAAATAGAAAAGAGTTATTTGACTCTACAACACTTGCATTAGTTGTCACATGAACACCACCACGGCACCATCACGACAAATGCACTGCCCTTTGACTCCAAAACCCACTGCTCTGACATTTTTTTTTTTTTTTTTTTTTTGGATTTTATTTATTGTTTTATGTCTGTAAGCCAGTTAAGACCGGGGACTTGGTGCCATGATAAATCTTTTACAGTGCTAATGTGTGGAATTATAATCACTTGTTATGGAATAATTTTTATAGTCTTTTTCACACCAGACCTTCTTTTTGTATTTGTACAGTGGCTTGGTGATACTGATATGTTGCCATGAGTAATTGTAACCAATAAAAAGCTTCTAACCAAGAATACGTGTTTGGTCTAATTTTCATTTTAAACAGGACTGTAAGAAGCGAGTCTGTACCTTCTGGCACAACCTTTAAAAACTGTAGAGAAAGAAAGACAGGCTAGCCTCACAACTTGAATAAATCAGTACTTCCCGCTTTTGAAAGCCAAACTTGTTTAGGCTTGGTGAAGTTCCACTCATAACCTGGCATAAAACAATGTTAGGCAGTTGTTGTGTGATGTCTATTGAGTGGTGATTGGTTATCAAATATGTTGTTTCAACTTAAAATTCAATATTTGCCAAATCACCATCACACTGTCCTGTCTTTTCAGCCTGCCAATCAACCGAGAGACAGTGAATAATGTGTAGTCATGGTTACAACCTGGATCAGAGCACTGCAACTTCATAACAGAGCTCAACCTTGACACCCTGAGCTTGATATCAGAGGAACATGACTGCCTCATTAAAGCTCCTGTGATGAACTTTCTGTGTTGACTTTGGCGCCGCCTGTGAAAATAATGGTCACTTCTTTTTTGCTTATTTTGGTTCACCTTTGTTAAAGTGGCATTAATTAACAAAAAACGTCTACTCCTGACGTCTATTTACAGTCAAAATGTATCCGTCATTATGAATATTTGCTGCGAACGTGACGTACAAGGGCTACATAAACAGGCTGCATAGTCCCACAAAAAAATGTGTAAACTTGATGTGTAAACAGATATGAATACCTTTCGAGTGCCCTCACCAAGCTCTGTGAGCTCATAGACAAGTGATTTCCAGTCGTTTTTTTGTGTACAAGTCGAATGCTTTTCATTCCTCATGAAACATTTGCTCAGCTGCCCACATACATGTGATGACGGTGGGCAAAACAAGCGAAAGAATTTCTTCACAGTGCCAACAGCAGCCAAACGCTTCCCACGGTACTGTTAAGACCAAGTCCTGAAAGTAAACGTACTTTTAAACAAAAACACAGATCGGCAGTGTTACATTGTGACAGATTTAATGTGATTGGAAAACAACTGGAGGTATTTCACACAAAAGTAAAGAAAAGGTAATTTGAGAGGTGCAGACCAGCTAAGTACCCGTTACAACTCTATTGGGCATAAATAAAATAGATCTTTATAAAATATGTGAGGATTTCCAATGCCTTTGAGTTTTACAGGCATCATTGTTAGAAAATAGAACACGAACCTACAGTATGTTAGACATGCTTTCCCTTTATTTTGAAAGGATTTATTTCCGTTAATCAACTAAAATTTGTTCTAACAATTCAGAAAAAAATGTTTTCTCTTTAATATTGTATATTTTTACATATTTTGTTGCCAATTCTGTGGATTGTGAAGCTAGATAAATAGATTCAATCTTTCCCACACACAAACTGCATTCAGTCCACAAAGGGTTGTCAGAAAGGCATATTCACAGTTAGTAGCACATTAGTGTCACAACATATAGCACCAGACTGGCAGCTCTCACATGGAGAAATTATAATGCCACCTTGTGGTGCATCCTTACAGATCATGAGCACAACTTTCTGTCTTCCAGGCAGTTTGGTTTTACAATTTCTTCCATGCTTCTTTTTTTAATATGAGTCTGTTTTAAGAGAGTAGGAGGAAAATACTGCTGTGTCTGACAGTTTAATAATAACGTCATTTAATATTTTCTGTTTATTTTTAATTCACAAGTCTACAAAATGTCCAAAAATAATGACATGTATCCATTTTATTACCAAAAACGTCTTCAAATTTGTGTTTGGATGTGAAAAAAAAAAGAACAGCAACAAAAGAAGCTGATTACATTTTTTACAAATGACACAAAAAGGGCTATCTACCTTCATAGTTGAGAAGAAGTTTGGTATACCTTGCAGGCTAAATGAATTTCCTTGTTGTTGATTATCAAAATATCTCTTGATTTCTCTTCAAGGTTGATAAAACAATCCACCGATTGCTCAATCTTTACAGCAATACTGTTCACACAGAACATCTGGTGTGGTTTAAGTGATGACCAGTGTGGAGCACCACCAGTTTGAGGAATGATTGGCTCAAAGGGAACCAAACAGTGGAGTGATGAAGAGGAGCAGCTCACTCCTGAGGCTGAAGGTACTGGTTCGTGAATGCCTCCAACTGTCTCTCCAGTTCTGTTGCTTTATGTCTGTAAAGGAAACAAACACACAAAAGACTTAAACCAACTTGATGCAAATAAAGCTACTGAAACTGTATTGATGTTTAGCCGTTAAATGATAAATTTCAAGCTGTTGCATTTTCATCGATTAATTTCTGAGCAACCTCACTGCTTTCCTCAAAACAACAGAGTTTAAAGACATCTACATGGTATGTAGTTTTTAGTTAATTACACTCCTACACTCTATACATGTCCCTTTCTACCTCATCTCCTTCCCCCTACATGTCCCCACCCACAGACGAGAAGGAGCTGGACTGACCGCAGCTTCTTGGATTGGCTCTGGACCGTCTCCAGCTGATCTATCTTGGCTGTCAGTTGGCAGATTTCTGCCTCAAGCTCTTTCTGTGTCTGGTCCACCTGCTGACAGAGCCGGGCAAAGGTCGTCGCCATCTCCCTGACAACACAGAGGGCACAGTGTTACAGGGCTTATTTGCTTAGCCACGTTATATGAGGGTGGACTGATGGGATGTGGGCGATTTTGGACATCCAACCAATTTTTCCCCTGAACGTCAAATCTTGTATTTGTTGACATTTTTTGTTTCCGCTTCACCTTTGCAAAGACTAATCGGATTACAGACAAAATAAAGAGCAGTTAAGAGTTTTATATACTTAGTACAGTGGATTATCACTTGACATCAAAATACAGTCTTGGCCTGAACATAAAATTTTCACCTTGAAATAAATCTGAAAAATGTGGAATAAAGGGTTAAGTAATTAAATTCCAGGCCAGCACGGTGCCACTTATCTGCAAGTATACTCATGAATGAGATCAGATGTAATCACTACAGCACAAGAAGGATGCAAGATACATGGTCACCCGAGCAAAAAACAAACCACAACTGAACTGGAGTTATGCAGAGGAGTTTAACAACTGACAAACAAGTGAAAGAAATGAAATGGTATCAGGGCTTACTGTTGGACCTGGTGGCTACAGCTTGCGCTTGTAAAACTGACTATGAGTTGCAATTTCTCTGACGCATAGTCCACAAACTGTCGCTTCAGAGAGCGTTCCTTCGCCTTCGTGGTCCAGGTGAGCCTCTCGTACAGATACAGCAAGCCGTACAGCGAGGCAGACAGGACGATCAGCCTCCACCCGACTGCTCTGTACACCTTTGAAAACAAAATCAGGAACAAAACGAGATTTAAGAAACATCCTTCCACGTGTTTAAATCAAAGGGACAGATTCACAAACGACATACCACTCCTCCGACTATGACAACGCTCATTGAAGTGCGAGAGGTAAGGGATGCTACGTTGGTCGCCATGGCCACCATCAAGTCCTCTTGAGTCATGACGGCTGTCTCGTTGTTAGGTGGCGCTATCATGGAGGGGGGTCCAGAGGAGGGTGTGCGGGCCACAGGCAGCGCTGGTCGAGAGGTCTATGCAATGACAGTAGATTTAAAAATCAAGAGTTCAAACAGGACAGCAAACAATAATTCGCAAGGACATTTATCATCACAACACTAACAGGTTTTCATACCTGGAAGTTCTGGTCCACCAGCTTGAGGGCTCTCTGCGCGTTGACAGATCCCAGGTAACGGTGGACTAATGCTGTCCAGCCCAACGAAAACTGAAATTCGATGTTCTCCTGGAAGTCGCTGCAAAGTGAGGCGCAGTTCAAGTCGTAGCTGAGGTCAAACTTTCTGCTTGGCACCAGCATATTGATTTGGTTCTTGACTTTAGATGGAAGCAGAGGGAGCATGCTGTCTGATGGGTGGTAACAATTATGGGGAAAAAAAAAAAGAGACAACAGGAGCAGTTAGTGCATTATTTACAGCTCGAGGTACATTAACATGCACTTTTGTATAATTTATTATCATTAAAAGGGAAATTCAGAGGCAGAGAAGAACCACACAAATCTGATCACCGCTAACACGACTGTGGTAACGGTGACTTACATTCTCACTGTGGTTAATGACACCATATTTAAGTCAAATTCTCCCGCTTTGTCAAATCCGTCCTCAGGGGAGGGTAAATATCACACCACAATTTCACAACAACACCTGAGTCCTTTCACAAAAGAGCACATCAACACCTGCCCAACATCATTGTCAGCAGGCGTGACGCATTTGTGGCCCAACAGGCCATGGGATGTGGCATTCAGCGAGGGAGGTAAATATAGCAGCACACTGGGTGTTTCAGACCATCACTCAAGAGCTCAAAAGGTTTGTGCTCAGTTTAGCAACGCACTCCAAATGTGTCTGCAAAGTACAATAGATGACTGGAAACACGGGTGGAGGTCATTTACCGTTAAAATGACGGTGATTTTTTTTTTTTGGCCTCTCAAACTGAGAGGAAATATTATCTTAAACAACTTTCAGGTAAAGTTTTAATCTCAATTTCCCAAACTATGTTGTCAGCACAGTTTGTCTACAATATGAACAATTTAAGAACCCCTTAGACTCTTACTCACAGGCAGTTATTTCATATGTCCAAATACCTTTGCTTCAGCAGGACTGTTACCTTTACTGCTTAACACAAAGGTCTTATACTGAGGACAAAGCATGCACTGAACCCTTTATTAACTCAAGAAACTTAAGACGACTAAAACATAAACAAAGAACTAGAACTAAAAAGTTTTGTTGTTGTTGTTGTTTCTAGTCCTAAAACTTTTTTTAACTCAAGAACCTTAAGACGACCAAAACATCAAAAAAGAACCACAATTAAAAGTTTTGTTGCTGTTTTTAGTCTGCCGTTTTGGTACCTATCATGTATTCCTGAGAGGACAGGACAGAGGCATTGATGGCGTCAGAGCAGCGGAAAGCCAGGTTCTTGCCCATGCCCTCTTCCACATGAGACAGCAGTTCCTGCAAACAGCAACAGAAGTCAAAGGTCACATTAAAGCGGTCTATTAGCGAGGAGAGTGACCAGACTACAGAGTCCTGAAATATGCACATTAATGTGAAACTCTTAGCCTTCACATTACCTTAATAGAATCAGAAATAATACACGACCAGTTAAGTGTGTACAAGTAAGCTATAAATATATATGAACAAGTTTGTTTTTTTAAGTGGGCTAAAAGCATTTTTATTTTGCCATTAAAGTAGCCAGTCTGAGGAGGATGCTTGAGGAACTTACAGTCTCACACTTTCTAACTAGCTTCCTTTTTTAACACTGGATTGAATATTGGCTCAGCTTACAGACTTGTAGATCTTGAGGACATGTGGCGATGGATGGAAGTCAGCGCGGAACTCATCAACGATTACGTGGAGACGGCAGATTTCCTCTCCCATGGCGTAGGATACCTGGGTGAAGTACAAACAGGGTTAACAGGAGGATTGACAAGTTTGATGATCAAACAGCTGTGATTCAAGCTTTAAGAAAGGTGCTGTATTTTTTCAAGCTTTTAATTTTGGGCTGTTCCTTAATTGGGAGGACAGGAGGGTGGATGAAGTAGGAATCTGGGAGAAAGAAATGCAGTCCTGTAGCATAGAATTAGAGGCGCCTGCTTCAGGATGTATAACCTCTGTGCATGTGAATGCATTTCAGACGCTACACCAAGTCGATGCCTCAAAGGGATAAGATGTTAATGTTAGTAAGAAAGACCTAAGGAGGACATGTTCTCAGGACAATTGATTTTTCTTCTCTCTGCTGTTTCCTAGTTTACCTTCGACTCGACGTCCTCACTGATGGCCTTGATTTTCTTCTTGATATCATCAATCAGCAAGTTGAGCTGATTTTTGACAAACTCCAGTCGGTCCATCTGATACTCTCTGTCCTCCAACGCTGCCACCCTGAAGCCCCACCCCGCCAACAGGAAGAAAAGTCAGAAAATGCAAACAGGTAGGCCTAACAAGTGGTCATGAAAATGTTTCCTCGCATTAACACTTTGTCTCTCTGCAGTTTTATCGATTACCTTCATGTGCCTTACACGGTACTGACAAAATAAGAGGATATCTGACCCACTCCATGAACAGAGTGGGAGGGGAAATATTTGGATCGGGATACTCACCTCTTCTCCGCCGCCTCGATGTTGATGGCGTCCATGATGCTCTTGACTTTCTCTGTGATCTGCTTGGCCCTGATAGTGTGCTGCTCAAACTTTGTTTTCACTGCTGACTGCGAGATACACTCCTGCGAGGCCATAACACACAGGTTACTGTGACAGCTAAAAGGGGCTGCTGCTGGTGAGGGTGTGTCGGCTCACACACTGACCAGGGACCAACAGAGGACAAGACACACACCTGCTACTTCAACTTAAACAGAAGTGAAGAAAGAAACAAAGTGCCAAAATGACAGTAGCAGAGTGTGTATCTTGTGTCGAAGAGCCCGTGTGATGTAAAGTCACAGTAGTGTGTTGGTGATAAAAAGAAATCATTAAAACATATTAATGGTTCACAAGAAAGTAAAACAAAGAAAATAAAAACACAACCTAATAAAGTGGGAGTATTGTTTTTTTCTTAGAGTAAATGGATGGTGCAGAGATTTACTGTGATTTTAACACATATTTCCATCATTATAATTAGATATGTTATAATCTGTAATCAACTCCTAATCCTAATAATAGACTGATCCGTTTCTTGAAAGTACACAGGGTTGTTTGACTACACTTCAACAAATACAAAAGCTGCTCCTCTGTTGTATTTAAGTAGCTACTCAGAAACTACTTCCTACCAACAGGATTCTGGGATGTGTAGTTTCACATCACAGTAACCCTGCAAACGTGTTCAAATCAACCTGGTATTAACTCTTTCATGATATTATCCCAAAATGCTTATAATCAAACTCCAGTTGGTTATTACAACAACAAAAATTTCAACAGAGATGCAACAAAACACAGACACACAAAGAAAAATCAGTCACAGTGAAATGGTAAAGAGATCAAACTAAAAGGGGAACAGAAAGTAAACGGATGCCCTCGCCTTAGTGAATCTAGACTTCAGCAATGAAGACGCAGGTTGATGGGAAAGGCACAGTGATTGGTCTAGAGGGCCCCGCGGCTGCCAGCTGCAAACTGCGAGGTTTGCAGAAAAGCCCAACCAACTATATCAGGACTGACTTGCTGACTAAAGACGGGTTTAAGGGTTGCTTTTAAGTTGTCAAGTCTTTCACCATGAAATTATCTCTCTCACACACTCATACTTTTACCAGGCAGCTGCTTTCTCCAAGTGGTATCTCTCAAATTCCCTTTGAGTTTGTCTAACATTTACACAAAAGTAAGCCCTGGTTCAGGACCTGATAAAGGAGCCACTGACTAAATCCCCTGGTCTTCGGGAATAAAAGCCTCCCCTTTCATAATATTTGAATTCCCCGTTGTGTCGTAGTGACTCATTCTCAGCAGCAGCGACAAGACAAAAAAAACAGAAGAATTATTAAGCCCTTTATGATACACCAACCACAGTCCGTATCTGTATCTGTTTAACCTTCATGTTTGTCTGATAAGACTTGGCACTGATTTCAGCTCAAAGGTATAACTGGTGAGATGTTTTTTTTGGTAATAACACACCTCTTCCCTCTTTACTTAGTTCAAGGTCTGTCTTTCAGCTCTCACACACAGAGTAGATTTTAGCTTTTTGAGGTAGGTTTAAAGTTGTTGAAAGATATGAGTATGACACGAACAAATACACAAAGACACACAGATGCACACAGACCTCAAACCTCCTCTCAAAGCTTTGGAACTCCTTCAGTCTCTCCTGGAAACCTTCAGCTAGAGCGCCACCTTTTGGAGGAGATACACTCGTTGTGGGTGTGTGAAATTAAAAAAAGTTTGCAATTGTCAAAAAAACACAATGCAAGGAAAAAATCTTTCTTTTTATAAATATAACTATCATGTGAATAAGGTGAACTTGGTGGGCAGTGTCTCTTCTTTCTGTATTTTGTTTTAAAGTCTCACCTGTTTCAGGCATGCCCTGCGCCCGCTGCATTCGAGAGTTCAGCACTTCTTTGGCAGAGACGAAGAAAATGCGGTTTGGTGCCTGATCCCGATCCACAACCTTCAGCTCCTCAACCAGGAAGTTGACACAGCGGTCGGTGTGCTGCTTCCTGACCTGAAGAAAGATATTTTAAAAATATCTGACTCTGTCACAATAAGTTGTAATTATTGAAGACATGGGCACATGCTGAACAGATAGTTGACTTACATCCTCCATGTATTCTGGTTCGTTTGCTGACGCGTCCCAGCGGTTGTTGAGGATGAAGATGTTGGGCTTTGACAGGCGTTCGTTCACTTTGTGGAAAAAGTGTTTTTCCTAGATGGTGAAGAGTGATTAGTTTGAGTAATATTTAAGTTAAAAGCACATGATTCCTTCATTCTCACCAAGACAGAAAAGAAAGTGATAAACGCTTTACATATAAAGGTTTGTGGTTTGCACAACTGGCCTGATTTCAGGCTTTCAATGAAATGTGCCATGTTTATTCTACTTGCTTGTCCACCATTAACATAATGTGTGAGCTCATTTCCAGTGAACAGCTCATAGGAAGAGGAGAGGGGTTGTTCCTTTCCATCTAAGACCTGCTGCTCAGCTAATGAACTCTGATTGACTTTATGAGCAGCTTCACATAGTGTGGATGCCTGAGCTGAGAGAATCAACAGTAGGGCCTCTTTGGCTGAATGCCGACACAAGCAGCCACTCTCTCTGCTCTCATAACTAAACATTAATACCAGCCTTTAAAGCACACAAGTGAATGACGTAACTGATGGTATTTTTCTCAGTATTATGGCTATTGTATAATTGGTTAGTGGTTAAATAAGCGTACTGACATCTGTCAATGTCTGCCTTTGTTTCAATTAAAGAATACAGCCGACAATGACTCCTCTGAAAAGACAGCAATCCAATTTACAACTAACACACGAAACTGACCTTCAGTTACAGGAATTCACTCTGTCTCATAGGAAATGAGTTACTTAAAGTTGTTGAGCAGTCAGTTATGATAATTAAAACATGTAGCCCACTTTTAGCTGAGTTTATTCTACTATTGTTAACCACCTGAGGAAGTGCCAGCATAAGACTAAAGCAAAGTTGAAATGTTAACAGGATATCAGGCAAACAAAGGCCTAATGAGACTAAGACGGCATTACCGTGTTCATTAGTGTTGATTCAGAGTTGGCCACCAGCACAAAGACGTCAGCATCCAGGCAAAACTTGTCAATCCAGCTGTCCAACTGTGTTGTGACATCTGTCCCCGGACTAGACAGTGGTAGAGTGGTGAGGAGGTCAAATAAATGATGACAATGAATAAATGTTTCAATGTTTCATGCCCTGAAAATGTCATTTTGATATTTCACAAACAGATCCTGTCACCTGTCCACGAGCACCAGGTCATCTCGAAGCAGAGCACACTTTGTCTTTGGCCAGAATACACGGACGAGACAGCCCGCGTCGAGACTCTCGTCCATGTGAAGTGCATGAGCCAGCTGGTTTACGGTCTGCAGATGTAAATACAGGCTTTTGTTGTGGTTGTAAATACATCCTAATTCCACAAGAGTTGGATTGGTGAGTTGAATGTTGATAAAAATAGGTTTTGATGCTTTGCAAATAATTCAAACTTTTATGTTCAATTGAAGTAGTCCAAATACAAAAAAGGAACCTGTAAAACATTATTGTTTCATGGAAATATATTGTCCTTCTAAATTTTATCCCAGCAACATGTTCCATAACATTTGTTTCTTAAACAAAACAATATTTTCTTTAAACTTTACAATTTTCAGTTACAACATTTGAAATTACGTCTTTGTATTTCAATTAAATATGGGCTTTAAATGATTCACAGGCCATCAAATTCTGCTGTCAGTGTTCGAACGCAGTGTTCCAACCTTTATTAAACTGGAGTTATAACTTTTGTGAACTGCAAAAGAAGTTTGCAGCCAGCAGTGTTATCATTGTGGTGAAGTTTTAGATTTCTGACAAAGCAAATGTCATCCTTGTTTTTTTCTGAAGACATTAACCTTAAGTTTACAACCTGACATCAAAGTTAGCTCAAGCCAAAACACAAATAGAAACATTAGCCTTTGTCTTTAAATGAGGTCTTTATCAATATAATTGATTTTGAAAAATCTGCTAGTTGTTTTAAACTATTTGTTACCACCTGTAGATGAAACAGTGAAGCAGAGTTGGGTGTTGGAGATTGATGTTATCAGCTTGTATCCCAAACACTGAAAACCCTCCCAAAACAACAACAAAAACAAAAAAAATCCAATCAGTCAGGTTGTTGTTAATCTGACTGCCTTTTTAAGATTTCCAAACTTTTGTTATCAGTCTAACCGTATGATGACTGATCAAAGACAACATAAGTTTGATTAGTCACTTTGACCAGAAGGCTCCCAGGTCTTTAAAACAGACCAAATTATCTGTATGAAATCAGAAAAAAAGCAACATTTACTTTGATGCTCTTCTCCTCATCGGAGCCCTCGGTCTTGAGGTAAGCCTTGTCTTCATCAGTGCCCTCCACACTCAGGAAGCAGTTGGTTGTGTGGCCAATACCGCTGGGCAGCACCCGGTCTCTAAGCATAGCGTTGACCACTGTGCTTTTACCATTACTGGTCCTAAAAACCAACAAGACAGTTATTTCATTAAAACATCTGCTGAGGTCAGAGAAATACATAATCTAGTGACAACTTATTTCTGAGTCAAGCATATACTCCATGTTTTACGATTACACATCCTGGTACTATGGTATGCTGATAAATCATCCTTTCCTCAAAAACAAATGGGTTTGTAATAACAGACAAAGATTGCAGTCATTTCACAATGTCAGTACAAGGGTGTGCATAAAAGTGTATTTTAAACAAACCTATATTTTGTCTTGTCTTGTCTTTTATCTTGACGTTGAGCTTGCAATTAAGTTCAAACTGTATTGAAAGTAAAACTTATTTACCTTCCAAAAAAAGCCACTTTCATGTGCCTCCGTGCCAGCACCTCCTTAATGACAGTCAGTTTGTCAGCATATGCCTGAATCTCCAACTTCTGGTCCTGACTGGCTATGCTCTCCAAGGCTTTATTTCCACAGGTTTCTGTCCAACAAACACATGCATACATGTCAGAGAGATGAAAACCAAATGACTAACATGGTCATTTGGTTTTGTAAAGGGATAAAATCTTGTTTACAGTAGGGATGCACTGATCCCATATTTGATATCAGTATTGGTCCCGATACTGAAGAAAGTTTAAGATCGGGTATCGTGACAATGGGCCCGATCTCTTCACTCTAACTCTATGCTATGCGCCACGAGTGGCGTCCACAAGTAAACACGCTAAGCGGATGCCCATGTTGTTTTCAAAATGGAGCGAACAAAGGGGTCTGCTATCTTGAACTTTATCACAATACCTCAGACCAATGAGGACAGTCACTTGCAATACCTGTGCAGTAAATGTTCCGACGGCTAATGGTAAAACTTCAGGTTACAACAAAAGGTAAATCAGTGTGGCTTCTCTGTATCGGAATTGGATCGGTATCGGCCGATATTAAATTGTAGATATCGGTATCTGTGAAAAAAGTGGATCGGTGCATCCCTAGTTTACAGGACGTCTAAACAAATCAAAGCCTCTCACCTTCTACAAACTCGGAGGTCTCTTGCACGTAGTTGAGTAACTGCTCAAAGACATCACTGATTTTCTTCTTGGCGACCACGAAGTGCTTCAGAGGGGAAAACTCCCCACGGGCTGAGTCTGACCGTGTGAGTGGAGGGGCAGTAGCCATGCTGTTTGCTCTAAACACAGTGGGTCAGGAAGAGCACAATCAGATGACACAAACACAAAATAAAGCATCTTGGCCAAGAGGTGAATCATGGTAACCACAAGTTGTATAACTTTTTCGGTGCGTTCATTAATGCTCTTCAGGAATGCAGATTATCTAATTGTTAATTCAGACAACATATAAGTTAGTCACATTATACAATTTAAAAACGCAATTAAACACACATCTCATACAAAATAGATCTAGATAAAGTCATAAACTTATAGGAGGCTGTTGTCGACCTGATATAATCTTTAAGTTAAAATAACACACGCCGCTGCCGCAAGAGCTAACAGATTTAGCTCGCTAACGTTCTGAGCGTCAACGTGTAAGTAAAATAACCAGCATTAACACAGCTAACCAGAGGGATTATTTTACTCACCACAGTCCTATAACAGTCAGTGTCCTCTTCTCATTTCACATATAAATACTTCTTTCAAGCGAAATTACACAGCTTCATTCCCAGTAGAAGGTTTATTTGCTGTCAGACTGGCTAACCTTCTGTTTGTATCCTGAATCAGTAAAGGCGAAAGGTTATCGCATATGAAGGAGCACTTCCGGTAAACCTTTCAAAGTAAAAGCCCTTTGAACAGAGCTGCAGCGTTTGACATAAAACCTAATGGCAATATCGCTCGCTACCCTATCCTGGATTTTTAAACCTGTTTCACAACACACACACTAAAACTCTCGTGTATTGTTACTAACTTGATTACGCTTAATATCTGTTTTAGAAATAGAAAAAAATAAGGCTGTCAATACTGATAAGTAGGACTTTGTAGCTTTCATCTGCCACACAGATTAGTAGGGGAGAGTGGGGTAAGATGAGCCATTTTTCATATTTCGGATCACTACATCAAGGCAATCATAGTTTTGTCTCTAACTAGTGTATCTGCATATATTTCAAGATGTTGTGCATCCCTGCAAACCAACAGAATGAGTGTAAACATAACTGTCATGATAATATAGCATGCCAAAAAAAGTGGTCTCCTATGGTCAACTTTGTAAAGACATTTTAACATGAGAATGCCTTTAAGTGATTCAGAACATTCACAGCTTTTTTATAAGGATATGTGGCTCAACTTACCCCAGAACTACTATTATGACTTAAGTAGTCCTCTAAGCTAAAATGGTCGACTGTTGTTCTAGGTTTTTGACCTCATGTTGTAGCTCATAGATACCACAAATGATGTATCAAACAAATTTAAAATAATCTTTTTTGGTCTGAACACAATTCTAATCAAACTTATAACAGACTAAATTCACTTTCAAGAGTGAAAAAACATTTGTTTTTTTCTTTAAATAAATGTCTAACCCCTTCACCCATGTGCTTCTAACCTTCACAGACGCCATGAATTGATGCCCATCTCCTAAATATTTGGTCACATGATCAATTTCTTTTACCATTTCAAGCAACAGGGGGTGGCTCAACTTATCCTACTCTCCCCTATGCCGAAAATGTCATGCATCCCACTTAAGCTTTCATGGTATCAGACAGGCTATTTAATGCAGTTTAATGTGTAAATACACAAGTCCATTAGGAATGCGGGTGATTCCCAGGAAAGGCTGCAGAAATACGCTAATATCAGAGGAGTAAAATCCATGTTAGAGCCCATAAACTACTTCATATGGAACCGCACTTCTGCACTTGAAAGGACCTCTCTGTGGGTCTGTGAGTGCATAGACTGGGATTGTGTAATCTTGCCAGTATATTCAAATGCAGTTGGGGAACAATTTGTTTCTCTTCCTGCTTACTTGCATACACTTTACATACACGTGGTTATTATCAGTATTATTCAAACATACTTTTGGTTTTGATTTCACAGGGTACAAGTCAACATAGTAGGTCGCATTTAAGACTACGATTGTTTAGGTTGACTATTCGTAGGGTTTGCTCCTATTTAGAAATTGCATACTGCAGGAACAACATAATATTAGTACTGACTTGACTAGCACTTCCACTAATACTTCCTTTTTTATTTTGAAGTTTGAAGTATGACACTTTGTGCTTACTTTAACCGCCGGTGTCTCTCCGGTTTCTCGTTGCAGTTTACAAATACCTTTCAGCAGAGGGGGCGGAGACAAGTATGTGTTAGCAGGCAGCAGCCAATCAATGAGTCAAGAATGCATCCAACCCCTGAGCTCCCCTTAGTTTGCAGAGTTCAACCATTGACTGCACACACCAAGGTTGAAACACTGAAGCCTACATTAGCAGGTTTGTTTTGCAAAAGCTTGAAACACGTTAGAGCACTTTAAGAAAATGAAGAAATTTACGGTCAAAGAGTGTTTCCTACATATTCTATTCATTAAGTCCTAAGTGTCCAACCTGTCACAATGGTGCAGTTATAGTAAGGGAGAGTGGGGTAAGTTGAGCCACCCCCTGTTGCTTGGAAATGGTAAAAGAAATTGATCATGTGACCAAATATTTAGGAGATGGGCATCAATTCATGGAGTCTGTGAAGGTTAGAAGCACGTGGTTGAAGGGGTTAGACATTTATTTCCTAAAAACATTTTTCACTCTTGTTTTTTAATCTTTTATATTACATCAGATTTAACTGCAGTTTCATTGTACAAGTGATTGATGACAAAATGCAGTTTAGCATCCACCCACAAGTGCAAACAAGCTTAAGGTGCAGAGTAAAGTGCATAACACCAATAGAAAGATACAGGAAAACAGAGCACAGTACAGTAATGTGCAGAGATCAGAAGTAAGAATGGCAAAAGAGTTACTGTGTTCAGAACTGATGGCTGGGACACAAATGTGTCTACAGGTTACAGGTTTATAAATATGTTATTTCACAAAGGTATGTGCAGCAGTGTAAACATGTTTTAAAATTAAAAGTATTTCATATGGCGGGTATTTAAAGTGTGTATAGTAGATTGTGCAGGTAAGTTTATTGCACTGATAGTGAACAGTCTTTAGGGTTGGAGGAGAGTGTGTCTGTGGTGGAGGTTAATGTGGTTGGGAATAAAGCAAAGTGACAGCTGTAGAGTACAAGCTGATCCTCAACCTGCTGGTTTCTGGAGATAGAAACCAGTGGCGCCCTCCAGAGGGGAGAAGGGGAAACAGTCTGTGGTTGGTGTGCTTTTCTTAGGCAATGTTTCCTTGTAGGTCGACTTATCATCATCATCATCATCATCATAATCATCATTATCAGGCCAACCAGAGATTGATGCGCAGTCAAAGGTGAAGAGGGAGTTAAGGAGAGGGCCTAACATACTGCCTTGGGGGACACCAGAACTAGGTATGAGGATGGGAGAGGTTTGATCATCTAACCTGATGAGTTAGGGGTCTGTTGGTTGGAAAGTCCAGTATCTAGTTACAGAGAAAAGTGTTGATGCCCAGATGTCTGTCGGTTTTAAGATAAACAAGGACTGGCCTCTTTTGGAACATTACAATACTCAACAGGCTATGTGTGACGCAAACAGTAAGAACACTGCAAGAAATCTTTTATCCAGCTACTTAAAAGAGGTTTTTGTGCTGTCTGCAGAGCTGGAAAACATCCTGGTATTTGTACATTCAGGACCCTGACCAGATGTACTGCACACAGGGGTTCACAACATTTTATACAGAATCAAGAATGTGAAGAGCTATTGAAAGAAATTAGATACATGTTCAATAAATTAGTTGGAAACAGAAACCCTAAAAGGACACGCTTAAATGTATTTTTTCTTTCTTAGGTCGGTTGTGATAATGAGCTCATTTCAGTTGTTTTTCCCAGTTTCCTGTTCATTTTCTCAAATATACAAAATTTTAAAAAGCTGTTAAAATTAGTGTAAAATCAAAAAAATTGAAACTGTCAATGAACATATAAGTTTAAAAAATTTGAAAAAAATTGAATTGAAAAAAACAAATATACATTCATTTGAGCCATTTAACCAACCTAACTTCCATTCGCCCAGAGATCAGACAGAGATGAAACCAGTCTTATATGTGTGCTGTCTTTCCAAGCACACAATAACTCTTGTTCAGAGGAGCAGTGTGGCCGCCTATGAACGAGACAAAGGCTCTCTGTGAGTGTGTGTGCCTGTGTGACCTTAGCAACACTGTGAAACTGTCATCAGTCAGAGCAGCGACACTGAAATACCTCCAACAGGACCTCCAGCTTCTGGTTTGGCTTTGGGATATTTAACAACTTGATAATTATACCAGACTCTTGGAATCATCTTTTTCTGTTATTCCTTTTTTCACTGGATATTTCTGAGGTTATGTGCGTATTTATGATGGAGAATTAAGATGGTGAGGAAGAAAAAGCTGCTGGTGTTCGGGCAAGTATACCTCTTCTTTATATATTCTATACATTGCAACTGTTTTAACCATTGACTCGCATTTGAGAGTTTGTCTAGCCTATTTAAAATCAATCCAATCTTACAACACTGTGTAAAATAGACTTATAAGATGTCTAAATTTAACGTCATATATTATTTCTATTCATATTTTTGTTTATTTACTGGCAGATGGTTTTCGGAGAGCATTGTGGCACATTTGTACCAAAATGAAAAAGACATTATGTGTACTTTTTTCATTTTAGTAGCACCTCAGTGACCCCTCTGATGAAGTCTTGTGGTAAAATAATATGTGGCTTTCTTTTTTCATCATGGCTTCACCTCCATACATTGTTAATGAGATGGATACACTAATTGCTCTCCTGGTCAGATATAAATTACATCCCGGACATGTGTCACTTTGAGTTTGATCCTTAGCTTTAGTGTATATACATAGTTATATACATAGCATTCTCATCTTGCCTCAGATGGTTTAAAGTCCTTTATTTTCACATGTAACTAATGCAAGTTGTGACAGTGATTTGAATGAAATAGTTTGGGATGTTTATTTTCTATGTCAGACAACCTGGGCTCAAACTATTTTTTTCTGTCAGCTTCCTCATTGTGTTGATGCTATTGTGGCAGCACAGGTGCTTGTGTTTGTGTGTATTGTTTGTGTGTTAGCTGGTGTGTATTGTCTGTGTGTGTATGTATGGATTCCCTTTACATTGTACAATCCTATCCAGCATTCTCTTTTTCTGGGAATTTAGTTTTCTTTGCTTTGTGATTTCCTGTCTCAATTTCAGTAGAACAAAATAAATAAAAAAACAAGACTCATTTTCTTCAAGCTGTAATATTCATATCCATCTATTTGTCCACTGGTTAAAGGTAGTATTGCTGTTCTTATTTTATTTTTTCTCTTTTACTTTTAGACTTTGTGGAAGCATGATGTGGGATGGATAAACAACAACAAAACTCTACTGTAAGTTGACATGAGCCCGTTAGTGTGGTCTGAAATTTGACTGTTTAAATAGGGTAAAGTTGAAGTTTGAATGACCCTGTTGACCTAAAAATAAAAGTGATATGGTGATAACTCATTTCAAAAGTTTCATTACAGTCAATTAAAATATTCAAACAATACAAACTTCAAAGTCTTTATAAAAAAATGAAGATGTGATTAAATTTTAGTTTAAGGCCTGCATTTTAGCTTTAGTCGTGTTGTGACTATGACGTGGTATAAAATGCTATGACAATGTCTTTACTCTCTCTTTCTTTCTGTGCGTGTGTGTGTGTGCAGATGGCCTCTAATGACCCTGACCTTTCTGACCCCTCTGGTGACCCCCAGCCTGGTGACCTCATTGAGATCTTCAGACCGGCCTATCAGCACTGGGCTCTTTACCTGGGAGATGGTTACATCATCAACTTGACTCCTGTTGGTCAGTAGAAAACTGCTGTGAAAAAGTTAAACCAGCTAAAGAGAGCTAAAAAAGGCAGAAAAGTGATATCTCAGAAAACATAGTATCTATGATAATGATATTCGATCTAAAGTACTTGAAACTTGTGCTTGTCCTGCCCCAGTGGATCCTGTTTTAAAATTTGTTTCTCTGTTTAAAAAGTGATCTGTGTTTGATCAACTACAACATGATGATGGTGTGCTTCTTTTTTTTTCTCCTGACTCTAACATGCCACACAATAATCACAGAACATTATTGGTTTACTTCATAGCCAGTTTTTGTGCCCTCTTTATGTTCTTTTCCCAAAATCAAGAGATTGCAGACCAAGATCCATGAATGCTCACTTTTTATTTTATATACTCTACCTCCAGATGAGAGCCAGGCAGCTGCCATGTCCAGCGTGAAGTCTGTCTTCAGCCGGAAAGCGGTGGTACGCATGCAATTGCTGAAGGAAGTGGTGGGAAGCGACTCATACCGGGTCAACAACAAGTATGACCACAACCACACTCCCCTGCCTGTCTCTGAGATCATTCAGCGAGCACAGGTCCTCATTGGCCAGGAGGTGTCCTACGACCTGCTTGGGAGCAACTGCGAGCACTTTGTTACCCTCCTGCGCTATGGGGAGGGGGTGTCCGAGCAGGTCTCACACTATTTGTTTTGTTTCTGTCTCATGTGCCATCAGGGCATAACACATACTTTGAAGTCAAAATAACACAGTGAGTGACCACAGAAGTCACCACGGTCAAAGCGTTACTGTAAATGATACTTTCAGATCAGAAAAGGGCATTTCAAAGACTTTTTGCCATATTGGCAAATAACAATAAACCCTAATACAAATAAATGCAACAGTATTTACATAAAATAGCCTGTGCTAATTTCTGGACTGCATATTGTTTCTACATGATGATGTCAGCTTTATCATTTGCTGGTTGCCACTTAAATTTGATCGTTTGCATACAGGTTTTTTACAAACAAGGCTTAGCTGAACAAGAATGCTGGTCTCTTTGTCTGAAGTGTTAGATACTGGTGCTGGTTTGAGCCTTTTCTTGCCAACATGAGGTGATTTGTTTTTGCTTAACTTGAACTGGAGTCTTCAAATTTTTTCTCAGCTTGTAATTTGAGCAAAAAAGGGACTAATCTGTAGGTATTACATTTTACAATCACTGGAAGTGAGTGACCTGTTTGATTTTGGTTTAGAGGAGGCTGTTACTACCTTGGTTTTAAACTTAATCAAGATTTTACTTTCCAAACACTATCACTGTGACCTTGTTATTTTTTTCCCCCTTGAGATTCTTTCCTGGGTTGTTCATGTGTCTGTCTCCTCCCATAAGAAACAGAATACTGCTTGAGATTTTGTCAAAAAGACTGTATGCGCTTTGTACTGACCTCTCCTGTTTGTTCTCAGTAATCCTCTGTCTTCTTCTTCTTTGTCTTCACAGGCTACACGGGCCATTGGGGCCATTAGTTTGGTGACGGCAGCAGCCAGCGCCTTCTCTGTCCTGGGACTGATCAACACAAGATCCAGAAACAGGCCTTTCTGACAGCTGTATTTCCTCCCAACATTCATGCGGCTGTGATTGAAAAAAATAAATAAACAGAAAGACATTTAAAAAAATGATGTTTAAAATGACTGACGAAAGTTTGTACCAGGTGTCTATCTGACTATGTATGTATGTATGTATGTATCTATCTATCTATCTATCTAATGCATTTGGCAGATATCCAATGCAATTTTTTATCAGACAAATTCACGAGCATTTTCATTCAGCCAATAAGAAACTTGCTTCCAATTAGCCAATCACAGACTTACTACAAAAATGATCCGAAAATAAAAGAAGCCTTATCAAAGTGAGCAATTTTTCAAGCATATCATGTTAAATAAGTTAAAATATCTGAAAAATCAATTTACAAGTCATTTGAAAAAATATTAATGATTATTATTTATAATTATTATATATATTATATTATTATACAATAATTTGACAGAGGCTTAACTCAAATTTTTTTGCTTTTTTCATCGACTGCTCAATTTTTGTTTGGATAATCAATGCTTTTGTTAGGATAGTTAAATTAGGACAAAACCGCTCACTGGAACTACTTGCACCAGAGTCCGAGCGTTCACTGTAATCATCCTAATACATGCCTACTTAATATTCAAGTGTAGTTGGGATGACTATTTAAAAATGAGGTGCATCTGGCTTTGTTGCAGTAAAAAAATAGCATGAGGAAAGAACCGCCTTTGGTAAACTATTACTCAATATACGTTGTTAGTGACATATGCCAATATAAACTGTGTCATGAGATTTTGGCCAGTCCACATTAGGGGAGAGTGAGGTAAGATGAGCAATTTTTCATATTTCGGATCACTACATCAAGACAATCATAGTTTTGTCTCTAACTAGTGTATCTGCATATATTTTAAGATGTTGTGCATCCCTGCAAACCAACAGAATGAGTGTAAACATAACTGTCTAGATAATATAGTATGCAAAAAAAAATGGTTTCCTATGGTCAACTTACCCTGTGTATGGGGTAAGTTTTAAAAGTGAAAAGTGTTTTTTTGTAAATAAATACTCTAACCCCTCCACCCATGTGCTTCTAACCTTCACAGACTCCATGAATTGATGCCCATCTCCTCAATATTTGGTCACATGATCAATTTCTTTTACCATTTCCAAGCAACGGGGGTGGCTCAACTTACCCCACTCTCCCCTTCTGTAACTCACTGGCTCGTGGGAAATCCAGTCTGTCTCCGAGACAGCAGGTGGCGCTAACATCTTGTTTCACTAAAACAAATCCAACGAAGAAGAAATATTGCCACTGAATTGGTGTGACGTTAAACCATTGCGCCGAACTCTTCCACACGTGTTGTTTCCATGGTCGTCTGAGTTTTTTAATATCAGAGTGTGTCTGTGTTTGGGTGAAGTGTAAATCATCAGCAACCAAGATGGGGAAGAAAGTCAAAGTCGGAAAGACCCGAAAAGATAAATTCTACCACCTCGCCAAAGAAACAGGTAGCGTGTCTCTCATTGATAATATATAACAGCGTTAAGACCTCTAGTAGTTGGGATAAGATACTAGCTTTAACACCGCTGATCTCCTTTCCACTTACTCTGTAACGTCGTCCTAGAATTTGCCTTGATCGTCAATACTTTGTTGTGAACATCTGTGTGTTTTTTCCTCCAGGTTATCGATCTCGTTCCTCCTTCAAACTCATCCAGCTCAACCGTAAATTCCAGTTTCTACAGAAAGCCAGAGCTCTGGTGGACTTGTGTGCTGCTCCTGGAGGATGGTGAGCTGCCTGTCAATGACACACGATCAAATGCTAATAACTAATCAATCATACTTAAAGCAGGTGTTTGTGGAGTAAAAGCGGTACAAAATAATGGCTCTCAGCAGGTACAGGGAGGAAGAAGGGCATGAACTATCAGGTGTTTTCACAAATGACTAATGTACTCATTTATTGTATTTATATTGTATATTTTTGTTAATATAATTTAATTGCGCGGGAGACTGAGTGTTATTATTGAGTAAAGGAGAAGATGTAAGGTTAAAAAAAGCATAATGCTTCATCCTACTCCTTTTTGGACATGTTGGGTTCACATTATTAATATTAGTTTTTTTATTTTATTGTATTTTTGTTTGTTTTCTTTTGGTGTTGCATGCACATGTTCGAAAAAATAAATAAATAATAAAAAAAGAAATATTACAAATATAAGGTGTGAAATGTGCTCAAACGTGCTCACTCTTCGCAGGTTGCAGGTGGCGTCCAAATTTATGCCAGTGTCAAGTCTCATTATCGGTGAGTTAACTGTCGCCTATATGAATATCACTATAAAAAGTCGTTCTTGTCCTGCTGAGGCTTTAAACTGTAGTTATTTTGATAGGTCTCGGTGGTCTACTGTAGGAAATGTTTAGGTAAACTCTTTCTTCTTGTCAGGTGTTGACCTGGTGCCTATAAAGCCCATCCCCAACGTGGTGGCACTGCAAGAGGACATCACCACAGAGAAATGCCGACAGGTAAGTCAGCCACTTTGAAGTGGAAAAATTGGCAATCAATAACCAACTGGTAGCCTCATTAATCATAATAACCCAGAAATAGAGGGGTTCAATTGGCTTAGATGACCACACTGTTAATAAAAAACAATGGACTGGTAAATTGGCTTTATTTAAATTATTTCTTAAAGGCTGAATTTGAGAAAACTATTCATGCCTTTATTACTTCACGTATAGATAACTGCAACTCCTTATATGCAGGCTTGGACAAGTCATCCGCGACCACATAACTCCTATTTTAGTGACCCTTCACTGGCTCCCAGTCCAATTCCGCATTGATTTTAAAATTCTTTTAATTGTTTTTAAAGCCCTCAATGGTCTTGCCCCCTCTTTACCTATCAGAGCTCCTGTATCATCACTCCCCAGCCAGAGCCTTAAGGTCCTCTGGCCAGTTACTGTTGAGCGTCCCCAAAACCAAGTCTAGAGGTGACAGGGCCTTTCCAGCGGTTGCCCCTAGACTGTGGAACAGTTAACCTGTCCATATTACAGCCTCACAGACCTTAGAGTCTTTTTAAATCATCTTTAAAGACCCACTTTTTCTCCCTTGCTTTTAATAAATAAGCACGCAGGAATCAGCGGCACTGTAGCTTTTATTCTTCTACTGTCTGCATTTTATTCTACTGTTTTTTTACTATTGTTATCTACTTGTTTTCTTACTTCTTTTATTTATCCCATGTACAGCACTTTGTTTGACTGCTGTCTTTTAAAGGTGCTTTATAAATAAACATTGACTTGACTTTGTTTTAATCATGCTTTCCCTAGTCTTTGTTGGGCCATTCAAAACACTTCTACATTGCTTGTCACATTCACCCATTCACACCACATTCATACACTGATACAAGAACCTGCTATGTAGAGCGCTCATCAGTATCAACTTATTGGATTCACGTACAGCTGGCTCAACTGTGGGGCATTTTGGGGTCAAGTGTCCTGCCCAAGAACACAATAGCTTGTGGACAGCAGCACCAAGAGAGAACAAGATATTTATAAAAATGAAAATTAACTTGACTGACTTAATTTATGTTCTGTTTCTTTGTTTTGCAGGCTTTACGAAAGGAGCTGCAGACATGGAAGGTTGATGTTGTATTGAATGATGGAGCTCCAAATGTGGGAGCCAACTGGCAACATGATGCCTTTTCACAAGGTAGGAGCCAGCAAAGCCAAAGATTTGGGACATCAGAGAAAAATCACCAGTCAATCAAAATTTGTTATAGCTTTTACAAACCAATATATCACGTCACGTCTTTTGTTTTAACAATTCCTCAAGTTCTCCCTTTATTTATCCTTCTCCTTATTTATCCTTCCTCAGCTCACTTGACCCTCATGGCTCTGAAGTTGGCTTGTGAGTTTCTGACCAAAGGTGGCACTTTTGTCACCAAGGTTTTCCGCTCCAAAGACTACCAGCCGCTGCTCTGGATTTTCCAGCAGTTCTTTAAGAAGGTGCAGGCTACCAAGCCACAGGCCTCCAGGAATGAGTCTGCCGAGATCTTCGTCATTTGTCAGAGTCAGTAGGAGCTACACCTTCAGTTCATGATGAGAAGAAAAATCATTTTCATTTCTCTGATCTGGTGTCTTTCCCTTCTTAGGTTTTCTTGCTCCAGACAAAATTGACAACAAGTTCTTTGACCCTAAACATGCGTTCAAAGAGGTGGAGGTGCAGGCTAAGACTGTGAGGGAGCTGATTCCTGTCAAGAAGCCAAAGGTATGTGCAGTGGATAGCAATTTCATGTCAAATCTCAAGTGCAATAAAAACATCCAACTTTAATCCCCCGCAATGAAAAGATTCGCTATATCCTTAACTCAAGGATGTCATGTTTATATTTGAGGACACATTTGACTCCGGGTGTTGAATCTACGACTGACCAAGCAGCTGCTTCTCTGTTTCAGGCGGAGGGATACGCTGATGGTGATCTAACACTTTACTACAGTTTCACAGTGACTTCTTTTCTGAAAGCAGACAACCCTGTAGACTTCCTGGGCAAAGCAAGTGAGGTGAGCTGTCCTTTTAACTCTTTTCACTGACTGATGTAGAAAGCACCCCCTCAAACATATTCTATTTCATTAAAATCTTGCAGATATAGGTAATAATCTAACGAGAGAATATATACAGAAAGGATCAAGCTAATGAAACCATCCCTGCTCTGTTATTCTTACTCTGTTTTGTTCACTCAGATCACTTTTGACAATCCAGAGCTGGAGTCTCACTCCTCCACCAGCGCTGAGATTAAGGAGTGTTGTCGTGACATCAAAGTCTTGGGACGCAAAGAGCTCCGGTAAATCATCTTACTGACGACCGCAGTTGATCAGATATCCCTGTTGGTGTTGTCCTCTTTCAAGAATAATTTACTGAAGTGATTCATGCTCTTTTGATGTCGTCTTTCCCTCTAGCTTGCTGCTGAGCTGGAGATCCAAGTTGAGGAGGTTCCTGGCCAAAAAACTGAGGATGGGAGCCAAACAGCTCGACCAGGAGATCAAGTAAATTCTTTAAAGCACATCTATAAAACAAATGTGAATCCATGCCTGATTTTGCCATCGCAAATCTATCAAAAACATCTGCTTTGCTTTGTTTTCAGCTTAAGCACTGATGAAGAGGAGGGAAATTCAGAGGAGGAACCAGAGGTTAAAAAAAAAGAGGGGGAGGAGGCAGAAGAGGAAGATGAGGAGGAGGAAATGGAGAGGAAACTGGCCGAACTAAAAGCTGAGGAGGTAGCTGAGCTCAAAAGGTATGAAATGATCACAACTTTATTTTGTGATGATGATTTTAAAATGTAACTTTTGCTACTTGGTGTTTAAGAAACTGTTAAACTTGAATTTCCAGACATGATGATGGCATCAATTCTTTCTTTTTTCATACTCTATAATGAAGATCTTGATCACTTTTGCGTTGTTCTACTGCTTTGTAGTCTCTAAATCAAAGTATTACTACCTTGAGAAATAATCTACAAACCAGTTTTTGAAGTCTTGTTTTGCTGACTGAAGGTGGAGCTCTTTTTCCTCTCCAGTGATCTCGTACCATCTTGTCTGTAACTGCTGCTAATGTAAAAAGAACATGAAACACAGCTTGACATTTTGACAGAAAACTGAGTATTAAAAGCAGTGATGCTTCCTCAGGAAGAAGAGGAAACTGCTGAAGGAGCGGCGCAAGCAGAGGGAGAGGGTGGAGCTGAAGATGGACCTGCCAGGCGTCTCCATCGCTGATACGAATGACTCGTCCATGTTCTCCCTCGCTACCATCAAAAAGCAGCAGGTGAGGACAGCACAGACATGAAAACATCGGCGAAGAGCATGATCAATCTTTACAGAGATGCAGCTGCTCATGCTCTCTGGTACTCACTTTTCTCCATCAGGTGCTGGTTGATATATCAAAGGGGGACATGCAGGCAGCAGACAACCTGGTTGAAGAAGACGACGACCTGCACCTGTCTGAAGAGGAAGATGACCATGAAGATGAGATATCCTTGGCTTCTGACTTGGATGATGAAGACATGGAAGAGGTGGAGCAGAGACAGAAAAAGCTGGAAGAGAAAGCACCAAAGAAGAAGTGAGTGGCCAGTTTCACTGTAAACAAAACTGTCATGTTAAATACAGTGATTTCGTTTCTAATCTAGGAGAAACCAAGACATGTTCACTTCCTCAATGATAACCTTTTTTTTTCTGTTTCCCAGAGTGAGTTTCGCTGAGGAAGAAGAGAATGATGATGGAGGGGAGGAAAGCGGCTTGCTGGTGGAACTCGAGGGAAAGGATGAGAAGAAAGAGAGAGAATCTAACCTGTGGTTCAGCAAGGTTTGCACACACTCTCCTGCATAATCTATTTACGGTCATATAGACTGGCTTTGTCTAGTACTTGGTTATCTGTCACCTCAGTAAGTTCACTGCTGCTCTCTCCTGTGGCCTCCAGCTACATTATGATTTATTTTGTGCCACTTTTAATCTTCTTGTACATTTTCGTCTGTAGGGCATCTTCTCTGAGATCGATCTGGAAGGAGACGCAGAGAGTGAGCTCCAACAGTCTGAGTGGCTTCAGAGCAAAAAAAACGGTAAAAGTCTTCAGTCTTCTTTAATGTCAGACCCTGTGCCACGCACCTCTGTTTACTGTTTGGTACATCAGCTAACCTGCAAAAAGACTTGACACAATCAGAACTTGAACATGGTTATTCACCTGTCCTGCAGGCTGCTTACGGGTTTTTGTGGCCCACAACACACTTGACATTTATATTTCCTGTGTGATGACACAACACACTTTCCATGCTGCCTCTCCTGTTTCTGTTCGCTGTAACAGACACACAGTGTAGAACACACAGGAGCAATCAGGGGAAAACAACCTCCTGTAAACAGAGTTGTATATTCTCTCAGATATTTGGTGCATGTGGCGATTCATAATATTTAGCCAGACACAACAAAGGATAAACTATGCTTTCAAAGTTAATGTTAAATTTTAGAAAATTAATATAGATAACAATTTAATCCTATTATGATAGAAATCTAGTGGGTTAGTGAGCTGTTTGTACGTCCTTCACTAATCTGTGTAGGTCTGTATTACAGCATCATGACGCATCTGGATAAAGTCAGATACTGAATCAATTTGTTGACAAGATAGTTGTTATCAAATCGTCAGATGTATGACTCCAATAAAATGTGTATAAAATGTCGCTCTCTGAGACTGTTGTATTAATGTCAATTTAAATTTTGTTGGAAAAGGGAAAAAGAGAAAAGCTCAAGATGTGGAAGAAGAGGAGCAGGAAGAGGTGCAGGTTCCTCCTCCTGTGGAGGAAAAGGTGGGACCATCACAGGAAGTCAAAGAGGACAGTGACAGCGACTCAGACGACAGCAGTGATGACGAGAAGTAATAATTAATTTTCTGACTTTTGTTTTGTCCTGGTTTTTTGTTGACATTTTTAAAATCTGATATAAATGCAAATAAACAAATGTTTTTTTTTCCTTCCAGAGAGATCAGCAGGATGAAACAGGCCAAGGGGAAAGGTGGGATGTCAGGACAGGCAGATGACGATGACTTCCAGGTTGTTCCTGTAGAAAGTACTAGTGAGTATCAGAAACAGAGTATTTGTATTTCTGTGGCTATTTACAGAAATATTACCACTAGACAAACCAGACATCTTTCAAACATTTCTGATCATTTGAGTGATAAACTTTGTTTTAATCCCTACAAAAAAGCAAGTCTAGTGTTATTTGTATCAAAAAAGTTTTGCACTAAGTTACCAGAATGTTATTATGCTCCTCCTAACATATTTATACGTATGCACTCTGGAGTTTAACTGTCTCTGTCCTCCTCAGGTAAGAAAGCTAGGATCTTGGATGCAGAGGGCCTGGCAATGGGAGCTCAGATTGCTACATCTAAGAAGAAAACCAGAGACCTGATCGACGGCTCATTTCACAGGTGGGAATGTTTGTGTGTGATCTGCATATGATTTGTTTTCTTGACCAGGCACCTGGGTGCTCTGTGCACATGTAGTCACATGAATGAGCAACATTACTTACTAAATAAATCAGTCATCTAAAGAGAACAATTCAATTAATATATTTCAATTATACATATTACATATATTTATATTAGTAATAAACTTAATATGAAGCTCAAACCTGTTAAATGCCATAGAATTTACCTAATGTGATATATATATATATATATATTTTTTTTTTTTTTGTCATATTAAAATTAAATAATGTGTCTGAAAGACTTCTGCCTGTTGTGATCATAACTGCCTCAATTCTTCGTGGCATAGATTCAACAAGGTGCTGGAAGCATTCCTCAGAGAGCTTGGTCCATATTGACATGATGGCATCACACAGTTGCCGCAGATTTGTCGGCTGCACATCCATGATGCGAATCTCCCGTTCCACCACATCCCAAAGATGCTCTATTGGATTGAGATCTGGTGACTGTGGAGGCCATTTGAGTACAGTGAACTCATTGTCATGTTCAAGAAACCAGTCTGAGATGATTCCAGCTTTATGACATGGCGCATTATCCTGCTGAAAGTAGCCATCAGAAGTTGGGTACATTGTGGTCATAAAGGGATGGACATGGTCAGCAACAATACTCAGGTAGGCTGTGGCGTTGCAACGATGCTCAATTGGTACCAAGGGGCCCAAAGAGTGCCAAGAAAATATTCCCCACACCATGACACCACCACCACCAGCCTGAACCGTTGATACAAGGCAGTATGGATCCATGCTTTCATGTTGTTGACGCCAAATTCTGACCCTACCATCCGAATGTCGCAGCAGAAATCGAGACTCATCAGACCAGGCAACGTTTTTCCAATCTTCTATTGTCCAATTTCGATGAGCTTGTGCAAATTGTAGCCTCAGTTTCCTGTTCTTAGCTGAAAGGAGTGGCACCCGGTGTGGTCTTCTGCTGCTGTAGCCCATCTGCCTCAAAGTTCGACGTACTGTGCATTCAGAGATGCTCTTCTGCCTACCTTGGTTGTAACGGGTGGTTATTTGAGTCACTGTTGCCTTTCTATCAGCTCGAACCAGTCTGGCCATTCTCCTCTGACCTCTGGCATCAACAAGGCATTTCCGCCCACAGAACTGCCGCTCACTGGATATTTTTTCTTTTTCGGACCATTCTCTGTAAACCCTAGAGATGGTTGTGCGTGAAAATCCCAGTAGATCAGCAGTTTCTGAAATACTCAGACCAGCCCTTCTGGCACCAACAACCATGCCACGTTCAAAGTCACTCAAATCACCTTTCTTCCCCATACTGATGCTCGGTTTGAACTGCAGGAGATTGTCTTGACCATGTCTACATGCCTAAATGCACTAAGTTGCCGCCATGTGATTGGCTGATTAGAAATTAAGTGTTAACGAGCAGTTGGACAGGTATACCTAATAAAGTGGCCGGTGAGTGTATATATATATTTTTGTCATATTAAAATTAAATAATGTGTCTGAAAGACTTCTGCCTGTTGTGATCATAACTGCTCACTAAATAAAAAATTGTGATAACTGATAACAATAGGCAATATTTATATGCATTCTTTTTTTACACCACAGTTAAAAGCAGTCAGAAGCAGGAGTCGATTTTGGTAGTGCCTACTAAAAAATTGGAGCTACTAAGATATTGGGAATATGTATATTTTCCTTCTGCAGTTTACATGCAGCTCATGTTTCATGAATGAGACCTGATATTTGCTTTTAAAATTGGAAGAATATTTTTCAAACATTGCCTTCTGCTTATTTTTGTTGTTCCATCAATTCTCAAAAAGCTGACTTTGAAATTTAATATGGTCAGTCACACTTTAATGGTTGACCCCCCCATCCTCATGTGTTTGTGTACAGTAAGCTGACTGTGTGCTTCTGCAGGTTTGCCAGCTCTGAGGAGCAGTGGGAGGTACCTAACTGGTTCCTCGATGACGAGCTTAAACACCGGAAGAAACCAGTGCCGCTCACCAGAGAGATGGTGGAAGAGTACAAACAAAAATGGAAGGAGATCAATGCCAGACCCATCAAAAGAGTTGCCGAGGCCAAGGCCAGGAAGAAGAGGAGGGTAAGATGAGAGGAAAAGTCAAATAAAAACTTCAAGATAACTGGATAACTCGATGTTTTGTCACCATGGCATCTGTGGTTCTGAATTTGTGATTTTCCTTTTGACTTTTCCAGATGTTGAAAAAGATGGAGCAGGCAAAGAAGAAAGCAGAGGCTGTCGTCAACACAGTGGACATCTCAGAGAGGGAGAAGATGGCTCAGCTGAAGAGGTATGAAGGTTATACCTGTGGGGTTGGAGCTCAAAACCTTAAATCATGACAGGATGTATTTCTTTACATTTTATAACCCCACCAAAAGACTAACTTAATCATTTTGTCTTGTTCTGTTCAGCATCTACAAGAAAGCTGGTCTGGGGAAAGAGAAGAGAGAAGTTACCTATGTTGTGTCCAAAAAGGGAGCTGGCAAGAAGGTTAGACGGCCGGCAGGTGTAAAAGGAGCTTTCAAAGTAGTGGACAGCCGCATGAAGAAAGACATGCGGGGAATGCAGAGAAAAGAACAACGTGCCAAAGGGGGCAAAGGAAAGGGTGGAAAAGGTAAAGGAGCACAGTCAAAGGGCGGAAGAGGCGGGATGAAGGGTGGAAAGGGCCGAAAAGGAAGATAAACTTGGGCCTGCAAGTGCGTCACAGTCCTGCCTATCAACTGTCCAATGTTGCCTTGGCTCATATCCTTTATGTGAGAGGTCTTGGATCTTTGTGAGCAAAGATGGCTTTCACAATTTGATCCTCTTATATGAGGCACGGTGATGAAAATGAACACATGGACACGCCGTATTAGCAACCTTTGCCAAGGTTCCTCAAACTCATGGAGACTGAGGGTATTGGAATTCTGGTGGTTCAAGAACGTCTTTGTTAAGATGTTGTATACTTGCTCTGAACTTTGAGAACCAGAGTAGTTTCACAAACCAGATTCATGAAAATAAAGTAACAAATGTTTTCCATAAGTTGGTAGTTATGTAAATATTATAAACATGTTTGCAATAAATTTTTTGTTGAAAGAAATCACTGAATAATTAGTCAGTCTTTGTCAAGGTTTAAAAAAAAAGGAGGTATGTTTTCTGAAGTCTTGTGGGGATTTGTGGTCATTTATTTTGGCCTCACTGATATGTAAACTTTATATTCGCTTTATTGCTTTGTATGTGATACCACTGCATCATTAAGGTGCTGAAAATTTGAGTGTGACTGGAATTGTAAATGAGACAGAATAAGTTCTTAACTTCTGTGAATTTAGTTCGCTGAAATAAGAAACAACCATTTTTGACGTTTTATTTTCGCAATATTATGACATACGACTTTATTTTCAGAAAATATGACTTTACCACTTTTACTGTAATGATAATGATACTAACTGTATTTTTATAGCACTTCTAAAAACAGAAGTTTACAAAGTGCTTTGCAAACAGCTGTAAAGCATCAGCACATGGAAATAAAAACAAATAAAAAACAAAAGCTCAGTCAAAAACAAGGCCTCCGAACTGAAGGCCAATTTCATTTGTCATAAGAAACCCAGACAATACAAGAACCCTACATCATAAAATCAGAGCATTAGGACCAAAATAAAAACATAAAATCGGTAAAAAGAAGAAATGTAATAAAAAAGGGAGGGGGGAGAAAGCAGGAAACAGGATATTATATATAAAAAGACGATATTTATAATAAGGTCAATGATAAATAATAAAATAGTGACTGTAAACTTGTAACATAACGACTTTTTTCTGGAAATCTTAATATCTTTTTCAGCATGTGGCCTTGCTACCAGTGGCGGTCTTACTATTAGGCAACACTAGGCAGTTAACTAGGGCCCCGAGTTTCTGGGGGCCCCCAAAAACTCCTACACTTATGGTTAATTGAGGTTTTACTTTTTTGTCCACATTTATGTTTTTGATCCAAATCCATTCACTCAAATGTCAGCAGAATGCTTATCATCAGTCGCCATTACATTGGATTAGTCCATCTTACTGCGTCTGTGCAGAAAGGAGTCAGGAAGACAGCAGCAAAACATACAAAAACAAATTGCTTTAATGTGCGTAATCATTCCCTGATGTTTAAGGTTGAGCTAATTTTAAACACATTTATCTACTGTTGGGCAGTTTAAGCAACTATCATATTTTTGTAGCATCACTATCTCGCATCACATCTCTCCTGTCAGATTTAGAGACTTAAAGACAGTTCAGTTATTTTTCATAATACAGATTTTTTTTTTGTTTCCCTGAAAAAAAAAGGGCAAATAAATAACAAAAAACAAAACAAAATGGGAAACAAACAAACATCAGCTATCAGCCAAATTGTTATTTCAAACATCGGTATCAGCCCAGAATTTCACAGCTCCCTAGATTAGAGTGGAGGATGCAGAGGGCCCATGCCTGCCTTTGCCTGGGGCCCCTAAATTCCTAAGTCCGCCCTTGCTTACTGCTCCGTCTCAGTCTTTTTTTTATCATAGACTGTGCATGGCTGAGGACTTCGTCAACGGTTTTTCTCATAGGTTTTTCTGAAATACACCATTTCCCGTAGGGCTTTGCGCCACACGGAAGTAATGTGAAAGGTCGATGCCGTAAAGCGTTTCGTTCGTTTGTTTTCCCAGGTACTTGAGTATCAATAGTGAAAAGTCTTTTGTATTAATCATATTTGCTGTATGCTCCTTGTATAAAATATCGTTACATTCATACTGCAGTCTGTAGGCCTAAAACTAGCGCTAGCTTTCGTTCAGTTGTGCTCAAAACGTTGAGTATTATTATTAATTTTACGGTTGGCATTAGCCACCTCTACTCGCTGTCCCTTTAATTGGAGGCTTGTTTACATTTAGTCACGTTTGCTAGTTAACTAGTTTAACCACTGGAGGTTTTGTTTGGGAAGCGTTCTCTCCTCTGTGTGTCAGGATGCTGCTCGTTGTCCTGGTATGCAGCCTGGCACTGTCAGTTTCTGGACAACATGTGGAGGACGACTGGATAGATCCGTATGACATGCTGAACTACGATGCGAGCACCAAGACGATGAGGAAACCTGCAGAGGTTGGCTGGTGTTGTGCTTCAAGTGATTTTCCAAACTTTAAATGTGTTGAAGCCATGTTAGATATGTTTTGTGTTGGTAATATGTACATGCAATTCTTCCAGCCAACGAACTACCCCAATGTGCCAACCAAAAGAAGACCGTATGATCAGGACTCCAACCATAATGAGCAGATGCAGTGTGACACACAAGTGAAGGATCTTCAGAGACAGGTTGGTGGTTTTAGGGTTTATGCATTTACTGGAATAGCTTCTGAGGGCAATAGTGACAGAAATAGTGTGTGTAAAACTGCACACAAGTACTCAGTGTATCCAGTAAATATCTATAGGGGAGAGTGGGGTAAGTTGAGCCACCCCCTGTTGCTTGGAATTGTTAAAAGAAATTGATCATGTGACCAAATATTTAGGAGATGGGCATCAATTCATGGAGTCTTACCCCACACACGGGGTAAGTTGATCATAGGAGATCACTTTTTTTGGCATGCTATATCATCAACATAGTTATTTTTACACTCATTTGGTTTGCAGGGATGAACAACATCTTGAAATATATGCAAATACACTATTTAGAGTCAAAACTATGATTGCCTTGATGTAGTGACCAGAAATATGAAAAATGGCTCATCTTACCCCACTCTCCCCTTTTTACCTATCAACAAAAACTTATACAGTGTCCGAAAAGTCTGAGCTTTTTGTGAAGAAATGTGTGTCAGATAATACTTCCTTAACACACAACAATTATCAAACTAAAATTACATCCAAAACTGTCTAACTGTAAAATGATGGATAAAGCAAACATATCTTCATGCTGTCAGTTTTTGAATCACAAATGCTGTACTTTCCTTTTGTTCAGATTGTACAGCTACAGAAGAAAATCTCAGAGCAACCCACATGCAACCCAGTGTTCAAGCGATTCCTTAACAGGCTCCTTAAGGAAATACAAAGAGTTGGTGTGGTAGGTCGTTATCTTTCACTTCTCCCACTCTGTGATTATTTTATGCCCTACAAAGTCATCAGTTTTAAGTTTGGCATTATAAAATGTTTGATGCTTGATGTAACCATGGCAATGAAAAAACACACGTGCAATTAGCAGAATACATCTCAAAATGGAACCTTCAATAGGGTCTCAAAACACATCTTTTTTTCTCTCCAGCCCACTGACTCTGAGGAAACCTTTTATGATGCCAAAATCAAACTATCCTCACAAGCCCTGACAGAAATTCTGAGTCTTCTGGAGGGTGAGGACGGTCTGAAGACAGGAGCTTTGGACAATGCCATAAGTCAGATACTGGTGGATCTCAGACCACATGACTACGAGGCTTGGAAGTGGCGCTTTGAGGACACCTTTGGTGTGGACCTGGACACACTTTTAAAAGTAAGCTCATTTAAGTGGTGAAAAAATTAATAACATTGCAAGAGAGCGCAAAAAAAGTGAAATATTCCCCAAAATCTGGTGATAGATAGAGGACAAACAATTACCACTGATCACATATCTCTGTTAATGTTATTTACCAGTTTTAAACAAGGAATGCAGATTTATCTTTGGATTACATGACCTCTCAGTCTTAACCTACATAATAAGTTCACAAATGCTATTAGAAGTCCTTAAAGTAGAAACACTTTTTCACAGACTGAGAGCCAACAAATCTCCAGATATCCGCTGTGTGACCAAAAAGAAACAATATTAAATAAAATCGTCACCCTCTGATTCCTTTTACTGTCTCTTCGAGGACAAAAACTGTCAGCAGCGACAATAAAGTTGCATCACAGTACAAATAAAGGTTGCCTGTTTCTGTGTACATTTTCAAATAATTCTGTTGTATGTTTTTTTGTTAAAATCTTGTTCAACCAGTGAGTTTGTAAATGGTTGTCTCTGTTTGTGTTGCAGATTGGCCTGTTCTTTCTGGTCTTAATTGGCATCATTTGCACTCAGCTGTGGTCTACGGTGTCCAGGTTTATGCAGTTCCGCAGGTTGCTCGCTTTCGGCTTTTTCATCAGTATTCCCTGGAATTGGTTGTACTTGTACAAGGTGAAATAGCATTTCTAGTCTGCTTGAATTTGTTTGCAGTTCTGTCCTTAAATGGAGGTCAAATTTGTAATGTATATTTTTCTTTCAGATTGAATTTGCCAAGCATCAAAACAACTTAGTAAAGGCAAACACCGACTATGAAAAATGCACTGGGATGAAGAGTTTTAGCTGGGGTGATAGCTTAAAAGGTAAGTCGTGAAGATATTGTATGATAGTGTTTTTATAAGTTTGTTTTAAGACCTTTAAAAATTTTCAACTAGAGAAGCAGATCATTTTTCTTAGCTTCTGACAGAATAATTAGATTTGGGATTACTGGAGGCCAGTATAAAGTCAGACATTGGGCAACTTTTAAATTCATACAGTGAACTTTTTTTGCAGACTGTTACACTTCATTAGTCACTCTCTTTTAGGTGTAATTAATTAGGAAATTATCTAACACCTCAGCTGCAAAACTTTGCCTAGTTTACTGTCACTCCTCAGATTCTGGTGTTTTTCATTTGGGTGCAGCAATTACTGAACATTTGAAGAAAAACTGTTGACATCCATCTAGAAAAGGTGATTTTTGAGCAACCCATTCTGACTCTGTATACTTTCCTGCAGAGTGGTACAGAAGCACCCTAACCCTCCAGGATGACCCTTGCGAGAAATACTATAAAGACTCGATGATTGACCCCCTAATGCTGGTACCCCCAAGCAAGGTGGGCTACCATGATGCTATTTATGTGTTTAGAGTGCAAGCACATTTTTCTTACTAAAGTTACAAAATGCTTCATGCACAGCTTTATACATAAAATATTAGCTTTGTTCATCTTTAACCTCAACAATGCTCTGTGTTTAGGTAATTATATATACCTTAACAACTTTCTTTACTGAGCCACTGAAGCATGTTGGAGAGGGCATCAGTGAATTTCTTCGAGCCCTCCTCAAAGACCTTCCAATCACCCTGCAGCTCCCAGTTCTCCTGACCATTGTGCTTTCTATTGTGGTGAGTTCTTTCATAAATAATGATCAACTGTGCCTTATAAAAACAAAGACCTTATTTTAATTGAAATGTATTTATTTATCCCTGTTGCAGGTGGTCATGTATGTTAGTGTGAATGCATCCTTCCAGCATGGCATCCTCGCCCCTTTTCGCCGCCATCGAAGGGATCAACCTCCTCCTCAGCTCAGACCACAGCATCACACCCCGGAGATTGAGGACAGGGACCACTTAGCTGGAGGAGACATACCCCAGCCAGCGCTGAGACACCGAGAAGAAGACCCCAGATTACACAGGAACCGGGTTCATAACAGGAGGCCCAATAGACCCAGGGAGCAGCGAGCCAAGGTGTTTGTGGAGACTCTACACACTGCAAGGCCTACCGACAGTGAGGATGAGACCGACGCTGGGCTGTGTGAGGAAGAGCAAAATCTCTCTACTAATTCAGATTCTGAAACCCCGCCGGAGATAGAGAAGGGGCTAGCAGAAGCAAGCGCCATTTCGGTTTCTGCTAACAAAACCGAATCTGACACTAAACCCACTGAATCAAAATCAGCTGAGTCCAAAAATAAACCTTTGAAAGTCCTTAAAAATCAACCTCATGTTGACTCCAGCAGAGACAGTGCAGCATCTATACCTCAGCCAGAGAAGACGAGACCCTCAGAAACTGATGTTCAGGTGAGTTGTATCGCGAATACCTGAAATCTAAATAAAACTTATCTAGCTCATATCAATATCATCAATATATCATACAAAAAATACCATTTTAAGTGCTAGAAAAGCCTTTAAAGCCTCTTGTTTGTTATATTTTGATGCTTCAGCATTGCTCATGCGCTAAAGGGATGATGAATATTCGCATGCAACATCACTTGCTTGGTAAATAACTATAGTCATACATTTTGTGACACGTGCTAATCTGTGTTAGATTTTCCCTGTTTTGACTACCGCTGCTTGTTTTGTGTGTGTAAATGTATTCAGCTAGTGTCCCGCGCATAGATAGCTCAAAATGAATGCCATAAACAAATACTGTCTATAATTGTAAAAATATAGGCTAAGTGTTATGCTGAAGTGGGAACTTGATCTGCCATCACTACAGCTCGGTACTTGTACGTTGAAGCCCTTATTGTAGCACTATTGGGGTCCCAGTGTATTTTTATGTATTGCATGCTCAACTCTGCATGGCAGAGCAGGAGCACCACTTACACACATAATCAGAAATAGGTATAAATATCCCATTCTGTAATGGTAGTTTGTAAAAGCCTGTTGCACTGCTTGTTAAGTTTTGCCAATATGTAAAAAAAAACTACCAGATTGCACAAGACTCACAATGAATCTACACTAAATGCCACAAATACAAACACTATGATTAATCATATCTCACCATCTGCTTCACCACAATGAACAATGGACTCTCCACAAGTTAAAAATTAGTGTTTGTATGTTTCACAATCACCTTTAATTACTTTGTTTTTAAATGTTAATTGTAGTTTTTAAGGTTTAAAGATTTTTAAGGTTGCAATTTTGTATTTGTTGCAGACAATGTTAAGGTAAATATGAAGGATGCATCTGTCTATCTGTCCATTTGTTTACTTACCTACTTATTTATCTGTATGCCAAAGCAAGAAATTAATTTCCACTGCATAAGTAAATGAGTCATTTAAACTCATACATTCCTTTGCAATTTAAAGCTTCTAGCAAAACATCAGTAACGCAACTAAAAGTCAGAACAATTTAACACATTGTGTATTTGATATCGTCAGATTGTATGCATTTTTAATGTAAACCTTTTTGCTGCAGGACCAGCGAGCTGCAGAAGACAAGACCCCCTCTGTCACACCGGCACATGTGGAAACTGTTGGAGTTCCTGTTCAGAAGTTGGCTGCAGTATCAGCAGAGTAGCCATCAGTCAGAGTGTAATGAATAGTCTGATCATGTTTGGTGCTTTTTGATAGACTGTGGAGGAGACGAAGGGAACATAATGTCTCAACTGACCTACGGACATTGCTTATATGTACATCTTGAGAAAACTGTGGGGTTAGTGTTTTCATCCAATCTCATCTTGCAGATGTGGCAAAGTCCAGCAGAGCCTCCAGCTGATCCTTTTTTTCTGCTTGTCATTTTTGTATGTTTTTGTTTCAACCACACATCCTCAGTTACAACAATTGCAACAGGTTTTATGACCTGCACAGGTATAAGAAATGATGGACACTGACTTTTTTGAATCATGGTCTTATTTGATGTGTGTTGAGAGCTGTCTAATTATTTAATTGGACATATTTTTTTAAATTTACAGTTGTAATAAAGACAGAATTTATAATATAAAAGGGAAAAGCGATTCTTTAATGTTTATGCACAATATGCTATTGTTGTGGCTATTTGTTTAAAATAAATAAATAAAATGCCATTATGCTGAGCAACAGCAAAACTACCTTTTAAGACAGAAGGTTTTAGCTGTTATAGATGATGACCAATTGCAAAAATGTTGTGGGATCAAGGTATTAATATCTTAAACTGTGATCTGGGGAAGTAAATAATGTTTTGTTTCCACCCTGGCAGAGTATTGGGTATGCATCTGTGCTAGAAAGTGTCCATGGAGTTGTTGCACTTGCATATCAGACATATACGCTGATGATGAATTTCTGAACTCAAGCTCAGACTGTCTGTAAAATGCAGTTTTATAATTGTAGGCAAAAGAATAAGGAGACAAAATTTCAGCCATTGCTTGTTGGTTAAGGATTGAATTGTTTAGGATTATCTTGTTACCTAAAAAGAAATTATTTTATCACCAAATGCAGTATACCTGAAACAAACAGTGAAGGTGGAAAATATCACATATTTCCCTTAAAAAAGGTTTTCTCTAAGAAAAAGGCCAAAAAAGGAGGCATGAAATTGAAAATAAATTGAAATTGTCTCCTAATTCATAACTTGGTTATAAATTAAGTACACAGATAGAGATGAAATCAGTTTGAAGTTAATGACAAGCCCTTTGCATCCCTCCCAGATGTTCCTCCTGTCATCACCTTTAATGTGTTTGGGTCTTTTATAATTCTGTTTACTCTATCTATACTGTTAATGTGGTTTTTCATTGTTTATATTAAAAACTAGATAGTAAAAATTAGACTCTTGGTCGTGTGTTGTCCGGAAAAAAGACTAAAACCAAAAGAGATGAAGTATCCTCTTCTTTTTTTCAGTATATCATACTCGTTGTTGACCCCTGGAGGCTCTAACGAACAGTCGATTCTGAAGTCGTCAGCGTGCACGCCGCCTGCACCTCATTTCCTGATTGGATGGCTGGTAGCCGCGTGCAGACCCAGTTGAAACACTGTCCTCGCGGTGCTGTGAGTGAATGTCTGTCAGCTTCCTCGTAGTTACGGATTTATTTGACTGCTGTGTACCATCGAAAAAACAACCATGGAATTACTGAACCGCTACCTGGACAGGAGCAACTCAGTCAGGTAAATTTTTAATGAAGTATTCCTGGTTGAAAACTTGCTCAAGAGCGTTACCTGACTAATTGACAATTAGTTTCTAAATGTTACTTAATGAATATGAAATATGTTTCAGTCGCTTATGAAAATGCGTGAAACAACATGCAACAATTTCTTGAAAGCTTAAGTTTCGTTGCTTCACATTTTAACTTCAGACTGGGTTATTTGTCTCTACCTTTCAACTTCCTGACAGATATTTTACAAAATGCATATTTGTAATGTGAAATTAGTAGTTTAAAGGTACAAGAGAGGGCTTGTACATTTGAACTCTGTCAGTGCGAGCTTGTGGCAAAAAAAAAAGGTTTAGGGAAAATATTGAAAGTGTACACACTGAGCTAACCTTGGACTTAAACCCAGGCAGCAGCATGAATGCAGTCAGTGTGCTCAGTACAAGGAGTCCTTCCTGTGGGAGATGACAAATCTGGTGCACTGGAAAAGACATAACTATAACCCAAGTTGATGATCAAGTGATATCTGCTTTCACTTCTCTTTTCACATCCTTGGCAACATAAGCTGGCCTTGTACTAGGATAAACTCAAACATTTATAGGTACTAAGTGCAACAGTTTTGCCTCCCTGCTTTGGCTTGTGGTTAAATCATGTTGAAACCGTGTTTCAGCTCTGTCTCGACCCAGGAGGTTATCAAAGAGGAGACCCTGAGAGATGACCTCAAGTTTTACTTCATGAGCCCCTGTGAGAAGTACCGGGCCCGCCGACATTTACCGTGGAAACTCGGGGTGCAGATACTGAAAATTGTGATGGTCACCACACAAGTATGTACCATGGGATTACTGTAGATTAGAAAACCCACCCACTACATGCTTCTTGCAACTGTTTTTTGTCCAAGACAGCAAGCCAGTAAATATGAAGTAGTGTTGATATTGGTGTACACACATTTTGACAACTTCAAGTCTCAATGAGAGGGGAGAGTGTTTGTGTTTTCAAGTTGAAGATGATGAAATAAGTGCACCACACCCATGAATCTGGACCCTGCTTTCCTTCCCACAGGCTGCTCTTAACACTGGAAGTGAAATTTGATGTTTTTCTCCTTCTTTGGTTTCAAAAAGCACTGCTCAAACAAAAAAGACAAATTCATCAGTGGTCAGGTAATTGATTGACAGCTATTTAGATGTTCATTGATGTATGTGGTTAAAAAATCAGTTACTAATTGCAACTTAAAGAACTGCTCCAAAAAAAACATGTTTTACTGGGAGAGAAACACTGCAATAACTTTTTTGTTGAGCCCCCAAAATGTAAAAAAAAAAGACTCAAAAGAATAATTTACTGAACTGTATTTACCTTGACTAATGCCTTAAACATGTAGATACAGTCTGAACTATTGCTGTATTCCTGGTTGTTTCCTCCGTAGCTGGTCTTGTTCGGCCTCAATAACCAGTTGGTGGTGTCCTATAAGGAGGAGAACACAATCGCTCTGAAAAACCTCTTCTTAAAGGGCTACACTGGAGTGGACGAGGATGACTACAGCGTGGCAGTCTACACACAGCATGACGTCTATGACAGTCTGTTTTATGTTCTTGATCAGGCAAGTTTTAACACCAACGTGTTCCTGTTCCCTGTCAAAAAATAAGTGTTTGATCCAAAGTGTTAAGAGTTTGTGTACATTGTGCTTGGGTAGAGGTTCTCCGATGGTTTTCTACTTCACTTTGGCCGTAAAGAAGTTTAAACACAGCACTTAGAAAATGAAGTGACATTATGGGATATTTTAGCATTTTATCATGAGAGCCTTTTTTTTCTGAGGAATAAGTCGCCCTGTATACCCCTGGCAATAAAGAAACAGCGCACAGTAATTATCATTTAAAGGCACATCCTGAACAGTTTTTAATCTGTTATGGATTGCACCATATCCCAAATGATGAGTACCAGCATAAGACTGAGAGATGAAGTGCCAGTGCTTCTGTAAACATGCTTGATGTGATTTGAACTTCCCTAAAGTGTGTTGTTAATCTGCGTCAGCTAAAATACTGCATTACAACATTTACCAGTCTGTAGGCACAGTACCACTGCAGCTTTAACAGTGTTAAGCAACCTACCTTTAGACACTTTGTTTTAACCAAGACTTCTTATATTTACAGTACAGCCAGTTGGGCAGCCTCACTGTGGGCCCAATAAGTTTTGCTGAGGATGATGATGGCAAGCTGCTTCCTCTCACTGTTTGTAAAGAGTACTACAAGAGAGGCACCATAGACCCATCAGATGAGGCCTATGACATAGATGCTCAGCTGGAAACAGGTAAGAGGGAATGCGTTGTTTCTTCAGAAAATGATCAACTAATTAATAAAATTACCTTTTTGTTTTTTAAGGAAACCACATTTGCCCCAAAACAAAAATATTACAAACAAAATATGAAAGAAAATCAAATTTGTTCTTAGTGTGTCTGTGTCTGACAGACTACAGGGGTACAGAAACATTACTCATGTCGTTTCACAAATGTAGTGGAAAAATGTCTTTGAGGTGTAATTCATCCTTACCTCATTTGTCTCTCTCAGTTTGTATGTCACATGATCCAAAGACTGCAAACCTATGGAAAACCCAGAATTCATCCTTTTTTGAGCTGGATTTTTACAGGTAAATGTTCTACATACGGCTTTTGCACATTTCTCATTTTTTTGCCAGTGCACAATTTGAATTTTCCAATTTTCTTTCAGGCTTGTTGACATTAACATAACCTTCCAGCTGAAAGGAATTAATCTTCAGACAGTGCGTTCCCGGGAATTACCTGACTGCTACACCTTTTATGTTACGGTACGATCAGCTGGATTTTGCTTTGTGTCTTTTCGAAAATTACATAATATAAGGAGATGAAGACTTGGATTTATAGATATGTTTCTACAAGATAAAAGTGTGTTTCCTATCTTATACTTATCTGTTTTTGACCTTGTGCTTTATATAGATAACATTTGACAACCAGTGTCACAGTGGAAAGGTGAAGATCTTCCTGGACACTGACGCTCAGAGCAGTGCGTGTCGAGACTGGAAGATATCTGGGACAGGTAAGGTGTTTCTTAACTAACCTGCTGGTGAACTGTCATGAAGAAGAAAGCAGGACAGTTCACAGAGTTCTTTTGCTTTCCCTGATTCATGGGCAGAGATACATCCATTACCAGTCAACTATCAGCTCAATCACACTTTATTTTGACAGCTGAATATTATTTTTGAAGTAACTTCAAGTTTTAATTCTCTCATTTGCTTTTTTTTTGGTTTAAAGATTGCTTTTGGACTCCTCTATCCTATTACCTTTTATACTCTCAACTTTATTGGCTTTTTTTAATATGTTCTTTATCTTCACCAAACACCACTTATGTAATTTTTCTGATTTAAAGTCCATTTATTACTTTGCCTTAATTGCGTGTGCTGTTCACTGTTGACTGTTAGGCGTGTTCCTGTGGACCCTTAGTTATCAGTGGAGTGTGAGGGAGTTATGTAAGAGATAAACCTTTACACTCACACACACACACACACTGACTTTGTCTGTGTTTCAGCCCAGAAGAACACGCACTATCTCCTGGTGTTCGACGGCTTCGTCATCCTTGTTTGTCTAACATCGGCCGTGCTGTGCACTCGCTCCATCATACTAGCTGTCAGGTTATTACAGGTCAGCTGATCAGTGTCTGATCACACAGTATCAGATCATACACGGACTTTTGTTATTTTACCTCATTGTTTCTGTTCATCCATGGTGTCATATTTATCTTTGTCATTTTGCTTGTGTTCAGCCAAATGTCACAAAAAGCACAACACATTTTGTTCAGTTTGATTTTGCACCGTTTAATACATCCTTCTTTCTTTTGAAGTGACTTAATTTTTATTGTTGTATTCTCAGAGATTCTCTAGATTCCTTCATGAGAATTACAGTCGTAAAGTCTGTGAGGACGACCAGGGCGAGTTTCTGAATGGCTGGTATGTCATGGTCATTGTCAGCGACCTCTTGGCTATAGTTGGATCCATACTCAAGATGGAAATACAAGCAAAGGTAAAAAATGTCTCTTTCTTCTTTGTGCCAGAGATGTCACTGTACAGACTAACTTTAGTGGCATGTGTCGATTAAGTGTCACTTACGAGGCGAAATCCAGATGTAGAGGTTTTTTATTCCTTGTTTTAATGGTGTGAAAGTAAAGTTAGACAACAGAAATCTTTGGACTATCTTTTCATTAGTCACAGCTGTTCACAACGTGGCATCACCTTTGATTTACATCGAGTTATTCATTAAACTGTTGCCAAATAAAATCTTGGGATTGGCTTGGATTGTGGAGGACTTTGGATCAAAACAACCAAATGTAGACGCTGTTAAGAACTTTTTATACATAAAATTAAACTTCCTGGTCTTTTAACATCCCCCAGTGAGGAGATTATCTCATAATCACTAGACCACAGGAGGAAATGTCACAGTCTATTGCTTGTGGTTAAAATGTAATGAGAGCTTCCTCTTTTGCTGATCCACTTTGTAAAACTGTAATAAAAAGTCTACACAGATCATATCACAGATTACACCTGCCACTGAAACATATTACTTTTGTTCACTTGAAGTAAACTTCGCAGCAGCTTTTCCTGACTCTGTGATCACCCATTTGGTACACCATGTTGGTGGTGTGCCATTTTTATGAACACAAAATACACCCTCTCTCTAAGCTCTTGTTATTCTTGATCCTTCTAATAGAGTCTGACCAGTTACGATGTGTGTAGTATCTTTTTGGGGACGTCGACATTGGTGGTGTGGGTTGGTGTGATCAGGTACCTGGGATACTTCCAGAAATACAATGTGAGTTTTTTTAATTTTATTATTTTATTTTCAAGTAACTATTTTTAAAACTCTTCTGCTTATTATTCATAGTACAGTAACTTCATGTCTTTATTTTATGTCCGTAGGTTTTAATTTTAACCATGAAGGCAGCCTTCCCCAAGGTCCTTCGTTTTTGCTGCTGTGCAGGCATGATTTACCTCGGCTACACCTTCTGCGGCTGGATCGTACTCGGGCCGTACCATGAGAAGGTAACTCTGAAACGGCTTTGAGGAGAGTTGTGGATGTGTATATGAAAATTGTCAGAAGATTTGCATCAAGCTGGTCTGAACTTCTGCTCTGAACCTCGATTATATACATGAGGGGAAAGAAAGAGGAACTAGTGGGGTTCTTTTTTTACTGACTTAGCTCTTGTTCACCCTGAAAAAAATGCTGAGACTGGAAAATTTAAGTTGTATGAGGAAGGTATAGAACAAACTGTGTTCCTAGTCACGTTGTCAAATTAGCTGTAACATCATTTTTGTCAGGGTACAAGCAAAAAACTGAGGGTCATGACAAGGAACACTTGTGTAAGTCAGTCCTCATAGATTCACCTTGGGAAATAAGAATGCAGTGTACATAGTTTTTAAAAAGTACAAAATCCAAATCAATGTCTTTTTTAGTATATTAAAGGTGGTGTTCTCTAAAACTTCTCTCTATTTGAAAAACGAACTGTTTTTTCTCATCTGGTATTTAATAATAATATTCAGTATTAACAATACACCAAAAAACAAAAAAACAAGTCCAAGGGTTTTTTCCCTTTTGAGTCAAAACAGCAGACATTAATCTCTCAGCATTATCACATGCAAACTGACGAGACTGTCAAAATTGCCGTTGAGCTCTTTCTTGTGGAACAAAGTCACAACTTCTTTCTGAAATGTTTGATACTGACCACTAGGTGTCAGTATGTGTCTGGTCAATAAAGCCTCTTATAGCATTTGATAGAGCAGTATGGTCCTTTTTAGTCCAACTACCTGAAGACAGAGGGGATTTCATGCACTTGCACACTCTCATCATTGTGCCTGTTCAAAATATCATTTTTTATTTGTTGTTGGGGTTACTTTTGAAAAGCAAAGGAAGTAAAGAAGTGGTGGTGGGGGGATAGTAAGCAAATGTCATTCTTTGCAGGACTCAAACTGGGAAAATAACCATCACATTATCACCATCTTAAAGCGTAAGGTGAATTGGAATTGAACAGTTGGAATTTTAAAACCCTTTCTAAGGTTACAACTCTTATTACGAACTGGTCAAGCTGGTATACAAGCTGGAATACAAGCAATAAAAAGGAAGAAACAGGACATAGTAAATGTTTTGATTTGCTCTGAAAAATCCACAACAGATGTTCTGATAGCAAACAGACAGACGGACGGACAGGGAGAAAGCACAGCTTGAACTGCGAGTGCAACCAGAGAAAATATGGGTGTATTTAGCCCGATGAGATAAATTATTTACAGAAGTCTGAGGATGCAGTAGGCGTCTAAAAAAGGCAGTTCTTCTACTGTACCATAGGAGAGCCAGATGTTAGATCAGCTGCACTGAGTCACGCATTTGTTTGAGCAAATAAAATGTTAGTCAGAAGTGTAAATAAGTTGTGGACCGATTTAAAGTGTGTTTTTTTTTAGTTAATTTTACTGCCGTCTAATCACAGTTTATAGGCCCAAGCTTGCATGAGGCCTGTCTGGAGAATTGTAGACAATAATAATGCTTTTTTTTACCATTATGAACTCCTAAGATGTGGTCTTGTTATAAAATGAACGAACAATCAGTTTCAAAATATGCGACAAATACCGTTAATGTTACTGAAATGATCCTCAAAGTTTCACTCTCTTTTTCTCCGTTCCTTGGAAGTGAAAGTGACTGTACTGGCAGTGCAGTTTGGATTAAACAAGTCTCTGTCCCCTGTGTTTTCAACACTACAGTCAACTGATACTCTGCTGTATTTACCGTGCTGTGGTTAAGGGTGTCCCCTGTAGTGTGCCGTTAGCCCTCTCAGGCTCCTCTGTGTATTTACTGTAGGGATAAACAGAGGATGTTACAGGACTGGCCATCCCACACGTCCTCAAGTGTTATGCCCTGGAATCCATACTGTCTCAGTGGGATGTTGTTTTTAGATGCTATCGCTCCCTGCTCAGACTCCATCATAACGTCGCCCCCTTTCAGACATCTGTCTCTGTCTCTCTCTGTCTTTATTGCAGGACCTCTATCAACTATCATGCTTCTGTCAGTGCTCTGCACCTCCTCCTCCTCCTCCTCCTTATTTGTGACCTTATATCTGGATTTCTGTTTTTATATGTGCTGTTGAAAAACAAAAATATACATATCAGTCATGACAGTATGTATATTACATTTCTTATACATTGGTTTCTGTATCTAAATTAACTGAGTGGATTTAGAGCTTCACATGGTATGACTCTTCTGCCTTGTGGTCCCCAAATATTTTGACTTCTCGGTAGATCTGATTTGAATTTTGATCGATAATAAATGGATCAACAAGCTTTTGATAAATGGTGATTTGTTTGGTGTTTATCCTTCTTGATAACCTGTGGTCAGAGATCTCTTTCCCCCTTGTTTTTCTGTCCCTTTCTCAAAGCTCCTCAGATTTGACCATGTCCCTTGAGTTACCTGTGTAATCCGGTCTAATGTCCTCTTTTCCGTGGTTCCAGTTTGAGGGCCTGAGTCGGGTAGCGGAGTGCCTGTTCTCGCTCGTGAACGGCGACGACATGTTTACCACGTTTGCCCAGCTGAAGGACAAAAACACTCTGGTGTGGCTTTTCAGCCGGGCCTACCTCTACTCCTTCATCTCGCTGTTCATCTACATGGTGCTGTCGCTGTTCATCGCCCTTATCACGGACGCCTATGAGACCATCAAGGTACTTTAAATTTTCAGGTCTCATAACCATCATTTTGCGGTTTTTGGTCACTTTTGAAAGTAAACTAAATATCTGACCTGGAGAACAATTGCAGCTCTGGGAAACTTATTATTTATTATAGTTTATTATTATTTATCACAGAAGAAAGCACCATATTAGTTTATTTCTTGTTGCTTTTAAATCATGTTTTCAGACAGTTTTGTGTGTTTTTACCAACAGAGATATCAGAAAGAAGGATTCCCGCTGACAGACCTTCAGAAGTTCCTCAAAGAGCAGAAAGACTTTCCTGTTGCGGAGGAGAACTGTCAGACAGACCTCAACCTCAGATACCCTGTTCTCTGCTGCATCCGGAGGTACTTTAGTGTTTACAATCACACTGTGATACTATAATATTTGACTTTTGTTCACACACCCTGTTGCACACACACAGTCACACCTGGAGCATGCCCTGTACCAACACGACTCCTAACCACTGAAACAGGAGAGATATTGATCTTAGAGTCCTTTGTTTTAGGGCAGTTTTTTTTATACAGTACATGAACTTATTTATTTTGTATTTTCACTGTTGATCAGGGATTCAAACCAACAACGTGGTCCTCAGTGTCTTACTTTGGGCTCTCATCTTGTCATACTTTGATGTGCTGTTTGCTATTAATCTGCTTAATAGTTGCAGAAAGGGTTTCCCACTGTAACCTTTTACCAAATACAACAAACTGCATTGATAGTAACTCAAGTTTCCACTAAAGGATATACCAAGTTGCCCCCTTGTGAGACTGATAGAATTGGTTTGCACTTGTAAATTGCTTTTATTAAGTCTAATTATCTACAGAATAATGAATCAGGGCTCTTAAAACAGATTTACAGACACTTGAAGTAAGCAGGTCTCTTCCTGTGCCAAAATTAGTCTCTGTTTACAACAGATTTTTTTTTTTTTAAATGAGAAAACAGCTATATACCTGGCTATCTTCTGTCCACTCTATGGGGCCAAACTGTCTGAGCAATATTCAGTACGCAAACAAAACATCACTGACCCTTGTAATTGGTAATAAGTGGAATCAAATAAAGCAGTTATCTTACAATATGAGATACGAGCTATGTCCCTTTATGAGTCTGTTTGATAATAATAATAATTAAACAATAGCATGAAACAAACTAAAGAAAAGACAGTACCGTCACAGCATTGGAAGCTCAGTTTGCTTTAATTACACAATGTTGCTGCAGCAGCACATTGCATTTCTCTATATATCTGTTTTCTGTTCATTCCTTCTCTCTGAGCCAATCTCTATCATCAGCAGGCAGCAGACTGCAGTGGAGTTTCCTCCACGCTGTGGTTTGGCTCAGTCTTGAGCGGTCTGAGCGCAATGAAATTAGTGGTGGGAGCTATGCAGACACACCCAGTGATGGGCTGATTACAGAGAAACTCAGGCTACACACTGGGAAGAACCCCCCTCTCTTCCATCCCCCAGCCATCACTCCCTCTCTGCTGTGGTGCTTCCTAGACACAGGCCACAGTCAGCATGAAGCCAAGGCTTGAGCCAGAGAGGTTTTGTTACAGCACAGTTATTTGATCGTAACATAATAGAAACCCTGTCTACATTAATGTGGAGTACAGACGAGATTAATCAGTCGCTGGTGTGGGTGTGTGAATCTCATTTGGTCTTGATCTGCTTTTCAGAATAGCTATTGTTCTCATACTTTTATCATAAACAGTTTGAAAACATAGTTTAGAATTAGTGCAGAACTTTGAGCCTGTTAAAAAGTTGTTGCTTCCTCTTTTACCATCTGTTTCTACTGAGCAAAAATGTTACAAACCAAATCAACCAGAAGCAGCACTTTACCAGTCTCTGTGGTGTCTCACTCTGACTTCTTGTTCTGCAAATTGAAGTTTCAATGAATACCAACAACAGTTCTCATTTGTAATTTTTTTTGTTTTGTTGCAACAACCGTGGTCATTTGTTAAGATTTTTGCAGCACCTGCAGTCAGTCAGTTATGTTCTGAAAGTCAAACCCTTCAATTTTTCAATGTGGAGATCTTTCCCTTGCTTTTCCCGCATATTGTGATATTTTTGTGTCTCACAGCTCTTACTTCACCATATTTACTAGACATCAACACTCTGACCCTGCTGCCCTTTTTCAGCCAATTCTCCCACCATTCAGCCATCCAACTTTCTTTATCTGCTCAAGACGGTGAAGTCTCAGTTACAGAGCCATTACTTAATGATGAGTAATAGTGCAAGTTAATACTGGACTGACTGTAGAGTGTGCGTCTCCTCTGTGAAATGCCTGTGACCTTTTTAGTGGGGGTTGACTTCTTGTCATCAGTATTCTGTAATAGCAGCCATTTGCTACTTTGCAGCTGACCACACTTCATTTTTAGCAGCGCCTTTGTCTCACTGTGCTCACAAAAATTAGATCAGCAAACATGTTAACGTCTTATTGGATGAAATTTCATCTGCATGCAACCAGCCTCTTCCTGCTATTGTCTTTTGGTCTAGTGGTTAATGTGTGAAATGAAGTTAAAAAGTAAGAGTCCCCATTTAGAGCACACTTTAAGCTAATATATCAGATTTGTCATTTGTGCTAATGTTTCATGACAAAAGACAAAAGTGAAACACTTTTAAATGATGAAGCTGCAGACTATTTACTGCGATTCATGCACTGAACATCATTACACAGTTTAATAAAGCAGCATGGCCTTGAAGTGGATGTTATGTTGTAAAAGCGCTGAGCTTTGCATAGGGACAATGTATAAATACAGCTATGTACCATTTAAGTGGTTTGGCTTTTCACGAGAATGATTGTACAGGACGTCCTTACTCTGTGACATACATTCACATCCTCTAACGGCTGCAGCAGTTTAAGGAACAGAGAGTCTGGGACAACCACAGCCCTGCACTGAAAAGTGCTGCTCATTGCACATCGTAAAGATGAAGGAAGAAGTGTTATTGTCCAAAGATTTGATGGGAAAGGAGCATAATTAGCTGTTTCTCGTAAGAGCAAATACAAGAAGTCGTTCAAGAGACAAGGCTGTCATTTACAGAGCTTGTTTGAAGGATTTATTCCCTGGACCTGCCCACACGATCTGAAATCCAGACCTCTTCCTGCATCCTTTTGTTGTCTCTCTTCCTGTCAGGGCCAAACCCTTCATGCAGGTGGAATAAAGAAACATGCTTGAGCTGGTTTGTTTTGTTGTCATTGACTATTATGGTCTGTGTAGGGAAATGTCTTGACAACTTGAGTAAATGTAGTTATGTAGACAGAGTTAGGAAAAAGCTCAAAAGCAGCTGTTCTTCCTGATAGAGATGAAAGTTTGTGTCCTCATGAGACATACTGGATGTCATGCCCTAAAACTGAAACTGCTCAGAGGTAAACTGGGAAATAGGACAGAGCAGGCTTACCTGGAAAAACTGTGCTGTCATGTTCTTTGTTCTTAGCGATATTTGTCAACACCTTTGTTATCACTCTCATATTCAAACTGTGTTAAAACCGCTGTACACACTCGTCAGCAACACAAGTTGAAAGTATGTTAATCTTGTGCTGCTGATGAGATACTAGATATATCTTCTTCTTTTTACTCTGTTACAGAGTTCCTGAAAATGATGACATTGTCCTGATAAGCTGACAGCTGTCCATCTGCTGATGAGACAACTCAGGGAGGAGGAGGATGCTGAGAACAGGATTTCACACATCTGATACAGACTTTGAACTTCCACTGTATAACCCCTGGAAAGTGAAGAGCGACTGTCCCGGCTGATTCTGTGGAGTGCACTCTGAATGCTGAACATGTTCCCGCTCTTGAACATGAAACTGGACCTCCAGCGAATGGGTTGGAACTGGAAACAAGAGATTTCATGTCAGCTTGTGTTGGATTTCAGTGAACCGTTGAGAAGTTTACTTGGCCTTTTGAGGGTCTGCACGTGCAATTAATTGCCAAAGAGTTGAATTCAGTGTTTCCTGCATTTGGTCATTAATGAGAAATCTGGTGCAATGTAACATTATGCAGTTCTGGATGTAATTTATTTGTCGTGTGTTGTAAAAAAAAAAAAAAAAGCAGTAAAGCAAATATAATCATCTGTTTATTGTTAGGCTGTTTTCTATTAAAATTTAATCAGAAGGAAGTTATAAACTGATTATTGTCTGTTTATGTGAAAACAGCAACTGATATCTTACTAATTAATAAACGGACCTGCTTTTCCTAGATTGTGTAACACACAGCTGATTTAAGATTGAGTAAGAGGCGCCGGTGTAACAGTATGACTCAGTTTATGATTACATCTACAACCAAGTAAAAATGTAAAGACAAGCTGAAACACGACTTTTTACTTAGTTTGACTACCAGTGTTTTAATGTGATAAAATCACAAGCTCAAAGGAAGATTTCCCATACAATCGCACCCCCCACCCCACCCCCGGGGATAAATAAAGTAATCTGATTCTGATTATTGCGGCATTGTCTGATGCAAGACCTTTGCCGTTCATTTCAACACTGAATTTGAAGTCATGTAAAACCTCTTCTGACTAACGTTGGCCTGGATTGTTAAAATGCTTGAGGCACTCCTGTTTGTATGACACATTTTTAGAAAAAACATGTCACCTAGTCACAAAGGAAAAATACTGTATTATTCCAGGGGCTGCCGTGGGCTTTGTTTCAGTGATTCTGATTTCTTAAAGACTTTGGGCTTTGAACAGCTATTTTGATTATACTAAGAAGTTCAAAGGGGTAGAATGTTTCTGAATAACAACTCATTAATCGTGAGGAGTGACCAAGACCTCAATAACAAAAACTTTAGGAGCACATGTTTTAAACTCAAATTATACCTGCGTGTTTAAAGATGTATGCTTTTTAATAAGAGTCTAATCTAGGCAGTGTAGGTGAGGTTATCGTACACCACAATATTGCTCTGAAATGTGGGCCGGTTAGTAGGGGAGAGTGGGGTAAGATGAGACATATTTCATATTTCAGATCACTACATTAAGGCAATCATAGTTTTGTCTCTAACTAGTGTATCTGCATATATTTCAGGATGTTGTGCATCCCTGCAAACCAACAGAATGAGTGTAAACATAACTGTCTTGATAATATAGCATGCCAAAAAAGTGGTCTCCTATGGTCAACTTACCCCGTGTATGGGGTAAGTTGAGCCTTATCCCTACTACCCCCCCCACTCTCCACCCCAGCCCTCCCTCACCTTCTCTCTCCCTAAATAACAGTCACTTCTTCACATTCATGTGTATTTTTATCTATTATATGCTAAAATAAAGAATATAAATGCTAAAAAGCTGCTTTGTAAAAAGCCATTTTAACATGAGAGTGCCTTTAAGTGCGCTTAGGAGCATCCACAGCTGTATTTTTAAAAAGAAAAGGTAACACATTTCAACAATCTGAACTGAAACTGATCCTCTCATCAGACTCCTTTACTTTCTCAGATGAGCTACTGGCTCAACTTACCCTGAACTATTGTGACTTTAGTAGTCCTTTCAGCTAAAATGGTGGACTTTTATGCTCAGTCTTTGACCTCATGTTGTAGCTCATAGATACCACAATTGATGTATAAAACAAATTTAAAATGATCTTTTTTGGTCTGAACACAATTCTAATAAAACTTTTGACAGACTAAATTCACTTTCAAGAGTGAAAAATGTTTTTTTTACCCCTTCACCCATGTGCTTCTAACCTTCACAGACTCCATGAATTGATGCCCATCTCCTAAATATTTGGTCACATTATCAATTTCTTTGACCATTTCCAAGCAACAGGGGGTGGCTCAACTTACCCTTTGGCTCAATTTACCCCACTCCCCCTAGTTGTCAGTTCATGATAAAATAAACTGGGATTGAAGCACAAGACTGCAGTAAACACAAATACATGTCCCAACGTGTGAAGTAGGCTACTGGACTTTAGAGGGCTTGAAATAGAAGAAATATGAGGTTGCAGAAGGTCAGTGTTTCAGTAAAAAATCAAGTTTGACGCTGTGTACCTGGGCCTCATACGGAAAAGAGGAGGAATTCACGCTCGAGGTTGGGTTGCCCACGCCCTCTACGTCACTGAGCTCGAGCCTCAAAGTTTAGACTCAACTCTCCTGACTTCATTTCTCCTCCTCGCGCTCGCATGCCCTCACCTTCCTCCCTCCCTCCCGTCCTTTTGTCCGTCCGTCGGTGCTCAATGCTGGAGGGAAACATGCTCATAAACTCACGGAATATTTCACAACTTTTAGTCGATTGACGCAACACGGACAGCCCGCCTTCTCGCGACAGGTAAACTCACCTTACTCTTGGTTGTTCAGGTAACTCTCATTTCTCCTTTTCCAGAGTCTGTCGGTGAAATAATACATTTGTGACTTTTATATGTTGGGTTAGTTTGTTCTGCACGAGCTCTCTGTCAGTCTCTGAGGATTTTTATTTCTTAACTCCTCCTCGCTGTTTTTGGTAATTTTGAGGAAAATGTGTTGTCACTTGAAGTCATAGAGGCAGTCCTTCCCTACTTTGACTATATTACGTGGAAATCTTGTCTTGCAGCATATTTGTAATGTTTACTTAAAAGAATGTCTAAACAGGTAGAAAAGCTCAGGTAGTGACTGTGGACCTTTTTATTTCACTTTGTGACCGCCTACTGTTTTGGCTCTTACTGCACAGTAACTGTCTTGTCCAGCTCAAGTTGTGTATGAACCTTTTTTAGTTTTATCCAAAGCAGCTCCTTCTACTTAATCACAATTTCTGCATAAACTCTTGCCCCTCGTCAACAGTGTTGCAATCTGGCAACTCAAGTATTGTATTCAAGCAGTCTATTGTTGAGTTTTCTTTGTTTGATATTAACTAGTCCCTCTCAAATGCTCACTGCCAAACCTATACACATATATGCGACAATGAAAGGTATTTGTTTTCTTTTAATCTATAATTTTTGCTCCCAAGAGGCAGAGAGCTTGTAAAATACGATGTTCACTTTCACAATTAAAACTATTAAAAGAGATTAATCACTGTGAACATTTTTATCCAATGCAAAAATATTCCATTGTACTGCTGTAGTGAAATGAGTAGATTTTGTTATTGTCCTTGTGACTGCTGCATAAAGTGAGGCTTTAGTATCTTATTCAAGTACAGGTGTCTCTCAAAGTAATATTGTGAAAATTGTATTTTTTATTATTCAAAATAGTAAAGTCTAATACAGTCTGTGTGAACTGCATGTAAGGTGGAATGTCCATGCGTTTTTGTTCAGCTCATTAGAATCTTAAATCCTGTATCATACATTAATAGAATATTTACAAAGATTTATCAATAAACAAATATAAAACGTCCAGCCTGAGAAAAATATGTTCATTGATTCACTCACAAACTTCTGCAGCAGTATGGTATGGCATGGTGGTGGTTGTGCAGGTTTATTGATGCCAATTCTGTTTTTCTGCAGTTTTTTGGTTGGGTGTTTCTCATCTCCTTTTTGACATATGTTCAACACATTCTCTATTGGGTTTAGGTCAGGCCAGTAACATCATGTTTCGCAAACCATTTAGTTGTAGTTTTGGCGCTGTGGGTAGGTGCCAAGTCCTGCTACAAAAAAAAAGGAAATCAGCATCCTCACAAAGCTCGTCTTCACATGGAAGGATGGAGTATGCTAGAATGTTCTGCTCTGGAGCTGCATTGACCTCATGCTTGATAAAACACAGGGAACCAACATTAGTTGATGTCATGGCACCCCAAATCATCTTCAACCGTACAAACTTCACATTGGACCTCAAGCACCTTGGATTCTGTGCTTTTCGACCTTGATCTCTAAATGAAAGGCACATTTTTAGCATTTAAGAGGATTTTGGTCCACTGATCAACAGTCCAGGTCTCTTCCTCCTTTGCTGAAGTACTGTGCTGCTTACATTTCTGGTTCAGTTGTGGCTTGGCATCACAAATGTGAACGTTGTAGCCCCATTTCCAGATGTTTGTACATGGTGGATCTTGATGCACCGTTGCCAGCTTTAGTCCCTTCACCTCACCCAAGTTTGTGATTGATTCTCATCCTATTAAATTTCCATCACTACTCTTCGGTACAACACTCTGTAAACTGACAGCCTTTGACGCTCTGTAGGGAGGTGCCAATGACAATGACAATTCAACAAAAGTCATCAGTCTTTTCCATGACTGTGGTTGTGTTTTGATGATATTTGCTGATTCTAACTCAAAATGAAATGTTTTAATATTTTGGGCAGTTTTTTTTTATTTTGAGTTAAGGCCATAATAATCAAAACTATAAGACATTTTACTTTGAGTATTAAGAGCCTAGAATCAATTACATTTTCTTTTACTCTTCCAAATTTTACCAAATATTTTGGAACACCCTGTTTTGTCCAAAATCCTAAAGTAGTGCCTTAACCATCAAATAGGACAACAAAATTGCTGAAAAAAGGAAATGAAAAAACATTAAGGAAGCACACTTCTCCATCCCTATTTAGTGGTTGACATTCAACTTTCTGCTCATCGTTTAATTACTCTATCAGTTCAGCTCTCTTGTAATAGTTAAAGTGTTGTTAAACTTTTTTCTATTGTTCTTATTTTTCTCATTTCTATTTCACAGACTGGCCTCTAAAATGGCTCATCTGAACCAGACCTGTCATTATAATGAGTCCATGGGCTTCTTCTACAACAACAGCGGTGCTGATGATAAATGGTACAGCGCTCAGCTCACCCTAGTGCAGGTGGTCGGCTCTCTCTTCTGCTGTTTCATCCTGGTTTCCAACGCCATGGTTATAGCTGCTGTCATCACCAATAAGAGGTTCCACTACCCTTTCTACTATCTCCTCGCAAACCTCGCCGCCTCTGACTTCCTGGCGGGGATTGCGTATGTCTATCTTATGTTTAATACGGGTGAGGCATCACGGAAACTTACAGTGAAAGGATACTTCATCCGTCAGGGTCTACTGGATGTAAGTCTCTCTGCCTCACTCGCAAACCTGTTGGTGATCGCTCTGGAGCGCTACATCTCTGTCATGCACTGGAACGTTCACAGCAACTTGACCAAGAGAAGGGTGACCCTGCTGATCGTGCTGGTGTGGGCCATCTCCATCTTCATGGGAGCTGTGCCCAGTCTGGGCTGGAACTGTATCTGCAACCTGAGTGACTGCTCCCAGCTAGCACCCATCTTCAGCAGAAGCTATTTGGTCTTCTGGTCAGTGTCCAACTTGGTGGTGTTCCTGGTGATGGTGGTCATATACTTGAGGATCTATGCTTACGTCAAGAAGAAGACAGCCATGCTCTCTCCGCATACTAGTGGCTCCATCAACCGCAAGAGGACACCCATCAAGCTCATCAAGACGGTCATGGTTGTACTCGGTAGGTGCTGATCACAAAAATAAGTCAGTGCGGTATCATTGATATGACTGTGAGTCTTAACATTTCCTGCCTGTGTCAGCTGTAAGCTGCCTTAGTGCACAGCTGTGTGTGTAATTGCTGGGGCTTGAAGAGGTCACAAAGTCCAGGAAATTCAGCGAGTCTCTGCTGATCATGCTGGAATGTAACCAGTGTCGTCCTGATAAGAGAGGAAACCTTGAGCATAATAACACAAACACTTATACTTTCATTAAATGTGATATGGGCTTGTCAGTGATTTCAGGGTCAGTCTGAAGTGAAAGAAAATGTAGTGTCTTTAAAATGTTTCTTTAATTCTCTATTTTTTGTTGCTTTTTATAAAAAGTCAAATTATTCTCAGTTTTATGTTCAGTGGCTAACCTTATTCACACCAGTGTTATTTTCGTTGACGATGACGTTGATGAAAATATTTCATCATCTTCAACAAAAACAACACTGCAGAATATATGTTTAGCGTTTGACTGATGAAATGCTCATGAATTTCGCAAATCTGTTCGTCGTCCACCACTAACGTTTTTGTCTAGTCTGTCTCGTCTACGTAAACGCACATTCGTCTCGTCACATTTTAGTCATCTAAGACTCTAAGAAAAAAGGGGCATTGACGAAAACAACCCTGATTCACACATTATTTTTATTGATATATTCAAATAATCAACTGTTTAGCCAATTAAATGTTAGAATATGCTAATAGAGACACAGCTGAGATGTACATCTCTCATTTGGTTCTTCGGCGTAGTCAACTGCTGCACCCACATAAAACAGGAAAATTAAGCAAATTCTATTTTTTTAGCAGCCTAATTTAGACATTTTATTTTTATATTTTGATGCCATAAACACATTAAACAATCAAAAGTAGACTTGCAGCACATTTTTTCCCTCTGAGATAAGAGAACATAGAAAGATCCTATCTTTTCTCTTGCATTCTCATCCTAGATGAGGCAGTCAGATATCCTGGTCCGGCTCTTTGTTAAGCTGTTGCAACAGGATACCTTGCAAAAGAGACAAAGCACACAATCACTCCCCTCCCTTTGCCCTGCTTCAACAAAAGGGAAGGACTTCTAGAACCTCACCTGAACAGAAAAACAGGGCAATAAATGCACATTTTCATGCAGCTTGAACACACAGCATATAAAGTAAGTTTCTCTACCATCGAGATAAGTAATTCTTTAGAAAGTGCTGCATTTTAGATCGGGTCAAACAAGTTCACTTCCGCACTGAAAGCATTCAATCTATGTTTTCATTCACTCTTCACACAGATAAAAACTGGCATGACACAGTTGTAGCGACTTGCACAGTTGCCTTGCAGGATAGAAGTCACTCATTGTTCTTTGTCTCTTTGGGCACTTAGCTTTCCTGGATGGATGGCTTGACATAGTATGTAGCTGTCTGAGCGAGCTGTCTGCCTCTGAGCTCACTTTATCCCAGACTGCTGTGTAATTATCTCTCCCTGTAACGACCCAGCTCCACCGCCTGTGTGGCGTAACATCCACACACCACAGCACACAAACCGGACTTCAGTGAACATCCCCTCCTCCAAACCCATCCAAAAAAAGGAAAGGGTAAAGAGGAAGAGGAACCTATACTTGAGGACTTCGTAAATTGCTTTCACATGATTTTCAGAGTTCCCTTGGGTTTGTGGAGTGTTTGTACACATAAGTCATTGTTAGTTCAAATGTAAAAAAGTAACAGGTGGTGAGAAGAGCGTAGCAGCAATCTCTGATAGAGAAAAAGAAGGAAAACTTTAGACATGGAATCATATTCAAGACTTGGGGAATAAATAAGCATCAGTTCGGAGTAAAAGCTTTTAGCTCAAGCCAAAGTCCCAACTGGACAGACTAGTTTGAAGATGTGAAACCAACACATGATTTCTTACAGCCAGACTAAAATTAATGAACACACACACAGTATGTGTTGAGATGAAAGATGGGAATGAAGGTGGCTTGGAAGTTAAGAAAATATTCATTTAAGTGTAGTACACAACTAGTTACACTAAACTATCTTCATTTCCTTAATGCCTAATAAAATGGTGTGAAGAGATACTTTTTTAAATACATGAACTCCATGCCATCCCTGCACTCAGAGATCTCCCTCACAGCCCTGAGAGAGACACATCTGATTGCATTTGTTGAGTAGAACCTCAAACTTCTCCACACAGTTAAAGATTTAGTTTTCACTCGTAGTTTAAACTCAAGCACTGTGACTCCAAAATGTTGGTAAAAGGTATTACTCAAGCGTGTGCTTTCTCAGTCTTATTTTTTCTCAGACTAAAGAACAAAAATGTATTTCTAACTGAGATGTATTTCAACCTGACAGTAAGAGCCCAGAAGATTTGATCACACTGGGTGTAAACCAGCTCAGAACATCTGGACTATAAAATGCGTAATTGAAAGTGTGAGTGTGAAAAATGAATTACTCGTGAAAATGTGGTGAACTTTGTTTGACTTTCAGGCACAACAGCAGTTAAATACAAACCCACACCAATCCTCATACTAAGCCCTCTTTATCTGCATGCACATGAATCTTATGCTTGAAGGACAAAGATCAGGAGAGCTGTTTTAAAGCACTTGTTTTTTTTTTTTTTTCTGCAGATGCATTAAAGCTGTTGTAGACATGCTGGTGTTGTCAACACCACTGCTTGCAGACAAGTTGCTGCTTGTTGCTTCCTTTCAGCCCCAGAAATCTCTTTAGTAGCTCTGTTTTGTGCCCCAACATGTCTGAAACGGATGGTTAATAAGGGTTGCTTTGGTAGCCCTGTGACTTATCATATTATTTAACACAATAATGGCATTGTGTCCTCAACATGTGTCAGCTTGTTGTCGAAGGGGCACTGCTGAGTTAGAGTGCTATTTATTTCTCTCAGTAATGCGAGGCTATGTAACCACTAACACATTCTGGTATTAGCTGAATTTGTTTGTTTGGTTAAGACACACATGTAAATCAGATGGCAGATATTAAAAGTTGTGTACACAGCTGAGTCACTTCATCATTATTAAAGTGATTGAATGGTAAACACAAAGGGGAGAAATGAAATCATCAACCATCTTGATAAGGCTGCTGTGCAATAAGGAGGATAGATAGATAGATAGATAGATAGATAGATAGATAGACTTTTTTGATCCCAAACTGGGAAATTCTCTTGTTACAGCAGCAAAAACATACAAAATAAAATTAAATATAAGAAGTATGTACAATGCAGACTAAAAACACTAAATATATATAATAAATACAGTCTAAATATACTAAACATCCTAAGAGAAAAAAGTGAGATATGAAGAACGTGGGCTATTGAATTGAGTAATAAATATGAAATGAGTAATAGATATGAAATGAGTTATAAAATGAAATGCAAAATATACAGATGGGATAAATATGAAATGCAAAATATATAGATGGGTGCAAAATATGCAGATGGGCGTGGTTGGAGTTTTAAAAATGGACGATACAGCAGACAGATTTGAGTCCCTGTCTGACAGATTTTAGTTATTAAATAGTGCAATAGCTTGTGGCCGGAAAGATTTCCTGTACTTGTCCCTTATGATATGAAGAAGATATGAAGTAACTTTGGGATTAATTTTTATTTCCCATTTAGAGGCTTTTTAAATACCCAGTCCCTCCTTTACATCATGCTTAAAACTGTTATGAATCATGTTGATTCAAATCTACACACTTGTGTGATTAACATGTTCCAACAATTCATTCAGTATGTTAAAGCAAAATTAAGATCAAGGTTCTTGATTATTTTCCCTCATGCAGAGAAAGAGAGACAAGCAGTTTTTGTAAATTTTTAGTAGATCTTTGGGAATGGTGATGCCTTCCATACAGATGTGTGAGAATGAAGTGTTTTAAAAGCCTAACTATGTTTGATTTCTCTTTTTTTCCCCTTAAGGAGCCTTTGTGATCTGCTGGACTCCCGGCCTGGTGGTTTTGCTGTTGGACGGCCTCAACTGTACGAGCTGCAACGTCATGAAATTAAAACGCTGGCTCCTGCTCCTAGCCGTGCTTAACTCTGTCATGAACCCCTGCATCTACTCCTACAAGGATGAGGAGATGTGGACAACCTTCAAAAACCTCTTGCGCTGCATTGGGAATGGTACGCGGAGGCAGCGGTCAACGAAGGCCAATGCCAGGCCGCTCAGCTCCACTCATGATACAGGCAACAGCCAGCCTCCGTCAGAGGAGACAAAAAATGATGAACAGGATATACTAAAGACCTGAAACATGGCAGAACCGGATCTTTTGTTCTGTTTTGACTGGATGTCGCTTAGAAAGACGCAGATCGAAGTTGACTTGAAAGAGGAACCACACCCTTGTCTCCGGTTGGTCTCAGGGTATCATTGTTGTTGTCAGATTTACTTTCTCCTCTCATGGCAGGCTCGTTGCTTCAGCATAGAGCTGAGGTGGTGTTTAGATGGACCTACAAAGAGACTATGATGCACTACCAATATCCCAAATGCTTATGATCGAGTAAGATATGTTTTTCAGAAACTACAGGAATTTTGTAGTCACGTATTTCTCATTTGTTTCTCATTAGCAGTGAGAAATTTCCTGCTGGATTTCATCCTACATGGATAATTCTGCGCTCTGTTTGCTGAGGAAGAGTCAGTTGGGAAGTACAGTGTGGTACATTTCTTCTGTTTGCCTGTAAAAGTGTAGAAATTATGCAGAGTCCACCATTTGCATGAGTCTTGAGATAATTTATTTGGTTACAGCCTATCCTTAAGGTTTCCTTCAAGTGCAGCAGTTTTAAAGTGATACTGAAAGGGATCTAGATCTAGAATAGAAATGCAGCTTGTTTGTAGACAAGTATTATATAACTGTAGACTTACAAGATGGTTTTAAAAAGTATCCCCTGTATTTTATACACAGCAAACAAAAATATTGTAAACTACTATTCTCTATATCTACTTTTACATCTTGAAAGAGAGGAGGTGAGGTCATTCAATTGTTTGACAGCATGGTCTAGTTGATTGGTCAATATTTACAATGTTTTACTTGAGTGTTGAATATCGCCTCCCGGTTTTGTTGTTTTGGAAGAACGCTCACCTCAGGGGAGAAGATAAACATCACTCTTTCCTTGTCTCTTCCAGTGGATTTTATCCCTTCACTTGAACAAACAGAAAACTCTTGCCCGCAGCACCTCATGGAGGTAAACTTGTTCTCCATTGTTGGCTTGGAAAACACGAGTATTGCTGCTCTGGAGAAACAGCTGCTCACCTGACAGTGCGAGGGTTGTAAAACAATGTTGCAACACACTGGATTCCTGCTGGTGGTTCATATTACTGAAGAGGATATGACTGAAAAGACTATAACCATACACACACATTCACACACTCCAACACCCCTCACCCTAGACCAGGCTGCTCTGATGACTTCATTGCTAAATCACTGACAGGGTCCAAAAGACTCTTCCACTTGCTGTACAGTATTTATATTGCTCCTGCTGTAGAGGACATGAGATCATTAAAGCTGTTTTTTTTTTATATATGGAGAGTGTGGGATTAAAATTTCTGAAGCTTTTAATTAGTTAGGCCTCCTAACATTGACTTAAAGGGATATTCCGGTCTAAAATTATTTTAACGTCAAGGTCAAACACACAATTTCTTTAGCAAAGAGACTAAAGACAACTCACCTACTCTCTACCAGCAGCCGCTTGTTTGTAGGGAGACCTCGGGCCAGTCCATTATGGACTGCAGAGGGTGACGCAGCTCAAGGAAGAACATTCATGATCATTACTTTTTCATTTCCTTGAAGTAATAATCACCATATTTATCATTTTGCACTGAAGACACAGTAGTTCTTCTGCCTCAGCATCTCAGTCTGACTGCATTTCCATGAAGAAATGATCATAAATGTTCTTTCTTGAGCTGCGCCCCCCCGCTGCAGTTGATGGACTCGCCCGAGGTCTAGCTACAAACAAGTGGCTGCTGGAAGAGAGTAGGTGAGTTGTGTTTAGTCTTTTTGCTAAAGAAATTAGGCAAAGCTAAAAAGATGTTTGGTGTCTAGTACTGTGGCTAGGACCCTTTATGTACTGTTGTTGAAGTTAGGTGCTGTTCTGAGCATTATTTGTGGCTATAGAGTGGTGCTTTGTTTGAGATTTGCATATGGAGCCATAGACCGCTGTGTATTTCTATCCTGCGGTCGTTACTAAAGTTGGTATAACTAGAGAGGCAAGTGGTCTGCAACATTAATCTCTCGAGGGGGTGTCTAACTCAGTTTTACGGTGTGTTTGACCCTAAACGAATTTTATGCCAGAATATCCCTTTAAGTGGTCAGAGTTAATTTTGTTGAGCATTGAATGTGATAAAGTGTACTGTTTGTCTCTTTTTTTAAAGAGGATTTTACAAGGTTTTTCTAAAAAAATATTTAGAAAAAGAAGTGAAGAATCGTCTGACATAAGCTTTAAAGCTTTATCAAATTAAAGAAATAAGATTTAATACCATGTTAGAATAGCAGTGGAAGTAAAGAAGTACAGGAATAGAGAGTAGTAGTCTTGAAATAAGATGATCAGTAAGAGTTTTAGCCCATCAGTGTGTCAGTATATATATTTTCAGCCTTTACTACAAATCATGAATTTTTTTGCAAGATTGTTTTTATTGTTATAAGCTATAAACAGCTTATGGCTGATAGCAAAACTATAAAACTACAAAACTCACAGCTAAAGTAGCTTGTATGGCTCTACAACTAGGCACCCTGGCCCTGATTCTAGCCCATTAACCTTCACCACTGGTTATTTCCCACTCTTTTTCCCGGTTCCTACTCTACACACTGCTATATCTTCTCAACAAAGGCACAAAAACTAAAAACATAAGTAACTTTATTTCAAAAACCTTCTGAGTTAATTTTTTATGTCCAACAGGTTTAGCTCTGCTGTTTTTGTTGTGTTAATTAGCAGCTTTTAACTCGCTAAATGCTTAAGTAACATGGTAAAACTGTAGTAGGTTAAAAGAGAAGAAAAAAAAATCTCGTGTGTCAGCATTTAATGTTAGCTTGAAGCACAGCCTCACAGATTTTTGGCTGGAGCTCTTTTCAGTGTCGCTCACACCACCCACTTGGCACCCACATCAGCCAAACCATAAAGACTGCTTGCAAATCCAGTTCGACCGAGTAGGACTGTCACCTGCTTTGAAATGAAATGATTGTCTCTAACTGGTAAAACTTCTAACATTAGAATAAATGCAGCACAGATGTTAGCGTACTGAAAAAAGACTGAGGATTTTCTGACACTCGAGGGATGATGAAGTACTGTTGCTCGAGATTTCTGGTGCTCAAGAGCTGCCACTTGAAGATGATTTGCTCTCTCTCCATCCCAATTAATGGGTGCCCTTTAGTGTCCACTCAGTCTACTTTTATAATTGGCTTCAAAGACCAAGTAAAGTAGAATTAACTCTAAAGTGGTACAAAATAGCATAATTTAAATCAGAGGGCAAAGTATGTGCATTTGTAAAAATAACTAAAACGCTGTGTATAAACAGTGACCCAGCATTTATGAAATCATTCTATAAATATCACCCAACATCCTCCTAAAAATGAAAAAACAAAACAAAACAAAGGCAATGAAAAAGTCCCTTAACTGCTCAGTTTGTGAATCTAGTTGTAAACTGCCATATTTCAATTTAAAAGGTGTTGTTTATACCAAAATAATGCACATGTAGTTTTCTTCAAAAAGCCTTTATATCCTGTTAAAGTTTCTAATTCTTCCTCTCGTGTGCTCGACTTTACACACTTGAAATGTAAGCCAGTTGCACAAAACCTTTCACTCTCTTCAACCGCAAAACCACAGCAGCTTTTTCTCCCCTAGTTCTCTTGATATCATTCTTTAAAACATCCTAATCACATTTTCACCTAAAACTTACTTCCCTATAGGTAGCTAGCAATTTCTACAAGCTGAAGAGGGTTCAACTCCATATGTATGTTGTTCACTTGGATGTAAATGAAAGTCACCTTGTAGAACAGACTGAGGTTTGACTTAAATTTAGTCATTAGGGGTCTGGATTATAGTGAGGATATCCTCTGCAGACCCACCATGACTGCCTCCCGTCACTTTGGTTTCTGCTTTCCCAAAAACATGAACTGTAAACTGTGTGGTGTGGCAGGCCCTTTTCCTACAGCTGTGCTGTAATTATCCATTCTTGAAAAGTCAATTAAATTTCACAGATGTTGAGCAAATCTCTCTTTGGGTTTGGTTTTAAATTTGATGCAAACAGATGTAGGCAGAGCAGCAAAATGTCCCTCAGCACACAAGGTGTTTGATGTTATATATTTACCCCCTGTGCCATAGGGGCAAAGACTCGTAAAGAGTGCAAGTTTGATGTTAAATTGAGATTTGTTCGACTGGTTCCTCCAACAAAGTTTTAAAATAGATGGATGTTTTGTTCATGATTTGATCTCAGACACACAGAGTATCCTTGGCCTCAGTTATCAAACCAGATAAAAAGAGGGAAAGAAGGATTGCACTGTTTAGTTTATTTAAACAATTGGGTTTGTAGGTCATAAAGAGGGTAAATGGACGGCATTTATACAGCTCTTTTCAGATATAACATAAACAGGGGTTTATGGAGTCAAGTCAAGTCAAGTTTATTTGTATAGCACATTTCAGCAACAGGGCAATTCAAGGTGCTTTACATGAAACAAGCAGGCAAAACATTCAACACAATTTAAATTTGGAGGTTCATTTTCATAGCGATTAGCATCCTATAACTAGTGCCGGTTGTCACAGCTCTGTCTTTAGTACCATCAATTGGATGGAAAGCTGTTGATCATTAATGCCTGATCAGATACTTTGTTTTTTTCTCTGTTTTGTTCTCATCAAACTCTTTCTACTCATGTCAACTGATGCACCAGTCAGTGTGTTCACAATAAAAAGCCTACAGTTTTCTACAAAGCTGAACAAAATACTCTGGTAAATATCTTACAAGTAAAGCAGATCGGATTGAGAATGATCTGGGAGAGTAGAAACCGTGTCTTGTTGGTCTGCTGAAGCGCAGCAGTGACCTCTGAGAGGTTCTGACCTGCAGGATAGTGAAGGTGAAACTGAAGCACCATGTGAACAAGTACGTGATCAGACTGTGATTGAAGAGCCCCTTCTACTGATTGGAACAAGACAGAGGTTGTGGAGAAAAGAAATAATAGAATAAGAGTGGTACCTCTGTTGAGGCACAGACCCCTCACCAACACCTGCCCCCCACACACGTACACTCACATACACATTAGGTCTGTCACTCGTTCACTCCTTCAGTTCAGAGCGAGACTGACCACAGCAGCAAACCTCCTCATGGCTCTCCAGACAGCGGCATGTATTTACCTGTGCTTCTTGCTGGTAAGTTCTCTTAAAAAAGAGTACTTTACAAATATTTAAACACAAAGCAGACATAATTCAAAAGTGGACTCGTAGACTTTTGGCCCGACGTGTAAGGCTAGTCTGTTAATAAGCTTCATGGTGATGTGTAAAGAAAGCATTGGTCTATGCAGTTACTTATAATAAAACTAAACTTAAAGATTCATGAATGAATGAGTAAATTCAGTGTTTAGTTAAAACATGTTTATTTATCCCTGCCAAGGAACACTCTGGTCTTTGTTGTCTTGTCAGAAACACTTGTTGCTGCAGGCATGTGGTCATGGACTTGTGTTGTTTCTGCGTGTATCTGGGTCATGTACTGTACCTCGAAACAGGGCTCGCGTCTTTGAGGCAAAGCTGTTTATCTGAAATAGAAATGTGCGGGGGTTTTAACTTTGGATTTATCACGATTAAGCTTTCCTAAGTGATGCAGATGTCAGCTACTGCTGTGTTCTGTCGTCTCATCATTAAGCACAAAGCAACAAAGTTTAACTGAGTTCAACTGTGTGTATAATTTATGTTCATGCTCTGTGAACAAACTTGGTTGACTGGTTAAACATTTTCATTTTTAACTCCTTCATCTTTGTTTGCACACGCTCAGGAAAGCTTTTTGTCTTTCATACAGGGAGTAAATGGCTGGCATGATCTAGACAACACAGAGTATGACTGTTGGCCAATCAGCAGTCCAAATGACTCCAATATGATCAGCTGTGGTGGTAAGTGTTTGTCCTTGTTTGCTTCAGTGTTTCATTTTGGTGGAATCAGCTGATCTTGAGTTGTTTTTAGTGAATATTGGGTGAACATTTATTGGGATGCATGATTTTATAGTCATAATATCGGTGCAGATAATTGCCTAAAAAGTTAATTATCAGTAGCCAAAATGGTGATGTGTCAATTATGTGCACCCGATAAAAGCTTAGGGGTGGCACAGTGGTGTAGGGCGTTTCTGTGTGGAGTTTGCATGTTCTCCCTGTGTCTGCATTAGTTTACTCCTGGTACTCCGGTTTCCTCCCACATCCCAAAAACATGCATGAGTGGGGTTAGGTCAATTGGCCACTTTCAAATTGCCCGTGAGCGTGGATGGTTGTCCGTCTCTATGTGTCAGCCCTGCGATGGACTGGCAACTTGTCCATGGTGTCCCCTGTACTCGCCCGAAGATGCTGGGATAGGCTCCAGCCCCCCCGGGAATAAGCGGTAGAAAATGGATGGATGGATAAAAGCTTACAGGTGCCACATGTCAGCTGTATGGAAGTATCTTGAAGTGTTAAAAAGCCAGAAGACTCATTACTGAATGTCTTATTTTGGAAAAATAATCTATTTATAATTTATGGTAGAATCAAACATCATGTCTCTTTTTTTACGTCAGTTTCTAAAACAAACAGACGATCAAAATAAGACTAATGGGTACATTCTCTTACAAAGAAAGCTTGTGTTCTTTATTATTAAAGGTGTGTATATAACTGAATCGATTTTGGCATTGGCCAAAATGGGTTTCAAAATTGGCACAAGGGGGCCAAATATATTTCCAGACATATAAGGTTTTTATTTTCTTTCAAAGGAAATAATTGATCTTCATCCAGAATTAACTAAAGTGAATGAGTTGGGGGATTCAGTAGAATTGTCCACAATTACACGACATGACTGCATTTTTTGCACACTGTTTGACAACGTGTGTTCTTACTGTGTGCAAACACAGGTCTGGAAATGGCCTGGGTGCAGCGTCCTCCAGAAAAGGTGTCAAATGGGGAAGAGTTCAATGTCTCCTACACTGTGACGGCCTCAGATTCCTTTTATGAGTACACAGTCAGGAACAAGATTTTCCAGTTCAGGTGAGTGTGTTACATAAACACCTGGAATCTTAAAGGTCTGCCATGCCCAAGATGCACTCATATAAACACAGACGCACAGACACACACATACTTATGCATGAGCCAACAGATACACAGGAGTTTTCTGACACTGGTTTTTCACTGATTAGATGAATGCCTCACGCTGTGGAAGAGACTGAGGTCACTTTTTTGTTCTTACGTCAATAACAGGACTGACCTAAACCAAGCTCTTAGGTTAAAATATGATTACTTGTACATTAAAGCTTCTGACTGTAACCTTGGAAACAGCAGTCTCACAGCAGTGGCCTGAGCTATTATTTGATTGTGTATTTCTTGATCTACTCACCCAGTAATGCATCAGAAGCAAAGAGGTTCTGCCACGATCACGAGTGTCCATCAAACTGGAACAACGCAGACGAAACAAACTGCTGTGTGTATCATGCCAACATCCACTCTTGTCCTCTGGGTCTCATGGTGAGTATGCAGCAGTGGGTCTTCCGTCACTTTTTCCACCAAATTAAACACTGTTCATATCATTTATTCCATTAAATAGAGACAGATCTCTGTGGGGCCCTATATGCTGCGTGGCATAGTAATATATTAAAAATACGCAGAATTTTTGTTTGTTTTCTTTCCCCTATGTAACTGCAAGGTTATCAAGGGTAATGCAACATTATATTGTGCACATATTTCTGCTTGATTTAACTCCTCCTTAAGTTCACTGTAGGGAAAATTAAATTTGATTTTTTGGATTAGGACTTCCTTAAATCATTTTTTGTCTCTAAACAGAAACATGGTGGAATCTGTGGCCCATGGATCCCTGATGATGGTAAAATAGTAACTCATACTGCGTCGCAAGCAGGCAAGATGACCCAGAAATACTGGACTTCAAAGGTGAGAAACCGAGACAGAGGAGAAACGGAAATGGCTGATTCCAAAATCCACTGAGATGCTAATCACAACACCAGAAAGACTTGTTCTCAGTGTGTAAAGGCCTTAAGCACGGGAGTTTAGAACTGTGAAGTTGTGGGACAGGTATTTACTGAACCAGGATATGACGGTTATTTTTGACACACATGGGGCAGTCCTGTCCAGTGAGCAATGGTGCTGACCTGCTTCAAGTGGGTCATGTGGAGTTGAGAATTTATCATTGATGCATGCAAAAGAAAGGACCCACAACTCACTTTTCTTTGTTGCAAGCTATCACATAACGACTGAGACTTACTTTCTTCCTCTGCAGAGTTCAGTTGTTGTCTCTCTTGTTATGTTCTCCTGTGTAGGTGGTGCTGATCCACGTGGGAGTCACCTCAGTCATTGCTCATATCAAAATAGGGCAGATGCACGCAGCACTGGAGGCCAAAGTGCTTGTTGTCAGTGCTCAAGGTCAGTCTGCTCTCTCATGAAGCTGCTGATAGGCTGAATCCTACAGTTTGAGCTGAACAGACAAAAAGCAACAGCTTGTTTGCATTATAAACTTGCATGGAGGCATCAGGTTGTAAGGTCGACTTGTGTGTGACCTCACTTTATAATAACAATCATGCCAAAACATCTGATATAAAATCTGCAAGGTTCAAGGATCCAGAGTCTCTTTTTTCTTTCAAAAACTGTAACTCAAGCAGCACACGTAGCTATCTCCTAAGAAAGAAATGATATTTTTTTCTGTATGGTGTAGTTGCCACTCTTTTCTCACCCTGCTGTGAACTTTATGTGCCTCTGAAATCAGTGGATAGAGATTTGTAATCTAAAACTTCTCCCTTTGATTCAGTGTGTGGGGATAATGTCTGTGAGCTAGAGGAGACCTGTCTCAACTGTCCTGCTGACTGTGGCATCTGCCCCATGTCCATCGCTATCAAGGTGGCCATTGGGCTCCCAGTGGCTCTCTTCAGCAGCGGCTTTATCTTCACTATGGTGGTCAGTTTTACTACCCACACACATGAAGAGAGTAGTCAACTTTAATAAGTTAAACGCTCAAACTCTTTCACTCCTACTTATAGTATTACATAATTAATTTAAATGGCTTTTTATTTCTTATTTATTCCCAAATTAACTACTCTACACTAAAGGATTCAAACAGATTCCATCATATTAATCACACACATTAACATTGGCGATATTTTATGATGTTTATCAAATTTCCTCCCAACAGTGGCTCCAGTACCAGAAACAGAAGATGCTTTGGGATGAAAGCTGGATCATCAACTACAAGAACATCATATTTGGTAAAAACCCCAGAGCTGAATTTACTAAGAAGTAATGTTTTTACATATTAAACTTTATATTAAAGCTCTGGTCTTCCTTTTTATTACATTAATTTGAATAGATCACCTTCACAGTACTTTGAAGTTACATGAAACTCTCAGGGTAGTCCATTCAGTCTGGTGTCAAGATTACTTTACCCTCTGTACAACTTGCAGTAGAGCATTTCTTTTTTAATTTTCACAGAAAAGCATCCATGCATCACCAGAATTTCACTTATGAACTCTCTCACCTGCAGAGTTTCCACAAAATGCTCTTAAACTGAGTAATACATCTTGTATTATTACCTCTGTCTCTTTGCAGGCAGGGTGTGTTACATGGGTGTTGGAAGCACGACGAGCCTGCAGCGCTTCAAGAGTAACTCTAGCGTGAGTCGAACCACTGATGTGACGATATGTACAGGACTCAACACTTCCATCAGACCAGGTTTCATCCAACCAGGCATCTAGTAAGATATCTATTTTCTGGTCATGGAATAGACTGAATTGAATAATGATGCATACGTATGACCACAGCATTAACCTGATTGACTTTGTGTCTTACAACACAAGGCTGTAGAGACATCAAAGATCAGTGGCTTTTCTCAAGGATTTGATGATGAATATTGCTTCAGATTTCCTCATTATTTCATTTTATTGTTAAAGTAAACTTGATAACCCCAACTGTCTTTCAGTGATGGGAGGATGGTGGCAGTAAAACACATCCAGAACAAACATTTCACCCTCTCCAAAACCATCCGGAAGGAGGTGAAAGAAGTAAGGTGAGGGGAATCCTTGACGGGAAAGAGGAAAACTCTTTTACTGACTATATAAATTCCGTACCCAGAACTTCCTTCACTTCTGTATCTTTTTTCATTTTGGCCAGACAACTAGACCACCCCAATCTGTGCAAGTTCATCGGTGGTTCCGTTGAGGTGCCCTACGTCTGCATCATCACAGAGCACTGCCCCAAAGGGAGCCTGTCTGATGTCCTGCTCAATGATGACATCCCCATCAACTGGGGCTTTAGGTCAGAAAAATCACATTTTCTTCTTTTCTTTGACTTTGATCTTATTTGAAGAGGCAGCAGCATTAGTTATATGGAGTTCTGCTCTACTGAACTTGTCCACTTTAGATTATTGGTCAGTGTAAACTATAGGAATTATTATACACTTAGTCCTTGCCACCTGCCCAAAGATGTTGCCATGAATTGATGAAATGAAACGTGTGTAGCCTCAGCAGGAAATGTCAACTTTGATGTCTCAGAGAAAGAACTCCTTTCTAGACCTATCACACAAAAAAGTATCTGTCATAGAAAATAAAACAATTATTTTCTCAGTAAGGCATGATGCATGCAGGCCCCAGGACATAAAGTGATATATTGTATGTCCTATTGCTGCAGACTGTCATTTGCAACTGATATCGCCCGCGGGATGTCTTACCTTCATCAGCACAAAGTGTTTCATGGGAGGCTTCACTCCAGAAATTGTGTCATTGATGATCGCTGGGTGTGCAAAATCTCAGGTAACAAAATCTCATCCTAGAACAACATTAATACGCAGTCTACTTGGTTAAGGCAAACTGTTATTGTTGACATTATTTTCTGCAAATACACAGACGCACACAGCATGAAAAGCTAATATCTCTTTTGGACTCACTGCACTCCTCAGCCATTGCTTTGTATATTTTTCTGTGCTTGTCTTCAGATTATGGACTCACAGCTTACAGAAGAGAGGACTTTGATGTCGTAAGCAATGGCTTTAACTGTGGAGATGTAAATCATATATACTGTGCCCCAGAGGTCTTGCTGGGCAGCAGCTCAAATATGACCCCAGCTGCAGATGTCTATAGGTAAGATTTAGAAGTTTTTAAAGTGGATGATATTTCATGTTATTAAAAAGGTTGCTTAAATCAATATGTTTTTATAGGTTTACTTAAAGTGGCAAGCATCTTCATACTTATAAACACATCCTCAAATAATATTGTGATTAAATCTTTGACTGCTCTTGTAAACAGAAGAAAAAATACACCCGTTTTTCTTCTTTTTCCAGCTACTCCATGATTCTAGTTGAGATTGCAACTCGCTCTGACCTCATTTCAGTGAGTATGACAGCCCACTCTGCAGATTACAACCTTCAGCTTCCCTTTGATCCCTTCTTTGCAACTAAAGCAACTCCTCTCAAACAGGACCAGGCTGAGGGAGTGAGGATGGATGTCATGTGGCGCCCTCCACTGCCTGAACTTAAAGCAGGGAAGGCTGATACTGACTGTCCCAGCCAGGGCGACTACTGTGAGGTCTGTCTCATGGAGAAATGTTGGACATTTTTGCCAGATCAGCATTTAATGAATAAAAATTAAACATAGAAATAATTATTTTTTTCTTTGGATCTCTTGAGCAGCTTATAAAGAAGTGTTGGTGTCATAATGTCACCATGAGGCCCACGTTTGAGCAGGTGAAGAAGATGCTTGACAAAATGAACCCGCACAAAGTCAGCCCGGTGGACATGATGATGAACCTGGTAACAAAGCACTAAAATATGATTAAACAAGTAAAAAATTATTTCAAATACAAAAACCTGCATTGAATTATCAAGATTTCATGACAGATCTCACATTTTAGCATAAAGAATACAAATACCAAGAATCTGAAATACAGTTCGTGCGAGTTTTGGTTATTTGTAAGAGTTTCCTTAACTGCAGATGGAGAAGTACAGCAAACATCTGGAGGCCATAGTTGCTGAGAGGACACAGGACCTTCTTCAAGAGAAACAGAAGACGGATCGATTGTTATATAGTGAGTAAGGATAAAAATGTGAGGTTATCTGTGTAAGAGATATGTGGTTTATGATTAACCATGCCACTATCTCGTGCACCTAGTTTGATTTTTCTAGGTGAGTTGCAGAGAGAAATATTTATGGGCTACCTTATACTCTTACCAAACAGATCATCATTATTTATTAAATGAGTTATATCTGTTTATTTCTGGTGACTGTAAATACTTTGAGGATTTAAAAAACAAATTTAAATGTGTTTGCTGCCATCTAGTGGTGCAAAAGCATCATAACCCCTCCATAACACTGTCCCACAGACAGACTTTTTCAGCAAATACACATTTTCAAGACTTTAATTCCTATGCAGGTATGTTACCCAAACCTGTGGCTGATGACCTCAGACAAGGCCGAACAGCAGAGGCTCAGAGCTTCTCCAACGCTACTGTGTACTTCAGGTTTGTCCTCTTTAAAACACGTTTGTGACACAGTTTTTGCTTTTAACAGACATTTGTTGAAACTCAGATCATCTTGCCCTCACTCCATACCTTGAAACTTTTTCCCAAAAATGAACCTTTAAAAGAATCAGACTGAACTGAAATGATGATTAACGCTGAATTATTTCTCTTTGACAGTGATATTGTTGGCTTTACTCAGCTATCTGGTGCCAGCACTCCTTACCAGGTAGTGAACTTCCTCAACCAGCTTTACACCACCTTTGATGACATTATTGACAATTACGACGTCTACAAAGTTGAAACGATAGGAGATGCTTGTAAGTGAGCACTGTCAACAATCCTTTTTACTGCTTAAATCTTTGACAAAGGTTGAGAGAAATTGAGATTATTTCTCCTTTAAAATCCTCCTCTGCCTTTAAAGAGGAAAAAAAAATTCACTTATCAGAACTTCTTCTTGTCCTTCTTACTGGTTTGCCTCTTTGCCTTGCAGACATGGTGGTCTCAGGGGTTCCTAAAGAAAATGGCATCAATCATGCTGGAGAGATAGCCAGCATGGCTCTTGATTTGGTCAGTGTGTGCCACAGTTTCAAGATTCCTCACAAACCCAACACTCAGCTGAAAATACGTGCTGGCATCCATTCAGGTACCATGGACATGTGGTTGTTTCTGTGAACATGTGCTGCAGGTCTGCTTGGCACAATAGAATAATGACACGAATTAGATCAATATAGTTAAAAACAATTTAAGACATGAGAGCACCTTATAGCTGTAAAAAATCAACCTAGATTTATTCAACTTCAACACAAATCAAAAGCGGAGTTAATAGATGGCTCTCAGAGGGCACATTTACAGTTTTACAATGGTCAAAGGTTGCAATAGGTGTTTGAGTATCGTTTTACAACCTGCATGCATATATGACACATGAATATCAAAGAATATGTGCTTGGTGCATTTAAAATGAAAAGACTTCTCTGTAAATACTTAGAAAAAGGTGTATTAGCTGTAGGAGAGGACCAAAGCTACCACTTTTTTTTGGAAAAGATTTTATAATTCAATGTTTTAAAGTAGTTTTTCATGTTCTGTCATTCATAAGACTACTCAGTAATTAGATGTCTTTGAGTAAACTAACCTAACACGCATTAACAAAATGATGCAACCATTGGTGTCTCCTCAGGACCTGTGGTGGCAGGCGTGGTTGGCACCAAGATGCCTCGTTACTGTCTATTCGGGGACACTGTCAACACAGCGTCACGAATGGAATCAACCAGTGAAGGTAAAGAAGGATTAGGCGTGCTGCCAGTCATCCAGTTAAAATCCTAAAGAGGAACGATTGGTGTCAGGAGATTTCAGGTTACATGAGGTTTCAATTGTGGTTTATATTGTTAGGGGTTGAAGGAACAGTTTGCCTTTGGCTTGTTATATCTCTGCTGCTATTGTGGCAAACAGGATTGTCTCTGAGTTAAAGCAATAGTACAACACAGGAGGGTTAGACGTAGAGAAGCGACAATGTGCTGAAAAAGGACTTAATCCTCAGCATTAAGTCAAAGGGACAATGGAAAAGACAGAGTGATGCTAGGTCCAGAGTTTAATCTTAGAGAAGGGTTCATATATGTCTAGAATCTGCGTATCACACACACAGATATACAGAGACAGACAGGTCTTTTATTTTAATATGATCAAATGTATTTATAATTCTGTTCCTAGCTCTGAAGATCCAAGTAAGTGGTGCCACTGCGGACCTGCTTCACACGCTCAGAAGTTATGTTCTGACATGCAGAGGGACTCTTAATGTGAAGGTAATTGAAGAAATAATGCAGCTAATCTGTGTAAAAGAAGAATGAGAAACCCTGTTGCTTGAGATAAGAAAGGATTGCAGGAAACATAAAACTGTCTTCCAAGAAAGAAGAGACTGGGTGGGTCTGGTATTTGTGCTTTTTTGGCAGGGAAGTCTTGTATTATCCAGATGAATGCTTTTTTTCATGTTGCAACCCAAGTGCTCTTTTTGGGTGTTGTCCGTGTAATATGGGGGAGGGGTTGACTTCTCATTCCCAGAGGAGAGAGGCAGCACTGCTGACACCTGTGATGTCTTGGTAAGAAGTGGCCTCAGCTGCTGCTCTCTGCCCCCTCATCGAACCCTAATGGCTTTATTTAAAATTCAAAGGGACACATGCTCTGCAATATGACTCTCCTCTGTCTATCGCTCTAAATCTCTTTTTTTTTTTTTTCCTTGGCCGAACAGGGAAAAGGGGAGATGACTACATGGTGGCTGGAAGCAAAAAGAGACGATTACACTGACCCACTGCTCAGAGCACCTGAATCCAGAGAAGTCCCAGTGCCGGTTAGCAATTAGATACGACCATCAGCTCAGAGCCCAAAATGTAAAAATAACTGTACAACTATGAAAACTCTTTATTCTTCTGTGTTCAGAAGTGTTTGTCATCATCTTTATTGTTGTGACCAGAAGTGATGACAAAAAGCCAGCAAAATCAGTCTTGATTGTCCAGAAACAGATTGCATACTGTTTATCTATTTATGTATTCAGTTTGTTAGTTTTGGAAAAGGATATAAAATTGTATATGCAGAGAAACCTGACAAACTGTAATACATCATCTATTTCATATAGCTCTTTAAGTATTTTTTTAATGATACCGCACTTTTGTTTAAATATATTAAACTTGAAGAGGATAACCACTGCCTGAAAATCAATTCACCCAGTCACATGGTAGTTACATTAAAGATGTCAAGGCAAAGATATTAATAACTTTAATGTTTTTCTATCATGTCATCTTCTCTTGCCTTCAAAATGTTGGACAAGCACCCCAGGGCCAAAACTATTCCAGCTATATTTTGTCTTGAATAAGAAAAACACACTAACCATTTAAACCCTTTTTGCCGTAAATACCTGTAGTTGTCTGTTGTAGTTTCATATACTGTAAGTCTCACTTACTGTGCAGTAAAATGAGATATCTAACACATGTTCTTGTTTGTGTCAGTGCATTGAAGTTACTCTCAGTTTAGCAGATATATCGTTTTTCATATCTGAGTGTGTATTTGTCTAGTAACAAGTGCAAAACAAATAAAGAAGTTGGAATTTTACCTCAAATGTTTTAAATTAATTTATTCTATTTCATGACTTGTCAAGTCTTGTTCCCAAAATATTGAATTTGCCTTCAGGGATTAATGAAGTTCTTCTTATTCTTGACACATTTTAAAAACCTTAGTTGCTATCCATGGGGACCAGTTAAACTGTACACATAGTGATTTAATTCAGAATCAGAGTCAGAATCAGAAATACTTGAATTATCTCCTGGGGGAAATTTCTTTTGTCACAGTACTCCAATGCAAATACAGTAAAAGAGGAGATAAATAATAGATAAGTAAAAATACGTAAAAATACAAAGATAAATAGATAAATAAGTAAAATAAGTAAAAATATACAGATAATATACAAGCGTTTACACTATATACAACACAAATAGTAAAATCATATGCATGTTAACATTTAGACTTTGATTTATATTTGAAATTTTAGTTTTATTCACATTGATGTAATGGAGACATTATCATTATTTCATGACTAGTGACTGCTCACTATATTAGGGTGTCCCATAGCTATCTGAAGGTGCACACAGCAGTAAATAAACTACTTTTTTAAAAACAGATTGATTAACAGACTGTGCACCTTAGTAATATACGGTGATACCTATTCAACACATCAAAATTATCCAAATTTGAGGGTGAGACTTTCATTTAAAAAAGAAGCAGTTTTGGAGGGTAAATAGCCATCTTGTCTCTTTACAGTCGAGAGCCTATCAAATTGAGTTGTGCTCGGTTGCTAGACAACGAGTCAGCCAATTAGAGCGCTGTTTGGTTTGTGTTCAACGGTTTGTAGTGTCATTTGGACCGATTGAGCTTGAGGAGCTGAAGTATCGAGAGGCAAGGACGAATTCGGACATATATTACCAAGTGCAGCGTGAAGTAAGTACAAGAAACACAAAGCTAACCGATAGAAAGTCACGTCAAGTTTTCAGATATTTACTGTGTAGCCACCCAGCCCGTTAGGTTAGCCAGACGTCTTCAATGTCAGAGTGTTTTAGGAATCGTAGCAGTCAGCGAGGACCGTCTGTTTACCACAGCCATGTCTGCTGTGCAATGAAACACAGAACTGTCGCTGTATTTTGTCGCATTAAGAAAAATAAACATCATTTATTGGCTTATTGTGGACAGCTCTTTGAGTACTACATCATATCAATGTTCCAGGCTTTTCCATAGCCATAGGTGTATGCGTTTAGTGTATAGTTCATTTAAATGCAATGTAAATTCATATGACATGTACAATATTCTCAACTTTTATTCTATATTCAGTTTAAACACTTAATAACTAGTAAATAAACGTTTCAGTCTTCAATAACAACTCTGAATTAGCAATATTATGGTTATTAGTTCACACTAAAAAGTACCTTTTCAGCCCCTTGGTCACTTATGAGGCTGTAGTTTGTAGTGCTTCCTAACTGTTCTTTATAACATTGCACTCTGAGTTTGATAAAACAGACTAGAAAGAAGATTTAAAAACAACTTGAAATAATCTTTTTAAGGTACAGTTAGTTTTCAGAGTGTTGCCCTCCATATATGCTGGTGTCTTTGTTTCATATATTTCTCAAACAGAACACAAACCCTCAAATCTATCCTTAAGAAACTCTTCTGTGGAGATATTATATTATGTACAGACGAATGATTTAAGGGTAATTACCTGTTGAATGGTCAGGCTAAGAGGGGTCTAGGCATGCTAAGCCTTGTGGCTGTAGGCTTGCCATCTGTCTCGCCAGGCTGATTAAATGTCTGACACCAAAGGAAAAAACCTCTGTGTTTAAAACAAGCAACAGAAATCAACTCCATTAAATTAAGTATAAAAAATGTCCAATGCAGCATGTATTATCAATTTTTAAATGCAACTTTTATGCTGACTGATTGCTGCAGTCCCAGAAAGAGGCGTTTTACTGCCATAAGTTTTCTGTCATAACTTAACTATGTAAGTTGTCTACTGATTTCTCCTACAGGGGAAACAAAACCCTTGCGTCATGTTTCCCATATTTTTTCTTTCTGCAGAAAACTCCTTACACAGTGTGTCTGGGATTAGTCTGACCAGCTGATGATAAGACCTTGAGATAAGACGCCAGCCTCATCCTAACCAGCAACCTGCTAAAAAAACAAAACTTTACAGTGATTGTTGTGGTACAACAACCACAACCACAACAACAGCAGCGACAACAACTTAACAACCAGCATTAGTCCTGTTACCATGCCATAATATAAAATATCAAACTTAAGGCCCACCACATGCAGGAGTGTGTTCAGATTGTTGCCTGTGATGGATGAAAGGCTTAGCTTAGTCATCACACTCAGTACTGCAAAGTGCTGTGGATCTCCACTTCCCCACAGCTGCATGTTAACCTCCCTTGCCATTTAATCTGTGATAAGACTGTGTTGAATGGACACTGTGTTAATCTGACCCTCTATTTCAGGAGCAGGGAGTACGTAGGTGGATCCTGCACATGTAGTAGATGATTGACACTCGAATCCTGAAGGCCGTACTGCAGCAATGCCAGAGTCCTCACTGGGTAAGTTCAGACTTTGATGTCTTTTAACGCTCTTCAATACTCATCGAGTGAGACAAGTTGAAGGGTTGGCTGTTATAAGATAAAGTTTATTGACATTTATAAACACTTATATAATGAAGCAACATTTACTTTTTATCCAGTATAACTTTTTTTCTCATCAAGCATGTATACCTTATTATCTTAGACTACTGTGCACATATTTAAATTGACAGACATTTTTCTCCTCAGAATTCAAGGACACTGGCACTGGTTCTGTTGAATGTAGAGCAGCCCCCGTGAGGCAGTTTAGCCAATCATCGCTGACACTGCACAGAAGCTCCCACATGCTCAACTCCTTCTGCACAGAGCACAATGTGCAAGAATGTCTGTCTCACATCAATCAGGTTGGTAAACTTGTGTCTTTGATGCGATATTAAAATATTAATGCCTTTTAATCCTCTCCTCTGAACCCTTTAAATCTACTCTCCCCTTTGCAGGAGGTGTCATCTCTTGGCCTGCCTCCAGTTTGGACTGAGTCGACCGGCAGCACAGAGATAAATGTTGTGGCTGTGCTAAATTGCATGTATGACCTGATTCAACTGCATCGCAGGGGCCTCCGAACCCTGGAAAACATGGAAGCAGAGCAGCTGAAATCGAGCAGCAATGTGGACTACCTGCAGATCACCACCACTCGACTAAAAGTAAAATTTACACCATTTGATTCTAGTAAGATTTTCTAGTTTTGAAATTGAATTAGTGGCTGGATAATAAGATAACCGTGAACTTGGTTCCCCGGTTAAATGTCAAATGAATCTTCTTACAAATTAATGGTCTATGTTACTATGTTTTTGCCATCTCAGGAGCAGCTTGAACAATCAAGAAGAGAAAACACAGCAATCCTTGAAAGAGAACGCCAGCTTCAGCTGAAAATGAAGAGTTTGCAAAACTGCCTGAAAAATGAAAAAGAGGAGGTGCTTTTTTAAAAAATCTTTAATTGAATAATGTTGAATGATCCCAAACCTTTGTAGAACCAGCACCAAAAATTGATCGGTGAAAAAGAGTTGTTCTTTCTCTACTTGCCAGGTGCAAAAACTTCAAAACATAATTGCGAGCCGTGCCAGCCAGTACAACCATGAGATGAAAAGGAAAGAGAGAGAGTTTAATAAACTGAAAGAGCGCCTGAATCAACTTCTGGTGGACAAGAAGGAGAAGAAACAAGGTGAAAAAAGACGTTTTATTGACCTGTAACATTTTAAAATGAACTCATTATCCTAACTCACAAGATTACGGCTGCCCTCTGAAACTCATTAGTGTTTGATTTTCTATAATCATATTTCTTGCTTCCAGCAATTGATGTTTTGAACAACATTGGAAGAGCTGATGGGAAGAGAAGCCTCTGGAGGACTGAAAAGACAGAGGCAAAGTAAGTCTCTGTAATAATAGCTGAGGAAGAAATAAAAAAGCATGGTCAGCCTTTGCCTACATTTATTACAGGAAGCACAGACACTGCTTTGTGATTTTTTTTGTGACACAGATAAATTTTTGAAAGATACATTATATCATGATCAAACCCAAATGGATGGAAATGTTGAACTGTGTCACTGCACCTTTGACTGATTTCCTCTCTGGTTTTGTGATGTATGTAATCATAAACGTATTTTCCTGTCTCTTTCCAAGGCATGAAGGGGAGATGTACAAGACTTTGCTGAGCGACTATGATGCTCGACAAAAGGAGCTGCTCCTGGAAAACGCAGAGTTAAACAAAGTTCTGCAGCAGATGAAAAAAGACATAGTGACTATTCTTAGTGCAAGGAAACCAACACTGAAAAGAAGTGAGCAACAAGATAACTGCATACAGGTAGGACAAGTTAATTACTTTAATGTCTTCTTCAACCTTTAGCTGAAATATACTCTATAAATTCTCTGGATTGTTTTCCTCAGCTTCTTAAGTTCAGTTTTTTTAAACTTATTTGGTGGATGCATGACCTCTAAATGGAAAGATTGTCACGATGTTAAGATATCTTTGTTATCAGCAGGCTGACTCGGAGGAGGAGGATGAAGTGTTCGATTCTACCAAAGAAGGAGTTGACCAGTATTGTGTTCATGCCCGGGAGAAGCTGACCCACAGCATTCGTCTTCAGTGGAGAAAACTCAAGAGACATGTGGAGAGATTGGACAGTCAAGGTACTGTTGAAATAAAAGATAACTCAAGTATTTTTGTCATGTCATATTCAATATTTTTAAGGCAACTGGTTTGATCACAGGTCTCTCTGTGAACTCTGAAATATTTAAGCAACCTTTCAGACTGGATTCCATCTGTTAAAGTCAGTACAATGATAGATGTAGCCACGACTGTGGGTTAAGATGGTTCTGTTTTCTTGTCCAGCGTCTTTGGCTCAGATGGATGACACTAAAGCCACTGATGCTGTTCCCCGAGAGATTCATGAAGAGGAGATGGAGAGATTGAGGGAGGAGATCCAGCAGTGCAAAGACTTCATTCACACACAACAGCAGCTCCTGCATGTAAGACGGACTTTATCATGAAATATAACCTCTGAAGCTCCTTGCAGATATTAATTCAAAGAGTCAAAGAAATAGAGCAACATTGAATGACAGTATTCATTTTAAATTTGAGCAAACAAAGTGTTTAATGCTTTTGTATAATAACAGTGGTGTTGGTTAAAACACCAAATTCATGTTTGGAGAATGTTTTTTTTTTGTCTTTTTCCTTGTAGCAGCAGCTAAGCTCTCCGTGTGATGAGGAGACTGCATCTCTGCTGAGTGACTGCTACATGCTGCAGGAAAAAGAGAGCCTCAGAGAGGAGTGGGCAACCCTTGAGGAACAGAGGAAGATCTTTGAGAGGGAGAGGAGAAACTTTACTGAAGCAGCCATAAGACTTAGTCATGAGGTGATTTCTAAAATGGCTTTTTTTTCAGACAGTTTTATTCTGTGTGCTAAGGTAACTTGATCACAAGTGTGTTATCTTTAAGATAAAATGAGGTTTCTAATTTTAAAATAACTTGTATTTTGTACAAAATTTCAGAGGAAGGCCTTCGAGGACGATCGGGCCATGTGGTTAAAGCACCAGTTTTTAAACATGAGTCCATTTTCTGATTCAAAGAAACCCCACATGTCGAAGTCTAAAAGTGCCTGTTTACTTTGTGAGTATCTGCTCTTTTACCCTATAATTTCCAAGTTTGCAAAATCTTAAAGCTGATAATTAAAATAACTGTCACAGCAATAGCATGAACTGAATAATGTGTGCTTCTTTATTCATTAATGACACACTTGTGTTTAGCCTATTTTTAGCATTTTTCCCCTTTACTAAATTTGCAGTTTGAGTTGCATTTTATTTCCTGTTATATTGTGTATTTATTTATTTATACATCTAAAGACCTACTATTAAGTGACTTTCCTATTAAGGTGTAACACATTATTCTGCAGCTGAAACAAAGGCAACTGCAGCGTCTGCTCAGAGAAAGCTCATCAAATGCCCGTCTGAAACATCCTCCTCCTCACCAAGATTCATCCCCCACAAATCAAAGTCCACAGCTGACCTGTATCACACACTCTGCCTTATCCCGGAGAACAGGTAAAGCACGTTTTATTGCACTGTTTTGTGCAGTAATAAAAATAATGACATTATACACCTTTAATGTTTTTTTCTTATTATCTTTGTTGGTTTCCAGTTCAACCAAACCAAAGAAGAAAACTGAGCGTTTCGTAGAATCAAGCATCTCGTTGAATGGAAATGCTCAAGTTCAGCGACATGACAGCGATGACTAGAAAAGTCTTGTGATCATAAAGGAAAGCCTGTCCTGTATGAAACCAAACCTTAAAACCTTTGAAACTGAATTATTTCTAATACATCAGTGAATATTGGATCATTTGCTGTTTTCAGAATCACTCCTGAGATGTGAATGCCAAACACCTGAAGATGGAATAATAGAAGTTTAAAAATGTAAAAACTGTTGAAAGTGGACGCCACGTTTGAAAACTGGTTAGAAGCTTGGTTGTTTGCTCTGTATGACTAAGAGAAAATGTAATCACTGTACAGTCTATACTCTTCCATTTTAAGATAACACGTGAAATGTATTTATTTCTACTGTAACTCTTGTTCTGGTAGTCCTATCACATATCAAAGAAGAGTATTTTTGGCTAGCGAGTGGGCTCAGAAAGATGACCTAAAGTTGACCTCTGCCATATGGGCCTGGTAACACTTGCTGTATCAGTAGCTAGCACACTGGTTTAGATCATGAGTTTAATGCTGCCTATTAATTAAATGCAATAAGAAACTTTAACATGTTTGTATAGCTGAATATAGATATGTTTAGACTGAGTTATTTTGTAGTAACTGACGCAGCTCTGTTTGTGAATGATGTAAGATGTTTCAGCTAAATGTGAAAGCTCAGAAATGATCTATCAATCACAGTGTATGCTAGAGCTAAGGAGACTACTGTGGTGACACGAGTGTTGATATCGCTCAGCATTTTAAATGAATGTGACTCTTTTAGTTGATGTTTATTTACAGATTAACTCTCAGTAGAAGAATGTGACATGATCGTTTTTAGACAATCTTTGATTCCTGAAACTGTCATTACACAAACTTTGAACAGATTTTTTTTTCTGTATTTGTCTTTCATTGGCCTCTATCAATAACAGACTTCAGTCATTGCTTCTCTTTGTTCCTCCCTGTTTATTTGTGGACTGTAATCCACACAAGAGCCTAATTGAGATTGTGAACAATCGCACTAGGAGGATGTAGTCCGACAACTTGCATAGAGGTAAGTCCTGTGATGAAGAGCTTTGTTGCTTGATTTTCGATTTTCTACCATGGCTGCCTTTATCATGTATTTTCAGGACTGATCCGTCTTGAAGTTCTTGCTTTTAACAATAAGCATCTCTGCTGATTTTACAGGTATGGATGTGAGGAATTATCTGTTATATTTTGCAGATGTGAAGTTCTTGACTAATGAAGGAGTCAGCTCGGATAGTGAACTGAGCTGGGTTTTTTTTGTGTTTGTCACTTGAGTAACTTTCAGACATCTAACCTTTTGACAGTTTTATTTCCCTCTTTTCCAAGAATCATTTTGAGAGTTTTGACTTCCATTTTTTCTCAATATGGTGATTTGAAACCCTTTTATGAGCCTTTTTATTGTAGTATAAACCCATTAAATTGATCATTATTTGGTAAGTGGGGTAAAAGTTTTATGATGCATGTTGTACTTTGAGAAAAGACAGGGTCTGAAGAGAATTTTTTTTTGAGATGCACTTTATTTAAAATTACATTCAAAACATACACATGTAAGCGACTGACAGGAGAACTTGTTATTAAGCACACTGAGAGGTGCAGCTACAGGCTAGGTGGGCTTCTGCTGTTTCCCTGAGGTCCACGCTGTTATCGTACATGCTGCTCATCTCAGGAGTCAAGTGAGAATCTGTATAAGGAGAGGGAGCAGAGTGATTAGGGAGCTGTTATTTCTCAGTAGTTTTTGTTTTTGTTGTTGATTCAGCTGTGATTTGCTGCAGACTCACCAGCAGGCAGACAGTGGTAGCCAACAGTGACAGTGGTGGTCTTCACAGGGAAGCATCCAGCCAGGCAGCGCAAAACAGGCTCAACAGAGTAGCATCTGGACTCCTGACCATGGACATTTACTGACCTCTCCAGCTGCACAGGTTCAAGCTTCATACGGCACTCTGTATGACCAAGGGATGAGTAAGTTTCTCATGGGCTCATTTTCAAATTATGGACAACAATACAGCAGATTTATCAATGAATATTTTTAAACTGTAAACTTCATTGAGCCATTCATTTTGCCTCACCAGTGGTGTCCCTGCAGCTCTCGGCTGGCAGAATCCAAGAGTGAGCATAGCTGACTGAGCTCTTGGTCACACGTCCGTTGGGTGTGTGGTACTCCTGTCTGACTTCCCCATCAGCCTTTCCACAGAGTCCACAGGTCTGTCCTTTCATCCAGTCCACAACTTTTACCTGCATGGCAAATCAAAAAAAGGGAATAACAGACCATTAAAAATTCTGTATGTCAAAGTGATCCAAAAGTTTGATCATTCTTGAAAGCTCTTGTCTTTTGTTTCTCATGGTTCTAAGACTGGCATTCGCTCATCAAAAGGGGGTAAAAAAAAGTCTGAATGGATGTTTTTCCCAACCCAAACTCGAAGTGCAACATTTACCCTCCATGAGTTCTTGTCAAAGTAGACTTCATGCAGACCATGGCTGGGAGCGTACACAGAGATACCCTCGCCCTTTGGCCTGATCTGGATTTTAGCTGTTGGAATAAAAAAATGTAAAGGTTAAAATTAAGATCTTAGAGTTGACTGGAAATGTTTTTATGCGTATCTAAATGCTGATGTGTAATTTATAACAGTAAGTTATATGATGAATTGTTGGCAAACCTGTGGGATGCTGGTATGGCAGGTTGTTGATTGGGATTTCCATGCCATTGACCTTCACAATCACATCAGTATTCTTGGGGTACAGGTCAATATCGCTGTAGGAACAGAAATAAGGATGTTGCCATCTTTGTGATGAACGATAGACCTTGTTATATGTTTGTTTTTGGTGGGCACTCACATGTCAGCAATCTTCACATTGATATGGTTCTGTTCAATGTGGTCCTTCTTGAGCAAAACCATGAACTTCAGCTCATCGGTGCAATCCTGGGCCAGGACTTGGTAGCAAGACAGAGGCATCTCATTTTTGTACTTCCTGCTGTTGAATGTGGTCAGTGTATCTCTTTCAAAGGAACATTCAGCTGTAGGGAAAAAGTTAAGTATTAGATCTTTGGCACAAAAATAGATAACTGCTAGTACTTCTTTGATAAAACAGTGAGGTCATGCATTACCTGCAGAAGCCTTAGAAAACAAGTAGTGGACCTTATCAACAACCTCGTCGAAGGGGGTGAGCCCTTTGATTTCCTCAAGTGGCAGAGCGAGGGGCAGATGCAGAGCCATCTTGTAGACAGTGCGCTGTAGAAAATATTTTAAAATTATTAAAAATACTAAAAAAGCGGGTACAATTTTATATATCAGAAGAAGAATCAAATTATTTATACTGTTGGTGTTTTCCAGATCAAGTCAAGGGTCTTCTCTGATGTGGCAACCACTGTGAATGAGAGCTGATTGCCACTGTTTTCATCCTTCTCTTTGATAACACCAGCGGGCATGTAGTCAGGAATGTAGTCATAGACCCTAAAGAAGAATTGATCAATATCAGACATCTCACATAGTCTTTACTATGAACAGGCCAAATGCAAGGGATTACAAGGTTCCATACTTCTTTGCATAGCGCTTAAAGGCAGAGGGAAGATCGTTCCAGGCAACTCTGAGGCGGGCTGCAGGGCTTGGACCAACAAGACCAGTCTCAGCAGTGATAAAGGTGTCATACTGCCTGCATTCTGCTCCCCAGCCAACTCTAGCCTGTTTAGAATAGATAAATATGACAATACTGTAAGCCTGGTATGGTTTGAAGATTGTGACCTTAAGTCTTAAGTACAGATAATGCTGTGCCTTACTGTGACTTTGTGCATGCTAAGCACAACTCCATCAGCACAGAGTTTCCAGTTGCTATCAGCAGCCAAATTAGCCACAATAATCTGAAGTCTGCTTTCAGGTTTGTCCAAGTACACGGCCAGCTGGTATCCAAACACCTTCTGATCAGCTCTGACAGCACGGACGACGACGGCAAAGGTAGGAGGCACTTCATTGCCAAGGAATTTTTTCTGCAGGGATCATTAGCACAACAAATCAATTATTTTATGCCAACAAACCTATCCTAGACAAGATCTGATAAATCTTAAAATGGTGATCAAAACTCACCTTTTTGTAGACGGCCTCAAAGCTTGAAGCACTGCTTCTACTCTTGGAAGCTGAGGTGATTTGGGAGTTGTATTCCTGTGAGAAAAATACATGAGAGTTAAAGGCCACCTCATAGAGCTGCAACATGAGTAGACGTTCAAATTTGATGTATTCCTACCAACCTGCATCTTGTGGTACTTCTTGAACTTGTGATAAGTCACTCTCTGTTCGGAGGAAAGATTGTGTCACATTCTCTGCTTCCGTGATTAAAATATACAAGTATTCTTGTTCTTATTCTTAAACATTTCTGGGGTATTTACCTTTGAGAGACGAGCACTTGAACGAGAGGAGCTTGAGCTAGCACTGAAGAGAGAGGCAAGGCTTGATGCAGAGCTGGACCTGTCAGACCTGTTCAAAGACTTGGAGCTGAGTCTGCTGCTGCGGCTGCTGCTACTGCTGCTGCTTCTGCTACTGCTGCTGACGCTGCTGCTACGGCTACTGCGGCTGCTGCTACTGCTGCTGCGGAGTCTTTTGACTGGTGTAGCTGCATCAACAGTCTTGCTCGTAATACGTGATGAGGAGCTTGAGGAGGCAGAGGAGGACTTGGAGCTGACACTTGATCGAGAGCTGCTAGAGCTAGAAGAAGAGAGGGTACCATTCCTCATGCTGGGAGCCAAGATTTTCTTGAGTTTCATCAAGACTGGTCTTCCGTCCACGAGTTCTTCACTCAAGTTGATCTGTTTGATGATCAACTCTGCAGCCCTTGGTCCAACACGAACCTCCACTTCCAGTCTTTCCACAACTTCACCTTCAACTAAAAGTATCATAAAATAATGCCATTAAAATTGACTATGTCCACACTACTTCTGCAAAATGCTGAAGATTTGAATTATTAGCACTTACTTGGTTTGACGGAGAGAGCAACAGAGTGCTTTCCTGCCAGCTTGTAGAGGGCAATGTTCCTGATGAAGGCAGCATTGTCAGTTGCAACCCTAAGACAGCTCTTCAGTCCGATAGCGTAGGCTTTGGCACAGTACTTCTTGTTGAGCTGAGCAGATCTGGGCTTAACAATTTTCCTTTCAGCCTTCAGATGTGGGCGAACAATCTCTGAGGATGTTGACTATGAAAAGACAGATCAATAAGCGATTATTTGAATGTAGGTCTTATGGTAGGTTTATCACAAAACAATGTTCAAAACTTACAAAACTAGCAGCAGCAGATGAGGTAAGCTTAGATGTGAGAGTCTCCCTTGAAATGGGCTCCAAGATTTTGACAGGGATGATGGGTGTGAATTTGGCGGCAGGAAGATCCTCAATATTTCTTGCCATGGCCAAAGTCTCAACACTGTTAAAAGGAGAATTTTGTCAGGCAGATATAAAAATCGCGCTTTTGTAATGGTATTTAGTGTTTTGTTGGGTTTCCATCGGCTAAAAAAGGTCATGCTTACTGCACAGCTGCAACATTTTCAGGCACAGAAACAGGCAGAGCTTCAATCTTGAAGTGGCCCTCGTTGATGTCAAGTCTTGCTGCAATCTTGGCGGGCACAATGGAATTCAGCTTAGCTCTTGTGAGCAGGGCAGCCTGGATGAGGGGGGTGTTAACGCCCATCACAGCAAAAGTGTTCATGGCAACACTAGAAGAAGAGAATTTTTGTTTGTTAGATTTCGATATATGATGTTTTTTTTCTTTCTTTTTTTTTTCGTTCTAGACTGAGTTGTTGTACCTACCTTGGTTTGATCTCTGTCTGGAGCTGAATGTCTGTCTTCAGAAGATGAGCAAGGTGGAAGGTTTCTGGCAGGGCTGGTGTGGTGATTGCTCTGACTAGAACCATAAAATACACACAACTTTCACATCTCATAGCATCATACCCTCAATTCTTTTGGCAACAGTACTTATTCAGTAACATTTGTTCAATAGTCAGAACTTGTAATTCAGCAACTTGGATTTTCCCTAGCTTCTTCTGCTCACCGTGAACAGCTGCAGCAGCCACAGCAGTGGTGTAGAGACTCAGCTCCATTGGAAGACCAGCAGCAGTTGGCATGATACGCCTCACCTCAGTGGCCAGAATTGGCTTAGCATAGTGGAAGGAAGCACCGGACAGCAGGGTCCTGACTGCGTTCATGCCAAATGTCTGAACAGAAGGAGCAGTGGCGATCTGCGGAGAAAAAAATGATAACTATTGTGTCTTGCAAAGAAGTTTTTGAAAAAGTATATTGTTGAATTAGAGATAAGAAAGTTGAAATCTGAATCGTACTGTAATAGCCTGATCAATGAAGGCTTTGTCAATGTTGGCAAAAGCAATTTCCTGTCCAAAGAATTTGACGTAGATAGAAGCCAGGGGGGTGCTGTTGGGAAGAGATCTCAAATGGGAAAGCTGTAAAAAAGGACAGAGGACAATCCAAATAATTCAGCATCTACTGTGACTTATGTGTTGTTGCATGCAACTCATATTTTTACAATTTCGTGGAGATTTACTACTTACAGCTTTGATGACACGCTTCATCTTGGTGATCCTGTCAGTGTTGTCGATGAGTGCAGGGTTTTTCAGAAGAGCCTCTTGGAGTCCCTCAGTCCTTACACCAACCTATGTAGACATCAACATGTTAAAAATGATAGTTTACTGATCAGATACCTTAGAGGCTAGGTGCTTTCTTTTTTACCTCCAGAACATCAGCAGCAGCTCCTGCAAGGTAAGCATTGGTCTTGGCCACAATAGATCTTGGCAAAATGGTGGCAGCATCGTTGATGTAGAAAGCGCTGGCAGCTGCACCAAGCATCAATGGGCCTGAAGTTTAATGAGATCCAGTTAGTTGATACTACAGAGGACATAAGCTTGAGTATGCTTGATCTAAGTATAAAATAGCCCTTACTGTTGTAAATGTCCACATGGATGGCTTTGCTGAAGCGCAAGCTTGCTCTGTCCAGCCTTGGGCTCAGGATTTTGACGGCAACGTTGCAAGCAGCAGCACTGTCACATAAACATCAAATAGCTGAGTAGGCACTTGGCAGGTATCAGTGCAGCTGAATTTCATGAAGAATGGGAATTAAAAAGTGCCCTTACACTGAAGCATGGATAGCAGCGGTGCTCCTGGTCAAGGACTTCATGTGAGAGTAAGTGAAGCTTGCCACCTGCAGATTCTGCTCAGCCTTCACAATGTTAGCAAGAGTGGTCACCAAACCCATGGCAGGCCTTGTCTCAAACAGCACAATGCATGCAAGCATACGAAGTTCTGGGTGAAGAGCCTTGTCCATGTAGAGCTGAAGGGCCAGTTCTTGGATCTATTTCACAAGAAAAGCAAACATAGTATGACAGTATTAAAACATGTTTGAAAACTGATTCAAGTTGAAGTTCTTCTAGGTGTTTATATTCACCATTTTGGGCTCCTTCTTTGCAATGTTCCTCAAGGCCATGATAGCATCAGCATGAACTCTCATGGGCAAAGATGTAGCTGGTGTGCCATGGATGGGCAGGATCTTTGTGATTGGTTTAAGGCTAGTAGGATGGGCAGCGTTACCCAAAACCTTCACAAACAGGATGATGTCCTTGGTCTCATCTCTTGCAACAGCTTGTGTGAGGAGGTCCTGGATGGGCTATAGAGGGATCAAGATGTTAGGATCTTGTTATTTTACAGAAATGTACATTTAATACAGATTGGTGAGACGAATGAAGAAAAGGGTTATATCACCTTGATGTATTCAACTGGGCAGACAGGCAAGTCAACGCAGTACTTTGAAATCATGGTACCATAACCAAGGAAGACAATCTCACGCAGAATTGGGTTTTGCACGATTTTGGGGCTGATTGCCATGGTCTAGAAAAGAAACACATTGTCATACCTTCACTCTTACTACTGATGAATTGACTTGCTTAGTGGTTAACTCACCTCAACCAGCTTGATGGCCTCAGTGTCTGCTGTCACCATGTGAATAGAAGCAACCAAAGTCTGAGCTACTTCAGCAACAGTCAGGTCATCAGCTTCAAACTTCTCCTTGATGAATCTCAAAGCAGCAGGAGTACCGATGGCAGGGATGGCGTCCAAGATCCACTGTCTGAAAGGTGAAAGTTGATTGAGTATATAGATCCTGTTTTATTAAGACATATGCTAATGTTGAAATGCTATTAGTCACCTGTAGGCAGGCTGGGTTCTGTATTGGCTCCAGAGCATTTCCAGGTCCTCGTAGCGAGCGACACGAAGAAGCTGAATGAGTTCCAAGAACTTCAGAGGGGCATCCTCGTGGACTTTCTCCACATTGTGGGTAACCAGATGATTCAGAACCTCCATGATCTAAAACCCAGAGTTGAAGGAGAAGTCTTTAATACTTTTGAGATTCGCTTATTTTCTTTCTTTCTTTTAAAGCAGTTGAAATCACTACCTGGGCCTGTGCATTGTTGATCTTAATGAGCTGAATTGGTGTCTGAAGAAGCTCAGTGGAAAACTCATACTTCAGAGAGCCACGGTGTTGGTACTGAGCCTGGATGGGTACAATAGGGGCCCTCTTGATTTCCAGGAAGACCAGGGATTGCCTTGAAAGTAATGAGCAAAAGGTTAATAAACAGCAACCTTTAATCGAAACTGAGGGACTTTCACATTCTCATCATCCATACTTATCCTCACTTAGTTTGCATCTGGGCAGCACCGTTCATCTCAGAGAAAGGTGAAAACTGGATAAGTTCATTGACTGCTGCCTCCAAGATCAGGATGCCGCTAGCAACAGGCTTCAAGATGTAGTTGTATGCTGTAGCTCCTCTCAGATTCTTTGATTCCTGTGAAGAAAAGCCACATAATTGTGAAATAGCAAAACATTTCCTACCCTCAAAATTTTAGTCAGCATGACAAAAGGGGTTTGAATGTACCTGCTGACACTTGGCACATTTCTCAGTGTATGCCAACCCCAAGTCCTTGACAATTTTCTCTTGACAGTGGTTCAGGTCCCTGGTTTTGGTCAGAAGGATGCGTTCAGCCTTTTCATCTTCAGAGATGGCATACAGAGTCTTGCACACGCCCTGAGCCCCGGCCTTAGAAAAGAAATGAGAGAAGCATAACTTTACCCTGCAGGTTCAGCTTCTTGCAACGGATTTGTAATCATTGTGCATGGATCTTTGGCAAACCTCCTGAAGTTCGTAGACATTTTGTGTCTTCTTGATGTTGAGCTGAAGAACATTCAGGATACCTCTGTATACATTCAGCACCAAGGTTGAGATTCCTTCTGGGGCAAACATCTTTCCGACAACACCGTTAGCATACTCAAACTTGATGGGGGTCATGAGCTGAGCAGCCAGGGCTGTAGTGAGCTTGGTTGCCGGGATCAGAGGATCCTTGGGCCACACGCCACTGTACTCAAAGAGCTCAGGTTCCTCAAGCTGTGGTTAGAAAAAAAAAACACATTGTAGTGCAGTTTGTGTTATCAATGGTAAAAAAATCCACCTGTAAGAGTTTGACCTTACTTTCAGCATGTAAATGTTTTCCTCTGCAGCACTGATGAGAACTTTGCTGCTGACTTTGAGCCCGGCCTTTGCCAGACCTTCCTCTGGAAGACCACCAAGGAGCAGCGCCTCATACTTGTACACGTAAGTCTTGCTGGGAGCAAATTCAGGGACTGGAAGAACAATTTTACACCATGATAAGTTTTTTGTTGTATCAGTAACATTATTTGAGATTCCTGTGAAACAAACTTACATTCAACCCAAGCTTTAAAAAAACTGTCTGCACTATGTGTTCAAATACAGTTATTGGAGGAAAATATAATTTACTTTTCCGATTGTTAGCAAAAAACTGAACTTACCCAAGCTGTGATGCTGTCCGGCTGGAATTTAAATAAAAAAGGTATTTATAAACCAGTTGTTACTGATAGAGCTTTTGAAACTAATATAAACATTATATCAAGACTTTTTTTAAGAGTTGCATCCTCACAATAATAAAGAATAATACTCACCCACAAGGGCCACAGCCAGGGCTAGTAGTACCACTCTCATGGCTGATGGGGTTGTGATCGTCTGCAGTCTCAAGCTGCCTTTTAAAGGAAATTTCTGCTGACAGCATCAAATGGGAGGCCACTAAGTTGGGGGATGATCTTTGCATGTTTGTTCAAATCAGTCTGTTGGACTGTTATTTCACCCATCCTTTCGTCAATTACCTGTCCAGCTCATTCAGTACAGGGTCATCGAGGGCTGGAGTGAGTGGTGAAAACACTCTGGACAGGTTACTTGCATGTCACACCCTTGAGTTAAAAAACTGGGTTTTGATTGGAGAGGGTGGCAGGACACATATCAGCGAATACAAAGTTAAGGTCACCTAGCCTTGTTATCCTTAGATGTACCATGTCATACCTGAGTATCATGTTCCAGATGTTCAGTGCGATTATAAAGTCATTTTTAAAGTTTTACAAAAATACTCTATGAACAATCATCCTTGCTGTATTCAATTTTTGTATAGTCATAACACCCATCTTTGCAAAGATATGAACACTATTTAACATACAAAAGAAATGAAAATGAAACAACTTAGCAAAAGAGAAATAGTTTAAAATATGCTGTATTGGAGCAGAACTTTAAAAACCTTTTAAAAAGGAAAATTTGAGTTTATTTGATGAAATTATATGAAGAGCTCATATCGTTTGTGAAAGATAAAGGAATCAATGTCCTTATTTCATAGGTGAAAGTAGATTTAAATTTCTAACGGCACATCTCCATTATCACATTAAATTCTGGAGAAGGAGTTTTCTTGGATCATTTTTCAATAGTTTTTCTTGTTCACAACAGCCACCTTAATTATTTTGTGAAATCCCTGAATTTCTGTGACACCGCTTCATTTTATTTTCCAGTGAAGTTTCAAAGTTCACATATGAGGGCACCATGACTATGGCTGTTTACTCACTTTGTTTATTGTGGTCAGGATGACCACTTATGTCATGACATTTCTGTTCAAACTCAAACTGTGAAATGAAACAGCTTTTGACATGTATTGGCAGAATGTGTTTACCTTATTTTTCCAATTTCATCACTACTTTTTCTATTTCATAAAAATACCTTTTTCAAGCTTTAGAGTCAAAGAGGATTTTTGTTTTTTTGCTTTTTTAATTTGCAAGCTGTGTTTCTAATAAGCACACAGTTATCTTTATATGTTGGCTCTAAAATGTGGTTAAATAATGCTGGCTTGGTTCTTAAATAGCACCTGAGATGCAAATCATTTATAGTGTTGTGTTCCTAATAATGAATAATAAATACTTTTAAACATACAGTATTTTAACTTCATATGAAGACAGTACACAATTTTGTTATTTTACAGAGCTTTCAAGTTTATTTTAAACAACCCTCTGTTAGAGAGGGCCATTAAGTGAGGATTGACTGATAATTTTGAATCAGTTGTAGAAGATATGAGTCCAGAAACCCAAAGATTAGCTTGTGCGTTTTTGTTAATGATAATACAATAACATTATGAACCAGTGCAGAGAAGCAGGTATAAATTCAGCCTGTAGCATTGAGACCTATTATGGCAGCCAGTTAATTAATCATTCATGGATTTCTAAAATTTGTATAGATTCAGTTTTCCATAAATATATATCATAACATCAATACAGTGTTTGTTACCATACTCACTGAGTGAATATCATAGTGTTTTAGAAGCCAAACAAATATTCATAATACACTGATTGTCTCCACATTTTAACTTGCATTCACAAGTTATCAGCAGAGAAGAGATGTGTTTGTTTATTTCTGATAAGATGTGGCTTTTAGTGTGTCATAAACCAGGCAGCAGCATTCACTTTTGGCTCCTTGACACAAATTAGTCAAATTAAAAAGGCAGTCTGTCCGAGCCACCATGTCCCCTTTTGTAGTTTTAATAAGTTAAGGAAAATATTTGAGCAGTTAAAAACAAATACAAGAAAACTCAACTGTCAGACAGTGCTGCATTACTGTGGCAAATTATAATGAAGTTTATTTGGCGAGTAAATCATCTCATGGTCAGCTGCAGTAAACCACCAAAATATTTATTATTAAATCTCAAACATCCTGCATAGGGAGAAAAAAAACACTTTCAACAAAAATAATGAACCTACCTTGATATCTAAAGTGAAGCTTATTACAGTTCATAGACAAAACATGTGATTCAACTTCCCCAACTCTGCCCAGCAGAGGGCGCTTGTTGTTCATACAAAATATCAGTCTCAGCGTAACATGGAAATACAGAAGTATTCTCAAAATACAAAACACGATTTATTCACAATTATTGGCATTTAGTCTTAAATCTTAAGAGTTATGGCAAGTGGAATTATTACCACTGCTGCATTTGCACAGGTTAAGCTTGTGTACAGAAGATAAAAATTAGTTCCCCTGTTTGACTGAAATGTTTTCATAGAGTTGCAGAGGGATCTATTTTAGGTTTGATATTCTTTTTCTTTTGAATATCCTCTCTTGGTAAATGAGTCAATAAAATGTCAATTATTATTATTGCTGCTGATACAAAACTTCACATTTCAATTTCACTTAAACATGGTGCAAAAGTTGCCTTTTAAACTGTCCTAAGATCTTAGGGCTGTCAGCATGAACATGAATAACTGTTTTCTTTATCGTGTGCTGTTTTGTCCCTGTAAGTCAAAAGTTTTGTGCACTTCGTTACAAACAGATGTAAGATAAATCACAAAACGTTGGTGTTACTGCCAACAAGCTACGCATGGACACAGTTGGGGCTAAACAGACAGTTGTGTTTGTAGGCAGCTGGATAGCAGGCACCAGCAGACCACTGTTGTGCAACGTGGATACCACCAGCAACCTGTGGATGAAAAACAAACTACAGAGCTTGCTGAGTGGCAACTGACTGCAAGTCATTCAACACTTTGAAAGACTTGTATAGTGTTTTGAAATGCAAATTATTGAAGTTCAAATATGCAATAAAAATGCAATTATCAGATTAACTATTAAAATGTAACAGACAGTTAATCTAAATCTAACTATTACTCATTTAATAAACAAATATTTACCTTTAGATTAGGGTGGAACAATAAATGTTTGAGCAAGTAATCAGGATATGATGATGCACAGCAGTCACGTCTTTGTACATGTGATAGGACTACTGATCTGAAAGACATCACGCTGTCACCGCTTACTCTGATCCAAGATTATTCCTTGATAAATGTCTATCTGAACTTGCTTTAATGCAGTCCTTTATGAAGAAACTGACTGTTATGTATCTGTGTGTCATGGGGCCATGGTATTTAAATGTTGATGATGATACGCTGAAAAAGTTGAAAGGAACAAGAGACATTTTTTAAGTTAGCTGTCCTGCTTCCCTCCATGCTGGAGTATAGGGATTTTATGATCAATTATGTAACTAAACTAAACTAAACCATGCAATTGTCTTTTTGAATATATACAGGGATAACCACATAATTCATCACATTTACACTTACATACTGATCCTGAGAAAAGTTAGGTCAAGGGATTTTTATTTTGGTCGTCATGTAACATACACAGCAACATACAATGTTCATCAGGTAAATGAAGATCAGGAACTAGAAGAAGAAATAAATAAACTGGATACATAAATAGTGTTACAGATAACAGTAAAAAAAATATTAAAAGTGCTGAAGTGAGACTTGGTACACATGTGCTTGGTGCATCTTAAACTCCTCAGGGTGAATATTTTCGTGCAAATGTGTGGGACTGTATACGTGTTCACAATGGGTTTAAAAAGACTGGGTAGACGAGGCATAATTGAACTGATATGATCCTCATCTGGCACAGCCCCTGTGGCCATCAGTCGGTCTCAAAATGCAACAGCTGGGGTTAAAACACAAAGAAAAGAGCTCATAACTTTCTTCTACTCACATAACTGCACGTAAGAATGTCACTGCATTTGAAAAACGTAGCACCTTCATTTATTACTTTCCCCTCCCAAACTCTCAGATCGTTCACTGTCCTCCTTTCAAAAGTTCCCAGAGTGTCGCACTACTTGTGAGGCAGCTTTTAGTTTTTATGGTGTTAAATTGTAAGTCAGCCTTTCCCTAGATCAGAGGACTTAAATTTTTCAAAAGGAAATTAAGGAAGAAATGTTAAACTCTGCTCTTACTTTTCTAACTTTTTCTTTCATTTCCTTCTTGCAAAAACACTTGCCCTTTTGTTTGTTGCATCTACTACTTGTTTTTTCAATTTCTCATGAATCAACTTTTGTATCTTGATTAATTAGTGCTTTATCTTTGCACAACAGGTGCTGTATAATTAAAGCTGTAATTCCTCTTTCTTACCATCATGAGTTATTTAGTGTCTTTTTTTTTTCAGTATTGGTAATGAGTGAAGGGAATAGTTGACCTGCCCGTCTGAATAAATCAGTAGGTTTAATTTGCTTTTTCTGTTTATATTTCTTGTATAAAAGAATTTCAGCCAACACGTGTTTCAATTGCTTCTACAATTTATTTAAATTTACAATGAAAACACATCGATCAAAACTTCCTCCATGGAAACATAGCACAACATGGTATGATTGAAGGTGGTGAAGTTAAGCACACTGAGCAGTGCAGCGACAGGCTAGGTGGGCCTCTGTTGTTTCCCGCAGGTCGATGCTCTTCTCATAGATGTTACTCATACCCTCAGATCGGCTAAGATTTGTATCTGCAGAAAGAGAGAGCATGGAGCAGTCAAGCAGTGTATAAAAAAACACAAAACAGTTGAAAAATAATTCAGCTTTTTGTTTTTTCCACACACATACCAATAGGCACGCAGTGGTAGCCGACAGTGACAGGGGTGGTCCTGATGGGGATGCAGCCTTGGAGACAACGCATCACAGGCTCAACTGAGTAGCATTTGGACTCCTCGCCATGGAGGTTGACCTGTTTCTCCAGCTTCACAGATTCAAGCTTCATGAAACAGCCTGCAAATGGGTAAAAAAATAAGGTGAGTGCTGATAAATTACTTACATAGGCTTTTAACTGACACCAAATTAAAATCCAGTGTCTACAGGCTGTTGTTTTCCTTTAAATTCTGATTAAATACTTCTTTGTGGGGGCTGTATTGTTAAAAAACACAGTGACTGAATGAACAAGCTGATGTTGAAGTTACCATAATCTTCCCTGCAGCTCTTTCCAGGCAAAAGCCAGGAATGAGCATAGCTGACGGCATCCTTTGCCACACGTCCGTTGGGAGTGCTGTACTCCTGTTTGAGTTCACCATCAGCCTTTCCACAGAGTCCACAAGTCTGTCCTCTCATCCAGTCCACAACTTTAATCTGAAAATTAGCCCAACAGGTAAGCTATCTGCAAAATCCATGAAAATTAAAAAAAAAGGCAAAGTCATATATTTTTGTCACCTTCCATGTGTTCATATTAAAGTAGACCTCCTGAAGACCATGGCTTGGAGCATGGAGTGCAATTCCCTCACCTCTCTGTCTGATCTGGATCTTGGCTGAAATGAAAATACATAATAAAAATACAAACATCAAAATTTAGACTTTCAACAAATGAGTAATTTTAGCATGGCAGCTGGAATTGAATTAATTGAACCAAAAAACCTTCAGGATGCTGGTATGGCAGGTTGCTGATGGGAATTTCTACACCGTTGACCTTCACCATGATAGCACCATCCCTCGGGTACATATCCACATCACTGTGAATAAACAATTGAAACTCAAAGTGAGCTTTGTGTTTCCATGTTCCCCCAGTGATTGTTAAAGTAGTAGCTGCACTTACATATTTGCAATCTTCACATTGATCAGGTTCTGCTCCTGTGTTACGTCCCTCTTCAGCAGAACTATGAATTTGAGTTCTGATGTGCAGTCCTGAGCCAAAACCTGGTAGCAAGAGTGGGGAAACTCGCTCTTATACTTCCTGTTGTTGAATGTGACCAGTTTGTCGTTGACCATGGTGCACTGGGCTGGAGTCAACAGAAAGAGTGATGAGTGAGACTGACAACTTCCTTGCAAAATACCTGTTATAAAACCTTTTCTTTTAATCTTATTTCACCTGAATGAGCCTTGGTGATCATGTAGGAAATCTTCTCAGCCATGTTGTCCTGGTATGGTACCAGCTCAGCAGCAGTGTCTTTAATTGGCAGAGCAAGAGGGATACCCACACCCATTTTGTAGATGGTCCTCTGTAATATAAAACCCCAATGGTAGTAAAGAGCTTTATAGTCAAACTACTTGGTAGGGTATGCTCTGGTCATTTTCTTTAATCTCAATGAGATCTCACCTTTGGTGTCTTCAGCACAATGTTCAAACTTGTTTCAGAAGCGACAGCCACAGTCAGTCTGATCTGTTTGCGAACATTCTTGACCTTTTCCAGGTTGAGTCCAGTCTCCTTAGCGATGTAGGAGATGTACTCAGAGATCCTAGCCAGAGGTGAAAGTTTGGTTATTGTTTAAGAAAGGTTATGAGTCCACATGGGTGATGAATATACTGCATGAATGGATGAAGTGTGAAAATGAGTTGGTGACATTACTCCTGTGCGTAGCGTTTCATGCTCTTTGGAAGTTTATCCCAGGTCAGCTTCAGGCGGAATGCTGGCTCTTTCTCCACAACACCAGTCTCAGCTGTGATCTCAGTCTCGTACTGTTTGCACTCAATGCCCCAGGCAACCTTGGCCTGTAAGAAATTTAAACTAGAGTTAAAATGTCACACATTTTTTTACAACTAATTCAAACCCATGTAACAAATTTAGAGTTTGTACCATGAGCTTGTGGTAGCTCAGCATCACACCGTCAGCACAGATTCTCCACTTGTCATTCTCAGCCAAGTTGGCAAAAATGACCTGCAGCCTGGCAGTAGCTTTGTCAAAGTAAGCAGCAATCTGGTATCCCTGAGCCTTGTGGTCGGCTCTCACAGCACGCACAAGAATGGTCACAGCGGGAGTGAGTTCACTAGCGAGGTACTTGGCCTAAAATGGAAAAGTTAGTTTGAAGACTGGTGTTACGAAATGGAACTTGATCATTTTTTCTGGATTCAGGGAAATGTAAATGACTTGCTGGGGTTACCTTATTGTAAATGTTTTCGAAGCTGTAGGCACTGCTCCTGCTGTTGACACGGTCAGTAGAGATGGCATGCTACAACCAAAGACACAGTTAATCCAGGTTGTTCAGACAGAGTGGATGATGTTTCACGTAAATGTTTTTCAAGTTACCTGGTGGATGTGGTTCTTTGTAAACTTAAACTGTTCAAGCTGCAACAGAAAAATAAATGCTTTATTTCCCTCACATTCTCCTCAGGTCTATTTTTTTATATGAGTTCAAATACAAAGTTGTCTCACCTTGGACAGGGCACTTGATCTTGAGGAGCTGGAGCTGGATCTTGAGGACCTGGAAGAACTGCTGGAGCTGACTCTGGAGGAGCTGCTTGAAAGTTTAGAGGACCTGCTGGAGGAGCTGCTGGATCTGCTTCTAATGCTTTTTGCTTTCTTGCTGATGGGAGCAACAAGGTCAATCATTTTGCTCCTGGAGCGAGAGGAGCTAGAAGAGGACCTGGATGAAACTGATGAGGAGACGCTTGAAGAGGACCTGCTGGAGCGAGAGCTGCTTGATCTTGAGCTGCTGGATCTGGAGGAAGAGGATGTGGCATTCTTCAGACCAGGAACCAGGATTTTCTTGAGTTTCATCAAGACATTTTTGTCCTCCAGAATCTCTTCTTCTTCACTCAAATTGATCACTTTGATTATCTTTTCTGCAGCTTTGTCCCCAACCTGAATCTCAATTTCAATTTTCTCAACCACTGGTCCAGCAGCTGCAACCAAACAAATAAAGACAAACATGATATAATTCCAATTCCAAAAAAGTTGGGAAGCCATGTAGACGTTTCAAAATGGGCTTTCGATGGTTTGCAAATCTCTAAACCCTTTACTGAATCCAAAAATGGAAAGACAACAAATCAAATGCTCGAGCCTTAAAAGTGTTTCATTTCAGCAATAGAAGAGCAGCAATATGTTTCAAGACAAGTTGGGTGGGACAGCATATTTGATGTATTGACTTTGCACTTTTTCAGTATAGATTATCTATGACACTTGCCTGGAGCAACCTCAACGAAGACAACATGTTTTCCAAGTGTGGCATAGAGCAGGCAGTCTTTGATGAAGGCGGCATTGCGGGATTCAATCTCTGTGCATGCTTTGATTCCAAAGGTTTCAAATCCGGCACACATTTTCTTTTCAAAGGCTCTTGGGAGTTTCAGTTTGCTTGCAGTTTTCCTTGGCAGGTCAGTGTGGATGATTTCAGATGATAATGACTGTAAAACCACAACAAAGGTTACCACAATAATTTGTGTAAGGTGAATATGTTTATGTTGGCAAAGCTTGTCAGGGAACCACCCACCATGCTACCAGCCATGGAAGATGCCAACCTGGAAATCCTTGAGGAGACTGTCTCTCGTGACAGCTCAGCTGGAATCATGGGAGTGAATTTGGCAGCTGCAAGGTCTTCAACATTTCTTGCAACAGCAAAAGTTTCAACACTGTTGGATATGAGAAATAGTAGTTAAAGCCACAAAATCTTAAACATGGTCATGCATATGACTGATAAGGACAAGCACGTACATTGCAGATGCAATCTTATCGATGCCCTGAACAGGAAGGAACTGAAGCTTGAAGTTGCCCTTAATCATGTCGATTCTTGCCTCTATTTTGGCAGGAACGATTGTGTGGACTCTGGCTCTTGAGAGCAGAGCTGCCTGGATAAAGGCAGTGTTGACCCCCATGACTGCGTAGGTATGCATTGAAACACTGAAAGGAGCACAAAACATAATTTCTAAAGGTAATCACCCAAAAACACTTTTAAAAAAAATTTATTTTAAAGTTGCTGAGAAGGAGCAAAAGCAGGATTACCTTGGAGCGATGGCTGTCCTCATGCTGATATCAGACTTCAGAAGCTGGGCGGGGTGGAAGTTCTCAGGCAGGGGTGGTGTCACCTCTGCTCGGACTAAGAAAAAAGGTTGTTTTTTTTAAGCATCATTGTAAAAAGTCGAAAAGTATCTGCAACAGCAAGGCCGTGGTAGTGACCCTTACATTCAACAGCGGCAGCAGCCACAGCGGCAGTGTAGAAACTAAGCTCCATTGGCAGACCAAGAGTGGTGGGAATGATGCGGCGAATCTCAGCAACCAGCATGGGTTTGGCATAGTGGAATGTGAATCCAGACAGCAGACCATCCAGAACCTTTCTTCCATATGTCTGAATGGCAGGTCCACTGGCAAGCTGCCAACCAAGAACGGCAAAATAATTCAGAATTTTGGGTGTTACATCGAAAGTTTGACATACAATGCAGTGATGGCTGATTACCTCAATGATCTGATCAACAATGGCTTTGTCAATGTTGGCAAAAGCAATTTCCTGTCCGAAGAATTTCACATACATAGAGGCCAGAGGCTGTCTAGTAGGATTAGCCCTCCATTCAGAGATCTGTACAAGAGAAAAAGAGGTGACTTAAATAACTAAGTGTCTATGAAAAGTGAAGTACATGTACATCAAGTATTTGAAGGTAATTCATAATCCTTTGAACCTACAGCCTTCATGATTTGTTTCATCTTGGTGATCCTTTCAGCATTTTCAGGCTGCTCACGGTATTTCAGAAGGGCCTCCTGGACTCCCTCAGTTCTCACACCAAGCTAAAACAAAAGAAAATTCCATTACATGCGTTTTCTTAACTCCACCATGTCTAATATCTCATCAAAGATATGATTGTCATACCTCAAACACATCAGCATAAGCTCCTGCGAAGTAGGTGCGAGCCTTGGCCAGAACGGCTTTTGGCAAAAGAGTTGCTGCTTCGTTGATGTAGAAGGCACTTGCAGCTGCACCCATCATCCAGGGGTCTGCAGGGAACATTAAAAAACAAAAGTCAAATGTGATACTTTGACTGAAACTCTTTGATTAAATTAATATATTTTTATGCTCTTACTGTGGTAGGCATCCAAATACAGAGATTTGCTATAGTGGAAGCACAGTCTGTCAAATTTGGGGCTCAGGATCTTCACGGCGACATTACAGGATGCAGCACTGAAAGGAGGACGTTGTGATGAGATTGATATGCTGGTATGTCACAGTAATAAATGACTGCAAAAGAAAACACCATCTATGTTCTTACACAGAGGCGAAGTCAGGGGCGGTGCTCCTTGTCATGGCTTTGATGTAAGAGTAAACAAAGCTTGCCACCTGCAGATTTGTTTCCTTCAGGAGGGTGTCAGCCAGAGTGGTCAAGAGACCCATGGGCAGCTTAGTCTCAAACAGAACGATAGCAGCAACCATACGGAGCTCTGCATGGACAGCCTTGTCCATGAACAGCTGGAGAGCCATTTCCTGGATCTGTTTTACAGAGATGAATATCAAACATAAAGCTGTGACTGTACGGACTCCTCGAAGTGTATGCACTAAATGTAAAAAAGGGGATTCAACCATGTGGTCTTACCATCTTGGGCTCCTTCTTTGCAATGTTCCTCAGGGCCAGAGCAGCATCGATGTGAATCCTGTGTGGCACGCTAGCAGCAGCACTGCCAAAGCCAGGCAGGAGTTTCATGATTGGTTTAAGACTGGCAGGATGTCCAGCGTTACCCAGAACTTTGAGAGCAAGAACAATCTCCTCGATTTCACCTCTTGCAATGGCTTGGACAAGAAGTTCATGGATGGGCTGTGGGAGGAACATAAAAATCTCATTTTCCTGATTTAATGACTGAGTTTAAGACATATAACAGATGTTTTAAAGAATGATACATACCCTCACAAGTTCAGCGGGGCAGGTTGGGTACTCTGCACAGTATTTAGCAACCAGGGTACCATAGCCTAGCATGGCAATCTCACGCAGAACTGGGTTCTCCAGGATCTTGTGCTCCATAGCCAGTCCCTAGAGTGGTGACAGGGAAGGAATTGATCATCCATCCCTATTTTAACATCAACATAGTTGCTACAGAAATATCATAACATTGACTTGCCTCAGCGAACTTAATGACCTCCAGGTCAGCTGTCACCATGTGCACAGAGGACAGAAGGACTTGAGCAGCTTCAGCAATTGTCAGTTCACCAACCAAAAACTTCTCCTTGAAGAACTTCAGAGGAACATGAGTGCCAATGGCAGGGATAGCATTCAGGATCCAGTGTCTGGAAAGCCAACATATTACATAAGTATGTTTTAAGAATATAATTTTTGTCACAGCTTTCTTGAGCACTGCACTTACCTGAAATCAGGTCTTTCTTTGAACTGAATCCAGAGGGCCTCGATACTCTCGTATCTGGCCACTCGCAGCAGCTGGATGAGCTCAATGAACTTCAGGGGAGCGTCTTCGTGGACCTTGGCCACATTGTAGGTCACCAAGTGGTTGAGAACTTCCACAATCTATCAAGAGATGAAATATTTTCTTTGTTAAAGTTTCCTGCTACAGGAGGCATTCACAGCATGGGTATGACTGTGACTCAGAGGGAATATTTTCCAGAGTACCTGAGCCTCAGCGTTGCTGATCCTCAGAAGCTGGATTGGTGTCTGAAGAAGCTCACTGCCAAACTCGTACTGCAGGGATCCACGGTACAGATATTCAGCTCTGATGGGCTCCACTGGGGTCCTCTCAATTTCAACGAAAGTCAGGACTTGTCTGTGGAAAAAAACATACAGGCTCTACATCAATATGCATTACTCTACGACATATTTATTGCCCTCTACTTTTATGATTAAACTACATACTTGGCCTCCATCTGGGCAGCTCCGTTCAAGATGTTGAAAGGTGAGAACTGGATGAGCTCTGTGGCGGTTGCTTCCAAGATCAGGGCACCTGTGGTTTCTGGCTTCATAACGTAGTTAAAAGCTGCAGTTCCCTTCATGGTCTTTCCTCTCTGCATTAAAAGAAACAACAAATTAAAATTCACAGCAGCGGTTTCCAGGATGGCTCTGAGTTGGTGACTGAATATGAAGCAAATTTTGACTTACTTCTTCACATTCAACACATTTTTCTGTGTAAGCCATGCCAATGTCCTTCATGATTCTCTCCTGGCATTGACTCAGATCCTTGGTCTTGGTCAGCATGATGCGGTCAGCCTTTGAATCCTCACTGATGACGTAGTGGGTCTTGCACACACCCTGCGCTCCAGGCTAATTGACATATTAGAAATACAGGATCTGTAAAACCAGTTGTGAAGTTTAAGCTTTGCATGATTTTGCTGGCAAAGACTTAAAAAAAACTCACCTCTTGCAGCTCATACACATTCTGGGTCTTTTTAATGTTCAGCTGGAAGATGTTGAGGATTCCCCTGTAGATGTTCAGTATGGTTGCAGAGATGCCAGCAGGTGCGTACACTTTGCCCACAACGCCATTAACATACTCAAACTTGATGGGAGTCAAGAGCTGAGCAGCTAGAGCTGAAGTGAGCTTTGTGGCTGGGATGAAAGCATCTTTAGGCCAGATACCACTGTACTCAAAGATTTCAGGGTCAGCCAGCTGAAAATCAGAGTGTCAGCTTTAATGAACTGCGTTTAAGCTATGAGGGACTGTTTGTTCAAGCGCACGTTCAGCAGATCAAGTGTAATTAAAGTTTGACAGCATTACCTTCAGCATGAAAGTGTCGGGAGCTGCTACACTGATGAAGACTTTGCTACGGAGTTTAATCCCTGCACGAGCCAGACCCTCCTCAGGCAGGCCGCCCATGAGAAGTGCTTCATACTTGTACACGTAGGTCTTTCCCTGAGCAAACTCAGGTACTGCAATAATAATAGTTTTCATTTTTTAAAAGAATGCACTTGTATTTTAATCAAACTTTGAAACTGAAAAACAGACTGTATCAGCACATCAGTTTTAAAACTTGTTTTAATTCTAATTCTTAAAGTAATTCTTTATTCTGGGAGACAACTTACCGAAGCTGACTTGGTAGCAGGCTAAAAAATAAGAAGGGAAACAAAGTTAATTGGGTGTCCATCACGACAAATACAAAATATGATGCAAAAATTAATGTAGCAAAGTCCTCCTTTTCACTTTTACTGTACTTGTTGATCAATTAATTAATTTCCATGCTAGTATTGGTTTTATTAACTTTGACTGTTAATAAGTGCAGTAGCAGCTCCTTTAATTTTGTACTCGTAAAAAAAAAGTTAAAATACAAGAATAAAATTGTAAGATTGTGTCCATGCTTGAATTTGCTGATTTCCTATTCTGCACTTGATAAAAAATTAAGACTTGCTCACCCGCAAAGGCCACAGTAAGAGCTAGCACAAGCACCCTCATGGCTGGTGGTTGTGGCTTGACTGCAAACAGAGGCGTCTTTTTAAGGCTTTTTGTCAGCTGTTTGCCCTCCAAATTGTATCATTAACCTAGTATCAGGTTTCAATGCCCTGAACATGTGGCTCTGACAAACAGAGGTGCATGTTAACACTGATGACAAATATCACAGTTGTCCTAACCTGACTCTTGGCTTTCCTGGTGCAAACAACCTGGTGTCCAAATCTAAACATCTCTCTCCTTTTCCTTCACACCTTTTTACAATGTAATGGTAAATCAATCATTTTTGATATTCCAACTAAAAAAACTAACCCACGTACATTTCACTTTATTTCAGATGTGGTTTAAAAAGGTATTATGTCTTGGTTTCAGTTATGTAAACATTAAAGTGCTCTAGCCTTCTTATGAAAATGTCATCATGTCATGACCTGTCATTTTGTCACAGGTTTATCAGCTAAATCCAGGAACTATTGACTATTTAGCAGCCACTCTTACACATGTTTGCTTAACCTTCATATCAGAAGAGCCCAAATCATTTAACTGAAAACTAATTTCTTTACTGATCTTGCCTTGTTATGCCTCACCAGTCATGTCTGACAAGTTAAATCTTATATACTTATGTAAATGTTCTCCCCCCGTTACAAATTACTGTTCATGAAATTTAAAGTCAAATCAGTGTCACTGGAGAAAATAACATCTTTCCCTTGATTTACAAAATAAAAGAAAGAAGAATCATTGATTTTTCTTCCACCTGTTCCCAATATCCCAACTGCTCTTGGGACAAGTGATTACCACTGTCCTCATCTCACCTCGCACATGGTATCATAATCCAAATGAGCTGCAGCACATTACGCACAATGTTGATGGCATTGACGTCACCTCATAATCTGAACCTGTACTGTAAAATAACATTTTCCTTTTTTGTATATGCTATAAAGTAATATGCCTTTAGTGTTGCAGAGCAGAGCTGTGTTGAGGCATTATGCAACAAATACTTGTTTAGAAAGGTAAAAAAAACTTGAAACACTTTAAGCTGACTGAAATATAGTGTTGTTTGCAGCGTTGTTTTGGATCACAGAGAAAGGAAGCGTAGGTTAATTTCTAAAATGTGAGCCTTATTCAGAAGTTGAGTTCCATTTTTTTTTCATTACGTGTTAGGATTTTACTTTGTGTGTGTGTGTGTGTGTGTGTGTGTGTGTGTGTGTGTGTGTGTGTGTGTGTGTGTGTGTGTGTGTGTGTGTTGGCATAAGTGGCCATCACAAAGCCCTGATTTCAATCCTATTGAAAATTTATGGGCAGAACTGAAAAGTCTTGTGCAAGCAGGGTGGCCTATATCTCTATCTTATTTCAGCTTTACTATCTTTTTAGCTTTTGTTATACTTTTACTCTTTTCTTAAGCGGTCCAATTATGACGTCCAAATCTTGGATCCATTTTGCACGTTGTGTCAAATTCTAGATTTGGTCTTCAGATGACGTCCAAATTCTAAACGTCAGAGCGACGTCGAAAAAAGGTCCAATTTGGACGTCGAAATTTCTAACCTATTTTGCACGTTGCACTGACGTCCAGATGTGGTCTTTGACGGACCGACCCAATACTAACTTGATCTGCACGTCTCTTAGACGTCCAATGTTTGGTGGGCTGGTGCCAATTTTTGCCTCTGACCCATGACAGCCTGAGTAGAGCTACACTGGTCACTACAGGTTGCATTGGCCCAATTCCAAACCACCCCCTCACTGACTCATTGACTTAGGTGCGCGCTCATGTGAGCTCTGTAAGGGCTTGAGGATTGTTCCAAATGAAATCGGTAAGTCAGCGAGGGCTCGGGAACGCCCCTTTCTGCACCCTTTCCGTAAGTCCGTACCGTTGAGGACTTTGGCTATGAAATTGCCCACAATTCATTGCGTTGTGGGCGTTACTGGAGGACAGCGACGCAGCCGGGGCCAGAGCTGCGTCCGAATTGCCAAGTAGTAGTCGAAGCAGTAGTCGAAGTAGTATCTAGCATGTCCGAATTGGCCACCGGAGCGAGTAGCATGCTACTTCAGATACTACTTCAGATGCTAGACACGCCCACATTGTAGGTTGGTCTCGGTGCATCCTACGGGCATGCTACTGACCCAAAATGCACCGCGGGCTTCTTCTTCGTCCTCTTAAAAGTTGTAGAAGCGCATGTGATGCTAGCGCCACCAGCTGCTCTGCCTATTTAAAAGTGTCGCGAACGCCGGCTGGCCACAGCAGCGCGCACCATGTCGGAGCAGCAGCAGCAGCAGCAGACGGGACCGCAGCAGTACAGATGTAAGTTTCATGTAACTTCACACACTGTCCTAAAAAATGTGCGGTTGTATCTCTTTGTCATGTCATGGTGTCATATTTGCCCAAGAAATCATTTTATGAGCAAGTGGCGACATCATGGAGGTAAAGCTCACTTATTCCATCATTAAACTGCACAGCTGCAGTACTACAGCCAGGACCGCAGATGAGGGGCTTCAGTTACCACTGTCTGCACGGGCGCAGTACCTACTCTCTGCCTGCGGGGGTCGTCTTTCCCCACCGCTCGTCTAGTGTGTCCGAATTGGGCCAACGTTTTTAGTATGTAGGAGTAGGATCTAGCAGTAGCACGTAGCAGTAGCATGTAGTATCCGAGCGGGCAGTTCGGACGCAGCACAGGATTTAAAAAAGAACGAGGCCACAAGCGTCTCAACGTCCGCGACAGACACCAAAAATGACGGAGATCATGGCGAAGAAGCTCAAGAAGAAGCAGTTCATTTAGGATCTAGGTGCACCCTTAATACTCTAACATGGATGTTCCGCATCGTGTATGGTGGGCGCCGGAATGCCAAGATGAACAAGAATGCACTACATTAACATGGATATATATATATATATATATATATATATATATATATATATATATATATATATATATATATAGTACAGGCCAAAAGTTTGGACACACCTTTTCATTCAATGCATTTTCTTTGTTTTCATTACTATTTAAATTGTAGATTCTCAAAACTATGAATGAACACATGTGGAATCATGTGCTTAAGAAAAAAGTGTGAAATAACTGAAAACATGTTTTATATTTTAGATTTCTCAAAGTAGCCACCCTTTACTTTTTTGATGGCGCTGCAAACTTAAGCTGTTCTCTCAATGAGCTTCATGAGGTAGTCACCTGAAATGGTTTTTACTTCACAGGAGTGCCTGAAGTAACCCTGACAAGGAACTACTGTCATCAAGAGCAAAGGGTGGCTATTTTAAAGAAACTGGAATATAAAACATGTTTTCGGTTATTTCACACTTTTTTTATTAGTACAAAATTCTACATGTGTTCATTTATAGTTTTAATGCCTTCAGTAATGATCTACAATGTAAATAGTCATATAAAAAAAAAAGAAAAGACATTGAATGAGAAGGTGTGTCCAAACTTTTGGCCTGTACTGTATATATATATATATATATATATATATATATGTGTGTGTGTGTGTGTGTGTGTGTGTGTGTGTGTGTATACATACATATATACACACACACACATACACACGCATGCGTTATTCTTATAACAAAGAAAATTTTATCTGAATCAATACATTTTATCCTGAACTAACACTCTAAAGCAGTGATTACTTTCAGAATCTAGTGCTTCAACCTTTTAACCATTCAATATCACTTAACCTAGCATTAATGCTGGTTTTATAATTTATCAATCTAATCATTATTTACCAATTACCTGTTGTCTATGTTCAAGAGCAAGTGTGTGCAAAAGGAGCGGAACAATGTTGGCCTTTCTTCTGCAACGTCGCTGGCCGCGAAATAAATGCAGAATTAAGAGCCCAGAGAGGCAAGTGTCAGTCGCATCTTTGGTTGTCAACGTTGTCGTCTATCGTCAAGGTAACGTGGCACGTCACAAAGGGCTGTTCCATTGCTTTTATACCCTTTTGGAGCCCTTAAACCCTCCCACACTCAAGCACTTACCAGCTGACTTAACCTGAGCTAATGAGGGTGCAGGGCTTGAGGGCTTAGGGTGGAGTTTGGAATTGGGCCATTGTCTTGGTCATTAGCACGCACGCTTCTGTATTTTGTTCCATGTCAGCTTCCGTACGATTGTCATGCGGTCTGATAGGATTTGTTGACAGCACAGAGACAGATAGGACTCAGTCATTTGCTGTAGCACCCATTTTCATAGCAATGTCCTGGTTTCTTTTCTTTTTGTCGACGATATTTGTGTGCTGCAGGGCTAATGTTTGTCCGTGTGAGAGACCGGAACTCTGTCAGCAGATCCGCGAGGAGAGAGACTTTGAGGTAGTTTACACAAGTTTGTCAAAAAATGAATTCAACCAACGCGCAGAAGTCAGATAATATTGAAGTAGTTTTATTTTATCTTCACCCACAGTAAATAATGACGACAATCACTCTTATTTTATATGAAAAACACCTTGTTTATGATTAAGAAGTGCAGCGAATTGATAAGTTTATTAGTGTGAATCGTACTCAGTCATTAAGACGAACAGCAGACGCGGAAGGTGAAATGTTAGAAAAAGTAGACCGACATGATTTGTTACGTTTCAAGTAGTGAGCTACAGCTTGCCCAAGATAACTGTCATTGCATTACTTTATACTGTGTGGGATAATAATATTTCTGGTGGTATCAGGGCTTACTTTCACCAACTTTGAAAACGAAATATCCATACATCAGAGGTTACTCTGAATAAAGATAAGTCATGCTGTTTTTCTGTTTGAGTAAAACAAATTGGAGAGAAATATATTGCCAAGTACTGAACAATATTTTACAACTTTGTCATAAGACTTTCACATGATGTTTATAGTTGTAATAAATTTGCTGCCAGTAGCCTGCAAAGGTTAAAAATGTTATGACCTCAATCTTGATATAAAAAACAGAGTTTGTCTAGTGTATGTTTTAGAACATATGGAATTGATAACTCTAGTTTTTACTACAAATAAGCTGAGGATGAACTGTAACAAAAAATGAAATTACACCATAGACTGTTTTAAATAACTTGTGGACATGGCTTTAAGCTGAATTCTCTGAACCTTGATACTGTAGTTCCTGTCATAGCTTTTAATTTGGGACTTGCAGTTCCTCTTTATCTATGCACTGTGCTCCTGTTTGCTCTATGGTCACGTGGTATTTGATAAAAGTTCCTCTTTTGGGCCCATTTGGCCTCATGGACTTTTGTTAAGTATAGCGCTTTTTTCTTCTATAAATACAATTGCAAACTTAAAGACATCTTTGGTTACAGTTCAGTTACAACTGATGAATAGCACTTAGATAATAACAGGTGTGACCAAAGATGCATATCATTTGTCACTCACTGTCGTGTCTTACTGCTTGCTTAAGTAAAACCAACCTGTAATTTGCATGGAAATAAACATTAATTAATCTTCAACCTAAAGACTTTGATCTCTTTACATATTTTCTCATAAATAAAAAGTGATAGTTCAATCAGTTAATTAACTACACAGGGATGTGAAAGGCAAAAGGCAATGTGTCCTGCATCTGCTATTGTCCACATATCTCCTTTGATGGTTAGTTTTCCAATTTTCCATCGTTTTCAAATGATGGGTCAGCTGAGTCATTGTAGTAGCCAGAAAATAAGGCCAAAGGTTTTTTCCACAATGATTATTCTGGAAAACAACAGATTTCAGACTTACTATTAATGGCAAGGATGCCATCCTTTCAAGAGGTTTAGTTTGATATGCTTATGTAACAAGGACCATACACAACACAACTGCTGAGCCAGAGTTAGCAATTAATCTCATGTACATCTGTGGTGTCTGGCAGGGATCTTGTTGTCAGTCAGCACACTGGAAAGCAAAAGCGGTTTAGTAACTAATTCTGTAAGCCAGCAGTTTTGTATGGTATAGAGAGGAACCCTTTCAGGCTTTAGTCATTTGTGACAGACATTTGACAGGGTTCAGTTGTACAAATGACAAAACACAAAAGGTAGGGCCAGTGATGTTACATTAATGTATCTGTGTCCTCTGCATATTTCTGTCAGGTGTTTGTGTTCGACGTGGGTGGAAAGACATGGAAGTCCTACAACTGGAGCATGGTGACAACAGTGGCAACATTTGGAAAATATGATGCTGAACTCATGTGTCATGCTCACTCTAAAGGAGCACGGGTTGTACTTAAAGGTAGGCTAAATTGAGCCTTTAACTGCAGTGTTTATCTATTAAAAGGGTTGACTTTTTCTGTTATCTTTTAAAGGCCCAATTGTGCTAATTTTAAAACCATCTCCCCTCTTGTTGTTTGAAAAAGGTGACGTTCCTCTCTCTGACATTGTGGACCAAGATAACAGGACAGCATGGATTACAGAGAAGGTCAGCCAGGCTAAGAGTCAGTTCATGGATGGGATCAACATTGACATTGAACAAGCAGTGGAGGAGGACTCACCGGAGTACCACGCTTTGACAGCTTTAGTTAAAGAGAGCACTGAAACTTTCCACAGAGAGATCCCTGGTTCCCAGGTGAATGCAGTGTTTTTTTCAGTGTCTCTCTATCCTTCATTATTTTTTAAACCATGAAAATGCCCTGAACACCTCTATTACACCACATAGGAATAATAATTTTAAAAAAGAAAGTATAAAATTAGTGATTTTTGTCCTATCCTCGCCTCTAGGTTTCATTTGATGTTGCCTGGTCTCTAAAATGTATCGACAAGCGCTGCTATGATTACATTACAATTGCTGAGTCTTGTGACCTGCTCTTTGTGATGTCCTATGATGAACAGAGTCAGATCATGGGGGACTGTATTGCAATGGCAAATGCCCCACTCCATCAAACACTGGCTGGTTTGTTGTGCAGATGTTTTATTATCAATCAGGAAAAAAAGGCCATTTTTAACACCACTAAATTCCTTTCTTTTTTTCTTTGTTTTCAGCTTATGACCAATTTATTGAAATGAACATTGATCCAAAGAAGCTTGTGATGGGAGTACCATGGTACGGCTATGACTACCCATGCCTTAACCTATCAAAGGTGAGATTTTCTCCAAGTTACTCCTAGATTGTTTTTATTTTTTTAACAACAATAGAAGCCAGAAAATAAATACTTGTAACTCAGGTGCTCATCTGACATCACCACTCAGTCAATTTTTTTACACATTAAGTGCAATGTCCTGATATCTAATGGAATGACTGGTCTGATGTTGTACATCTATGATGCAGTAACTGTCTCTCTCGATAACTTTCTGGTCCCCTTCCTTTTCCTCTACTGCCACCAAGAGGTTGAAGTGAGTCAGCTCAACAACTTTTAGAGAAGATGTATTTTGTCACAGACATGTACTACTTGACAAATTTTGTCATACATCCATCATCCATCAGCCTTAACTTATTGACATTTTGGATAAAAATTGGATGAGACAGTTTTCAAAGAAAATACATCCTACCACAATTTTTCACTACGTCTATTTTTGTTTCTCTTACAGGTAAAAAAGTAATTTTTTTCAAGGTAACACATAAAACTGTTTTCATCTTTTCTGCTGTCAGGAGGGGATATGCTCTATCGCCAAGGTCCCTTTCTGTGGAGCACCCTGCAGCGATGCAGCTGGGAAACAGAAACCATATAAGTGGATCATGAAGCAGGTCAATGTCTCGATGTCGGGCAGGCTCTGGGATGACAAACAGCAGGCACCTTACTTCAATTACGAGGTAAACTGTCTTCATTGTAAAGTTTTCAACCTGCATTTACTTCAACTGGACAAGAAATACACAACTCTTTTCCTCCATGATTGGGCAAAGGTGGCACCTGCATGACAGAAAAAAATGTCTTGCCTGCCTGACCTTGTTTCCTCTAGTTCTGATGAATGAGGACTAAAAAAAACAGGCCTTGAAGAAAAAGTCTGTTTATGTGGAGCACTGGCAACCACCCCAGCTACCAGTCCCAATTCAAACAAAACAAACGGCCCCTTCCAAATAGCAATAAAACATTTCCACTGACTGCCTCTCTTTGGGAGTGAAATCCTCTTCAAAAGAACAAAGACATGCCCTCATCAGCTTTCAGCTTCATTATCATCTGAACTTTTTTTCCCCACAGGACCAGGGAGGGCAGATTCATCAGGTTTGGTATGATGACCCACAGAGTATTTGTCCCAAGGCAGACTCTGTAAAATCCAAAGGCTTAAGGGGAATTGGCATGTGGAATGGAAACATCTTGGACTACAGCGATGAGCCGGTTGCCAGGCAGCAGACTGCAGAGATGTGGAATGCACTGTTAGGATGCTAGCTAGGATACACTTAACATTGCTGCAGAATTTACATCAGCCCTCCTGTTTGTCACTGAGTCAATATAAGCCTTTGTAACAGTAATGGACGGGGACTGCCCACTGAGTTTAAATGTACACCTACACTTCAGAGTTTATGGTAGCTTTCATTGCTTTAGTCTCTGAATATTATAGCTCAGATGTTTGAGTATGCTGAATGAAATCACTGTGATTCTCTGAGGAGACAGGCAGTTTTTAAAAAATATGATGAACAAAAAGATTATTTTTGATTACTGACATTTGTGCACCTTTATTTTTTAACAGATAAATCTTTTCTGTCTTAGCTGTAAGTTGTTTTATTTTTTTAACTCCTAAGCATTATTTCTTTTTCTTCTCTCTTTATACTTTAGCAAAGCCAATGGAAAACTCAAATCTTTTACCTCCACATCTTTATATCTTTTGATCTGCTCTCTGTGCACTCACATGCACAAACAAGACTTTGTGAACATGCACTGATGATGAGGATACACAGACATCTCACCAGTAACTAGCACAACCTTCATCATTTTGTTTGTTCTGGGGCTTCAGGCTGACCACCCTCTGATTTTACCACAGTTATAATATTAAGCTGTTTTTCATTTAGCCACAACCCTATAATACCTGTGATATATATAGAATGATTGGTCAAGTCAGTATATTAGGTTTAATGCAATGCAGCATAGCAAGCACAAAATCAAATCTGTAAAATCTCATATGTAAAACAAAATTCATCCATTCCAGCATAATAACGGTCAGACTGCCTTGTCCATGGTCGTGTTGATTAGCTGGATGTGCTCTGAACTTGTGGTCTTTCCCATCTAGTGTCTCCCAAGCTTAGGCAGGTCATGTGAGTAGGGTGAGATGACTGACTCTTCTTCTGGGCGAGCTCAGCCTTCAAAGCCCTCAGCTCTGTGGCTGCCTGCTTCCTCAACTACAAGAGAAAAAGTTGTGTGACACGAGTTAAACTTAACATTTTTAAATGATGTGATGTACAGTTGAAAGTAAATAATGGGTTAAGTCTCATTTAATCTTGAGCTCAGTTGAAAACTTGCTTTGCTGTGTAAGTCCATTGATGTTCCAAGTTTGTACGGAAAAATCATTTACCTTGATCTCTGTCACCAGCTTCATCTTGGCATCTTCAATTTTCCTCTTCAGGTTGTCAATCTCATAGCTCTCCGTCATGATCTGTATGATGAGCTCATTCTGAAAAATCAGGATCTTCCATTCAGTCACTGAAAAGGCTTCAGAGCTTTAAAAACTAAGAGCGTAGACTTTTACCCTAATACTGATTCCACTAGTTTTTCTGTTACGATCAAAATGCATCCTGTAAACAGGCAATATCACAACTTAAAGTATCAAGCAAGTTATTTTTTGTACTGAAAAACTCAACTGGATTGTCAAACTTTGAATAAAAGTTGTAACTGAGTTTTACTTTACCCTCACTGATGGTCTGCCTTGTCGCCCTGTTTTCCCTCTGCTGTCTCTGGCCTGAAGCTGGTGCAAGAGTTTGTTGTAAAACGTCTCCAACTCTTGCCGCAAGTTTCTCAGATTTTCCTCCAGTGGTGCAGTGGCCTTCTTAGTTTCAAAATATTTCTTCTTCCAACTGTCACGGGCTTGACGTTAAAGGGAAGGAAGAGCGAATGAATTAAACACTACTGAAAATCCTTCTAGCAGGCTGTTGGTAATATAAAAAACGAAAGTGATCCCTATGAAATGATAGCTTGGCAGTATTTTTCCCACCTTGGTTCCTACGGTGTCTATTCTGAGCCAACAAATCCTTCCCTTTTCTAAGTAACTCTTGTCTGGTCCACTCCAGCTGCTTTCTCTCCTCCCTCACCAGCCTGATCTCCTCAATCAGCTCTTCTCCTAACAACAACAAAAAAACAACAACAGTCACTTCACTGACAAAAGATAAAAGTCAGGAAAAGGACACTGGATGAGGGTGTCTGAGGATCTCGTACTGTTTGTTGGGAAAATGGGGGAGGTAGACGACTTCTTTTGAGTAACCTTTGCCAGGACTAGATCTGGAGGTGGGGAGGTGCAACGAACCGGCCAAGACAACACAGCTGGACTTTCTGTCACTTCCTAACAAGCAATAAATACAACAATATGAGTCTTTGTTTGAGGAGATTTCATAGACTTGCAGTTCTTTGTGTATTTCAAAGACTTGAAACACTCCACTACAGCCACCTGCTGGAAGTGAATATTGTTGAAATCACAATACTAGAAAACCTCTGTAGGACTACTTACTCCACTTGTAGACTGATTCCTAATTGACATGGGTGCTTGTGCATCTTTTGATTTCCCAATCCTGCAGACACAGAACAAGCCTCAGAATTTTTTGTATAAGTGCTATTCACCACAGAGTACAGATGTTGCACTCAGTATTGCTACAGCTTGATGTGTTGTGCTGCGCAGTACCCATCTGTGAGGGAGAAGCCTGAATCCCTGTCCTCCAAAGATGGCGCTGCTCCCGAATCTCTGGTTGCTCTGTTCTGCCTGATGTTCTGGATCTTCTTCTTTCCGCAGTTATCATCTTTCACTGGTGACTCCTTCGTTTGAGCTGAATCTGCTCCACAGGCTTGTATGAAGAAACTTGTCAGATTAGTATTGTAATTTGGGGTCCACTACAGCAAATACCAGGTCCTTCACCGTGTGTTTAATTTTAGTTTTACCTTTATTCTCTGAAACAGGCTTTGATGCCCTTTGAGCCTGAGGCTTCACTGGGCAACAACCCTTCTCTGCCCACCCTAACTTATTTGAGGAAACCCCCTCTTCTTCATTATTCCCCTCTGACTCTGAAGAACTGTAGCCCTGCTCCTCATCCTCCTCATCCTCCTCCTCCAGGCTGGGGGTGGGAGGCTGACGGGAACACTTGGGAATGAGGGGGAATTTAACGGGCTCTTTTGTTCCTGTTGGCAGACTGCAGGCCTTGTGAGGATGGTAATAGGTGTGGTGGTCTGGAGAGCTGCTGCTGGTGTCTAGGCTGAGAGACTGTGAGCAAACACTGCTGTCAAGCTCCAATGTGGACAGAAGGTAAAGCTCTGGCTGCAAGGCCTGCAGACAATATGGGATTATTGGGGATTAATAGAACAAAATCAAGCATACTGTTTACATCTGATCATTTCCAGAAAAAGCAGTGTCCTCTGTTTTTTTTCAAAATAATTTATTACTAAAAAACTCAGATACTTTTTTCCATTATACTCTAAAATATCTAGGACAAAGTTATTATTACTTGCCATCAGCTTTTATCACTTTGTTTCTTGTCAGAATTGTGAGAAACTTTGCCAAAGAAAATGTCCACAACTTTAGTGGGAAAGTATGAAAAAATGGATTGTACATACATACGGTGGAGCAAATGTTTTCACTTTGAGATCCCGCTCCTGTCTGCTCTTGACCTGTGACAGAAAAGAATTTGTTTATTGTAACAGACAGGACGGTAAAAAAACGCACTCACTCTTACCACGCGCGTATCTTTTACACCCTTTAGTGTAGCAGTTGAAAAGAGAGCCTGTAAATCGAATTGTCTGTATTGTGCCTTAGCTGTTGGCCTGGTGAAACACATCCAGCAATAAAAATAAAGAAGCACAGTAAACGGCCATCTGTACTCACCAGTGCCAAACTGCGCCCCACACATTTCAGGAAAGAGAATTTGTCAATGCTCCTCTCGGCGCCAAGAAGAGCTCCTAGCTCATTCCTCAGAGTTTTCAGTGTGATATCAGGATAAACCCTAACATCACAGGGGGAGAAGGTTTGATTTAAGAGTACACAACACAACATTTAGAGGTTTCACAATTATTTTCACACTGCTTTTTCAAGGATAAAAAAAATCCAAAGACTTGACTTTTTAGAGCTTCAGTTTCTACAGGCTAGAAGTTTTTTATATATGTAAAAAGTAACGCAGTACATTCATGTAATCATGTCATCTACAACTTGTTGAACTTTAAAATGAAGGATTTGGATGTTATTGATCCAAGATACAGTGAACCTGCACAACAATTAAGAGATATACTGTATAAGATTGTTTGTTTTTGTCTGATAGCATATCTTTACAGATTGTGTATGGAAAAAGAAATCATTCATATTTACAATTCATGTGGCTAAAAATAAAAGATGTTTTAGACTTTCATCAGCCACACATACACCACTAAAAGCCCTAACTCCTTGTCAATGCTGAAATCTTCGTGAATCTTCGTTTTTTTTTTTTTTTACAAAGCATAAGAACATTTATAAAACTGAATATGTGCAGCAGTTTCACCTGATAAAGCCTGCAGATACGAAACTCTCTATGGCTTCAGCTGGGACTTTGTTGAGCTTCACATCCCACTGATCTTCTGGCACATACAGCACGTGGAGCTCCACAAACTAAACGAAGTAAAAAAAATTACAGAGTACTATCGTCAATAAACGCTAAATTCGTGATTTTGAGGTTCACAGAAACATACCTTGCTGCTTGTTGGTCTTCTGTTTTCAGTGTATCTCACTGACTCGCAGGACAGCTCCATCGCTTGACAAGTTCAGCAGAGGAGGAAAGGCTTGATTCCAGGATTACAGTCCAGCCAGGCGCTCGTGAATTTTTTTTAGGTGCGCAAGTATTAGGAGATTTACGGTAAACGCTCGGACTTGTCCTGCTGTAAACGATTGATTATTGGCGTATTTTCTTTAACTGGTTGTGAAATGCAGTCCAGGATCCTTGCGCACTAGTGGACGCTTTACCCAACGATTGTTCTCCCAAAAGTCGCCAGTATTCATCCACAAAAACACTCTCACGGAGTCAATCACAGTCAGTGGCCCCGTGGAGTTTGCCGGTGTTGTGCCGTAGAATGCACCCCTGCCGTAGAAAGCATCCCCTGCATCCCATCCACTCATTAGCTTCTTAAAGTGAAAGAAAATTATCTCATATTAAAAAAAATACGAGTATTGGATCACGACAACATGTCAAATGGAGCAACAAACTTTCTCTCTGTTTTTATGTGTCTCAAAAATGTACATGTAGAGGTGTTCTTGGGTATACAAACTGTACTGTTAGCTGTTAAGGTAGAGAACAATATATTTTCGGGACAGTAAATATTTCGAATCAGAGGGCTGTTGTTTTCGGCTTATCTGAATAGCCCGAATGAAATTATTAAAGGCCCACGCTTTTAAATTCAGCTAATGGTAAGGAAAACTTGGGTTATTTCGCCTTGTTATGGACTTTAAACCGCGCTCCCGTCAGGGGTGCATTCTACGGCACAACACCTGTTACCGTTTCCAGCTTTGATGGTGCGTTCAGGTACGCTGGGAATCGTTGTAATCGTTGTGATTTTTTTTTTATTTTACAAGACGCAAATTCATTCATTCAGCCTGGCCATATATTTTTGATACAAGTCTTGGAGGAAACAGACAATATACGCACGTTAATATACTTCGTTAAAGACGATGTATGGCAAATTTACTGAAGGACTCATGACGAAAAACTATATTACCAGTTTAATTTAAAGTCTGATAACTTTGGCTGATTACAAAAAAAAATGGACCAATTTGTCTAAAATATACCTGTAATGAATTTGATAAAGCGTCCATAGCAAATGATTTAGAGGAGAAAATTGTAAATTTTACTATTTAGCAGCGTGCTGTGAATGTAGCATCTGCGGAAACGCCTTTTACGACAACCGGAAACTTGTTGATGAGGAAGAAAAACTAGTTAGCAAGCTAGCTAGCCAACCAACGACTTCTTCGGAAAAGTTTTATTCTTACGGTTAAAAGTCTACCAAAGTTTGAGAAAATGTCAGGTTCATCCAACATTGTAGCGATGAAGAAAGTCGTCCAGCAGTTACGCCTGGAGGCTGGCATTAACAGAGTAAAGGTAACGGTGAAGTTTATACAATTCACTTAGGGCGTGTTGTTGGAGCGTCTCCTGCTGCTCTACATCAGACCCACTGTTACTTTGTGCGACGAAGAAAGCATGAGCGAACTTTTTAGGACTCTGTTGTTTTCTACAGGTGTCTCAGGCCGCCGCAGATCTGCAGCAGTTTTGCCTTCAGCATGCCCAGCAGGACCCTCTGCTCACGGGCATGTCATCCAGCAACAACCCGTTCCGACCGCAGGCTGTCTGCTCTTTCCTATAGCAGCGACTCCTTGACTCCTGCAGCTGTAAGTAATAAACATCATATCCTCCTCTGTTAGCCCTCTTTGAAATATTGTTTGAGTTTGGTTTGAAGAAGTACACCAAAACACTGAACTGCAACGTCGAGATGATCAAGGTTCGGTAAAAGTTTCACTGTGATTTCTCTAACTAGGGCTGGGCGATATGGGAAAAAGTTTATCACGATGTATACTTTTTCATATCAGTCGATATCGGTATATATCACGATATAAAAAGTGACATTTAACAGTGCTTATTGGTAGCATGTCTTTTACAATACAATAAGCTACTTCATCTGTGAGGTCTTTGTGTCTGACATTTTTTCGCAAGGCGTAGAGAAAACATGCTAAAGGGCCAACTGTTTCCACTGCACAGGCGCCATGGGCTCCTTGCTCAGCTCAGGGTTTGCATTGCTTTGCTGTGTGGCACTGCTTTAGGTGGTGAAAAAGATTTGAGGTATTCCCAGACTTTGCGAGAACATGTACTCAACATAATTTGCAGTGCACATTACTCTGCTTCATGTCCAACCTCAAAAAACCAAAATACCCCCACACTACTTACGTTTTTGTGCCAGTGTTATCAAAGACGTCATCATTTGTTGAGCCTTCATCTGCATTTCTGCCGAGGTTAGCACTCATTTTTTATTTCTCACCGACAGTGCTGTCAGGCTTCATGTGTGCTTTGGTTGCGTATAGCTGCAGCCTGCTACTACACAGTTGTTTACTACTTGGTCCTATCGGCACATGGTTGGTTCAGCATGAAGCGGACCCGAAGCAACTCCCTGTTTTATTGGCTATTGGCACAGTCTACCAAAACATGGCAGAATGCCGACTACCAAAAAGCATATTGATCATGTTTTATATTGATATTGAGGGAAATTAATTTTCGGTATATATAGTTATCTTTTTATCGCCCAGCCCTACCTCTAACTTTAAATTTATCTCCAGAACACCTTTGAGATCCTTCAGTGTTAGTGAACGCAGAATTATTCGGCACATTAAACAGCAACCATGGGTAATATACAGCTCAACTTGTGCACAATTTTACACCCACTCATTGAACATTTGTTAACGAACTGGAAACTTCGAGATATTTACCAAAAAGTCTTTTAAAAATAGGAAACTAGGAAATATGTGTTTACAGCTGTTGTCAAAGTCCACATAAACTAAAAATACTTAACAATTTTAAAATAAAATTTCCATCTTTAATCTTTTAATGAGTATTTGTTTTCACTAGTGGGCCAGAGACTCATTTGCTGCTGTGATATGTCTTCTGGGACAGAAACTGAGTCTTAATGATTTTGATCAGCTTAGTCCTTCTTAAAGGCTCATTCAAACTCCAAGATGTCACAAGCTCTGAATTAAAAGTGTTAGAAGACAAAAAGTAACATCTGAATAAATGTTTTTTTTTTAAAATTATTTGTATTAATGCTACCTTCTTTTTTTGCAGGTTTTAACCATTATGGTGCCTTTAGAAAATGGGATGTGGGACCTGCTCAGAGGACCGGGATTGCCTCATGAGTGTTCAGGATTTTGGGAACAAGCAGCTAACTTAAATTTTTACTTTTGCCATTCTTAAGTTTCTCACATCAACATTTCCTGGTGCTAATTGTAGCACATAATGTCTTAATATACTTTTTGAGAAGTAACTTAACCATTTCAAAATACAAGTGTGCCTTTTGAGTTGTATTTTGTTTTTGTGCCTGGATTTATTAAATAAATGTGACTTCACATTTTAAAACTTGTAGTTGCATGTTTTATTAAAATGAGTATATACACATTTAGAAATCTGTGAGGAAGGGTTCAATTTGTCATCTACAAATATTTTTGAGTGGCAGCTGATGGACTTAATTAACCACTCCTTATGTAATTCACAGAGATAAGGTTCAGACAGCTACTTGTATATATCGACATGCAAACTAAACTGTGCCCATTATTTTGGGCTACATTATGTAAGTATGTGACAAATCTGATCTCCCAATACAACTTCTATATATACTTGTAGATTAGAAAAGTTAAGTTATTGGGATTCATGTGAATAGCTCCTCTTTGTTCTGATATGGTGTCATCAGAATAACAAAAGGCATACATCAGCCACACTCTGCCTTCTCAGTCTCCAAAAGCACTGCAGGTGCAGTTCGTAAAAGTTGTTTTCAGGGTGACAGAATCTGCCACAGTGTGAACCTGTAAAGTCGAGTCATCCATGTTCAATCTCAAGTTATGCTGAAGTTTTGCTGCTGGTTGTTCCAAAATGTATTAGGGTTTCCCTGGCAGAGTCAGAATGTGCAGAGCCACAAACAGCAGAACTGTCTTGGGTAACACACAGTTGTCCTTGTCTGATTGTAAAAACTGTGTCTGAAGTTGCTTTCAAAGCTGGAACTTCCGCCTGCAAGCATCCATCTCATGGCGCTGGAAATACAAAAGAGTAAAGACTTCAGTTTGTTTACGTAACACACATTTTTAACATGATGCTGGCAGCCAGGGGTCAACCACCATCTATAAACATTTTGGCTGACACTGATGCTCTTTGCACGCGGTATGAGAAAGCAAAACTGATTCATAAAGTGCTGACTCGGGGTGTAAATTGACACAAACCCACAGTAGTTAACAATAAAGTCTGTGGATTCAAAACACTGCGACACTTAAGGTAAAATCTTGACAATTTTCGTCTTCATTTTCAAAAACACCACTCTGTCTGAGAAATGAGAATTGACATTTTTGCAACTGGAATAAGCATGTGCACTTATGAAGTCCCTGTAAAACCCCAAACTCTAGCTCATGTGGTTTTTCTTAAAAGAACTTTGCATCTTTTATCCATGGTCCATGTGAGTGCAGTCTTTACTTAAATTAAATACAGTAATATTTAAAAGGATACCACAGTTTAGCAAAGTCATATCACCACTGTCATAGACCCCTTAAAAATTAGTTCCACAGCTCTTCTAGTATCTGTAAGAGGAGTTTTGATTGTAGAAACACTCACCTTGAGCACCCACTCATACTCCCCAAACTTTGAGTCAAAGGTGCCTTTCTGTAGAGAGCGAAGTTTGAGGGTGAAACGTGGCCCCAGTTCCTGGATACCAACTTTCTTTTCATTCTTGAAGATGTACCTGAATAGATCAAACTTTATCAGACTTCATGAATTAAGATAAAGGTTCCTGACAAGTTCTGAGAAAAGAAGTGTTGTAGCTCAAGACATGAGGTGACCATCAAAATCCCGAGCAAACATGCTCACCTGTGAAATCTGAAAAAAATGAAGTCTCTCTGGTTGTGGAAAGTTGCCACCTGTCGACCGATGAACTGTGGGTCCTGTGGAAAGAGAGCAGCAAACAGACGCCCGATGCTGTGGCCAAGACGTGTGGTGAAGTTGTTGAGGATCACTTCTGGGTTGTGTTCAGTTGGATCTTTGCCCCGTCTCTGCAGAAGGTATGAAGAAAACCCAAAGAAGAAAGCTGCTTAATGATTTTAATTAATATATCTGTCACGCTTTGAGTGCAAGACAAATGTAGAAGTCCTGGTCAAATATCAAAACCATGGCATAGCCAATCACATACATATCTCTTAAATTATGACCATTGAAAAAATAGTCAATACTACGACTAAAACAGAGCTACATGTGATTTTTTTTATCTCTCTTTGAAGAAAAACAATGAAAACAGACAGTTTACGGAATTTTCTACATCATTACTGTAATTAAACCTTTCCTGTTAAATTCAGAACAGAGGTTTATGACAATTTTACGGTTGGGACTGCTTGACTTACCTTTAACTCTTTGCGTAATCTTACATTGCTGACCTTGAAGTGTGCGGTTGGCCCTTCAGGTAGATGACAGAGAACCAAACCATCTTAAAGTAATGGTTAAGAGAGCTAACTTTGAAAAAATGGGGGAAAAAACCCTCACTCTATTTGTGTAGTAAATAGGTGAAATGTTGAAACAAAATGCAGTAAAAAGAATCATATGTACATGTAAATCCAAACACTTCTCATTTCAGATTACAAAAAACACTAAGCATTCCCTGATCCTGCTTTTAAGGATACTGGGCACTTTACGGTCCTCATTGATGACCATGAGGTAGGTGAAGTTCCTGGCAATACACTGTGGGATGACCCTCTTCAAAGCCAAACCTCTTCTATAGTACACATGGGCATTTGGGATCACCGTGGCCAGCTGCTCACAGAACCTCACCGTCCTCTACAAAGACAGATACAGAGATTCATCAAAGACTTCGGTCGAAATGACTGATTTTTTCTGTCACGTAATTGTCAATTCCAAAAGATATAAAGCAATTTCCTGAGGAACATGTTTATTAGCATTAAATAATAAATAAAATATGTATTACTCCTTTCAGCAGTCACTCACCCCTCTCGGTCTATCTGATGTGGTGATGAGCACTTTGGGGTTAGTCAGCCCATTAAAGTATGCAGAAAACTCATCCGTTCCCTCATCAAATGCCACCTTCAAAAACAGATGGTGAATTAATACACACATGAATGCAAAACTAGAAACACAATTATGCTGTGACATTTTCTGAGGTGAATCCAAATTGGGTCCAAACCTCCTCATCCTCCGGGTCAACTGTTGTCTCGTCATACACTCGCTGGTTTTCTATGGTCTTTGGGACTTCTTTTGGTGGTGCCTACAACAGAGAAAGATGAAGAAACAATGAATACCATCATAATGCTGGTAGTAGTTTGGTGGTTAAATTCTAACAAAAAGTTATATTCACTGATGGTGTTATAACCAAAACAAACTCACCTTGTCTCCTAAAGCCTCTCTTTCTTTCCTCTTCTTTTTCTTCAGCTGCATCTTTTGCTAAAATAAGAAGTTAGATGTTAGATATTTACTGAGAAATATCAGGAGAAGCCATGGCTTAACCTGTAGTTTTTAACTTTATTCCCATTGACAGCACAGCCTAAAACAAGTATGTGTGTGTCTATTTACCTTTCTTTTCTCCTGTTTGAGCTTCATGAACATGAGGTGTCGTCTCTGTTTATTCTTGATTTCGGACACACTGAATGTAGGAGGAAATGCAGCTGCTTCCTCGCTCTTCTCCATCTTCACCTCCTCGTCCTCTTTCTTCTCCACCCCGGTGCTCTCTCCACTCATATCCTGACCTGCGCTTTTCTTCTTCTTCGGCTTCTTCATTTTCTTTTTCTTACCCTTTTTATCCTGGCTCAAGGGAACCTCCGTAATATCCATTTTGTCAATCGTGTGTTTTGACTGCTTTTTCACGTGTGCTGCTTGGTTAGTGTGTTCACGTCCGTCGAGGGAAAGGAAGTGACGTTATCTAATGATGATTTAAATAATGGCGACGGCTACTGTCGAGGAGGACTCACTACACTTTTATTTAGCCGGGCTCCTTTCAAAGATATCCACAATTACCTGGCATCTAGTTTCTTCATGACTATGAGAAATTGTAATTAAATATATTCTCAATAAGTGAGAGCCAGACTCCAATTGTTTGAGACCTGTAGAGTAAAACATACGGTGGCCGAGAACTGCCACTGCTGCAAATGAAAAAGAATTGAAAAAAAAAAATAAAATAAAATGAAGCCTGCTGCAAATAACAAAAGAAACGGTGCAGATATATATTTTTTTTACCTACTGCGAAAATAAAAGGATGCAAATAAAAAAAAGCCACAACGGAAGTGAGCTGTTGGGGACCAGTAATGATGATGCTCCAGTGTTTTACGATCTAGGCACTAGATCGCCAATTTTTTTTGCCTGGTAATGCATTTGCATTGTTAATTTCTTATTTCGCTTTTTTTTTATCTGCATCTTTTTTTTTTTTTTGCATTGTGTTGTGACTTCTTTTTTTTTGCATTCTTTTTTATTTGCAGCAGTGGCAGTTTTCGACCACCGTACAAACAACATCAAACAACAAAAAAGAGTTGTAGTACTCTCACATCTTTCAGTTTTGGTGCCCTCTGTAGACAAATAAAGTGCTCAGTGGAAAAGGCTCGTTCATCCCTGTCAAAATAACCAGTCAAACTGGGTCCAATTATTCACAAAAGATTGTGTAAGTAGAAAGGAAGCCAATGAAAAAAGGGGTGTGACACTGGTTGTAGTTTAATGTAAAAGTGAGAGAAAACACTCACACCAACAGCTTCACAGTCACACTGAAGAAAAGATGTGTCCACAAGTGATGATGGGGAACAATGTAAGTAAAATCTTAAAAAAAATATAAATCAAAGGTTGGTAAAATAGTATTGAAATTTAAAGTACTAAAATGTGAGCCTCTTAATGCCTCAGATGTTGTATTGTTTAGAATGTCTTGAAATATCTGGTAAACAGATGAGCATGAGGCATATACAGTACCTTTTGTAGTATTTTGTAATAGAATATTACAAACTGAAAATATATACCTGAAATTAGTAGATATGAATTACTGACATTCTCAATGAAAATTATGGGATGTTTGGGAGCTTGTAGGACATTAGTGTGAACTGCAGCGCTCAGTCTCATGGTCTAGATATTTCTGAAAAAAAAATCTAAATTCTGACCACTAGGTATCACTGTTTGACCCAGAACCACTCCTAAGAAATTTTATTTATTTAAGTGTTCTAACCAGATATGATGATTTCAAAACAATAATTCCTTTAGAAAAAAGCCAACAACTTCTCTGATTTTTCTTGCAGAAACAGTCACACTAACAAGTCTTAACTTCAGCTTCAGCTCCATCGGCTTTGTAGGAGAGGCTTTTCTGGGCATTGCATTTCACTTTTTATTTTAAACCTCACTATTTTAAAGCACCTGTTAGAAGTTTTTGATTGGTTATGAGGCCATTGATGACAAGATTGATAATCTACACTGTATTTTTCTAATGTCCGTAGCAGCTGTGGGAGGGTAGGCACACTGAAAAAAAACACATTTGTTACTTTTCCCACATTGAAGGTTCACACTGAAAGATGAATCCCACTGTCAAAGGACAAAAATGGAACCTTTATTGTCAATCAACACAACTATCTCAAGGACAACATGAAATGAGCAACATGGACAAGTTACCGCTTGGTCCACAGAAGTGCCAAAATCAACACAGACAGAAAGTTCCTCACAGGAGTTTTGTAAGTTTGTTTTTGATTAAGATTGTAGTTTCTTAAATATAAGAGGCAATAATAAAAAGTGATAGGCAGATTATAGGCAGCTTTGCTATTATTCAACAGCTGATGAAATGGTCCACCGCTTGTCTGAAGGCCTTATAAATCAAGGGGTTAAAGGAGCACACTAGACCGCCCCCTCGCCACATCTGGGCCTTTTCCCTGTTCAGATCCCCCAGGCAGGTCACCTGGTCCTCATAGGCCTGTGACACACACCACTTTGAGTGGTCGTAGCTGGACTTAAACTGGTCCGACCAAGGTAGCTTGATTCTCTTGATGTTCATGGCGTGTTTGGGCAGGGAGCAGTTTGAGGGCAGCTCGTGACCCACTCTCTGCCACGTCTCTACCAGCAGGTCAGCGTCAAGGGCCTGAGCCACCCAGCCCGTGTAGATGTCTGAAAGAGGGACCATTGAGGGGGATTAGTTCAGCTCACTGAGATGAAATATTAAAGATAGAAAAAGCAGATGCTAAGTTATGATTAATTTTGTTCTAGCAATTTCATGTTCCTTGAAATTCCCTCATTAAGAGTCATAGCAATGCTGCTTCAAATAAGATAACAAAAACAGCCTTTATTAAAAATACAGCCTTGATACTCTGGGCTTATTATCTTTAGATCAGATAAGATCAGTGACCTACAAAAACTGAGAGGAGAGAGTACTTCAGAAAGCCTTGAGTGGGGTGTGCCTAAATACTTTTGAGTGTTTGTGGCTGATAATGACTGATGGTGGCTCATAAGCAAGGTGTGTCGACAGTCTGTGAAATTTTAAGCTCTTAAAAAAGTTTTTTTCTCAAAGATTCCCCATGAAAGTAAAGTACCAATAGTGGTCTTGTTACCCCCATCTTCTCAAATAATCAAAACAAGTAAAACAGAAACATCCAACCATACACAACTGTATCTCACCGTCTACAAAGCGTTCAGATTTAACAAAACTGATGAACTTCTCCCCGCCCACTGAGGAAAGATGCTCCACTCTCTTGTCTGAAAAAAGTGGTGGTTTAGTGCCACCACATATCTGAGCCAGCTGCAGCAGGTCGGCAACAAATGCATCAGGAACAGAGCAATTATAGAAACGTGGGTAGATGTATGCCATCTGCTGTGCTGCAGATTCAAGAGAGAGAGGAAATACTCTGTGTAAAGGAAACCAAACACAGGCTTTGACATGAATAGCAAACCTTAAAGAGTGAAAGGAAATTATTATAAAAATCACGTTTCCTCTTCTATAATCTGACTAAATTGTTTTGCTGATGGACAACTTAAAACCTACTTAACTTAAGTGGTAGATATATGGAAGTTCACACATTTTTCTACATTATTTACATGGTTTGTTTGTTTTTCTTGTTATTTATCTAACACCTGTGACGGTAAATAAAGTCACCCCCGAGGCTGGTTGCACAAAAATAGTATCAACGTCCTCAAAGAGTCTGTTTATTTTTTGTTGTTGTTTTGCATTATGATTGATGGTGTGCAATTTGGTTTCCTTAAGTCTATACCTGTTTCACAAGAGCTTCCAACCATAGAGGTAAAATGGATTTGAGGATATAGAAAAGTACGACTAGACAAATGGTGTTAGCTGTCATGACTCTTGAAGAGTCCAATTCTGCAAAAGCACACCTTATTGGTGAAAAAGCTCATTAGCAGTGCTCAAATTGTGCATGTCTCTTTTTTTAAATCATATTTTACTAATTGGACACTTCCTCCCTCTTGTCTAAAAATGTGTCATTTCATCATATTATTTAACATCACGTCAGTTTCTTTTAGTCTGTTATCTTACTGTGAGAGTAACTCTTAAACCCTCCAACCAGCAGATACTTATAATTGTTTGTCATGTTTGCAGTGATGTCTATCTCTACTGAGAGGATTGATAGTCTTACATAAGACCTGGTCCCTGTGCAAATGTTGTCTTATTTTTAGCAAACAGAATTTTGTAAGTTGAAATCAGGGACTTGTACAGACCTGGAGTGATCAAGGCCTTGTTGCATCATTCACTCACCAATGCGGAGAAGCTGTTCATACTGGTAGGTTACACAGAGGGCTGTCTGGCCAAAGAATTTGCCCGAGGAAGGATAGATGTAGCCTTCCTCGGGGAACGAGGGGAAGTGTGGAACGCTGTGTGTCAGCCAGAAACCTTGAGTTCGGTCAAAGAGCAGGGCCCCTGCAGGATCCACACAAACAGCACTAAATATACACTAAACTATACTCATATCCACAGGAAAACACACTGATGTATGTCATGTTGGGACAGTCAATAATCTAAAGTCAACAACTGTTATCAGACAGATGCTCTTTGCCCGTTTCCTCCTTTTGGCAATTTCATAGCATCAGTGTCTGGGAGGTTCTGTTACACAGGTTCAGACAGAGCTTAATAATTGTATTATGTGATGAAAACATCAGATTTATTTTATTTACATACACCACAATGTAGAGTGTAAATTTAACCTCAAATTTGAACCCTTTTATTCTTCACACTGAGCTGTGTGTCACAAATGTGTCTGTCGTCTCTGGATATTATGACACAACATGTAAATAACATTATTTAGGGTTACCTTTTCCATCTGGCACAATTTGATATATCCGGCTAAAGAAATTTTATCTAAATTGGGAAGAAAAAAAAAAAAATTCTCATTTAACTTTACCTTTAGTGTGTCCATATCCGCGGATGTAATCCATGTTTGGAGGAGCATCGTTGTAGAGAGCGTAGACTGAGCTGTTAGACTAAAAATAAAAAGTAGCTTATACATACAGAGCAAAACCATAAGGCATCTATTCATGCATACTCTTTTATCTTCCTGTAATCACACGTTTATTTCAGTTATTTTAGATCTTGATAAACAAGGGTGTAACAAGACTTTTGAAAAAAGGGATGGCCCACCAGGGACCCTTAATTTTACAGAGCATGTGTACACACGTGCTATTAAATACAATTTCTGTCATCACAAATCATATCTACTTTGACTATTAACATTTAAGTATAAATGTTTAGCTTAAAAATTAAATAAATAAAAATAACACTATGAAATGAGAACACATAAATCTAGGAGTCGCATAACGGTGAATGTCTGAAGTCAAAAGAACAAACAAAATACACTATCAACTTTTTATTAGATGCGATCATCTTGTTCGCCGTCATTGCAAGAGTTCACAGAAAGGATCTGTCTCTTTACTGGAGATATGAAGCTCCAGTCAGCACAGGGTTGGCCAAGCTTGTCAATGTGCCTTTATAAAACTCATATTTTCCACATAAAGGTGGAAATGGGATCTATCACGTCACCTAACATGTTTTCCACAGCGCCAAACTACCTTTTAAAAATAACCTTTAGCATTTTTTCTGTCTTTTCAGTATCTTATCCAGTCCTGACTGCAAATGATGACAAATAAACTGACATGCAGAAGTCTTTTTAAACTTGTTACTGGGGAAGCATGTTAATGTCCAGCTTCAGCTTAGTTCCCCAAGAGTGTCTACTCTACAAACTGGCTCCAGCTTCAGCTCTGATCAAAAGAGTCTCTATCTGCGCACACACAGGAAGCAGTGTTTAAAACCTGCCTCAAGAAAAGACGTGCTCTCACCTCATAGGTCTTTCCCATGTAGAGCTGGTTCAGTGTGCTCCAGAGGGCTCCTTGACTGATGTTAACCGTGAATTTACTCATCTGCCAACCTTCAGTTGAGGAGTCCATGTACATGTAGTCCACTCCACTACCCACCTTACCAATTTTATACAGCGGCAGTTTGTAAACAATAAACCTTGAGGGAAAGGAGGAATTAATTCTTCAGATTACAACACAGAATATCTAAACTGTATATTCTTAATTGATTCTAGTAATTTCACATATATCCGCCAAGCACATTAACCAATAACCCAACTGTATTATCTCATTCAAACTTTACTGATCCCGATGTTATATTGTCTTAGATCAACTCACCAGTCAACAGGCTCGCCAGCTTCATTTCTACATGAAATATTACAACAACACAGTGTGCAACACAGAAGCACAACAATAATCTGACAGCAGGGACTGAGGTGAGATGCCATCTCGATCCACTCCTGAAGGTGAAGTGAGAAGAAAAGGGAAAATTAGTATCTTTTAATAGCATGTGTGCTTTAAAAGTGAGTGACTTTGAAAGTGAACACATCACATCTGCTGGAGAGCATGCAAAACAGGAAGTCATACGCAGTAGTCATATGACAAGGGAGTACAATACAGAAGGATGATCAAGCTCAGGACATATGCTTTCACTGGCTCTCAATCTGTAAATCTGCATGCTGTAACTAAATTTATCCAGTCAAAGTGTTGCACCTGCTTCTCTCTTTATCTTTAGTCACCTTTTATTTGGAACCAAATGGCTGATCGTTGAGCCAGGAAACCATCTGCTACGAACACTTTCATCCTGTTAGGAAAAACTGAAATGAAACTGTTTCACCTCTCACTCTGTTTGTGAGTGGCTTTGTTAAAGGCTGATTTTTTATCATTTTAGAGGTTGGTATTGAATTAATCAAATGTTCAAATGTTCAAATGTTGTCCACAGCTATAGACCAACAAAGACAATCTACAGCACAACAAAAGTAAACATCAAAATCCTACAAAGTCAGACTATACAACAACTTAGATCACAATAAATACTAAATCTTAATAAAGTGATGTGGATCTCCATATTTATTCATCACAAATAAAGAAATTGTGAATTAAAAAAATCTGAAATTATGTGTGAAATACAGACAAAACATGAATAAATGGCGCACAGTGGAAGGGCAGGGTTTTTCTTTTTTATCTCTGCTTAATCAGCTTACAGAATTTGAAATGAGTTGAGACAGTTTTTGGTCGTTATGGTGTCACTTTCTGGGTTGCCAGGTTGTGAAATCTTATTTTTGGCAGGGACTAATCCTCGTGGTGAGGAATATTTGCTTTTTCTTTGTCTTAAATTCATCTGAGAACCCCCAAGAGACAGTTCAAACATTCCAGTGCTGCACAACTCTGATTCAAGCAAGTGTATCAGTAGCATTTCAAAACAGGATATCACATTAGACTTCATAAATACATTTGCATGACTTGCCCAGATAAACGTCTTATTTGAAGAAAAAAGCAGGCAAAAAAAAGGTGTGAATTTCTTTTTATAACTGAAACTGTTAGCCAATAGAAGAAGTAAAACATTTTTAAAATAAGACTTCCTGTTTAAAAGTAACTTGACAAGTAAAAATTTTGTTCTCTGAATTGACAGGTATTTCACTCATTTCAAGCACTTCCTTATTTTCTGCAGTGTCAACACAACAAAGATAGCCTTGTTTGTTTTGAATGAATGTTTTTATTGATTTTTTTACTGACCACTGAAACCAGCAGCTTTATAATGGTTAACTTTCACCTGCACGGAGTCACCATAGCTTATGAGTCAAAACAGTGCAACCATATCATGTGCAAATCTAACTTTATTATTTAATTTAATAACTAGTGCACTAAATACAAGCCTATAAGTTATCTATGATAATCTTTTAGACATGAGTTAAATGATAAAACAATTGTTTTATTCTTATGAAGCCTTCACAGAGTGGTTCCAGTTTGATGTCCCCTCAGGTATGATTGAATGGGAGCATTTTAGACAAGAACGCACATGAAGTGCTGAGTTTTATTACTTTTTGTACAGAAAGTCCTTTGAATCTACTAGACACCTCTGTATTTCTACATGTGCATAAACTGGAGTTTGTGTGCACTCTGTGCAGGTAAATCTGACCCAACAACAAAAGTCCAAAGGTAAGACCTCCCTATGAACAAAATCCTCCTCTATCAGTGGTGACACTTTTTGGCTCGAGACTGTGCAAAGACTGAGGACAGACAGACAGACAGCAGGTAGAGGAAAGGACGATACCATGGCAACTGCTCAGGTAACTATTCATTCTTTTTTATATAAAACAAAAAAGACCAAAAATACTGTATGAAGTAAATATAATTAATCCACACTTTTTGGGGTAAACGGCCGCCGAAACGGGGCAGAACTGATCTGATAAATAATCCTCTGTTCATGCCTCACAGAGTTGACTCATATGAAATACAACCAAACCATTATTGCCTTAAACTGGCAGTAAAATAATTCAGCTGATGGTAAAACTTATTCATTAATTTCAGGTTTCTGATTCCTCACTTTGTGGATAAAAAAATACCACATTGATACTTGCTGTTTCAGATCTACATGGGGAAATTCACAGGGGATTCACACACAACAAAATAAACTCTTAATAAACCAAAAACTTTAAGATAGCTGAAAACATGTTGATATCTTTTGATTTTTTTCCTATAAATATATCCTCATATTCTCACTATTCATTTGCTCTTTATTGTATTTATCTTTGGATTTTGTACTTTTAAATAAAATAACCTGACACAGAACGGTTGTATCGACATTCAGTGAAATATAATAGTTAAACACGCATGATGTTTCTGTTTAAAAGTAGAGATTAGTATTGATGGTAAAAAAAAAAAATGTGTTCCTTGTGGGTGCAGAATGCAGAGTTTGTGCGAACAGGTTATGGCAAGAACTCAGTGAAGGTGCTGGTGATCAGGAGACAGGGGAGCCATCACTCCATTATTGAGCTGAAAGCTGACGTGGAGCTCACACTGAAGACACGCAAGGATTATTTACATGGAGACAACTCAGACATCATCCCCACCGACACCATCAAGAACACTGTGCATGCCCTGGCCAAGCTGAAAGGGGTAGGTCTCCAACCTCCAACACGTGGGGCATGTCTATATGCACTGTCGCTTGTTTTTTCCCCTTCGGAAGGGACCCTTGTCCTGTAGCTCAAACACATACTAATCAATAAAATTGAGGACAAACATGTCCTGTTGACTTTTGTCTCTAGACCCCCTGTTATGTAAAATTCTTACTCCTCTTACATAACACAGTTACTTGTTCTTACTCTTGTTTTTGGCTCACAGCCTATTGTCTTCCTATATATTTCATCTGTGTCTGTTCAGGTCAAAACCATTGAGCAGTTTTCCATGGACATCTGTAACCACTTCCTGACATCCTTTGACCATGTGCTGAAGGCCAAAGTTTACATGCAGGAGGCACCATGGCGAAGGCTGGAGAAGGTAAAAAACAGGTTCACTTATCACGCAAACATTTTACCTGTGATTGTTAATACAGCATATCTCAAAGAGCATTAATTTCACTTCTGTGTAATACGTACATCATTAAATATGACTTTCGTTAAGTTTGTTGATGCCGCTTTTTCACAGAATGGAGTCGAGCACGCTCATGCATTTATCCTTAGCCCAGAAGCTGTTCGCTTCTGTGATGTGGAACAGAATCTCAATGGTGAGCACACACACACACACACACACACACACACACACACACACACACACACACACACGTTAGCAGTATTATAAACCAATCTATTTGAAATCAATAACATTGTTGGCGACTGATACTGCATAGAATTCATTTATGGTAAGGTGCATCAATGGTTTTGCCAGTAAATACAAAGTTAATGTAATGTTAACAAAGCCCAAACAATCAGCTGGTACTAAAGATTAATCAACAGTAACAAACAAGAGTGTGATGCTTGAAAGGTGTGTAATGAAAGTCAGATGATGGGTCCCAGACCTGTACTAGAAAACTGCCTCTGCAGAAATCACCACACCCTATTGTATATCAGGTGTTCAGACAAAGATTTAGAGGAGCATGTTTCTAAGAGTTACACTCTGTCTGACACAGGCATGCCTGTGGTTCATAGTGGGGTGAGGAACATGACAGTTCTGAAAACTACCCAGTCAGGTTTTGTGGGTTTCCTGCGAGACCGCTTCACGACCTTGCAAGAGGCCCAGGACAGATGTTTCTGCACTTCTGTCTACGCCAGGTGGCGCTACAACAAGACTCAGGATGTGGACTTTGATGCCTCATGGTAACTTCCTGTTAAAGGACTCTGGAGGGAAACATTCAGTGATTGTTGTTGTTGTGTCATGATGGAGTACATGTATTTATCTGCCACTAAAAGGGAAAAAATATAACAGATTTGAAACACAACTGAGGAGGAAAATGTCATTTTTAAAACCTCATAACATGAAATTATGTACTTTTTTGACTCTGTAGGAAATGTGTCAAGGACACAATCATTGAGAAGTTTGCTGGCCCCTATGATCGTGGAGAGTTCTCACCATCTGTACAGAAGACACTTTATGACTCACAGGTCCTCATTCTAGACAGAGTTCCTGAGGTAAGACCACATTTTTGTTCAAAGGAGGCACACTCAAGGTGAAATCTATACTTCCTATTTATCCTACCTATCAAAAAAGGTCAAATAAAAACATGTTAAATGATTTTTGTTACTTTTGCGCACACTTTTTAGTACCAATATAGTTGTTGCCACTGAATATAACATAAAACATGCTCATCAAGGTCATTCAGAAAAACCAAGGCTTTCTGGTCTCTAACTTTCAGGTGGATGAAATTGAGATTGTCATGCCCAACCAGCATTATTTCACCATTGACATGACAAAAATGGGCCTCAGCAACAAAGATGAAGTAAGTCTACTGAAACACATAATCTTTTAGGTTGTTAAATCGATAATTTTTTTAAGTCACTTATGATCATTTTTCCCCTGACAGGTTCTGCTTCCCCTGGACAACCCTTCAGGCAACATCACAGGAACCGTGCGCAGGAAACAGCAAGCCAAGCTGTAAAGACGCTGGCTCACAGAAAACACTGCTGCTGTCATCTACAAACCAACCTGGATAAGCTTACTCAATACAAAAGCCAATGAACAAAAACCTGTGTCAAGTTTGAGTATTTTGCATGAATGAGCACAACAACAACACAGAAAGCTTATAACCATGTTATGTGAATAAAAGAAGAGATATACGATTCAATATTATTATTCTCTTAACTGAACTGATTCTGTGCCGAGCTTTAAAATTCACTCCTACATTAATGTATTAAGAGACTACACTGAGTGAAATCAATGTGCTGAGCAGCCAGTTTGTTTGTCATTGACAAAATTCAGTATCAGGTATTTACAGGTACAACTTTGTTGGGTGCATTCAACAGACATCTGACTACACAGAGCGGATAAATGTGTCAAACACAGCCTCCACCCCACAAGACAGCAGTATGATCAGATTGTTACTTGGTATAGCCAAAACACAAAGCTGAGGTTCCAGCACATTGTAAGTTCGAGGTGTGCATCCGTGTTTGTAACTAAACAGACAAACAGGACAGTCAAGAATATCCATTCAACAGTGTTGTTCTTTGGTGAGAAAAGAGCACCATTTATTGCAAATCTTTGATTCAGGTTCTCAAACTCCAGTGTTATGTTTCACATATATGTTGGTCATACACACTTCAATACAGTTGTCTCTGTGACAAAGCTGAAAGCACCACAGGTAGGAACATAATAAGAATATGTACACATAAATATATTTTTTTTATATCAAGAGCCTTTAGTCCAGATAATGTGGGTGTGCAGGAACATCAAGGCTTTCAACTGGCTCAGGAAAACAAGATGCTTCATTGTTACATGCTAAGGACATAGACTCAGCTGCACAGTTAAGAGCATAAATCTGATTTTCAAACTAAACAGGATGCATTAGAATCATTTACTGCATGTATCAAAGTGTTCAGATACGACAGAACATAAACAGTGTTCAACTATATATCATCTTATGTACAAATACTTTTTTGAGCCAACATGTTAACTCATTTCGCACACACGCACAAACATTTACATACACACACTAAAAAGAAAAATTCAATCCTCGAAATATTATCTCAAAATTCTTTCTTTTAAATAAAACACAAACAAACAAAAAATAAAATACACATCTCAAGCAGCAGACACAAGAATGGCTGAAAGGGTAAACAGCGGAGTGGACTCCATACGCAACCCATTTTTGGTGTCCACGCTTATAAAAACACACAGTATTCAAATTCTGTTTAAGGTGCCACTGTGGCCAGAGGAGTCTTTGTAAAGTGGCAGCTAACCTGGGGTCACCTGACACAATGATTGTCACTGAGGTGGGTGTTGGGGACGGCCTGCACTGCTATGAGCTGTTGCTCTTCAGGTGTTGAGTTTGTAGTGGCTTTACGTGATACTCGTAGATTTTCAGTGCTGGGCCGAGCTTTATTGACAGACCCGTGAGGACGTCGTTACGTGTCATCAAGAGCAGGGACTTGCCATCAATTTCCTAGCAGGTGGAGAGACAGAAATATTTGACTGTGATTCAAGTTATATTTTACAATCTATAAAGAATTTTTGAGCTACAACTTCACACAAACCTGATCCTGGAAAGCTGTGGCTTGTTCCTCGAACCCTGTTGCTTTGAAGTAATTGACAACGTCAGCAACCCCCCAGTTGGCAGGGTCTGGTAGCTGACCATTCTCCACCGGGCTGTAAGGTTACAGTGATGGGAGTCATTTTGATGTACGTTCAGAAAATTAACTGTATAATCTGTTCAATAAACACTTTCAAATTCTTTCATACAGAATATCTTGCACAAATTTGAACAATTAAAAAAACTACCTTTTTGTATCAACAGAGCCATTTGCCTTGTCTTCCATGCTGGCTGTGGGGGAGAACAGTTCACCGAAACAGTTAAATACAAGTAAAAGTATTATTTTAAATAGGCATGTAGCAACTTGAACCCTGTTTTCTTAATACCTGTGACTTTACCCATTTGAATCAATATGAAAATTACTTAAAAATCTTAAATATAACACGTACTGTTAAACAAATTCTTTTTAATTCTGCTTACTGGCACTCTTGAGGCTCTCAACAAGTTTAAAACTCGAGAGAACCAGAAAACGATCCTTTAACACCATGTTAACTGCTAATAAGTGGACCATAACTTCTTATCACCTGTTCAACTGCTATTTCCAAAATTTTGTATTGTCCCTACAGCAGCTTGTTAGTCATTTTTGAAATCTTTCCCCCCTAATTTTCATCTGGCAGAAGGTTCTGTAGCATCCGCTGCAGAACAGCCAGATTCACAAACAGTTCCTTCCCCCTTGCCATCAGAGTGGTAAATGCCAAATGACCCTCCATATAACCCCCCACTCCCACCCTGCTGCACCTTGCCCCTGTTTTTACTACTTATTATATGTAAATAAGAACATATATCTTCTTATATATACTTTTATTTATTTGGTTTTTATTCCACTACCTCCAGAAATTGCAATATTACTCATCATGCTCCTATTTTACCCTTAATTTTTTGGTTTTTTCTGTATATTACATTAAAACACCATCATGCCAAGCAACCACATTTCTTTGCAATGAGAAATCACTGCTGTGTTTTATTCTGTGCAATGACAATAAAGAAAGTCTAAGTTCAATTTCATATGATACAAGTTTACGTTTATCTAATGTTTGTATAGTTTGAATATTGTTAACAACAGCATAAATGTTCTGTCTTTGTATGCAAAATACCTGATAATAACTCTGTTTTTTGATTTTTAGTAATTACACATGATATAAAAGAAGATTTATTTCAAGTCAAAGGTGTATTTCGTCCATGATTTTACAGATTTACCAGCTAGTCAGCTCTACTTATTTAATTTAGGTAATAATGAAATAGTATGAATAGTATTTTGTCACAAATCATGGCCTCATAAGGAAACTCAATAAGTCGTAGGGCTTTATAAGTTTCGTAATCATACTAGCAGTGGTTACCTAAGGGCATATAAACGACACTGTACTCTGACTGCTTATGTTTCCATGGGTGTGATGATATTTGAAGTTTAGACACACATCTATCTCAACGTGTTGAGTGAGTCTCTTACAGTCTGAAAGGTTGCAGCAAGTTTTCATCAGATGTCGACTTAGTGCGTTTGCAGCTCAAACACCATCATTGTGTCTTGGTCGAGGTCTGGCATCCATTGGATATCCTCACTGCAATGACAGCAAAATGGAGCAGCTGTGAAACATCCAAAAGGACATTTATAACCGAGACACGAGTAAGGTGGACAACAAAGCTGACAGCTGACAGTGTGTGATTATTATAACCTAAAAACTCGTTAGCTTGATTGAAAATACTGAAATAACGTCACTTATATGATAATGCTACAACTACCATACATTTGGATAAAGTTAAAATCAAAATTTATCAGCCGTACATCAAAGGACAAACGTTATGTTAACAGACACAAAGGTAATATTTAATCACTGCTTTTTCGTACTAAGCTAACGAGGATAGTTAGCTGCTTTCGCTATTTCAAAATTTAACTGTTACCTTATTTTGGATGATTCCCGTTTGACATCAACGGTTCGTCAAAGCTTCGCGCGTACTTTCGATTACAAAAAGCTGCCAAGTTACTAAGATTATTTAAAAATTGTTACACGACGGCATGAATTTGAAAAAAAATCAAGATTTAATCAAGTAAAACCAACTAGCACCTCTTCATCGGTTTAGCTTCCTTCGCCCACATGACAGCAAAGAATCATGGGAATTGAAGTTTTCTGTTAGGGGTGTCAAACTCAACCACAGCAAGGGCTATAATCTGGATTTTGGTCAGACCTGAGGGCCAAACAGGAGTATAAAAATGTTTTTTATTTAAATTTTTTAATTCTATTTTTATTCATTAGCTCAAACGATCAGAGCATGATATTGAAAATAGAAAAATAATACTTTTAAAGAGCAGATACATGAGGAGAACGTTGAAATCAGGTTTAAAAGGTCAAAATATGACTTAAAATTTAAAATTGGAATATAAAGTATAACAATAAAACAACTCTAAATACTGAATCAAAGCATGAAATAAAAAATCCAATCATGTTTGACTCGTAATCTTGAAATGCAAAATTGAAAACATGAAATAAAACACCAAAATTTTTTCCCCCACATTCTTGACTATTTATCAAATCTTCCTTACTCTTTAATTTCCCAGATTTTCATGGCTTCTTAAGGACATTTTAAATAATAGTGCTAAAGTTTGCATCATTATACTGGAGGAAATCTGCAGACTTCATACTGGTGGGCCAATAATACAAATATGATATGATCTTGTGGGCCAAATATAATTGTTCAACGGACCAGATTTGGCCCCCGGGCCTTGAGTTTGACACCTATGGTTTAGACGTTACCGTTTAAAGCTCGTTCTGCTGACCCACCCGCCGACGTGCGTTGCTGGAAATGCGACACACAAAGCATTATTTCTCATCACATTGAAGACAACTTTTGTTTTTAATAAAAAGAATATATTATAGTGACATATCCTTTTGTTACATAAAATCTGCTACAGCAAAGTATATTCCCCTTGCAAAAACAAGTAAATATGGGTGGGAAAAATGTGTCAGCCGTCTAAGTGATGTGTAAAATATCCCACAAACTAAATACAGACACATTTCAGATAACTGATCCCAAACTGGCATGTGTGACTAGCAATAAACTTCAGTCAGGAGTGTGTGATGGCCCAGGGAAAAGTGCCATCAAACTACATCACATATGACAAACATTATTACACATACGGGATGGAAATGACACACAAAAGGCTGCGCATGTCTTACACTCTCCGGGAAGGTTAATGCACAGGCAGTTTGGACTGAAACATGCTAAAATCCAGGTTTTCAAAATCTCTTTAAGTGAAAAAACAAACAAACAAACAAATGATTTAGCAGTTACATTCTGTTCAATCCTTCAAACTGGTAAAATAATCCAAATAATCCTTGATAAGAGTGATTGTGAAGTGATGGATTGGAAATATTGCATAAGGACATCAAAGAATAAGTTATACTTAGACGCATGACCAACAACATGTATAAATATTTTGTTTTCTGTAAGGGGCAAATAAAAAAAACTTCATAAATAAATAAATATCCAAATAAAATCACTGTTATAACCTCTTTGTAAATAAAATAGCTGTGGTCTGCCTAGGTATAATGAGGTTTACGCAAGTTAAAAAATGACAAATGGAATTCATTAGACATTTAAAATCTAAATAAAATAGGAAAAGTAACTAATGGTTGTTTCTTCTAAACTGAATTCAGGATTAAACAAAGTCTCACATCATTCATTGAATACATAACAAAGTATTTAAAATCAGGGAGAGCTAGTATCCATACACAGAAAGTCAGTACCTTTAAAACAAAATCACCCAGTCCCCAAACCTCTTTTTTCCCACATTGGTTTGTTTTAGATTGTTGAACTTGATTCAATTGCATGTTGTTCATCTACAAACACTTCAGCGTCATGTTACAGTAGGATCAAACTCTATGCAGAAAGACTGAATTGTCAATGAACAATTATTTCCATTAAGATGTGAAATGAAAAGGCTCAAAGACCTTGAACTTGGACCTCTCTTTAGATCATGCAAACTTTCCTGTATATGTACTTAGAAAAAAATCAGACTGAGGAATCAGAGGTTTTCTGATGTATAAGGACAACATGTGGACACCTTGGCCTTGCAGGTATTGGATGTTTGACATACAGGTTTTATGATGGTAAATACACACAATTAAGCGGAGACAGGCAATGTATCAGAATAAACAAAAACTGGTGCTCAGTGTAAGAAAATCCCTCATAAATCTTATTTAGTCCAGAGGGGAGGCTAGATAGATTAAATACGTGTGGACAACAATAACTTATCAGGAGTGATTTACAATGACAATAACAATGTTTTTCATAAGCAAGACTCTTGACCTTATTCCCTTTAAAATCTCTCAGTAGAAAAGCAACAGACAATAACATTACTATCTGTTTCTTCTCTTTAACTGGCAAGACTCAGCTACGCAGACTGGAGAGGAAGAATGAGCAAATACTGCTCCATCACAGTGTAAAAACTGGTTTAGAAAAAGAATTACGCAAGAAACTTGAGAGATATAGTTAAGGTACATATTATGTACGTGACCCAAGATGAATGAATACTTCAAGATTCTGATACATCAGTTTTTCCTAACTATCAGTCCGTGGTTAATGATACAGTTTTGCTTCACTGGATTATGCAGAGGAATATGTCACTCAGATAAAAGTGGCTTTAAAAATCTAAAGCATCACTGTGCCTGGCTGTGACACATTAAAAAACAACGCAACAATCAAAACAAAAACCGAAAAAAAAAAGTCTTTCAGGGATTATTAGCTATTTGTGACACTGCTGTACAAACGTAACATACATGCAAATGTAAAAATGAAGGTACAAATATGGCAATTACACGTCGTTCGAGTAATGTGCTCAAGCACAAATAGACTTCAAAAACAAAATTGAAAAGCATCCCCAGATAAATAAATGATATCTTGACCAACACTGCTTAGCATCCACAACAGCATACTCTTAAGAAAGTCACACAAACTGACCTTTCAGCTCTTGAAAAATGCTATTTCAATGCACTTCATTGATTTTTGGACATACCAGAGACAGGTATCTGGAGTGACTAACTCAGACAGCTTCAGACTTCCTTTCTTGTGAGACAGAGTTGTACCTGAAAAATATATCATCTCATTCAAATACTTTTAACACCACACCATGCCTGAGGTAAAAGTAAATGTCCTGTGACTGGATATGAATAAAAGAACGCTACAATTGATAAGTAAATACAGCACTGACAAGGTTCTGCTCTGTAATGACACTTGCCATTGTTAATCCATCTCCTTGTGGGATCACTGGAGTTGCTTTTTTCTTCATCAAACACCTTCTCCTCTTTGAAAATCTTATGTCTCATATATGTATATTCTCGTGTGCACAAATACATGGTTCTAAGTCTTAAGGACACCAGAATGATGAATAAATGAATAATGGTTTATGTGTAAAGTATTAATGATCAGTAACTTACTGACTGAACCTTCAAACAAACTCGGTGTGAAACAGACAACGGATAAAAAATAATAAGCAAAAACAACGTGAGAAATGCAAACAAAAAACCCTTCTATTTTCTCAAAGCTTATATCACGTTATGTGCAATACCAGCTAATACAATCTGTCTTTGTGCCCCAAATAAATGGTTATAGTTCTAAATGCCACATTTCAAATGATCAGTCTTAATGGAAATAAGGAGAAGGGAAGCTTTCAAAAGTGGCAAACGTGAAAATCAAACAGAGAAAAAAATACAAAATCTTGAAACGTGGTCTAGTATTTTGTGTTGCAGCACAGGGGTGTCTGCATAATGTGCCTGTGTAAAGGTTAGTGCTAAATGCACGCAGGATCATGGCAAGAAGGACCTCATTCAACTGTGTGGAATGAAGGAACGAGGCATTGGATTTGGACTCGAGATTGCCTCGGTTCCACCTTAACCCTCAGGAGAGTGCAAAAATTCCACGAAGCGTGAGCCCTGATAGGACTCCTGCTCACTCTCACTAGAAATCAGCAAACTCTTTAGCACACTTTTCTGTTTGTGAGACACGAATCTCCTCCTCCTCGTAGTCGTCGAAGTTGCTTGTGTCTCCTGGTCCTCTGCATTTTGGCATGAATGGGGCTTCAACCTGACAAAGAGGAAAGATGAGAATGTCATGTCCGAGCAATTAAATCAAGGATGCCCGACAAAGGCTGATCTATTTACAGGCAAATTATGCTCTGTTAAAATACTTCCAGTTTCCCCCTTAAAGAGAGCTTTCCCTGGAACTGAACCATCATGGCTGCTGTGAAAGGAATCACCTGTCCTCATATTTTAACATTTTTATACAAATCTACTCTCCTATTCTTGGAATATTGGAGATTTTAATGTCTGCAGACTAGCCTTAACAGCCCTGAGTGTATCCGTGGACGTAAAGCATTATTGTCACAGAGCAGCAGGTTTGTATGACCTGTATAAAAGTAACAAACATTTATTAACTTTGTGTAACATAATTTAAAACAGTATCCAAATAACATAAACTGAACTGGTTGACATGACTATAAAACCAACCTTCTTCTCATATATGGCAATCCAGTCTGTTGTGGAGAACCACTTGTGATTTTTGATGTCATTAACGCCATTCTTCAGGTTACCATATCTCTTTGTAAGGTCAACCTGCAGCAGGTTTCTCAGCATGTCCTTCAGGTCGGAGCTGAAGTGAGAGGGGAATCGTACCTAAGGAGGTCAGAAAAAGTAAGGAACCCTGGATCAGTCGAGATGAAGATGCATTTCACCTATTTCATTCAAGTGCTTGGTTATAGCGTGTAAGAAAAAAAAATCTCAGTAGAAAATTAACAAAGCCTCAAAACATTTAGCTACAAATGAGGCTTTTTTTCTCCTACCTTGCCAGACACAATCTTTTCGTAGATTTGGATTGGCTGATCAGCAAAAAAGGGAGGGTATCCAGCAGCCATTTCATAGATAAGGACTCCCAGTGCCCACCAGTCCACAGCTTTGTTGTAGCCCTGGGGGAGTTAGAATTACAAGTCCCTTTCAGACATGCACAATTTTTTTTTTAATAATCCAGTTTAGCTGTTCATGTGAACAGAAACAGTCAAGATCTTCACACTAACAAGTATTACTTGTCCAGGGGAGCTCAAGTGAGTGATTCCATTTCGGAGAAGTGTATTCTAGTGATTACTCGTATTGTTGATGTGAAGGTAAAAAAAACCACACAAAAATAAAACAGCTGTTGAGGCATACATTTCTGTCTCTGTGTGCTTTGAGAAAAACAAAACAAAAAACAAACAAAGGGAAATGTTCTCCAGCCCATGTTTAACAGAGGAGACCTCAGGCTGTGAGCAATTATGTGTGAACAGTACAGTCAGGTAAATTTCCAAGTGAGAGCCCTGGAAATTTCCCAAAACACGTCTGAAAAAAAGTTGAGCAGGTTAAAGGTTTTATGGTCACCGCTGTTTGGTGTGTCAGTGATCGTTTTAAAGGCATTACCTTGCTGAGGATGATCTCTGGAGCCAGATACTCAGGAGTTCCACACAATGTCCAGGTTCTGCCTTTTACTCTTTTAGCAAAGCCAAAGTCTGTGACCTAAGGAAGAAAAACAAGAGCAAAATAAGGGAAGTAGCATCCAGAAGGCAAAAAGAAAACATAAGCCTCACTCTGGTTCTTAACTAAGCACCGTGTCTCTTTGCTATCATCACACCTACATCATCTTCATTTGCTTATTTTTGCTACCAGTCTTCCTATTCAGTCCTATAATAGTAGAGTTAGTCAGATACAGTACTAGATATGCCACGCACCAATCAAACACCAGGATTTATCAGCCCAAAACAATCAGCTGTTTTCTGCCAATCCCACTTTGGTGCTTGAAGAGATCACTAGACAAAGCTATCAGAGTATAATAAATCTATGTTTTCCTTCTCATAATATGTACTTTTACTATCCCATAGATATGAAAGGAGAGCAAGGTATTGACCAACACCAAAGTCTTGAAACTACATTCAACATCAGGAAGGAAATGTGATATCTCAGCATCTCTGAAGGGTGAAGTTTTTCTGCTAGTAGCTGAAAAACATCTATCTGATTACTCACATTTCCCTTTCATTTCGCCTGTCTTATAAAATTTTATATAAACTGCTTACCTGGATGTACCCATGTTGATCTATGAGCAGGTTTTCAGGCTTCAGGTCTCTGTAGATGAGGTCCAGCGAGTGAAGGTACTCAAAGGTGAGGATAATCTGAGCTGCATAAAATCTTGCATGGTTTTCACTGAAAGAAGGGAAAGAGGACAATCAGATATGGTGGAATAAATGAACAGGTCTAATCAAGTCTTGGTCCAGCTACTGTACTTGCAATGGAAAGCAAGATAATTAAAATTTAATTCTGACTTCATGTACTCTATACCTGAACCTCCCAATACGCCTGAGGTGTGAGAACATCTCTCCGCCGGGCACATACTCCATCACCATGTAGAGGTTTGAGTTATCCTGTTTTTCAAAGAGGAGAACACTTAAGCAGAGGCAAAACAACTGCTCATATAAAATGTTTCCTTTTTCATGTGGTTGGAATAGAAACCCCCCGATCAGATCAGTTTTATCGCATACACTGAGGGTGCATGCTCTAGTTAGGCTGTTGTGTCATTGCAAATATGTTGTTAGCTGGTTATTTTTTATGAAAGAGGTGAGCGCCAGCCCGTACCTTGAAAGCGTACTCCAATCTGACGAGGAATGGGAATGAGACAGCTTGTAGTATTCGCTTTTCATTTAGTGTGTGTTCTATCTGCTTCAGCTTCACCACCTGAAAAAAAGAAAAAGAGTAAGGATGAGTAATACAGGCAGATAAACCACAGAACACTAATTTGAGAGATTTTTTTCCAGCAGCTACTCTGCGTCTCATTGTTAACAGGTTAAGGTTTAAAAACGTGGCTTTTTAAAATCAGTTTCTGCCTTTATCTACTATTTTTTCTGTGTAATATTTTGCAACTTTCAGGACAATTGTACAAATTAAACTTTGAGAGAATTATAAAAATTGACACAATAGTGAGAAAATCAAAACTGTTGACGATTGTTAGTTTCAATGAGTTGCATGAGTTAGTAGTTAATAATTGAAAAATTTCTGCAGGTTTGTAGCATCAATGAGTTGGTAGGAATCTTCAACAAACAATGTTTAAGAGTCAATATTGCTCTCACAATCACTGTTGGGTACAGGCAGTAAAATGAAAGACATACAACTATTATCAGGGAGCAGAGATTGAAACCACATCAGTGTCTCATCATTATCAGACATTCACTTAATCAAAGGTTTTAAACTGCAATAGCCTGAAGTGATATTACCTAACCATGACAGCAACTGCGGTGAATAATCTTCGGTTTGAAGTTTCTCTAAAAGGTTACTTTCATGCTGTACTCAATATATGATGAAAAACGTTTGCAGTTAAGAGCAAAATACCCTTTTAAACATGTTAATGCACAACATGCGACTGGAAAAAGTCAGCAAAATGTGGTCAGATTAAAAACTTCAACAACAAAGACTAAGCCCTTTGTAGGATGCTGATAAACTTTAAGCAAACTAAGTGTTAACACACGGAACAAGGAGCCATACAAAACTATAAAAGGAAAGTCTGTCAGCAGAAAGTCAAACAGGTTTACATCGTAAACCAAAAGCCTGAAACACAAGAGAGCCAGGAACTGCTACATGAGAAACACAGATGACAAACTAACCTCCTACAACTTTCACATCAGTATTTACAGATCGAAAGTCATGTAAAGCGCCTCTGAGGTTTTCAGTGATAACGTGCTGAGGCTGTGTTAGGGGAAACTTTCCATTTCCTTTTATGAGATACAGGCAGCAGTGGTCCTAACAGCTCTTGTAGTGCTTGTGTCTATAAGATAAGCAAACTATTCTCTACAAAAATACTTACTTTTTGTTTGTCCAAGATCTTCATGGCATAGAAGTGGTTTGTTTCTTTATGTTTGACGAGCATAACTCGCCCAAATGAGCCGGTGCCCAGAGTCTTGAATCTATCAAAGTCATCCAGGCCTGTTGTGCACTGAGGAGTCAGATCAGTGAAAGTGAGACAGCAAAATGATGATTGAAACAACATTTCTGAAAGTTAATTCAGACATTATTGATGCCAACTTTAGTTTCTTTGTCTATATTTAGGTTGAAGAAGAAGGTCTAAATGGATGGAGATATTTTAAATAAATACCTTTTATTGACAGTGTACTTACACAATCAGCTTACTGATAAGTCAACAAGACCTGAACCAGGAAGTGGCTAGGTGCCATCATACAAAAGGTCTTCTCATTTAGCTTCAACAAACACACTCAGATTGTTTGAGAGGGAATTAGAAGCTTGACAGGAAAACATCTTACCTGGGGTGGACACTCCCATTTTCTTAAAAAATCTTCTTTGGCTTTAGCTAAGAATTCTTTCACTGTAAAAAGACACAACTGTATCAGTTGATTATTTGCATTTTGGCACTCTCTCCAGGTCAGGCCACATGTTGAGGGAAATAAACTGGGGCGGTTCAACATGTTTCAAAGGAAGTTTGCATGTTTGGGGAAACAAATGCATTTATAGGTCAGGCAAACTGTCAAGTACTGGGTGATGCAGGGTTATACTTGACAGAACAGCTCAAAATACCTCCTTAAGAAAACTAAAAACCACACGTCTAAGCAGGAAAATCTCATAATAAAGTGATGCAAAGAGCTGTTGTAGACTTTTGGGCCAATTTAAAGTCAAACTTTCTGCATCCCTTTCAGAAGTAGGTTGGAGTAAGGGGAGGGGGCAGTAAAAATGAGCAGTGGTAAAGAACAAAATGCAGAACAAAACTAACACTACAGTGCAGGCACTAAAGAGACAGTGCATTGTGAAAGTCACAGCAGACATGAGATGTCCAAAGTCACAGAGTCACGGTGAGTATTTGATGGCTAGTTGATCTTGCACTTTGTATACAGTTGCTGAAATGCATATCTGGCACTGAAGGACTTTTATACTGTGAGTAAACTGTATGCTAACTGACAATATTAGTTTTCTTGAGTCTAAACTGCAGGGTAAACTCTGTGACTTAGGATGCTCATGAAAAAATGAGCATACCAAAAATCTCTACAGTTCACCAAGGGTTTGCAGGAACATTCACCCACATGGATGGAAATGATGGAGAAGAGAAAGAGAGGAAGAAACATTTATGAAGTGCTTCAAACAAGGACATTTGTACTCAGAGTGGATTAAATGCGACAAACAACAAAATGACAAGAAAGAAGAAACACAAGTTAACAAAATGCCAAAATCTAACATTGTACAGTATTTTTGTAACCTTTAGTTGCTAACTGTGAAGTTTTAAATGTCTATTTATCTTCATTTGTATTGGATTCTGCACAAAAGGGTTGTTTTCAACATCCCTTCCAGTCTAACTGATATTCAAAGAGGCACTGACTATCCTACCACTATAAATGAAGAGTTGTTTAACTATAAAAGTCAGTCAAAGGATATAAAAAAACAGTGATTGATACAGACATTGCGAAAAGCACACATTACATATTTCATACTTGCACAAGAGGTCCACAAAAATGACAGGAAAGAAAATATTAAGATGATGTAAGCGACTAAAACTCCACAAACAGCCTGTGCTACAAAGACTTATGCTCACAGCAGTTTTACTGATGTCTCTGGAGGATCAAGAATATGCGTAAATACAGAGACTGTGAACCCGATGGAGACGATAAGGACAAATCCTCAGAAAATATTGAAGCAGGGCTGCAGCTTGGCGCTCTAAGACCTGACAAATAAATGATGGCTTTCTGAAGTACTGAATACATGAAATACTTGAGGCTTTTATAACCTACGTAAAACAAATGGGACATTTTCACTTATTATTCAAAACAGTTGACTTTTCAAGCTTCATATCCATTCTCCTGAAAACACCAACACAAGCTGAGACTGGTCCCGCTCAGACCTGCAGGCTGTGGCAGACACAGTTTCGAGTGTAAAAACAAAACACTGCACTTACTCCACTTATCCCACATGATGGTGAAGTCAGAGATACGAGGAACCTCACTCTCTAGTCCTTTCTGTTCTTGGCTTCCCTTACGATATTTGTGGAAGAGACGGCTGGCGAAGGACTGATCTTTTCCTTGGGCCATTTTATTGACGTGTGAGTGAAAAGGCTCGAAGGCAAAGCAACCGTTTTCAGACCGAAGACCTTCTGAGTGACACTAGCTTCCTGTTGTATGCAGTGAAGTGCTCTGCAATGCCTGGCTAACCACATAAAGTTAAGCTTCCTGTCCAAGTACTCAGCTCAGCTCAGTCAAGCAATGAACCGCATGTTTTACTTTCCCCACGTGGAGTAATTTTAACAATTATAGGTCTCCTGTATACTGTGTCAACAAAGGAAAAGAAAGTATGTAAAGAACGCTAAAAAAGCCAGCCTCTTTAGGTTATGTAAAAAACACAGATGCTGTACATTCAGAGGGCTGATAAGGAAGCTGTATGTCAGTAACACCCACTGACTGACTGAAGAGGGAAGTTATCTCCAGGTTAGCGTGCACTCTGGTGGTAAAGTTACACAATGCAGCTCATGCAGGAGCTCTCTACTCACCCTATACTGCACACTTTCTCAATTTTTTTTTTGCTAGACATTTGGTGTTGTATATCTGTAGCGTGCATCACTGTGTTAATAGGCAGTACTCTCAGCCCCTCCCTGCAGAGACTACAGGTGGCTTGAGTCAAAAGGTTGTGAGACTGTATGGACCACTGCCAAACAGAAAGCAGGTCAAGACCGGAGAATCTCCAGACACACTACCGACAGCATGGCGCAGTTTAATGGATTACGCTTGTAATTAATGACAAAATGCACGCAAAACACAACACCACTGATGCAAAGTGACTACCTGGTCGAGCCCTAAGAATTAAGAAGTGTTATTAAACAGGAATTTCTGGACGAGGAGAGCTTACATTATCAGGGTGTTATAGCGTCAACATAACAGGTTAATGTCACTGTCTGAAGCAGTGATCAAGGCATAACATTTTCATTTACAGTAAACTTGTTGACAGCTGACTTGACACATCAGTGTTTGGATGGTTGGATGAAACGGTTGCTGGCATTATCACAGTCCTTATTTGGAGAGAAAAGCTGCACCAGTGACCCCCAAAAGTCTATCATTTGTTATTACACTCCTGTTATAAACAGAGCCAAGGCCTTGACCTGCAGCTTCAATAGAATCCCATGTTTGCAGGTGACAAAATGGGGTTATGATCATTTTAATTCACTAGATCAAGCAGTAAGGAAATCTCCCATTTCAATAAGGGTTAAGATATTTCACAGTCACTGCTGTGGCAAACCAACAGGGATAAGGACCCCAATGATATCTGTATTATCTGACTGCAGCATCGTACTGAAGTGCGAGTAGTAGACATACATCATAACAAGGCTCCTAGCACACCTTGTAAACTGCCTTTTACCAAAGATGGTTCTTCTTCCCTGCAGCCTGAATATTCTCCCTGTCACACTGTCTGCTAACAGCTGCTGCTGCTAAAGCCTGCCCTATACTCACTGCAACTAGCTAACACTCTGCAATATCTAACGTTACATGGCTAACAGGCTGGCTCGATGGGTTTTTTCAGGTGCTTACCGCTTTCTTGCTCATTGCCTTTCTTGGCAGTCGCTGCGTTTCCCATCGTAAGGAAGACAGGGCGATGCACAGCTGGCTGGGAGCGACGATGGTGGCGGTAAGCTAACAGGGTCCTCCGTTAGCTCGCTAACAAATTTCAGCTTGCGTTAGCTGCTTTGCTAACAACAACATTAATGTCGCCGTGTTTGTAGACGGTAGCTCGACGGACTGTGCTAACCGCCCTGTTGATCTTTATTTACAGTGTCTTTATCGTTCAAGTATGCCTCCGCTGGAATGAAAACATGATCCAGACTTTTCACCTCTGCCTGCTGTCGTTTTGTGCTGCGTTCACGTCACACGGGAATATCGAAGATTTAACGGGAAAAATGGTGCATTCAGGGACTAGTGGGATTGTTGGATCTTGTTAAAAACGGTAAACGTGAGTCATTGTACGTATTAGGTTACTTTAGCTTTTTGAGATGTTATTAAATTTACTGGCCTTCTTTTAACTATTGCCTAAGTTTTTTCTCTTAAAATATTGTAGGGGAGAGTGGGGTAAGTTGAGCCACCCCCTGTTGCTTGGAAATGGTAAAAGAAATTGATCAAGTGACCAACTATTTAGGAGATGGGCATCAATTCATGGAGTCTGTGAAGGTAAGAAGCACATGGGTGAAGGGGTTAGACATTTATCTCCAAAAAAACATTTTTCACTTTTGAAAGTAGTCTGTCATAAGTTTTATTAGAATTGTGTTCAGACCAAAAAAGATCATTTTAAATTTGATTTAATTTAAGTGAATCAGTCTAACTTCTGGTCAAAATATTTTACTCTATTTAATTTGAACTGTTCGACAGGCCAAAGATGAATCTTATTTTAAGATATCTTAAGATATTTTGTTTCTATAAATACAGTAAGTATAACATCTTATTTGGGTATCTGCAGAATTCTGCTTGCTGTTCTTGCAGCCATTTTTACTCATTACAATCAATTGAGTCCTTTTTGGCTTATTATAACAAGTCCTCTCTGACAAGCCAGCAATGACTGAAGTGTGCAGGGACTGTCCACAAAGTGCAATACTGGCATAAGGTGCTGCAATAAAACAGAATTTAACAACTGTAAATGTGCAGAGTCAAAACCACTTCATTATTATTCATGGTATTGATATTTTGTATTTTGTAAGAGACATAATGTGTACAAATCCCCCTGTTTTACAGTGTTTGTATTTACTGTGTTTGTTCTAGATAGCTTCTTTTTCCCAAGTTATCAAAATGATAAAACATGCCCACCTGTGCATCTCTTTGATGGAAAGTTACCATTTAACCACGAAATTTCAAACAGAGTTGTATAAAAGCTTGGTTATTGTGTTGCATTTCTACTTTTGACTGAACAGCACCATAATTTGGTGTCAAAGTGTGTGATTTTTTTTACAGTGTTACACCTTTGCAGAAGCAAAAAAGAGGCAACATGTAAACAAACAGTGCAAGTTTAACCTACACAGACACAGGGGTATTTCCAGCAAAACAGACTCTGCTTCCCCTTTGTTTCACCCACAGCAGCAGGATAGCCATGCCACATCATCCAGCCTCTGTACTTCCTACACAGGTGTGAAAGATGCTCAATTTGCTGAACAAGCTCTGGCCTTGGAAAAGGAAGAAACTTTGACAGGCCCTGAAGATGCTATGTAGGCCGCCCAACATGCTTTAGCATGTCCTAGTAGCCCTTTGAGACATAACGAAATACCACCTTTATTTCCCTTCGTCAGGTAGTGCTTTAAGACTCACCATTTTTCTCTGATGTGTTAGAATCATTAAGAAGGTCTGATAATGGCTTTTGCAAGATTGCTAATAATAATAATAATAATAATAATAACTTTACTTATATAGCACTTAAAAAAACACTTTGACAGAGGTATAGAAATATTCACAAGGGTTAATAATAGTAAGCCAGAAATGAAAACCCACAATATCTGTGCAGTTTTACTTGTTTGCCATTTAATAACAACCAAGCTTGAGAATGCAAAACGTTCAAGTAAAAATATACATTTTTAATGCTATTAATGGCAATGATCTTTGTTCATTAAACACCTTTCCAAACTCACATCAAGTGCAAAAAGAGGTGAATAACATGGGAAAAATCAATAAAACCTTTAAGATGGCTGAGTCATGAACAACAGGACTTGAGTGACAAGTCCAAAGACGAGGCATTTACAGAAATATACAGCTTCAATAATTGGAGGCCAGATGCACACACATATCACAAACCCTCGCTTAGTTTTCCAGTTATTAACAACCTCTCTTGACCCATAAACAAACAGGACTGGGAATTTACAGCAAAGTTGTTCAGCACTTTGCCAAAGCACTTTTAAAAACAGAGGTTTAAAAAATGCTTTAACAAATAGTCATAGAGCTCATGGAAAAAGACAGATAAAAACAAAAATCTCAGTTAAAAAGGAACTGAAGGCCATTTTCATGTCATAAGAAACCCAGACAGTATAAAAGCCATGCGACATAAAATGAGACCATGAGAAAATGTAACAACTGACCCTGATACAATGCACCTTTTAAAAATCTTTGACACAGTTATAGAAATATTCACAAGGGTTAATAATAGTAAGTGAATGGTGGCTAAAGTTTGTGACCTCTGAGTGGGTCGCACCCTTAACTCGACAGAGTTGTTTTTTAGCACCATGGCCAGCGACTCTGTTGCTAGGTAGCTCTCCTGTGTTTGTATCAGCGAGTTGTGGAGGAAGAGCCGCACCGAAACCTGTGCTAAACGACTACTTCAAGGTGTGCATAGCAGGACTCCCAGCTGTTATAAGACATTTATTTTCACTCACAACTAGACAAGAGTTGAAACTAAGTCATTTAGGTATAACTTAATTCTACAATACACTAAATGTCACGTTGGGACCGGAGTGAGAATGCAAACTTCAGCACTTCTTTCAGGCCTCCCCCCTCCTCACAGAGCAAATGGTTTCGCCCATGGATTCGCTCCAGCACTCATAGCAGAGAATAGATCTGAAAGATTCAGATTTTATGTTTCTGTCAACGTCTGTCTATTTTTTTCTAGCAGCGTTACACTTTAGAAAGCAGTGATAGCCTTTAAATCCTTCCGAGACGGGACTGTTTCTCTAAAAAGAGCTCATTGTCTCCTTATATCTGAGTCGTCCGGATGACACCAGCAGGAGAGCTGCACTGCTAGTGCCTGGAATAAATAAGGTACCTCGCTTTCCTCTCTCCATCCTTAGCTAGGTGGCTCGGCTAAGCTAAGTGTACAGTAGCGCAGGGTCATTGTGGTTGCTTTGATTTATCAGTCGCTGTCTCTTCCAGCAGTAATTAATCGGAGTTTGGGGTAGTATGGATGAAAACGCCCTCGATAGCGGGGCAGTCAAACGTTTACATAGGATGTTTGCAGGTAAACTGGGGGGCAACATTGCAGAATTGTTTCCCTATTTGATCCTTCCACCTGACCTGTACAAGTGGCTAATAGCCTAACGTTAGCTTCTGCTCGCTAGCAAAAGATTCAGAGCAATAAAACACCTGCTTAATCTCTGTGAGACTTTTAATTTGTCAGCGCAACCGATTTCCTGAAACCCCCGGATATCAATGATATTACACGCGAGATTTAAGAAGTCCATCTTGCGCTAATCCTGAAATTCAGACAAGATCAGTGTAAGGGGGTGGCCTGCAATCCTGCCAGTGATCTGGGAGATACCATGACAGCTATGCCGTGACAGACAAATGTTGAAGGCAAGTAACCTAAAGAAATCAGACTTAGTGTGGGAGCTTATAGCTGACACAAGGCTTGGATGCTCACAGTCACAGCATGGTTAATTACATAAGGGGTGTGTTGCAAGATAAGCCATTTGATTTAGTCTGGTCTGTTTGTAGTCTAGTGTGCCACTTAAGAGACCACATGCTGATAGAGCTGGTCATCACTACTCCCAACACAGCAGATGGGTTACATAATAACAGCACAACATATGAGTTATGGTTGGCATCCTGCCCACTAGACAGACCCCAGAGATAATACTATTATAAAAAAAATGTGATATGTTTAATCTTTTTAGTTTGCAAACTGAAGTTTTTGGATTATAACAGGATTTTTTTTAGAAATGAAATGAACATATATCACCAGGTTCATTCAACAGTGTGATCTGCTGATTACGTTCATTTATATATGTATTCTTTTTTTGCTGCAATTTTTTGAGCCCCGACTGATTAGTAAAAAAGTCTTGGTGATGACAAAAACCTTCGCAGATTCCACATTTTTTAGAAATTAGGCACGGCCATAATGTTGTCGGTATCTGGATGACTTTTTCTGTTGTTGTCATTCACTGTCATTGTAAGTGTGAGTAGTTCAAAATGCACAGAATGAACTTTGGATTATTGTTATTAGATGTATATCTTGATGATAGATGTGCCATTTTGTACTACATATGGAGATTCGTTAATTAAATATGTCTGATTTTAACTTACAATGTAAACTTATCCCCTTAAAAATATTTTAAAATACTGATTTATTTATAATCAATTCACTATGTTATGGATTTCTCTTCTGGACATGTGGGTATTACTTTAGACTAATGTCATACGAAGTGTTTTGTTGTTTATTTGCTGTCTCTTTGGTTAAATTACCCAATGGTGATTTTGTCCCTCTGTGTTTATGCGTGAGAATGGGATTGGTCATGGAGAAACGACCACTCCCTATTTAAGATGGCTTCTCTTGAACAAAAAACTGTCTGCCTGATGAAGGTCTAGTACCAAAACATTGTAAATAAATGATTGATTGCAAGTTGGACAGTGTGCGGAAATCCCTTTGCTACATTTTTAGAAATGAAAACCCACAATATCTGTGCAGTTTTGCTTGTTTGCCATTTAATAACAACAAAGCTTGAGAATGCAAAACACATTTAAGTAAAAATATACATTTTCAGTGTTTTTAATGGCAATGATCTTTGTTCATTAAACACCTTTCCAAACTCACATAAAGTGCAAAAAAGGTGAATAACATGGGTCAAATCAATGAAACATTTAAAATGGCTGAGTCATGAGCAACAGGACTTGAGTGACAAGTCCGAAGACAAGTCATTTACAGAAATATAGAGCTTCAATAATTGGAGGCCAGATGCACAGTTGTTTTTTAACAGAAGACTGTAAGGGTTGGTTAAATGATGGCCTGAACAAGCACCTGCTAACAAGATAAGTCATCTTGTCTTAACCTTTAATCTAAATCTTTGTTAAATTTTTGAGGTTTTATATCTTCAAACCCTCGCTTAGTTTTCCACTTACTAACCACCTCTCCCCTTTACCTATGATAACAAACAGGATTGGGAATTTACAGCAAATTTGTTTACTGCGTTGAACAAAT